TTAATCTGAACAATTGAACACTACACAAAACATTCCTAAAGCTTTAGCCAAATCTTTAGTTGATTCTGTCTTACCTGTTCCTGCTGGTCCAGCTGGAGCTGCTCCTAATTTAATATTTAATGCTCCAGTAATTGTCATCCAACATCTATCTGTTAAATTAGTAATAACCAATCTAGTTGTTGCTCCTAAATATTCATATCCATAATTTAATTTAGCATTAACTTATCTCACAATTATTAAATCATTTTCATCCATATAATATCTTAATTATTATTACCATGAAAATTCACTAATTGCACTAACATTTTCATCAGTTAATGCATCCACAATATCTCTAGCATGAACATCTTAAGTAATCAAAGCTACAATAACTTTATGTTGAAGTGGAGTTAATGTACCCCTAACTAAAGCAGTCAATCCATTCAATGATTCATATAATAAATTATAATGTTTTGATAAAGCAGTTGAATCATCTGTCATACTATTAATTGCTTATTCTGTATCATAAGTCCAAATCAAATTGGATATAGTGGCAACTACTTAAGCTGGTTGATTAAGTAACCAATGATTTCTTTCTTGTGTTTCACTCTCTACTTTTCCTTATTTCATTCTTTTTTTTAATGATTCAATCATTTAATCTTAAACTTTCATCAACCACATTTCAACTTCTTCTTTTGTTGAAACAGCTTTAACAAATGGAATCTTTTCTCCTTCAGGTGAAATCATACCATTTACTGATCTAGCACCTTCTTCAGGTTATTCAAGTCTATAAATAGCTTCAAAACATTTCTTTAAATTTCTTTGGATTGCATCAAAATCTTATGATTTAGCTAATATTTCTAAAAGTTCATCATTTGATAAGAAATAAAATCTTGGAAATGACATTCTCTTTTCTTCTAAATAAGATTCTAATGCTTTTTAAATTCTATTTAATGTTTCTTTATATTCTCTAAATTTATCTAATAATCCACTTGCTCTATGAACTTATTTCTATGAATTAGTTTTTTTCATAATAGCTTTAAATTATTTATCAACATTTTCAAATAATGCATTTTCTTCTTTCAATTTTGTTTTAATATCTTAACTAGCAAATATATTTTCCAAATAAATCCAATTTTTCTAAACTTGTAACCAATCATCCAAAGTTTCCTAAGCAATTAATACATCCTTCTATAATTTTTCAGCTCTCTTTCTTAACATCTTCAAGTATCTACTTCCTAATATATTATTTAAGCTTGCTAAGAAATCATCTAAAGCTGTTTATAATTCATCTATATCAGTAAGTACATAAACTTCTTTGTTCCTTAAATTTTCTGGTTTATAATTAACACATGTAAATTCTAGAGCTTTCCATTTTTATTCAATATCATTAAATTAAGCATCTAAGACAGCTTCTTAAGTAGCCTAAGTAGCTACTTCTTATATCTATTCTTAATAGATTCCAACCTTCATATCCATTAAATTTCTTAAAGTAAATGTTTCAGTAATCTCAAAATCTTATTTCAAAATTTCTTATTTAATTTGTACCCAATGATAATCTTTTAAATTTTTATTTCTTAATGCCAATACTACAGGCATAGTATCCTTAAATGAAAATACCTTATCTTTTAATTCATCTAAAACTTGATTAGCTGGTAATCCTTTAGAACATCTATTAACAATCTTTGTATAATATTCTCCTTTAGCCTTAATCTCATCTGTGTTTATATCTATAAATTTTCCATCAATCCACGATTAAGTTAATTCAATCCATTCTTTAGTAGATTTCCACATAGAATATCTTAGATTTAAATCATTTCTTAAATCTTCTAAACTCTAAAATTAAGAAGTAGGTAATCCTAAAGTACTTTCATAATGTCTATATTTTTTAGCATCAGCTTCTAATTTCTTACATTGTTCATCACATTCTCCTAATTCTTTAATGGCTTATTCTAAACTTAATCCAGCATCAATATATTTTTTATCTTAGATTATTCCATCCAAAGCACCAATTTATTTCTCTAATTATGGAATAAGGATATGTTGAACATCCCTTGCAAATCTATCTAATTTAGATTCAGCTCCTTCTTCTGCATGATGAATAGCTTATTCCAATAGATTTTAAGCTTAAATTATATCAACAACATATGCTTGTTTGTCTTCTTTTTTGACTTCTATTTTATATTCATCAAGAATATTATATATATGACCAACAAGTGATATTTTAGATTTTACTTTATTTAATTATTTTTGTATCAATTTTAATGAATTACTTTACTTAACAAATTCATCAATATTTGTAGTTGCTCCTTTCAAAGCAGTTGTAGATGATTATAACCATTCCTTTAATTCTTTGCATCTAGCTCTTAACATTGGTTAAATAAATTAATCAAATTATTTCAATAATTCAGCTGGCAAAGGTTCCAACTTCTTTTTTAATTCGATAGAATCAATCTTAAATAATCCTTACATACTTTCAATTGGAATATCTTTCTAAAATTATTCTTTCTACATATTAAGAACTGCTATAGTATATTAAAATGTATCTCCAGGATGTGCTAATTTTTCATCTTTAAATATATCTATATTAATTTATTTATCTTCCCAATAAGTCAATAAATGTTTATTAAAATACTTTTCTATATATCGATCAGCTCTTTCAAATGCTTTCTCTAAAATATTTTTAACAATGCCTGTAAATGTCTCAAGTGGTGCTGAATCCAACCAATCAGAAGGATTCAAATAATTGGATTCTGGATGTCCCCACTCTTCACCAACCATATCATCCCATTCCTCCAATACTGCAACATATTAAGTCATATCATTATGTCTACTCCATCTCTCAAAAGCTTATATGGCATTCAATCCTTCTCCTATACACTTTACTATATCAGCATGAAAAGTATTTAATTATGGTTTCTTAAGAATCCAATGTTTTGAAATATTTGGGATCACTATCCTTTTATATATTTTATTTTCATCATAAGTTCCTCCATCTGTCTCATCTTCTTCACTATCATCTTCAACCTTGCCCTTCTTACCTCCCTAAGGTTTTTCTGCTTGTTTTTACTCCTCTGTCTTCTCTTCTTGTAAATGAGCATGATATAGTATATGAAAATCATCAACAGTGCTATTACCAAAGGGTTAAGGTATGAATTCTGGAATGTCTTCAGTTTACATATCTTCTTAAGGAATTTAGTCGAAAGTGCAATCTAATTTAATTACAAATAGAGGTTCTTCAAATCTAATTGGAGGTTTGTTGCTTGCTTCAAATGTTACATTAAAATCTTCTATTGATTCTAAACTTTTTAATTTAGAAATCAAGTCTCTAACAGAAAGTGTATATATATTGCTCAAACTTTCCATTGCTAAGAAATCTACTAGATAGGAAAAGCGTAAGAATTTTGAACATTCTTTTCTTAATTATGATCTTTTCTCATAAGTCATACTATCAGGAAATTGCAAAGTTTCATATGCAATTTCTCTAGTTCTAAACACATTAGTTCCAGTATCTCTTGGAGCATTTCCACCAAATTATTCATCATTTTAAGGTACATAATTCTACTTTCTAAGAATATCCAATGATTTATCATATCCACTTTGTACAACTTTTCTACATGCTTAAGAATATGATCTAATTTTTAGACTTACTTTATTTCTATATTGATCTTATAATTATTTAAATTATTCTAAAGTAAATGTGCTATCACTCATAGTTAATTGATGAGATGTTTCAAATCCAATGAAACGACAAGATTCCATCATTTCATAAGTGTTTTTTCTTACTGTAAGTAAGGTTTCTCTCATTATTGGATTCAATAAGAAATATTTATCCAAAAGAGCATTCTAAATAGTCTTAGTTTTATGTTTGATAACATTACTTTTCCACATCTTAAGAGTTTTCCATTTTCTAAATTTGGTAAAGAATTTTAATGATTTAATTTAATGATAGGTCTGTCTTTCTCTTAACCAATTTCTAAGTGGTATAAATTCAGTGGGTTTGCCATTAATATAATGACATAATCCTTTTCTTGAAATAGTATAATATTCTTTAATTTCAGTCTTCTTATCATCACCTTTAATGGTTTTATAATCTACAACTGCCAACATATAAGGATCATCTTAGCCATCATCTTCTTCTCTTACCAGATAAATATATTCATCTACACTTGTTGTATTACTCAAAATTAGGTCTATGTATTTGTCTAACTTAGATTTAGTTTCCTTCTCAGTAACACCAAATTCTTCATCATGTGCCAATGTTTCTTTAAATGGACTTTAAATACGTGGGTCTGAATCAAGAGGTTTGAGTTTGAAACGAGATCCTAGTGAACTCATGCCAGTTTTTCGCATTAAGTAGTTACGTTCCTCTTCTGGCATAATGGCCAAGTATTTTTAATCAATTTAGAACTTACCCGATAATTTATCTACAAGGTACTTGGTTCTATAAAGCTCATCAACATTTTATTTGAAGGTTGTCCCCATAGTCATTCTTAAGGGGTCTAGTTTTTGTTTACTTTATTGAGCAACTAGCTTGGGTACTAACTAAAAATTAGTAAAATGAAAATACTTATTGTTAAGTTCGAGTGACTGGCCTTTTCTGCTAACCTCCTCGATCATACAAACGAGATTTTAATTGCAACTGATTTGGGGATTTCTAATTATAAATGTTACAGGCATTACCACATTTCGCAATAATTCATGTTCATCCTAATCTTCATATTCCTAAGACTAGAAGAATGACATTTTTTAATATATTAATTATTTAAGTTATCATTTTTTGTAATTTGTTTTTATTAGGAATTACCAAATCAAAATAAAAATGTCGATAATGTAATTCCTCTAATTGTTAATATAATTAGACAATCATATTATAAGAAAGAGAGAGTGAAAAATAAAATTCTATAAATATTAACATTTTTAAAATAGAGTCAATTTTGTTCTAAAATATATTTACTAATCTTAAATATGGTTTTAAATAGAATGTATGATAATTCCATTATAAAAATTAATTAATACGAATGTATACTGTTTATACGTCATAAAATGGCTCAATTGCACTTAATAACTGCTTGACTTTGCCCTATGACACTTTATTGAGGGTCGTTCTGTGCTCGAGAAACATCTTCTCATCCACTCCAGTCCTCATCACGAATATTTAACATACCATTCGTTCTCCCTCAAAGAAAGGTTCTCCAAAGAAACCAATGAAGGGTTATAAGAAAATTCTAAGAGGAGATGAGTAAGGCATATTGCCGATGCCCTTCTATTCTGTCTACGAGCCATATCGATATAATATATCGAATGATGGAGACTATGTGTTTGAGATCAAATGTCGATAATTAGGACCATGCTTCCTTAGAATAATTTGGTTAGAATTAGATGATAGAAAGATTTAGGAAATGGGATAGCCTTTCAATTTTTTAGTTTGGAATCAATTAATGTTTAATCTCAAAGATTTGACCATATAGACAGTATTACCTAATTTAGTAAGAAAATGGGATTTGGAAGGGTTTTAAGCATTTCATTTATGTCCTATACAGGAAGTATCTCATAGTCTATATGCAATAAAAGATCATCTGAGTATATTATACTTTCGAAATTTTGAGGAACTAGATAATTTTATCTAATAATCTAAAAAGATCTTTTTCATTGATGTTGTGTTGAATCACACAGCAAAAGAGAGTGAATGGTTGAATGAAGAAGAATGTGTATATAATGAAAGAACTGTTCCACAATTGACATCAGCATTAGAATTAGATTTTGCTTTAGAATAGGTTTAGAAATATGAGGATATAGAGATAGTAATAAAGGCATTGAAAATAGAGGAGTACTTTTAGATTGATTTAAAGAAAATAGATTGGATGGATTATTAATTAGAGAATGGCAATACAAATAGTGATGATGATGATGATGATGATAATATATTTATGGAATCCAATAAGGAGAAAAATATAAAAGTTATCGAAGTATATTTGGCAAATTTTGGAGTATAAAGATATGGAGTAACTTTTGATTTCAAGAGGTTTTAGGAAGAATAAGGATCTCATTAATTGACAATCAGTCAAATTATGAAGGCTTTAAAATGTATTAATGAAAAATAATTCAAAAGGGCTAAGTAATATGAAGCAGAATCAATAGCTAATAATTAAGAACATTATAAAAAGTATGGATGTGTTTAGAAGTATTTCTACAAATTAAAGAATTGGTATGCTGCCTATAATGGTTATGTTGATAACATAGATCCAGAAGAAGATTTTGTAACCAGCTAAAATTTCCATTATTTAAGACATACTATTAATAAATGGAATGTGATAAAATTACGTTATGGCAATAAAAGAGATACACCTCTATTATTGAATCGAATGAAATAGTATATTTGTCAAATGGCTCGCTATTTCCATGGCATTCGATTAGATAATTGTCATGGTACACCATTAACAGTTAGTTAATACTTACTAAAACATGCTAGAATAGAGAATCCTAAATTATTGGTGTTTGCTGAATTGTTTGGTTGTTCATATGAATAGTAAATTAAGTATATGAGTAAATTAGGATTAAATGGATAAGTTGATGAATTATTTTATTGTAAGAATGCCTCCTCCATAGTTTATAAATTATAAAGTGGTGCTTTTATTTAACAAATCTCAGGACCATAAAGATTAATTTATGATTAGACTCATGACAATTAACCTCCTATAGTCTAATCTTAAGGTCCAGGTTACTTAATGTCATTAGTATCAGCTTTAAGTTTTAGTAATTAATTTAAAGGAACAACTAAATTAGTAGATGAGTTTTATGATTAACACATTAGTTGTGTTTATGAAAAACGATTTTATCCACAAATTGATTAATAACTTTATGATATAGAAAAAAGATATATAACTTTTATGTGGAAACATACAATTCCTATTTAAACTAGTTCAAATAAAGAGATGGTAGTATTTCCAAAAGTTGTTAAATTAAAAGGTTCATTTGATAATTGGTAAAAAGAATATTTTCTATAAAATGATAAAGACAACCCTAAATATTTTACTTGTCAAATAGAATTATCACCAGGAATTTATGAATATAAATATATTATTGATGATGTATGGATGATTGATGAAAATCAATTAAATAATGAAATGAATAATATCATTGAAATTAAACCTATTAAGGCATATAAATCATTAACTTTCATTCGATAACTTGCTTAAAATTAAATTTAATATACATATATGGATTCTATTCATGAATAGATCCTAATTATAACTAGATGTTAAGAAGATCATTTATAGAATGAAACAATTGTAATTTGTTTAAGACCTATCATCAGAAAAATTAAATTATATTCAAAAATATTAAGCATATAGTATCAATATTCATTTCAATACAGTGGAAAAGAAACCTAGACTCTAGATGATGAGATCAAAGTAAAAGAACATTATATAGATATTTCTACTTCATATGCTTAAATTAACAATAATATGTTATCCATTAACACTCCTACTTCTTGTGTTATCATATTGTAATGTGAACCATTATAGGAAATACAAGAATTGAATTAGTTTCTAATTACTCCATTTAGATGTGCTGATGATATCAACCTTCTATATTAACCTTTGATAAATCATTATGAAGTACCAGGATGTGGAGTTCTATACTATTCAGGATTATATGGAATAATGAGATTTATCAATAAGATTGAAACTCTCAATGACCCATTCATAAAGCATATTAGAGAAGGTGACTGGCTAATTGATTATTTATCTGATCATCATACTTGTTTGGTACCAATTTTAAAAATAATTAAATCATTACCCCAAGTATTTAAACCACATTATTTTATTAAATGCATAAAACATATTGTTTAAAGTATAGAAGATAAATATACTCAACATAGAGAAGTTTTCTTTAAATAAATTGATATCTTATCCACTTATTTTACTCTCTATGATTTTAATAAAGGTAGAGAAACCTTCATGAGTTTCAAGGGTATCTTGATTTTAACAAGTATAAATATATATTTTAGTTATAGATAAGGCTATTGAAGCCAAAGATTTAATTTTTAAATATGGTAATCTAATGTAACATGGTCTAATACCTAATTCATTAAAACCTTTAAGATATAATACTAGAGATACATGTTTTTGGTGGATTAAAGCTATTCGTGATTATGTAACATATACAGATGATTTCTCTATCATTGGTTTATTGCAAGAATAAATTTAATCCATTTTTTAATCTCATGCAACAGGTATCAAATTTAAAGAGATATATGTAAATGATGAAACAGATAAAGAAGTATTTATATATATATTTAAAACAGGGTTTGGTTGTAGAACTTAAACTAGATTCAGAAACAGGATTCATTATGGGAGGTAACTATAAGAATTGTTTAACTTGGATGGATAAAATGGGATCTGGTACTTTAAATAAAGGATATCCTGCTGCATCTAGAGATGGGGCTCCTATTGAATGCACAGCATTGTTAAAAGCATGTCTTGATTTTATTGGGAAAATGCATTAATTAAATAAATATACTTATCCAGGAATTAAATTAATGAATAGGATGGTTACATGGAGAGCATGGTCAGATTTTATTTGTTAGCATTTTGAAAAAAGTTATTATATTCCAGTTGATCCATCCTATTATAATGAATATTAAGTAGTTGAAAAACATGTAAGAAGAAAAGGAATCTATAGAGATATTTTTAAATGTTCTAAACCTAGATCTGAATATTAATTGAGACCTAATTCTTGTATTGCAATTGCCTTAGCTCCAGAGTTGTTTTAAAAAAATCATGTCATTCACCATTTAGCATTGATTGAATCTAATTTATTGAGTTTAAATTCACTTGGTTTAAGTACTTTAGATCCTATTGCAAGTGAATATAGTGGAAAATATATTCAATTGACAGATCGTTTTAATGCTTAAGATGGATTCTCCATTCACAATGGATCTGAATTTGTTTTCTTGCTTGGATACTATCTTAAAGCATTACTAAAAATACATAAATAAGATATAAAAAAAGAAATATTTTATGCTTATCTTGCTCCTATTAAATAACACTTAAAAGAATAGTAAATTTAATATTTTTATATTTTAGTTATTCTTTACCAGATTTCACTGATTATAATGGACAATTAAGTGAATTCGCTCAAAAATCCTCTATATTAAGTATTGCACTTTTAAAAGAAGCCATTTTTGATTTAGAGGAATTTAGTTAAAAATTATAAAAATGAATATTTGATCATTGCTATTAATAATTAATTATAATTTAGATTAATGTTTATATAATCAAGATTTTTATTGAGTCATCAATCTTAATTGTTATTACAATAGAAAAGTTTCCTCTATCAATGCTTACAAATACTAATCTTTCAATTCTTCCTATTATTTAAATTATTTGTTAAATCTCTCTTGTGCTGTAGCCATAGTTTTATTTTTTTCATATCTTTTGATGATACTTTCTAAATCTTGACCTTCAAGTTTGGGTTTTCTTATTATCCCTGTTTCTTTGAAATGAAGAATTTCTTATTCTAAATGCTTTTTCTAATTAATCAAATTTTAAATTTATCTAAATACTTTAGACATGTTTTATACTTATCTTTTTTAGAATTTTATTAATTTAAAGAAGATTTATGATAAGGTTCATATGATATTTTCTTAACATTAACTAATGTAGATTTTCCAATCAATAATTAATCACCTACATAATCATGCCCTTCAAATTTATGAGGTATTATTATTTTAGTTTATTTCATAGTATATTATTTTTATTTCACTTATTCATGTAACTCTATATTTTACTTTTTTAATTATTCAATAACTTATTATAATTCCTTAATTTATTCTATTGCTTAGCCTAAATTTTCATCAAAATCATCTTTATTAATACCTTAATAATTAGTTCCTCTATTTATAATATTAAAACTTACTGTTAATTTTATTTTTAGTGTGTATTTTAATCATTTTATTTATCATTTACTTTATTTGATACAATAATCTTTGAGATTTATAGGTCTGTTTCAAATATCCCTAATCTAATTTTCAATGTTTTATTATGAGATACAAGTATTCTTATTTCAATATGATAATCATATATAATTACCATCATTTAAATGTTTGATATATATTTAAGAATGAGCTAGTGGATCTTATGCTTATTTAATATCATCAATCCAATTAGATGACATTATTGATTGTTTTTGTTTATTCATAAATAAAATAATAATTTGTTATTAACTTATATAAATAAAATTTCATTTATTTCTTTTAATATTGGTTGATTATATTAAACATAGAGGAAAATACATATAATATTTTAGTTATAATTGTTATTTAGGAAATTATTATATTTTATATCTAAACAAAAATAAGTAAAATGATATAATTTATTAAAAATATATAAAGCAACCTTTTCTTATGTTTATAAGCATACATAATTATTATTGATTTGTAAAGCAATTATTAATTTGCTTATAATTATGCCTAAATATAGACTCTTAAATGATTGTTAAGAACGCAATTTATGATTATTATAATATTCTTCATTTTTTATATATATGAGCAGAAAATAACGAAGAGAAATTATAAAATTAATGAAATTTTAATATTTTCTAAAAATAAATATATATCTCATTATCATTCAATATCTAATTCTCTTTTATAAACTATATCTGTATAAGGTGTGTTAAAGTTTTAGAAAAAGTTTTTTCTTAAAACTAAAAACTGAATTTATTCAATTTTTTAAAAGAATTTTATCTGAATTTTACAAATTTATCTCGGAGTACTTAATTAATAAAGGAAAGATAAAGAATTTGAATAAGAACTAAATTCATTTGTAAAGTTTACAAGATATTATAACAACGTTTTAGAATGGAACTAATTTTGTATGGTTTCTTATTTTGAATGTAATAAATAATAGTTTATGATAAAAATTAGATCGTATGATTTTTAAATCTTTATTCCTTATGTATTAATTGTAAAAAATTTAGAATGTTGACTTTCTTGCTATTTTAAATTAGTTATCATTGCAGAGTTACTCTCTTTAATTAATACATTAATAAAATATGCTTCTTGACATAATATTACTTATAAGTTCTTCTCTATTTGCTCTTCTCTTTCAAGTTGACGAACTGGGAGAATCGATACATGATTGTGCCAAATTGTTTATATTAGGAACACTTATTATAGAATTGCCATGGATGATGGTAGGAATAATCACTTTTTTATGGATTAAGGAAGGTTTCAGAACTAAAGATGTTAATTAATAAGAAAAACATCAAGCAAACCCTGCCATTATTATTCATCATGCTAGAGAAGGTGCTACGGCCACTTCTACAGAATATGTACAACCGACCATTGAGGCTGTATAAATCTTTGACTATGTTACTGGAGAAAGCCAATATGCATTCATATAGAAAACTGAGAAGAGTTTATTGACTTAATTAGGAGTTACATTGAAGAATACAATATTGTTAGAGAAAGGAAGACCATAGGATGCAAGTTGTAATTCTAAATTAATCTCGCATATTGATCAACAAAAGAGACCTAATAATTAGAATATATCCATTATATATGAAGACAACAGTGAGTATTAACAAAACTAAATAAAACCTCATGGTTCCATTCCATTCAAAATTGGAGATTTTGATAAATAGATGGGAGAAATTATACAAGCAGAAATATTATCAGGAGAATATCCAGAAGAGAATAAAGTAGTTCATACAAAATTAAAATATGAATAGGCTTTAATTTCAATTTTAATAAGTATGAATTAAATATTACAATTAAGTCTCAGTCATTCCTTAAGTTGAAGGTTTGATTTTCAGATTAGTTAATTCAATTCTATTTGGAGTTGTCCTTCATTCAGCAGTCCAAAGAAAATAAATACTCACGTGTTCTCATTTTATATACTTGATTATTCTATTAACAAGTTGTGTAGTTGCCTATATATTTGGATATTATTATCAATCTATTAATATTAGACAATTCCTTTTGGGATGTCTTTTATGGTCATTTCAACATGTCAACCCAAACTTATTTTTATTAGTATTTCCTATACCAACACTATTATTTTTTGCAGGTTTATGAATAATCGATTTCAATTAAAATATTAAATTGCTCAGACTTGATATATATATGTATATCAAGTTTTATATAAATATTTACACTAAATTATTATTGATTAAATTCTTTTATTGATTAGAAATTATTAATATATATATATATAGTATAACTTTAAATTATATATATATATATATATTATAATGTAATGGAATTATAATTTATTCAACATTTAAATTGTATTAGCACAGAATCACCTAATTTGATCCAATTTTATAATCCTTTCTAAAACTCAGATAAATTTAATGAAATGTTATTTAAATTAAATGTTGTATCAATAGAATTAACAATGTATACATTTTTATATGTTGGTGTTTATCTTAGAATTTCCATACCTCAAATAATGAATACGAACTACTTTCTAAAATATATGTTGCTTTTTCTAATAATTAATAATCATTTGTAGATTTGGCTAATTTGATAACATCATATGCTCTTGATTATTTATCCATCCAAATTTATTCTTAAGTATCAATATTATTAACTTAGATTTCATAATGTTAATTAATCATATTGATAACTTCATCTTTTCTTTACTTAATCAATTTGAAAATTATGGCAAATGTTTATTCAACTTCTTTTAATACTTTTTATTTTGATTCTTCAAATGTTAATTTTGTATGTCTAATATCTACAAGAACAGTTTCTGTTTTTTCTAATCTCAAAATTCCTATATTGAATATATTAAAGTATATAATTACCATCTTTTGCAGCTTAATCCATAGATGATCTAATATCTTTAGTAGCTTTATCCATTTAATCAACTAAATGTCCTTTATGTTCTCCAAACATTAAACAAGTAGGACAAATAAGACTAGATAAATTTAATAATAATACACATGACATGAAGTACAGAAAGCTTCTAATTATCTTTTATGAGTGGTACATTCTCCAACTCTAAGAGTATCATCACTATTAAGTTATTTAGTAGATGGTCCTGATTTAAGTTATTCTGATATCATAAATTTTTATTAATAACTAAAAAAATGAAATCAAATTCACATTTAATGTATTACAAAATGAGAGACATTATTATGGTATTATATTTAATCATTAATGTATTTAAATGTACGATATGTTAAAATAACTTCACAATCCTTTAATTTTATCTTCTACAAATTGTTTTTCATTTTCACTAACTTCAATTGCAAAATCTTTAAGTGCAACAGATGAACATTTTCTTGATTTGATCTTTTTTGTTTTAGTAAGGAATTTAGAAATACCAATCCATTCCCCTAACAATCCTCCTTTTTCTACTTTCCAAACTGGAATTTAGAATTACTTAGCTAAAGCAACAATTAATTTCTTGTATGTGTCTTCAGTGCAATCATCAGCCAAAACCACAAATTTTGCCTAAAATGAAGAGTATTCATACTTGTTTGCTTTCAATGGCTTTGCATACTTCATGGACTCCCTTAGCTAATAATCCTCTATGTAATGATGTTTAAACAACTCTTTTTAAGGTTGTGAGTTCTTCTGATAATTACTCGACTTCTGCCATAATAAATAATTTAAATCTTATTTAAATTAAGAAACCTTCTCTTATGAAAAATTACAAAAGTAAAGTAAAAAATATACAATCACAATTATTTTCATTTCCTCTCTATTGAAACTATGTCATGTCAATATAACTTAAGAGTTATAATGAATATCTTTAACTAATTAAAACTTTAATTCATCAGAATATTTAATTTTAATAGTGCATATAGGATGATCTAAATCTTAGAGTATTCTCATCTTGAATCTTAAAGATTATTTTAATTCTTCTTTCTTCTATTACAATTTGAGTTAATGTTCTTTTTTTTATTTTTCAAATCTAATCTTTTAACACTCTTTCCTTTATTATTCAATAATTTATTCTTATTTTTGATTAATCTTTTGATAATGAGCATAAAAGTGATCAAAATTAGCTCTAACTCCATCAAAGATTGAAGCTCTATTACGATCAATAAGCATAAGTTTAACTTTTTTTTTATTTTTCTTTGTTCTATCAGCTATCATTAAAGTTCTATTATTGGTTGTATAAATAAGTGATTTATTTAATTGATGAACACCTAATTTTGTATAAATATCAACATCCCAAAATTATAACATTGTTGGATTCTTAGGCCATATCACACCTTTATCTTTAATTTATTAGTATTATTCATCCATAAAATCAATAAGTTCTGATGATAATGACATAGAATAAAATTAATATGAACATTCATTATTTGTACATGATTCAAATATTTTATTTCTATTGTCTTTCTATTATTCAATCAAATCTTCTTATTTGTAAAAACATTTCAATTCCTTTAAATTTACAAATAAATCATTGCAATTATTAAATGTATTTACAAAATTAAACTCTTCCTCTTTTATTAATTGTAATTTCAGTAATTCTCTCTATTTTATTTGTCTCAATAGATTAAGTGCTATCATATTCTCATTCAATAATATTTCTCTTGCAACATCAATAGATTGTATATCTAAATGCTTTTATCGTTTTTATTTATAAGCCTTACTTGGTCTAAAAGCAACATTCATTCGATAACTAATATTACTATAATAAATTTACTCATTCTCTTGAGCACGCATGAAGAGTCTTAAAAGTGGCCTTTATAATCTTTCAACTTTCTTATTATAATAGGTTTCATCATATTCCAATGTGTTGAGTAATGAATATTGTTTACAATAATTATGATTAGAATTCAGATGACGCCTAAGATCCAATTGCTGCATTACTTTAGGGTCAATGCCAGCTTCTATATCCTCTTCATCACAAGAATACTCATTCTCATCAGGATACACTATATTAGTGTGAATGTAAACAATAGGCAATTAGATTGTGGTCTAAGCAACTGTTGAAAAAGTCACAAAATTGGGTATTTCTATTTATTTACAGGGAATTGGCTATGTAGATTTGTAATGAGTACTTCCAATTATTCGTAATCCCATTTATCCTTCTTTACAAAAACCACATTTGGATCAATATTCTTCATTATTTTTAAGATTTAATTTTCTTTAATTTATATACTTAAAGTCAAACAAGTACAAAATAAAAAGAAAATAATCACTAATTGAAATAATGTTAATATTGAAGATCAAATATCTAACTATAAATAGTACTCTCTTTTTAATTGAATGACATATTATTAATTTATTAAAATGTTTACAACAAGATTTGTCTATAGATTTGCTAAATCTGTACCTGTTGTCGATGTTACAGCCTTCCTAGCTAAAAAGGGTGACACCTCCGCTTAATGTGCTCAAGTAGCAGAAGCTTTACATAATTATGGTGCTATTTGCATCAAAGATCCACGAGTTAATGATCGTCATAATGTCGACTTTTTAGATATGATGGAAAAGTATTTTGAATCTAGAGCTGCCAAATTCTATAACAATGAAAAGGTATTTCATATGTATTTAATTTAAGGTTGAAGACATCTTCCCAAATTATTCATATTAAGTTGGAGCTACACCAGAGTTCGTTGAAAAAGCAAGAACACATAATAATATTGTTAGATAATACACTAAAGAAAATGAAGCTTTGACTCCATAACCAGCTCCTTATGTAATTTTCATTTCTATTTCTAGGATGCCAAGTGGAGATTCTTTTGGCCTATAGATGACTCAGGCAAACGAACTAAAGATGAAGAGTATTATATATTCACTTAATAATTATTATAGTTTCACTCCTCCAAGATTCAGACCAAAGGATGTTCCATAATTTGGAGAACGAATGGAATAATGGGGTAAGATGATGATAAATGGATGTTTGACTGTAGCAGAAATGGCTGCTATAGGTATGAGTATTCCAGCTGACTCTTTTACAAGTAGAATGTAAAATGGACCTCATTTGCTTGCTCCAACTGGTTCTGATTTAGACAGACATAAGCCAGGTACCATTTTTGCAGGATTTCATTATGATTTGAATTTCCTAACTATTCATGGTAAGAGTCGTTATCCTGGTTTATATGTTTGGTTAAGAAATGGTGAGAGAATCTCAGTGGCTGTTCCTGAAGGCCATTTGCTCCTTTAAGCTGGTGCTTAATTTGATTTACTTACTGGTGGATATGTGACTTGCGGATATCATGAAGTATATTTTTATAATATCTATTCAGGTAATTTATACAGAGGAAGCCAAAAAGAAATATGAAGAAAATAAGAAAGCTGGAAAAAGCACATGGAGAGTTTCTTCAACCTTATTTTCACATATTAATTCTGATGTGACACTCCAACCATTAGATAAATTTGCTAAAGCAGGATTGCCACCTAAATATAAGCCAATTAAAGCATTTGATTAAGTCTAATAAGAATTAGAAGCCATCAAATTAAAATTATGATGCATATAAAAAAGTTTGTATATGGCAATAAATATTAATGTCAATATATCAATTTTTAAATTGTGCAGTTTATATTAATTTCAATAATTTATTCGTTATTTTTTAATAACAAATATATTATTACTATTCACTAAAATAAAATCATAAATATTTTATTTAACCAAAAAATATTTTTCTATAAAATTACTTATTTATTATAAGCGATGTAATTATGTATTTAAAATTAATATATTTTAATAATATTGAGCTTTCTGAACTTTTTTTAATTAACATATGAACATAATAATAAAAATAATGAATGATTGAATTTTTAAATAAAAAGAATTACTAGATGTGGAATAATGGTTAATTAAAGACAATGAATGATGTAGAAATGTATTAATTAATTTATAATGAAATATAATCTTGTTTTTATTTTAGGAAATAAGAAGAGTAATATTTTTTTTAAAAAGTATTAAAATTTGTGATATTTCGTTTAAATTTTATACCGATGTGAATGAGAAAAAATGTGATTTATAATATTTAGTATATAAATATTTAATAATAATATTATGTTAACTCATTTACCAAAATGTGCATCAATAATACAAGAAGAAAGATCTTTAGAGTATGAAAGGTTAATGAAAAGATTAGAGAAGTCTATAATTGAAAACTCTCTTTATAGATTGGGTGGGGATATAAAGTTTTTGTAAGGTTTTTATTCTGTACATTCTTTCAACCAAGTAGAGAAAGAGAAGTTATCTGCTTTAATAATTGAATACTGTCTTTAAAAGTATGTATATAGTACAAAACATTTTTTTTAAACTAATGGAACTCCAAATAACATTAAATAATTTATATCTACTTTTACTAAGAAAATCTGCAAAAATATTTAGATTAAGTATGAAGACCTTTAATAAATTTATAATGAAATTAATCAAACTACAACCTTAGATGAAACATTCGATAACATTGATAAATAAATCAGAATAGGAATTATAAATTTTTAAGAGTAAAATTTTTCATTAAAAGTAGATTTAACAAATTATTTCGTCACTTAATTCTTCCCAATTAATTCCCTTAAATGATAGATAATTATTTATAAGGAGATAATTTCATTTGGGCATTATTAAGGATTGTAAAATCTGAGCCTATCTCAACCTATATAAAGAGTTTTGAAATACTTATTGAATCTAAAAAGTCTCCACAACCAACTAAAATATTTAATTCTAATTTAATTGCATAATTGATCTAGTAATATTAATATGATATATGTTTAGTCATCGTCCTGACTTACCAATAGACAATTATTTAGACTTTATTTTAGAAGATATATATAGTCACTTTATTGTTTTCTTATTGAATACCTAAAACATGATGTTTTTTGCTCTTCCTTAATTTCCTTATAGACCTGTTAATATTGTTTAACCATTAGTCTATTTGATTGGTTCATTAAAATCTAGATCTAAAGTGTGGGAAACTATTGAAAGAATGTTTTTAGTAATTTCCGATTTAATACATCCAAATAGTGCAACATCAAATGAATTTGTTTTCTCATTTTTTTATTTGTTTGTTAAAGTTTTTGTTGAAAGAGTGGAAGCTTAAAATTAATAACAAGAAAAAAATTAGGAGGAAGAGAATGTTATAGAAAGTAATATTTTAAATAATTAAGATAATATATTTACTAAGGATTAATTAGAATTGTTAAAATTTGATGATATGATTGATATGGATGAGTAAGAAGAAGAAGAGGATGATGAAGATAAGAATGATGAGGATAGTAACAATAAGGAGAAAGTATTAAATAATAAAGAATTGATAATTGATTAAGAAGGAATTGATAAATTTATTTCTATTATCAAACCACATTTAAAATACTTAATTTATCAGTATCCTAGTTTTAATATTTAAATAGCAGTAATATTCAAAGTAAATTTGGATTATTATTAATTAGTATTTAAGTAAATTGAGACCTAAAGAAATTATACCTTAACTTATGGAATAAATTTAATTAGCTTTAGAGAGAGATGATATTAAACCTATATTAATTATTCATATAATTGAGAAAATATTTAAATAAGCAATTCAATATGATTAGTATCCTTAAATTATAAATTATATCCCATTTATAATAAGATAAACAACAAATTACATTTTAGATGATGGAGAATAAATATGGAGTTTTTACAATACTCTTTTTTTATATATTCCTATTTATGATATAAAAGATTTAGAAGCTTAATATCCAAATCTTAATTTATAAGAAGGTATTTATAAATTAAATTAATAGAAATGAATATATATGGTATTGACTTTTATTCCATTACATAAGAAATTAGTGATTTATCTCTAGAGGCTTTCAGAAAATATTTTTCAACTTTTGAATATAGTAATGTGAAATATATTCCTAGTCAAAGGTGTCCAGAAATTGTATTTTCAACAAATAATAAATTTTATAATTTTGTATTTTAGAGTTCTAAATCAAACTACAAAGAAATAGTCAATATTGTATGCAATTATTTAGATGATAAAATAATAGATAATCTTTCTAATAATTTTGTTTTATTGCTTTAAGCTATTATTTTAAGAGATCCTAATGTTCTTAAAGATATTTTAATTGTAATTTAAAATTAAATCTTGAAAACAATTAATGATCATTAAGAATTTAATCTTTCTAATATAACAACAATTAGCAATTATTTGATTATAATCTATGAAATCATTTAGTTTACAGGAAGTGTAAATAAATAGTATTATTCATAATTAAAATGCATTATTGATCTAAGTTTGTAACATGAAGAGACTAAAATACAATAAGCAGGTTAAAATATATTGGCTTCTCTTATTTTAAGTTAAGCAGCAATACATGTTAAAGATCTTTAATTTACAAATGATCCCACCATATAATTGGATTGGTTAAGATTAAAATAATAAGGTAAACAAGAGAAATATTTACCAAAATGGTAAGAACTTAATGATTAAGAATTTATCAAATAAATTATGGATGATTACTATTATCCTTCTCTTAAATAAATTAGAGAAATTATCTCTTAAAAGGGAGAGAGCAAATCTTTAATTGAATATTTGTAGAATGATTTTCTAAATCAATATTAATTACAATATTAATTAGAATCAAAATAAAATGGTTAATAATAATTAGAACTAAAAATTAGAAAATGTTTATCTTTAAATATTGATATTATCAATGCATTTGTAAATTCACTTTATTTTAGAATGAAATAATATAATGAATATTCAAGTGAAACTTTTAAGAAATTTTAAGATTAATACTGTTTCAGTGTCATAAATCAAATGTATGATGAAGTAAATATATTATTATTATTATTATTATAGGTGATTCGTTTTTGTATTGATTTTGTTCCTATATATTTTAATAATGGATTGGCTTTGGATTAAAAATTGTCTAATAGTTTTATCAATATGATTTAATTAATAATACATGAGACATCAGATAAAGTTCAAAAATTAGGTAAATGGTTATAATTGTAAACTAAAACTTCAGACTCAAATAAAATAAAATTTTATAATAGATTTTAATCATAAATGTTTTACACTTATTTATTAAATAATAGAATTGATTAAATTTATGACAGTCAAATAATGAATTAATAAAATAAAGAGTATTTAATTGAAATTAATTTAGATTATTATTAATATCAATCCCATTCTTATTTGATTCAAATTAATTTAATCACAAAGTTAATTGGATTTGGTTGTCAAGTAGAATGGAATTATTAGATGACAGAGAATGGTTATATGAATTATTTGAGAAATTGTATGAACAATTAAAAACAATTTTCAAAAATAAATGGTTCAATTAATAATACATTGAAAGTTTAAATGAATCAGATAAATAAAAATTATCTCTCTTCCAGAAACATTTTACAAAAGGATTTGCCAATTTTATGAAAGTTGTTACAAATTTAAATTCTGGATTATTCTTAGATTCTTATTAGGTTTTAGATTGCGTTTATCAAAGTAATTCTTATAATCATTCTAATATTTAGATTTAATAGATAAAATACATAGATCAGATTTCGATATGGATGTATTAAATTTATTATAAAAAATATCAAAAGCAAGTGTTGAATTAAATTAAACTAATTTTACTAGATAAAATGGTATAAATATATAATAAGATTTTAGTTTTGATAATTAAAAATTAAGAAGTCTAAAAATATGTTGATTCTATTTTTGAATAAAGAAATTAATATTGGTTAGAATAACAAACAAAAATAAATAGAAGTTTGGAATCTTTAAATGATAATTTAAATTAAATAGTTGAATAATGGTTAAGTATTCCTATTGATACTACTACATCAAGATAATTAATAACTAATGCTTGTGCTCTATTCTTTATGAGAACTGCTAAATTACCTTAAATAAATGAAAGAGTTATTTTAAAAGCATTTCATTGTTGTATCAGTTAAGAATATAATATTCGAAGTTTAGGAAAGTTATTGTTGTATAGATTAATTTAGATTTGCATTTTTAAACATAAATCATTTAAATAAATAAGAAGAAATTCTGAGGATTTCTAAAATTCTAAGATCAATCTAGATTAATATAATGTTTATAGATTTATTTTGCCAGAAGATTATAATTATTATAAATTGAATGATTATAATAATAAGGGCTAGATATTTTTATATAATTCACTTATATATACTGAGATAAATAGAGAAGAAGTTAAGAAAGAATTATAAATACTTAAATCCATTAGTTCTGAGTAATGGCATCAATTTATTAATATGATGATTATTGATGAAAGTGTATTAGATTAATAACAATCATAATAACCAAGGATGTTCTACTAATTTATTTAGGATTAAACATAAATTCCAAATTTATTCAATGATATTGATAATTAAGCCTAAGATAAATTCTTTTTTAATAAAGTTATGCAGTATCCTTTTAGATTTATTTAATTATAAAAAAAAGTTTAGTTTATGAAATATTTATTTACAGTTACAGATTATGAAATTTTTAATCATACAAAAAATTTAATTGATTAAACTAATATAGATTAAATGCCTTTTTAAAGAATTTACTTATCAAGTTTATTATATGCATCTCATTCATCTTGGGATTGTAAATTTAAATAGGAGATAATAGATTATTGTATAGATAAATTTGAATAGATTATAATTGATTAATCTAAAGATGAATTTAAAACACTTGAGTATTATTTAAATTTTGCATTCTCAAGATGTGATCTTAGAAAACAGGAATAATTCCTTTTATCTATTTTAGATAAAGTGTAAATAGAAACTGATAACAAAAAGTTGAGATGGATATATCTATTTTATACAACTATAGATTCAAAGAAAAATAAATAAATTAAATTATTTGATCATTTATTATAAACAAACTTAGATTTTTCAAATTTAAAAGCTATTCAAACATTTATACCATTAATTATTGTTTAATAGAATAAAAATCCTCATAATATTGAATTACTATAGAAATTTGGAATATTGGAATAATTTAAAAATCAAACTTAAATTTTGTTTGAAACTAAGTATTTCCTTTATGAAAATTCTGAGATTTTCTGTAAAGGATTAAATTTCTTAGTAGATTAATTTTAGTAATTAAATATTAATGGTAAAATTAATATCATAATAACATTATTTGAATGTTGGAAATCAATGAAGTTCTACATTAATCCATACATATTATAGAAAATGTTGCCAATTGTTGAATATCTATTGACAATAAATGAAGAAAATAATTTATAATAACTAACATATGGATTGTAGATCTTTTAAAACATAAGAATTAAAGAATGTACCATCACTTTAATTCAAATGACATTGAATTTATTAAAGGTTTCTTAAAATAATGTCAGAATAAGATAATTGAACTTTTTAAAAGTAATTCTATATAATTATTCATAGATACTCACAAAAGAAATTCTACATATTAATAGACCCGAAATATTAACTAATATTGTTTAGTATTTGTTAGATGAAAATAAAGTAGTTATGTAATCATGTTGTGAACTTATAACTTAATTGATTCAACAAATGACTTTACAAGAACTCAATTGCTAGTTGGAAATCTATTTAAAATTAGTAAATATTATTTTTAATTTAGGCAACAAATAAGGAAACTGAACTCCTAGGTAAATAAGTGCTTATGGCTATTATTATGGCACATCCACGTAACATTTAACCATGGATCAATTAAGTTTTGAAAGTAGTATTAGAGAAACACAATAAATTACAATAATAATAAAAGAAATTCGCAGCAGACTATTTAAAACTCTATAAAACAAACTAATTGATGGAAATAGAAGATATATAGATATAAATAGATTTAATTGAAAAAATGAGTGAATTATCGAACCCATATAATTATTTTGCTTGAAATAAGATATAATTAATTTCATTTAAAAATAAATTATTTATTTTAATGTAAATTTATAGAACTTTTTATATATATATATAAACAATTTTATTTTAAAAGAAAAGTAAAGAAATATATTTAATTGAATAACTTGATTAATTATTATTAATGTAATCTTCTATTTAATATATATATTTCTCAAGAAATATTTGAATTAGCTAAAGTTTTGCTGATGATTGGACCTTAAGTTGTAATTAAAAGATGACCTAAAGTTTTAATCCTCATAAATACCATCAAAAACTGCTTAAAGATTTTCATTTGTCTTTAAAAGAGGGGCAACCTTCTCCCATTATCCTTTCTTTGGATTCAATACTTCTTCTCTTTCATCCTTGAAAATGTTTTCATGTCCTTAGATTTTAACTCTCTCTCCAACTTTACTTCCTGGAGCTGGTCTCATCAATTCTACTTTTGTGTGAGAAGCATCAGATGCACATAAAACCATACCATTAGACATAAATCCTATTGATGTTTATAAAATGTATAATACCTGCTAATTTTCTTGGTTTGAGATTAACTAATACTAAAACTTAACCTGTCATCTCTTCAATAGGTACAAATTATTATAATCCTGAAGCTATTTATCTCACTTCTCCTCCAATATCAATTTCTTCACAATATAATTTATCTGATTCTTCATGCTAATATTTAATTATGAAAAATACCTTCCAAACTTTTTTTAATTCACCAACTCTTATATCTACACTTACAAAATCTGTAAATGGTCCAAAATCTTAAGGTGCTGGGGCAGCTGCCTTTTTACCTTATTAAGGTTATTTTTCTGGTTATTTTTTGTCTTATTATGGTTGCTTCTCTTTTTTCTCTGTTTATTCCTTTTTTTATGGTTATTCTGTCTTATTCCCTGTTTATTCCTTTTTTTAAACTTATTCTGTTTATTCTTTTATTTATTGAGGTTATGCTTATTATTCTACCTTTGGATTTGAATCATTTTCTTATTTGGTATTAAGTTGAATAAATTCAGCAAATGGGGATGGCTTATGCTCAACACCTAAACTCTTTTCTAATTAATAAATTATTGTTTCAAGTTTGAGTAGGGTTGGTTTAAATTAAGATATTGTGTTCATTTTTAAAATGTACTTAAATTAAAGAATTAAATTCATAAATTTATATATAAATAATAGTGAAAGAATAATAAATAATATCATTTTATTTTTAATGGAGGTAGTACTCTTCTATGTGATTTAAGCTTCATTTTATTAGAAGCTCCAAAAGACTCTTAAAATGAAGTTGGTATAAAATATTTGTTAATCATTTGAGTAGATTTCTATTTCAAAGACCTTGCTGAACAATTCTAACTTTTTTCACATTTATCTTTTTCAAATACCAAGATATTTTCCATTGATTTTTTAAAATTAGTTTTCTATGTTAATGAAAAATCTAAAAACTTTCCTTAATAATCAGTTCTAGGAGTAGTATGACATTAATTTTTATGTTTATTATTTAATTGTAAGATCTTAAATTTATTTTAAGTTGGACTTGCATTTGTTTGATTTTACTATAGATTTGTATTTTCTTGTTCTCCTTCTTTCACATTATCTTAAAATGTTTAAGTTCTTGGTGAATTTCGATATAAATATTATAAGAAGAATAATAACTTAAATTACTATCATATTAAAATATATTGATTACTTATATAATTTGCTATTCTTTAAGAAATTAGTCTAATTATTATTAATAAGTTAAAGGAATCTTTTCATGAAATTTCCTAGTAATCCATGGATGCATCAAAGCTTAACTTACATTATATCTGTCAATAGGATTGACATTAATTAATTTAAAGAATAGATCTTTAGCTAAAGGTGAGATATTTAATGGGATATCAATTGAAGGATTGAGGATCTTCTTAATGAAATCATATTTAGTGTCATCCTTATTATAAAAGGGATGTACTCCTCCATTTAATAACATATAGAGTATAATTCCACAACTCCAGGCATCGACTTATTTGCTATACTAAATAAATGTTAGAATAAGTAATCTACATATTTTTCTGTAAATTGTTCTGGTGCCATATAAATAATAGTTCCACATTTTTTATTTAATAATTTATGAAAATTGCCTTCACTAGATGAGAATCGAAAACTCAATCCAAAATCAGCTATTTTCACATTTGTTCCTGTCAACATTATGTTCTCTGGTTTTAAGTCTCTATGAATAATTGATTTATCATGTAAGTAGTTTACTCCATCCAAAATTGATTTCATAATAATTGCTGCTTCTTATTCATTTAATTGTTTCTCTTTCATTTTCTATGATAATGTACCACCTTCCATATATTCCATAATTATATAATAGTATTTTTTGTTTTCTGAAATCTTAATAAATATTTTTTACTCATACTCTTTTGCATCTCACAATATTTGGATGATTCAATTATAAATAGATTTCCTATTCAGGAGTAGTATTATTGTAAACTATTTTGGATATAACCTCTTAATGGTTGTTGAAATTACCTTTACTGCACAAATAGATTTGTCTGTTAAATCCATTGCTTTATAGACTTTGCCAAAACTACCCTCTCCTATTTTGGATATTTCTTTCAATTAATGTAATTACTACAGAAATTGAATGTTTTCACCTGTAAACATCTTAAATTAGGTAGTTAAAATAAAATTATCATTTATATTATAAAATAACTTATACATCTTATCTCTGTATCAATGTCTGTAATTTATTCAAATAGATCTCATATAAGTAATCACTTGCAGATGAATAAAATTCAATTGCCTAGTTTCATATCAACTATTACTTATTGATATAAATCCATAAGTTTANATAAGTTAAAGGAATCTTTTCATGAAATTTCCTAGTAATCCATGGATGCATCAAAGCTTAACTTACATTATATCTGTCAATAGGATTGACATTAATTAATTTAAAGAATAGATCTTTAGCTAAAGGTGAGATATTTAATGGGATATCAATTGAAGGATTGAGGATCTTCTTAATGAAATCATATTTAGTGTCATCCTTATTATAAAAGGGATGTACTCCTCCATTTAATAACATATAGAGTATAATTCCACAACTCCAGGCATCGACTTATTTGCTATACTAAATAAATGTTAGAATAAGTAATCTACATATTTTTCTGTAAATTGTTCTGGTGCCATATAAATAATAGTTCCACATTTTTTATTTAATAATTTATGAAAATTGCCTTCACTAGATGAGAATCGAAAACTCAATCCAAAATCAGCTATTTTCACATTTGTTCCTGTCAACATTATGTTCTCTGGTTTTAAGTCTCTATGAATAATTGATTTATCATGTAAGTAGTTTACTCCATCCAAAATTGATTTCATAATAATTGCTGCTTCTTATTCATTTAATTGTTTCTCTTTCATTTTCTATGATAATGTACCACCTTCCATATATTCCATAATTATATAATAGTATTTTTTGTTTTCTGAAATCTTAATAAATATTTTTTACTCATACTCTTTTGCATCTCACAATATTTGGATGATTCAATTATAAATAGATTTCCTATTCAGGAGTAGTATTATTGTAAACTATTTTGGATATAACCTCTTAATGGTTGTTGAAATTACCTTTACTGCACAAATAGATTTGTCTGTTAAATCCATTGCTTTATAGACTTTGCCAAAACTACCCTCTCCTATTTTGGATATTTCTTTCAATTAATGTAATTACTACAGAAATTGAATGTTTTCACCTGTAAACATCTTAAATTAGGTAGTTAAAATAAAATTATCATTTATATTATAAAATAACTTATACATCTTATCTCTGTATCAATGTCTGTAATTTATTCAAATAGATCTCATACAAGTAATCACTTGCAGATGAATAAAATTCAATTGCCTAGTTTCATATCAACTATTACTTATTGATATAAATCCATAAGTTTATTAATTGTCTATTGATTAAATTTCTTATCAATTTCATTTTCTAATTAATTTAGATTTTTCATAATTGAATTGATTTTCTATTTCTCAGCCAATTATTAATCACCAAATACCATATAAGAATTAGATGTCATTCTAACATGTTGATATTAATTCAATCTTCTTAAAAATAATCTAATAAATTTATCATATTCATTTATAGTAAATGTTTATTATTCTTCTTATTTATTTTTATAATTCTTCCAACTTATTGATAATTATGTGCTATTATCTTTCTTTCTTTTTAATTATACACAACTCTAAAGTGGAGCTCTGAATATCAATCTTACATAATCATCCTTTCCATCTATCATTTCAAATAAATAAAAATGAGCATCACTTAATCCAATTAATCTAATTATTTATTAATATTTCTAACCTCACTTAAATATTTTAGAAAAAAGCATTCTATTATTAAATTGTTGGAAATCTGGCTAAATCTGGATAATCCTTTAATTCATCTATTGAATATGAACTACCTAAATAATATTGACCAATATTTTAAAGATAAATTTTATCAAATCTATTCAATAATACCCTATCCTATAAATCATATTATTAAGTGGAATACTAAAAATTATGGAATCTATTTAATTATGGAAACTAAAGATAATTTGTAATTCCATGGTTACAATAATACATCAGCTATCAAGTTTCTTCCATCTGCCAAAGTAGGTCTAACAAACTTAAATTAATAATAAAAAATTACAGTAGTTTTACAAACTATTCTAACATCCTTTACTGGATATTAAGCACCAATTTATATTGTAAAAACAATCAAATCTATATTTTATAATTCATTATTTGCATAAACTTCTACTTTTTATTTGATTCCAATCTATATATATATATGTTAATAATCATTTATTACATCCAATTCTATCCATCTTTTTGATTTAGTATTTTAAACAAAATTTAATTCATATTTCTCTTTGGTACATAATGATACGACTTCATTCATTTCTAATTTATAATTGCTCTCAACCTGCAGTAAATCGTTTAACTTGTCCTTCTAAACTAAACAATTCTTTTGACCATTAAATTATAGCTTCTATCTTTGAATTTTCAACTTGAACATTCATTATTATTATTATTATAATATTAATAAATAATCTTCATATAAACTTAATTGTATATTATTTAGAAAAAGATGAATATAGAAATTAATTATTCATAATGTAATCCAAGAATAGAAGAATTAAAACTTATGATTTAAGATATTATGATTTTACTTTAAATAATTTTTGTATTAATATTTGAAATTATAACAATTATAAAAGATAAATTAAGTATTTTATGTTCAAAGCATCCAAAATAAATATTTTTTATTGTATCCTCACTTATTTTTAGCTTATTTTATATAAAGTTCTTTTGTTTATTTTATATTAATTTAATGATATATAACAATAATAGTTATAAAAAATAAACAAAATTTTTTAATAAATGTAATTAATTTATATAAATTCATTTGAATTAAGATTTAGCATATTTATCTTTCAAATCTTGTTATTCTTGTTTACTATTTTTGAATAGCTATAATAATAATTAAGTATCCAATTTATTTTGAATTCTATTATATATATAATAAATATACTCTCTGGATTATGATAAATCAGAATGAGGTTTAGTAAATATTTCAACATTTTTAAGTCTTGATTTCAGATATTTTTATATTGGAGATTAAGGCAATAACATCATTAATCCTTATAAAGATTAGATAAGAAAAGGATGATTAGCTGACTCTAATAATTGTAATCTTAAATATGCAAAAACAGGTGATTCTAATTATAAAGTTAATCTTGCTATTTAAACTAAGATCTCTAGATTAATTTCTTGTTCTGCAATAGTTAAAATAATATTGTAAGTTAATTCATACTCTTCAATTAATAGAGATAATGATAATGCACTAACTTCATTATAACAAAATGTTTTATAGATACTAATAAAGAATTCATAAGTTGTTTTAGCTGTTTTTAAGTTCTTTTCATATTTATAATTTTTAAGTTTCATTCTAATATTTTATAAACGAGGTTCTGTAATCAATAATTATTCTAATGATTAAACTAATTATTATGTAAAAGCTAAATCTATATTTTCATCTTCAACATATACATAATTTTCTAAAAGTTTATTACAGATTTGAGTATAGACAACTTCAGCATTCCAAAATTCACAAAGTTTCTTTATAATTATTTAACTCATTCTATTTAATAAATTAACATTTTTATGGAATATATCTAATATTTTCTCTATAACCATATCAAAATATTATTCATGAGATATACGAGCTAAAACATCCATAACATTTTCAACAACTTAAGCCTCAGCATCTTTTAATCTTTCAATTAACTAATTTAAATATTAACTATTTTACATTTTCTAAAATATTTTCTATCATTGGTTTCAACTTTTCTGTTTATGTATTCAATAAATGTCTCATCCACATTAAAGCCTTTTCAGCAGTATGATTATTTTTTTCTTTAAGCATATCTTAAATAGTTGGCATAATATCAACAAATTCTTTACCTGATGCCTTCATTTTATCCATAATTTACAATAATAAATCATTAATTTATTATGCTTAATTTACAATCTAAGGTGAATCAAGTGATAATAAAGATAGTATAATTTTCAAAATATTATTTAATTTTTCCATAATAACAGATTAAAGTACTGAATCTCTTTTTTATTCAAATATACTAGACATTAAATCTATTCCTTTAATAATTTATCCTCCACTTAATTCTAATTGATTAAATTAAATCTAAGGTTAATCTAATTCATTGCTAACTATTTTCAAATATTCCATAATCCAATTTAAAACCTAAGATAAAACATGAGCATCACTTTATTTATTTTAACATAAATCTAATAATATATCTATGATTTGTCTATGAGTTTTCAATTCTTATGATTAATTAAAAGATGATCTTTTTGAATATCTTTCTAAATCTCTTTGAAATTCTTCTAATTATTTTTTAGCAGCTACTTTAGCTTCATTAGTAAATGGATCCTTATTATTTGTATCTGCTAACATAAGAAATAGTTCAACCAAAAAACCATCAATATAATCAAATAATTCTATATGTGGAATAGAATTCAAAGTATTAATCCATGAAATCAGATTTAATTTCACTTATTGATTTTTGAAAACTATTTATGTACTTATAGTCTTAATAAATGTCTATATCTTAAAATTCTATTTTTCAGGTGCTGTACTTGTTACTAAACTTTTTAAACAATTATCTAATTATTATGCTGCTTTTCTAACAGATTCATCTGGATCTAAAAAACTTTAAACTAAATTTCTATATATTTCTTCCAATTTAATTAAAACCACATCACCTAATAATTTAGAAGTCAAAAACAAATATTCAATAGCTGTATATCTAACTCTTTCTTCTTTGTCTCTCATACAATCTATCATAGGATCAATAATAGAATTCAAACAATTCTTTATATTAGGTTCTGGCTTTCTAATAATTATTAAATAATACTTTTCTTTAACTCTCAATTGAAAGTGCAATTGAATATAATCCATGTAATCCTCCTTTTTTATATTAAAATTATTATTGCGATATGTATCTCTCTTTTAAATGCTTTGCTATTTCTATTATTGTTTTATCTTGAGCTGTTGAAATTACTTTCATTAATTCTTATCCTCCTATTTCTCTTTTATCTTATGATCTATTATGTTTTTTTTATTGTCGAGTACTTATCAAATAGATTTTTAGTTACTGGCTCTGGTAAATTGATATTCTTTTCGTCCATTTTTTAATATAATATAAATTAAATATATATATATATATGGGTTAAGAGAAATTAGCTGCATTGTTGTTATATAGATAATTATTCAAATCTTTAGGAAACCAAATGTCAAGAGATTAATTGAAGAAATATTATTAATATACTGTTTAAGCAAGAATTTTAGGGGAAAATCAATTAATTTTGAAAAATTTAGAAATTTATTTGAAAGCAATCAAAACTCAAAATTAAATAATGAATGATGAAAATATAGGATAACCAAAAGATTACAAAGCAAATCTATAAAGAGTAGCTAGCTATGTTGGATTAAGAATGCCTGAAACCTATTAAAAATAAGAGTGATTTATATAAAGATCTATATAATTTTAATTCCATTTCATTTTTAAGGTGGTTAACTAGAGAATCTAAATTTACATCCAGTTGCTCTTTCTCGACAACCTAAAACTGATCTATTTATCTTTATTTATTTTAATTATAATCCATCAAATAGTTAAATACTTTCATCTAAATCTGTATATGAATCATTCTCCTTTACTGAATATTCATCCTAATCCTAAAATTACCAGTTTTTCTTCAATCTATATAAATGTTCATATTCATATCTTTTTATTAACTTATATATTTTATAATTATGTAAACAACATTAAGATGCAATTTAATTAAGCTTATTTCTACAGAATAACTTGACTTCTGATTATTATAAAAGTATAGCAACTATTTCAAAATGACAATTTGAACAAGCTAAATGCAAAGGAGTTTAACGTTTCTTCCCACCTTTAAGATTTAAATCAAATTTTTATTATTTCTTATTATTGTGTTAGATAACTGCAGAAATAGCATCTGTATTACCCCTTTTTACAGCTATATGTAATGGACTCCATCCATCATGATTAAGAGCATTTGGATTAATATTCTTTTTAAGTAAAGCAACGAATGCTTACCTATATATGGAAGCATCTTTATCAAAACATGCCATACAATAATGTAATGCTGTATTACCTTTTTCATCAATTTGATTAGGATCTGCACCCTAAGTTAAAATATCAAGTATTAAATGGATTTGACCTTTTACAATTGCTAAATTTAAAATTGATCCATATTTTGCTGCATTTGTGTTTACAGATGCTCCATTAAATATTAATGCTTTAGCACTAAAATACTTTTCTTCTTAAATTGCTAATCCTAAAGCTGTATTTTGTCTTTAATCTTAACAATCTACAATTTCAGGATAATAAGATATTAATGATAATAAAGCACCAATATCTTACTCAACTGCTGCTTTATGCAAGATTGTAGTTGAATACTCTTTATCTCCTCCTTAAGGATTAGGAAGTATATTTAATTAAAGATTTGAAAATTAAACAAGAAAGTCTTGAAAGTTCATTCCAATAGAGGAGCTATACTCTTCATCACTAAACTTGATATCAATAATACTGATACATTAATTTAAGAGGGATCTTCTACATCTTTGAGTTACTTTTCTTCAAGAGATTGAAATAGTTTTTCTATATATGGTCTATTCACAATAGGGTCTATTGGAGGATTAAGGTATTTAAACCAATCCAAACCTAATTCATTTAATTTCTTTAAATTTTTAAATTCAATTGGAATGTATTAGAATTCATTTGATTGAATAAAAAGAGATCTTAAATTTATTAATGTTATTAATGGATATAGTTTTTATAGTCTATTTTTACTTAATTCTAATATCTCTAGATGTGATTACCAATGAGATATCTTTTTTGGAAGCATTACAACTAAATTATTGCTAATTGAAAAATTAATAATAGATTGAAAGTTGTCAAATAATTCTTCAGGAAGTACTTTAATGAAATTTGAATTTAAATTGATTATTTAGACTTTTTTCATTTAATATAATTCTTTTGGAAACAACCTGAACCTATTATCCTATATAGTATTTTATTAATACTTGAAGATCAACCATTTAAATATTAGCAAAATCACATTTTATTTTTGGAAACATATCAATATTTTATTTTGCTAAGTTTAACAAATAAGTGTTGAATGATATCTTTTTTGAATTTCTTCCAGAATTAACTTCTTTTGATTAATATCGATTATATTAAACAGTTTCTGTTTAAGCCACATGCTTTGAATATTCTCTATTTGGAGAATGATTGTTGCTTACAAACAACTTTGTTTTAAAGAAATTTGTTTTAGAGCTATTGTATTTGTTAGATTGTTCAATAAGAGTAACAATGTTTGAATCCATTTTAGTTAAATATATAATATAAAAATATATCATACATAGTTCATCCTTGTATTTCAGTTAATTCTCCCATTAATTACCTATTATCATTATTCAATTAATTACCACATATTTTCAGTATCACTATAGTTAGTAACAGGGAATTTTGATACAAGATCTCTTTAAGTAGGGAATATCTAATCGACAGTTAAAACAAAGGCATCATCAATCATTCTTGGTATTAACATTTGTAATAATGGACTAGATTCTTCAAGACAAGGATTAGTATTAACTTCTATTAAATAAGTATTGAAGAGTTCATCCAAAAAGAAATCAAAACCAAAAATCTCCATACAAAATTTTCTATTTAACTTATTGATTTTAGTAGCAACTGTTTTCATTGCAAAATATGCCATTTCTTTCATTTTCTCAACTATCTATCCTCTAAAATCTATTTTAGATTTGAAATAATCAGAAACTGAATCAAATGATAATTAATTTCCTAATTCTTATTATCCATATTTATCACTATGCTGTTAAATTGCATTATTTGTTAAATGAATATATATATTATCTACATCATTTGTTCTATATTCTTCAGATGCCATTCTTATATAGCCTTCTCTAATAAAGTATAAAATATAATTTTTACTTAAAAAAATAACAACTCATATCAGTATTAAGAAATACCCAAACTCTTATGTCAAATTTTCTATTTTTTATTAATAAAGGTTTCTCAATATATTTTTGAACAACAAATGATGATGTTTTCAATAAATATTAAACAACCTTTTATTGACTTTATCCATTCTCATCTTTATATGTTTCTATTTATTTTTCATGATAACCATATTAATAATCAATTAACAATTCAACAAGATTGTCAATATCTTAAAACACATGAATTCCTCTTCCTCTATTTAATCCTGTTGGTTTCAATAGCCATAAATAATCAGGACCTGTAAATGAATCTCTCATTTGAAATTCCAATTATTTTTTATCTTTACTAGGAGCTATTCTTAGTTTCTTTTTTATTTCATTCAATTTATTTTATGAATCTTATTTATTTAATTATTTTTATTCTGGTGCATTTTTATTATAGAAATTATAAAAGGCAGATATATTCGATTCTACTTATGCATCTGTAAAATCTATAGCAAAAGTTACAGGTGTAATATCAAAAGGATTCAATTTAAGTATCTAATTAAAAATTCATTTTACTTCACAGGCAGCTGATATATTCAATAATAAATTCTTTTTATTACTAATTTCAGGATGAAATTCAAAATGATTGAGTAATTCTTTATGAGATTTATGCCAATTCAATTTAAAATATTTATAACCATGATTAGATTATTACCATCTAAAATTAGCTCTAGTTGTATTAGTAGTCTAATGCCAATCTGGTCTATAATCAAATACACGTTTTATTAATTCACTATTATTTCCTCCACCTAAAAAGTATGAATACAAAGTTGGTTATGATTAAGAATTAATTTCAATAGGAGTTGAAGGTTAGAGTTTCATAATTGATATTGTATGTCTAATATTTTTAGAAACTTTAATTGGAGGGGAAGGTTATTCAACAAATGATTTATCTTATTCTTTTTATCTTTAAGTATCTTTTGATAATAATTTGTTTTTTTATTTTAAAATTTTTTCATTTTATTTATTATTCTCTTTATTATATTATTCTTTTTCTCTCTCTTATTCTTTAATCATTTCCAATTCTCTAAGTTTATCACGACTTTTTGAACGTATTTAATTAAATTTATTTTTTTCTAACCTAATTTATGGAGTTTTCAAAGCTGGTAAACTATCTGATGTTTGTGGTTGAGATACTTAAATTTTTATTGCAGATTTAGCTTCTCTCTTCTTACCTTTTTTTATTTCATTTTATATAAATTAATCAGCTAATACTTTAGCTAATTCTTAAGGACTCTTAAAATTAGGTAATTTAGCTAAAGAACTTGTGAAAAAGTTACTAAATGCCTTACTCTCTAGACTTTCTTTAACTCTTTATAGCATTTCCCAATTTTCAGATTGTATTGTTTTACTTTCTAAATAATATATTCATTTATATTATACTTTAAACAAAGTTTAAATCTATCTAAGAAGTATTTCTATTTGATCTTTAATTAACCAAATTTGGTAATTGATTTACATTATTGTTTTACTGTTCTTCACTCATGAGTATTTATTAATAAATTAATTAGTTTATTTGTTTGGATAAAAAACAAGAATTATCGTTATAATAAATAATAAATAAATCAAAGCTAACAAACATATTCCCATAAGTTCTCTTCATTTGGATAATTAAGAAATGGGTATTTTGATGGTGTCTTTTATTAAATGAATAGTCGGTCAACTGTTAATTTAAATGCATCATCTATTTATAAACCAATAATTACCTATTAATCTTGGAAACAAACTTCCTAATAATTTACTAGTTACTTCTAAACTAGGATTTGTATTCACTTCTATTAACCATGGTTTAAAATTCTCATCTAAAATAAAATCCATTCCAAAAATTTCAAAACAATTTTTCCTTTTATATTTATTTATTTTTCCTTTAACACTTGTAAAAGCTAAAAGAGATATCTATTTCAACTTTTGAATCACCTTTATATATAAATTAATTTGATACTTCTTTTCTAAAATCTATCTTAAAATATTATGAAGCTTGATCAAAATTATATTGATTACCTTCCTCAGTTTTTCCATATTAAGGATGTGTGTACTGAACAGCATTATTAGTTAAATGTACATAATTAGATTATTATTTAACATCAAATGTTTCTGTAGCCAATCTTATTTATCCTTCTCTAAATAGTAAATTAAATTTATACTTAAAGAAGAAGAATCCTAAATTAGATGTTATCAACACATAAGTTCTGATATCAAATTTCCTTCCTTTTATTAATAAAGGTTTTTCAATATATTTCTAAATCACAAATTATTCTGTCATTAATGTATTAATGTATATGATTTTTGTTACTATTTCATTATTTTCATTTCTTTTCACTTCCAATAAATGTTCTCTATATCCATTCTAATACCTATTATAAATATCAATTATCTCTTATAGATTTCTGACTACATGAATTCCTCTTCCTTAATTCATATTTGCTGGTTTAAAGATCCATAGATTTTCTCCAGCAAATAAAGTAGAATTTTAATCAATTTTACTTTCCAATTATGTACCATACTTAAACTAATATGATTTTATTGTTTTATCTAATTCTTGTAATTAATTTTAAGGACAATATGATCTATAGAATGTTAAGAACTAAAATAAACCAGCTTTTAAATTCTAGTTTGTACATTCTATTGCAAAACTTATAGGAATATAATCTTATACGTTTAATTAGTTTTTCTATAGTTTATAATTAATAGATTGATTACTTCACAATATGTCTTAAAATTTAATGCTAAGTGATATTTATTTGAAATTTCAGCATGAAATTCAAAATGATTAAGCATTTATGGTGTAGAATCTTTTGAATTCCCTGCTAAAGTACGATATTCATACCCTTTCTCAGTTTCTTACCATTTAAAGTTAATATTCTTAAGGCTAATATCTTTGACTTGAACCCAATTTTATCTTTCATCTAGTAACTTCTTAATTAACTCATGGTTGTTCCCTTCTCCTAAATAATAGAAATATGTAGAAGGCGTTGATCTCTTAGACTAAGCCGATAAACATTTAATAGGATGTTATACCGAAAAACTTCTTGGTTAAGTATCCTTCCTTTTAGGAACTGGGGGTAACTTTCGTTGTTAAGATTCCTTTCTCTATTTCTTTGCTTTAAATTATGCTTTTGCCTTTTCTATTGCATCTGTTTCCATTTATTTGTAAACTATATTTCTACTTTTTTTCCTCATATTATTCTCTGTTAAATATCTAGAAGGTAGTTGAGCACTAAAATATTAAATGGCTAATTTCTATGCAAGTTCTCTGACACTGCGGCTTTAAAGTTTGCTGGAGTTGGATACATATTTATCAAAGAATTAAGAGAAAGCATCTTAATTTTATAGTGTAAGTTTTTATGCACTCAACATTTAATATATTAATATTCTTCAATTACTCTGTTTTTATTTTAATGATAAGAATACTACACATTTCTTATCATTAAATTAAATAAAAATTGTAGAAATCAACTTAAAAGTTATATCATTTTATTATATTACTAAATTGTCCATAGATAGCTTTTAAAATAATTGCTATGTCTCTTTCTGGATTAACAGATTTATCAATTGTTTTTTTATTATAATTTATTTTTCTAAAAATTATTTTAAAATAATAGATTAGAATAAAAAAATAATAGTTTTCAATAATAAAACATTTCTTGGAACTATTTTAATTGTTTTTAACATATTGCTGAATAATATGGTAAAGTAGATTGACAATATAAAAAATAAAATAAAATTGAATATAAGATAATATTAATTAAATGTATCTAAAATAACTATTGCTATTTTACATACATAAATATAAGTTAAATATCATTAATACTTTTTATTATGTATCCCACACAGAATATCTAATAAAAAATCTAAATATTTATATTTTTTAAAATTACAAAATGAGAAATAATAAAAGTAATTATTATGATTGATTCCTCAAATATTAAATAAATTTCAACAGCTGGCACTAGCCCTTTAGAGAGTAAAATACTGAATTTTTAACCTAAAATAATTGGTTACCTACAACATATTGAATAATATCCTAAAAAATTGATTCCTTTAAAACAAATACTACCTATTTCTATCAAAATACTAAATTTTATTCTAACTAACTTAATTTCAAGTATATTCTAATAATGTTATCTAGTTATTTTGGAAATTATTAAAAGAGACTTACCAACACCTGATATAAGCATAGATAAAATTATGGTAAATTAAGATGATTACTATTGTGGAATACCTTTTATTGTAAGCAAATAAGATAAGACTACTGCTAAACAATGTGAAGTAATTCTACTGAAATAATTTTCCTTTTTATGTAATTCTAGCACTCTAGTTTTTAGGTTAATAATTTGGATGTGATAAAGAATTGATCAAGTGCACAAGTCTTAATTAAATTTAAGATTTACTACTTTTGAGATCTAATTTTTAGTAGGATTCTTTAAATGAAAACTCAGAAATGCTTTTAAATTATTTATAAATAGAATAAGAAAATAGCGTCCATGCTAATTAATATACACAAGTTTATATGGTAAAACCGCCAAAATTCATTATTAAAACTTAAAATGAAGATACAATAGCTTTGAAAGTAACACAGTAAAATTAAGAAATTTATGAATTAAGAGAAATTAAAATTATTGAAGAATTTAATAATGAACATCTTCCCTATTTATATGGGTATTTAAGATATTCTGATATCATTATGTTATTTTTGAAAAAGCATGATTTGACATTTTGTAAAATATCATTACAACTATTTTAAAAAAGAAAAGAATTAAAACCAGATGAAATTGAATAAATTTTATTAAAATTATATAGATAAATGATAAAAGCCACTAGTTTTATACATTCAATCGATATAATTCATAGAGATATTAAACCAGAAAATATAATGTTTGACTTCTCAAAACCAATAAATAAAATCAAAGATATTTTAGATATTTCAGTAACTTGTGTGTTTATAGATTTTGATAGATCTATCATGTAGGACAATCTTAAACCTGAAAAACTATCTCATTATGAGGGTACACCCTTTTATAGACCTCCAGAAGGAGAACAAAGTAAATATAATCCTAGTTATGATATATGGTAATTGGGATTTATGTGGTTAGTGATACAAAAATTTTTTTTACATCAAAATTCTAAAACCTATAAGGACTTTTGTCTAAAATAAAATTAAATATAAGAAATTAATATTGATATAAGAAAATTATAAAATGAAATACAAGACTTAAATAAAAGAATGATTGATTATAATCAGAAATAGATTTTGAAAAATCAATTATAAAACTAAATTAATGATTTAATGAATTTATAGAGGTAATAATACTAATAATTAATATAAAAAATTGAAGAATAAGAAAGTTGTTTTATTTATAACAATGAATTAAAGAGAATAATACAAAAAATGATAGAATTTGATCCTTAAGATAGAGCCACTTTAAATTAGGTCTAATTAGTATTAGATTAAATAAATCAATGAAATAGTAGAATTAAAAAAAATTTAATATCTTTTCATTTTTAATATTATAAAATGTAATTTTTATAATTCTATTATTATGATTTTTAATATTCAATCACATTTCTTGTTATTTTTATATGTAAATTTTATTATTTAAATATTTTATATAATTGATGCAATTTTAATAATGATAACAGATTTACAATAATAGTAAAGTATATAAATTAAAAAAAATATTTTTACAAAGTTTATTATAAATATATTTTAATATAATTGATGATTATTATAATAATTCAATCCAATCTAATGATAATTCAAAGCAATTAGTAAAGACTATTTTCTTTATTTTCCAAATTTATTTGTTTGATTATTTAGATAGTTAAATTAAAAACAAATTTATCTTTATTAATTTATTGATTATTATTGTCTTATAATTATATTCATTTTATTTAAATAAGATAAATAAGACTATACTTATTAAATATATAGTTTAAATAATTCCTATAAAATCAATGATAATAAATATATTTAATATATTTTTTATAATTTTTAATTCATTAATGAAGTAGTAAACTTAATCTCACTAAAATAAGGATGATGATTATTTTATAAAACAATCTGAGTAAAGACTAAATTAAATCCATTATATAATGACAACTATTGAAAACAAAGAGAAGTATGCAAGAGGAAAGGGTAGAGATCTAACTTCATTAAAAAAGAGAAAAAAAGCATTTTAATCACTGGAATAAAAATTTAAGGAACATGAAAAAACATTTAAATCCAGATTTATAAATGATGGGTCTTAATCAAATAGAAAATTTAATCATATTTTAACAGAAGCTAGCTCTTTTTGTTAGGAAATTATACCTAATATATCAAGAATAAAGACAGTAGATTAGCATAGAGGATTAGATTTTTTAGCTATAAAGAAAAATTATAAGGAATAATCTGAATTAAATGTTGAAGCATGGTAAACAGATTAAAGATATCTTAAAATAAAAGAAGAATTAATATAAATGTAATAGGATGCAAAATTACCTGATTATTGTAAATTCTGCCTTATAAATAATAAAGAAACTCTAAAAAGAATGAATAGATCAAATCAAGAAGTTAAAGAAACACGTTTGTTATTTAATTTAAAGGATAAATATCCTCCAGAAAAATTAAAAGTTTTTATGGAAAAAATCTTAAGAAAATATTAAAGATTAAAATAAAATTAAGTACTTGTTCCTAATGGAGTAGGATGGAAATTATTAACAATTAAGTCTAAAATACCTTAAAATGAAGATGATGTTTTAATTAAAGAACATTTATTAGAAAGAAAATAGCCTTCAAGAAAAACATAATTATTAAAAGCAAAAATTTAATTCGTAAAATAATTGAATGATGAGAAAAAAAGAATGGCTGTTTATGAAGAAAGTGTATCATAAAATTAAGCTATTTAATAATTTAAGAAAAGAATTTTTAATAATAATAGTGAACCTAATTTAGTAATTCAATAATAAAGAGAATATATATAAAATGAATTTGAAGAATATAAAAAGCGATTAGAAAAATTTAAAGAAACAGCAAAAAATGATCTTTATTAGTTATCTCATCTACATAAGAAAAATTATGGAATAAGTCTTGAGTCTCGAGTTATGTCATCTTGAACTATATAAAAATCGATATTTAGATATTATTTATATATATGTATAATTTTAGTAATATATATATACAAATTGTTATATTAAATAATACACTTATTTTTGTTTGAAGATGACATTATTTTGTTAAAACTTTAGGAAAATAAGGAGCAATCTTAAGATGAGATCATAAATTTTATTAATAAATGCTATTATATTTACATTTACTCTTTGTATGTTATTGATAGCCTACATTTTAAATATGGGATAATCACTATCTATTCTAAATATTTCATCCCAAACATTAATGATTAATGAATTACAAAACCTTTTAAATACTGCTTCAAATTTAATTGAATATTAGATTCTATTCTTTTATTCAAGAAGTAACTTTATATATATATCAAAATTAGGTTAAATTACACTAACTAAGTTGAACATTTTAAATTAAATTGTATATAATACAGATTATCAATCACTAGAAAAACCATAATTATGTCCTTACAATGCTACTTTTTTTGATTCCAATCATTATTATCCACTTTCATGCATAATTTATCATTCTTTAAATGATGATACTTCTTACATAAATTCAACATAAGATTATTAATTAAGAAATTTATCCCATTTATTCAATGAAATGATATTATCTATAGATTTAACAGGATAATTTATACCTAATGACATATTTATGGTATCAGATAGTAATCCAAATGAATTTGCATTCTATTATCCATAATGGATTAAATATAAGACCTATAAACCTAGAAAAAGATCATGGTATTAATCACATTATGCAAATCTTAAATTAAATCCTAATAATCATACTCAATTATCAGAAATATACAAATATTTTAATGATAGTGATGTTTATTCAATGACAATGAGTTAATCATTTTTCAATAAGACAAAGAATGTAGATGGATTATTTGCAGCTGATATATAACTATAAAATACTTATTTTAATAATAGAAATCTAAATATGATGATTGTAAATTATGATGGAAAATTAATTTTATCAAATTATAAAAATTATCTTTTGGCAAACTCTACTAAATATGAATCATTTGATGATGAAAAAACAACTGGTTTTAATAAGTCTGATTGGTTAGCAATTTTGAATTTTATTAATCATAATAAAAAGGAGAGTACTTGTTCATCTATTTATAATAAGTATAAATAACTTTGTCTTTATAATTCAGCTTATTAATCTGATGTTTTTATTTCAGCAAAATAAATTAAAGGTATGAATTATTATTTAATTGTATTTAACAATATTCAAGATTAAGCAACTTTATTTGAAATGTTAAATTAATTAATGGAAACAATATATTCATAATTCAGATAATAAATGCTTATAACTGGATTAATTTGTTGTGTATTTACAATCATATCATTTCTATTAATTTATTTAATTTGCAGACCTATGTTAAAATTAATAAAGTTATCTAATATTTATATAAATTCTCATTTAGTAAGTAAATCCTTTAAAGATTAAAAATTGAAAAGAGTTTGGACTAATTAAGAGAAATTTAATAATTTCATATAGAATTAAGTTTTAAATCACAATCCTTAGAAGACTAGCAGTAAAATAATTAATTAACATAGATAACTTAATGATTAAATTGATCTAACATTTTTAAAGATTATTTGATGGAATTTTAAATCAATAAAACAAGAAAAGTAATTAATGTTTTATTATTTAATCTTTTAATTACCCTAAGACTCAACATCTAGATATTAATATATCATAATAAATTAAGGAGTGCTAATTTGAAAATTTAAATTCAGATGACTATAATTTGCTTTTGATTTACACTTTAAAATAATTAAAAAGACAGTTCTCTTTATGATTTTTTTATAATATTTCCTAATTTTATTATAATATTTTTATATACTATCAAAATTTCTTTTTATATAAATAAATCAAAAGATTGAAATTCTAAATTAAGAGATTTACCTTTTTAAAAAATGATTTGATTATTTTTTTTAATCATTGTATATCTTATAATATAAAATCATATAGTTCATATTTAAAATGAAGTTATAAATTCGAGGCTCAAAAAGCAAGAATTTGTTGATTTCAATGTAATAAATTTTAATATTAAAGTGAAAGTATCATGATAAAAGACACGAATTTATCAACAAGATCTATATTTTATGATGATGTTGATGTTTAATGGCAATCAAGTTAATCTAAAGAACTAATCATAACATTATAAGGATTATTTCACATCTATAAGGAATAAAAGAGTCATTACAAACTTTTAGAAGTCTCTTTTAGCAAACCTTATATAATAAAATAGTCTAGAAAATAAGTATATTATTATTTAACGTTAGGGTTCGAAAGTTCTTGATATCACTAATGCTATAATAGAGAAGGTGAGTAATAATATAGTTGGAGAAGGATTACTAGTTTAAAAAAATAACTTAAAGTTTTATATGTATGGTCAGGTTGAGAAATGGTTAAACTAAATGTAAGAACTCTGCATTTAAGTTAATTTTCATGAAGACTATTTTTTATACAGATTAATTTCTAATAGTTAGCAGTCTAATGTATCAAATTCTTATTATGACAGGTGTATTTTGCAGAAGATCGGAACACAAAAATAGATTATGCAATCAAAGTATTTGAAAAGAATAAAATTGAATAAGAAATTGGACCCAAGGCTTTGAAATAAGAAATAGAGATTCTTAGACTCATAAAAAATGAGCATTTTACCAAACTATTAAAAATTTATGAAGGAGATTAGGCAGTTTATTTGGTTTTTGAACAGTAAAAAGGAGGTGACTTATAGAGATTTCTAAAAGAAAATGAAAATATTCTTACAGAAAAAACTGCATTTCAAGCTATCAAATAATTGTTATAGGGAATAAGTCTTATGCATAATCTCAATTATATGCATCGTGATTTAAAACCTGAAAATATATTGTTAAAAAACAAGGATTCTTTAGAAGAACTAATTATTAGTGATTTAGGTTTGGCTGAAAAAGTTAATAATGAATAAAAACCATTATTTACTCTCTGTGGAACTCCTGGATATGTAGCACCTGAAGTTCTTAAAAAACAACCTTATGATCATAAGGTTGATATATATGGTATAGGAATAATTCTATATACATTACTTACAGGAAACAATCCCTTTTAATCAATAATATAGGATGAAACTCTTGAATTAAACATGATCGGACATGTCAATATAGATAAGGTAAATTGTTCGGAACTTGGCAAAGATTTACTTAAACAATTATTGTAAGTATCTCCAAATCGTAGACCAACTGCATAACAAGCACTTAGACATTAATATTTTAGAAATTAATCTCCAGATAAAATACTTCCAAAATAAAGCATTATTATCTCAAAATCTAAAATCCATTCTCTTCATAGTGAATAGATCTCTCCGCTTACACCGAATCTCAATTTTGATAAATTTAAAGCTCCTCAAAGTAAGAATATTATAATATTGAAGTTTAACCATAATATTTAAGATAAGCCACACCTAAATTGGATATTCATCAAAAAAATACTACAAACTTAATGAAGAAATTTAGAAGACCTTCATGAAGTGAAATTTAATTATTTAATATAATATTAGATATAATAATAATCAATGATCAAATCTAATAAAAAAAAATATAAAATATATTATAAAATTTTAATAATTAGTTGAATTTTATATTATAAAAAGATTTCTAACTTTCTATAAATATTAAAAGTGTTAAAAGATATTAATAAATTAAATTATGATAAAATTGCACTATTTAAGAGTATATGCATTCTCAATTAGATAAGTTCATTCTTAAATTGCAATTTTAGGTGGAGGAACAGCTGGATTAAATGTTGCTGCTCAATTAATAGCAGATGGACATGCAATTCCATAACAAATAAGAATTTTCGAACCTATGAAGATGCATACATATTAACCAGGTTGGACAATGGTTGGTATGTTATAAATATTAAAAAAAAGGTGGTGGCTTATATGACATCAACAAAACCCTTTAACCAATGGAAAAAGTTTTACCAAAAAATGTGATTGTATCTGATAGTCCAGTTACAAAAATAAATCCTGAAGAAAATTAAATATAGACATTCGATGGATAGAAATATACATATGACTAATTAGTAGTTGCAACAGGCATAAGAACAGATTTTGATTAGATTAAAGGTATAATAAAAATATAGTTATTTTAGGAGCAAGAAAGTATTTAGAAGACCCAAATTCACCTGTAGCCTCAATTTATCATTATAAATATGCTTCAAAAATGAATAGATTAGTTGATGAATTTGAAGGTGGAAAACTTGTCTTTTCTGAACCTTAGATGCCAATCAAATGTGGTGGAGCTCCATAAAAGATAGTTTATTTATCTCAAGATAGACTTAGAAAAAGAGGAATTAAGTTTGATATTCATTTCTATAAAACTGTTGCTTTAATTTTTGGTGTACCAAAATATGCTGAAATATTGACAGATGTATGTTAGAGAAAATAAATTAATTGTCATTTTAAATAAAAATTAGTAGAAGTATAAGATCACATTGCTATTTTTGAAGATTAAGATACAAAAGAATTGAAATCTGTAACATTTGATCTTTTACATTTAGTACCACCATAAGTATATAAAATAATTATATTATAGGTTCCAGCAAAATTTATAGCTGCTAGTGGATTAGGTGATGCTGCTGGATTTTGTAATGTACATCCTAATACTTTATAACATATCAAATATAAAAATATTTGGTCTTTAGGAGATTGTTCATCATTGCCAACTTCAAAAACTGCTGCAGCTGTTATGGCTCAAACACCTATTTTAGTCAAAAATTTAATTAGAACTTGGAAAAAGGGATTAGAACCTATTCCATCATATTAAGGTAAAAATTGATTAATATCTAAGGTTACACTTCATGTCCAATTTTTACAAGTTAAAGTACTTTATTATTAGCTGAATTCAAATATAATTCTGAATTAGATGAAACATTTCCAATATTTCAATCAAATGAAAGTCGATTAATGTTTTATTTAAAAAAAGATTTCTTCCCTTTTGCTTATTGGTAATTCATGGTTAAAGGATTATGGGGTGGAAGAGATGGATTTAGATTTTTTAAAGGAGCTTGAATATGATATTTAATCTAATTATTAAATTTACATTAATATTAAAAATGTCAATGATCTAATAAAGTATTCAACTCTAAAAAAACAGACCTAAAGAATTAGATATTTCTTCAATTTATAGTGAAGATAACAAATCTTCACATATCAGTAATCATGTAATTAACTATTATACTCAGTTAGATAATGCATCTAAGATTATTTCACCACTTTAGTCAATGTCAAATTCTCTTATTAAGGAACCTACAAAATCTGATTGCCAAAATTAAGAATAAATGTAAGGATTAACAGGATCAAAATATTTATCTATAATTCCTACTAACTTAGAAAATATAATGAATATTAATGGATTTGAACCTAAATTATAATAGGAAATGGTCAAACCTGTTATTGACTCAAATATTATATAAACTATTAAAACAATTTCAGATGACGAACATTAAACTATAAATTTAGATCAAATTAATATATAGCTTACTGAAATTGAATAAGACATGTCAAATACCAATTTTAATTAAATATTGGCATCTTTAAATATCATTTTTGAAAAATTATCAGAGTCAATTAATTATAATATTGAAAATGAATTACCATATCAAAAACATATCGTTTATTAACTTAGAGTCTCTGTATTATTATCTAAAGTCTATAAGTTTATGGGAGATTATAGAACATCTATTCATTGGTTATAAAGAATTAGAGAAAATTACCTAGTTTTTGATCCTAATTTTGCAGGTAAAATAATGATTGAATTATCTAAATTATATTTCCTCAACTTTTAAATAAGAGAATCATAAGAAATCTTGCATTAAGCATTATTACATTTTGAAAAAATATAATGGAAAGCAGAAATTGCAAAAACTTTACTTTTATAGGCTCGTATGTGTTCTTGGATGAGTATTATTATTATTTTAAATATAATTAGATAATTTTGATTTGGCAACTAAATTATCCTATGGAGCAATATCTTTATTAAGAGAAGCATATATTAATGATGAAACCAAATTAGATTAGGCTTATTTTATATTAGCTGAATGTCATTATGTATCTAAGAAATATGATACTGCAAAGGAATTCTTAGTAAAAGTTTTACAATTAAAATTATAAACAGAAAAATAAGAGAATCATCCTACATTTCTTGAAACATATAATTTATTAGGTTTAATACATGCTTAAATATATGATCTTAAAACATCTTATTTTTATTTTTGTCAAGCCTATAAATGCATAAAGTAAAATTATATTAATTATCATTTTAGTATAAATCCAATATAAAAAGGATAGATTTTAAATAATATATCTGTAATATAAAAATTTCTCGGATAATTGGAATTAGCAGGAAGATGTTAGAATGTAGCAAATGAAATTTATGGTAAATTTTTATCAGAAAATCACCAAATCTTTAAGAGATTAGTACTTAATTCCATTATTGAATCTTAATAGTGATTATATAATTATTTATTTTTTTCTAACTAATTTAATTTTCATTTTTATTTCATAAGAGAATTTTATATCCATAATAAGAGAATTTTATATCCATAATAATATATATAACTCAGATTTTCTAGAATGTATCAATATGTTAAGAAATGCATGAACTTTTCTTTGTTTTCAAATGTTGTAGTTGTTGGTCTTCCTAAATCTTTTCTAACTCCTGGTTTAATCAAAATCTCCATAAGAATTGGACCATCATTTCGATTTAACTATAAAATATCAATTAAATAATAATACTTTCTCCATCCCTTTAATAATTTCCTCTTTTGTTTCAACTTAGAAGGCATCCTTATATCCACATCCTAAAGCAATTTGTGTAAAATTAACCAAAGGATTACTTGTAGGTTATGCACCAACAGAATCATGAGCTTGATTGTTGAACAATATATGTTTATAATTTTTTGGACCTATATTACCAATCTAAGCCAAAGCACCCATATGCATCATCATGGCTCCATCTCCATCTAAACAAAACACTTGTCTACTCTTCTTCACTTATGCAATTCCAAGAGCTATACTGGATGCATGTCCCATAGATCCAACTGTTAAGAAATCTTATTCTCCTGTTTAATTGAGAGATTATCTTAGTTCAAAAAGTTCTCTACTCAAAAAACCTGTAGTACTAACACAAACATCTAATGGACGAGTATTTTTAATGACTTCAGTTAAAGCTTCTTCCCTAGTTAATTGATAATTATTTTTAGCCAAATTCTTTAATTTATAATTGGTGAAACATTATCTCTTAACAAGTAGAGCATAAGGTCCATTTCTAAAAATATATTATAAATATTGAATTACCTAGTTTTCATTGAATAGAAGGCAGTATCAAGAACTTCTGCAGCGCCTTCAATATAATCTGGTAATACATCATATTGCATTCCCATTTCAGTAAGAATACCATTCATTCTCTTGCCTTACACTAAATGTTATGGTTCATCCTTTTTTCCTGGCTCTCCTCTCCATCCAATTAAGTATAACATAGGAATTCCATAGACTTTAGGATGAGCTAATGACATATAAGGATTAACAATATTTCCAAGACCACTATTTTATAAATACACACAAGGAATTTTTTTAGTTGCCAAATAATATCCAGCAGCCATAGAGACTGCAGTACCTTCATTTACAGTAATTACATGTTATCCTGGTGGAGCATTGTCCTTATAAATAGATAAGATTCATACTTAAACATAAGCACAGAAATCTTTTAATAAAGAATCAGGTACTCCAGCATAAAATGAAACTCCATGCTTTGACAATTCTTAGTAAAACTCAGCAGGTTCAAGAAAATCTCTTTATAATTCAAGATAAGGGGGTTCAATAGGTTCTCTAGATTTAGCATTAAAAAATCTCCTTGTAAGTTAGCGGCAAAACATATTTTGTAATAATATTTTATTCAAATAAATCTAGTAAATGCTCTGGTGAATCTTCTCTCTTTCTTAAAATGCTAAATAATATATTCTGCATTGTATTTAGGATAATAATTCTTATAGGAGCATTTTATATCTATTTCAATGAGTGCTTATTTCTTCTTTTATTCTAATCTATTAACAATTTCATTAACAAGATCAAATTCATGATTTATATCTTATTCACTAATTTAACTTTATGTATCATGCATAAAATCTACACTTAAAGATTTACTAAGTTAATCTATATCTTCTAATTCATATACAAGTGACAATTCTTATTTGACTTATTACTAAGCTTTCTAAATTTTTATTAAATTTAAATTATCTCTTCTCACATTATTTCTTTTGAATTGTTATCTTTCTTATTAATTTTTCATGATTCGACTGATTAAGAATATCTTATTAGGATAGTAATGTGATTTTGGACAATCATTAGCTAAATGACTACTTGATTAACAACAAAAACAACTTAGATTGATCAAATTGTATTATCCAAATAAGATTTAATCTCTAAGTTAACAAAAGTATTGAAAATCTAATGGGAACTATTATAATAATTATATAAATTCCAATCTTTTAAGTTTATACAATTAAGATATAGTTGTACTCTTTGCTGACAAACTTCTTGGATTTCCTGTTAAGAATCCTAGTTCTCCAAACATTGAATCTTATTCTGCTTCATAAAAATTCATATCTTAATCTTCAAATTATAGATACAATTATATATGTCCTATACTAACACAATAAAGACAATCATCATCATTATTCCCATTCAAACTAAATAGATTTTATTTAAACACTATTTCTCCATCACAATACATCTATTCACTAATTAGATAGGCAATTTTCTTTTGAAAACTTATAAATTATTATTAATATCAATACTCTAATGAAAATTAACTAGTCCAGAAAGTTCTTTTGAATATCAAACCATATGATTGCATTATTACTTCATCCTTTAATTAAGGTCCTAATTAATTAATTATTTATATCTATTCATTAAAATCTCTCACTTTTTCACTAAACATAAAGCTAAAGAATCTCCTTACTTTTTGTTAGGTTTCCAAATCAATCTATTATTTATATAACAATTTTATTACATTTTTGTCTTTCATGAATCTATTTATGTCAGTCATTTTTTTATCAAATTCCATATTATGTTAAGTAATTTCTGAAAAAACATTTTAAAATGCACTGACTATCATAGCAAATATAACACAAGCAAAAATCATTGTTATAATAGAAACAAATATTTCTAAAGGGTTTTTACCTGTTACATCACCATAACCAACTGTTAACATTGTTGTTAAAGCCCAATAAAATGAATATTCATATTTTATTGTTGCTGGTAATAAATATATATCATTTTGTAATCCAGATACAATAAGCCATGATCCATAATCTTATCTTTAATTAATCCAATAATCTCCTGCTGCATAAAATAAACAAGCAAATAAATTTACCAAAAAAAAGATTGTCAAAACTAATTTAAGTATTTAATAAAATGCTCTCAGTTTCCTTTGCACTTATAATAATTATTCCACTTAAGTATCTACAAGAGTAACATAATAGTATTTGAAATAAAAGAGATATGGAATCCAAATTAAAAAGGCATAGTGATCTCGAAAAGATACTTATAAAATTAATGCTAATATTGCTATTATATCAAATAAGAATTCTTAAGTAACATACCTAACAAAAATACTATGCTTATCCAATACTATTTATCCCTTATCATAATATCCTGTATTGAGAGTGATGAAGATATCAATTATCAAAAAAGATAACATTATATATAAAAATACAGCAATATTCTCAATACGCAAATTCTCAGAGATAATCTAATTTATTAAATTTCAATTTACTTCATATCCAAAAAACATAAGTACAGGTATTAAATAGAAATATATAATAACTATGAAGCAGATAAATAAACGCCAAGAAAAGATTGCCCAATGATCAGGATTGAAAGAAGGAAATGCATTTAAATATGCTTCAATTCCATTCGTATATCTTAAAAATTTCTTGGTCGCTATTGGAACATCTTCAAGCTATGACACATTTTCATCCTATTGAACATAGTTAAAAATTTGCATTTGCACATTCTTACTCATTCTATTACTTTCTACTTATTTTTTTGAAAGTAGAGGTTGTTCCAATGAAATGAACATTAAAAATAATAATTATAATTTTTATGGAATTTCATTATAATTAATTGATGATGACAAATATTTTTTTATTTTTATCTAAATTATTAATTAATGTTGTAATATAACAAGATAAAATATATCAACAAAAATATTTTCCTAAAAGTTTTTGCAAGGAATCTAATGAAATTGGTTTAGATACTATTTCATGCATACCACTCTCATGGGCTTTTTCGGCATTCTCTTATCCATTATAAGCTGAACACATTACTATAACAGTCTTTTATCCTTCTTTTCGAAGAATTTCCTAGATCTCTAATTAATTTATACATCTATACTTCACTACTAACCACAAATCCATTCTTTCCAGGCATTTCAATATCCATAAATATCAATCTAAAGATCTTACAACAAGTATTATGCAATTTTTATTTTACTTTACGAATTGCACAATCACCATCATAAGCACTATCTGCTTTCCATCCAAATGCTTATAATAGTGCAAGCAATGCTATATGATTAAATGGTACATCATCAACTATTAATATTTAAGGACATTTGCATTATTAATTTAAAAACTTCTTTGATGAAACATAAACTCTTTAAGCTAAATCTTTAGAATTAGAAGCAATCTCTTCAACATCTTTTATAGAAGATTCTAGTTCTTTAATTCCTATTTATATTTGTTCATCTATAGAGAAACTCACAACAGTATAGAATCCTTTTTCACTTTTAATTTACAATTCTCCATCTCCACCTAAAAATTTTACTATCCCCTAAGAAACTCTTAGTCCTAGTCCTAATTTATTTGATCCATTTTATTCAAAAAGTTTATTCTGTATATTTAACATTTAATCACTGCTAATCCCTTCTCCATTATCCCAAACTGAAAATACATATTAATTATCTCTTTTTTTTACAGAAAGTACTATTCTACCACCTTATTTTGTAAATTTAATAGAATTATTCAATAAATTTACTAAAATTTAAGTAACTCTTAATTTATCACTACAAAGTTATAATGAACTATTAAAATTTAAAATCAATTCAATTTATTTTTATTGACATTCTGATTAAAATAATTATTTTAAATCATTTAAAATATCAGTAACACAAAATTTACCTAAATTTAGTTTGAAATCCTAACATTCTATTTATGCATAATCTAAAATGTCATTTATTTATAATAATAATCTTTTACTAGAAGTAATTGCAGGTAAAAGTAAAGTTTCATAGAGTTCTTAATCAATCTTTTTACTTAATAATTCCATTAAAGGCAAAGAACAATTTAATGGTGTTCTCAATTCATGACTAAAAGAATTAAGCAATGCCTATTGAAATTTAAATCTAAAAGTAAGTTCTTTGAGTTCTTCTTTATTTGTAATATTTTCTATCACAAACAAATATACTGGATCAATAGATTTTACTTATAACTTGACTTCATAAACTTTGATTTAAAAGTGTTTCTTTTTAGATTTTACATCTTAAACTACATGAAATTAGAACATATGTGTTGTTTCAGATGTCCTAGATTGACTATCTTATCCATTACTCATTTATCTATGGATATTGGATTAGAATTCGTTCATAACAAATTATACATATGAATATGTAACTTCATCATGAATATTTGATTGAAAAGATTCTTTACTTTTTAAATTTACTTTTAATCGATCTGATAGCCAATTAGTTTAATTCAAGGTTCTCCCAGAACTAACTTAATATTGGTTTGCCGAACTTTATTTGAGCTTTCGTAGAGGAACAATTGTTGGCTTATATTTAGCATGAAGATGTGTTTTAAAAGAGTTGAGCTCAGCACTATATGAATAAAGTTTAGATTTACTTTTATAATAATTAATCTAAGGAATTTACTATTTATTCAGTTGTTTAAACCATTAAATAATTTAATAGCTTTTTATTGTGATTAAGTACATGATAATTTTTATCTATCAAAGCCAATCCATATGGTAGACAATTAAGAAGATCTTCATCTAAAGTAACACTTGCATTCTTTTCTGGATTTGGAGATTTCTCATCTAGAAAATCTTATTAGAATTGATCCCCATAACTCAAATGAGCATGAGGATTGGCTTACTTTTGAGTTGGATTATTTGGACTTGTTGTAGTTTTTTCTAAAGATTATTTTTCTAAATGCAAGAGAGCATGGTTGAGTGGTTACCAGAGAACAAATAATATGAATTCGAACATTGTTTATTGCGAGTAAAATTATATCATCATCCTTATAGATATGTATAAGCATAGCAAATGAGTCAAAATTTAATAACATTTATTGCTATTTTTTAATATGTTTTCAATTGTAAGTATATAGATTAGTAGGAAGTAATTGTTAATGCTATGAACATTGTAAAATATAATTTCCAATTAAATAATTATCTAAAATTGAATCACTATGTTAATGATGTCCTCTCTCTATTTTTAATAAATGAGACAGAAAATGATTAAATTCAATAATATTCCAATAGCATTTTCAGTTAAGACTAGCATCTCTTTAGTCTATTAATTGCCAGCTTATATCAAACTTATTAAATTTTATAACATCAATTAAGTTAACAATAGCTTTGTTTTTAATAGCATTTATTTATAAAATTGGAAAAGAAATTAATTATTTTAATTCAAAGCCTTCTGAGATTGATTTTGATTTCTAAATCTCATATAATCAAATATTGATCATCTTTAAAGAAAATTAAAAAATACTAATTTTATAATTCTTAATTAAAATTAAAATGTTTACTCGAATCTATTGGAACATATAATGCATAATAAACATAACACATTTTTAGATTTGATAAGTTAAATTCCCTTATTGAGAAATTAATAATGATCAACAGAAGTAGAGCTATAATATTGGCTAATCATTTTTAGAATATATACTAGAAATTATAGATTTCTAAAACAGCAACTCAAAGTGACTCTATAATTAAGATATATCTTATATTATAGAAAGAATTAAATTCTATTGTGATTTCTCAATAGAAAATAAAGATGAGTTTTATAAGAACAATTTTTTAATTTTCAATTAGTTGATGATGCTAATTAAAAATGAATATCATTATGGAGATGAATAAGTTATTTAAAATAATTAATTAAATCTGCAATAAGGGAATGCCTATTAGAATTGAAAGTAAAGATATGACCAAAAATAGTTAATAAAGTATAAGCATTATTCACTAATCGATGATTTAAGAAAAAATTTAAACAGAATTTATCTCTACTCAGTAATTTAAAAATTTTTATCCAAATTTAAATAATATTTTGTCATCAATTATTGTTAATTCACTATNAAGAGAGCATGGTTGAGTGGTTACCAGAGAACAAATAATATGAATTCGAACATTGTTTATTGCGAGTAAAATTATATCATCATCCTTATAGATATGTATAAGCATAGCAAATGAGTCAAAATTTAATAACATTTATTGCTATTTTTTAATATGTTTTCAATTGTAAGTATATAGATTAGTAGGAAGTAATTGTTAATGCTATGAACATTGTAAAATATAATTTCCAATTAAATAATTATCTAAAATTGAATCACTATGTTAATGATGTCCTCTCTCTATTTTTAATAAATGAGACAGAAAATGATTAAATTCAATAATATTCCAATAGCATTTTCAGTTAAGACTAGCATCTCTTTAGTCTATTAATTGCCAGCTTATATCAAACTTATTAAATTTTATAACATCAATTAAGTTAACAATAGCTTTGTTTTTAATAGCATTTATTTATAAAATTGGAAAAGAAATTAATTATTTTAATTCAAAGCCTTCTGAGATTGATTTTGATTTCTAAATCTCATATAATCAAATATTGATCATCTTTAAAGAAAATTAAAAAATACTAATTTTATAATTCTTAATTAAAATTAAAATGTTTACTCGAATCTATTGGAACATATAATGCATAATAAACATAACACATTTTTAGATTTGATAAGTTAAATTCCCTTATTGAGAAATTAATAATGATCAACAGAAGTAGAGCTATAATATTGGCTAATCATTTTTAGAATATATACTAGAAATTATAGATTTCTAAAACAGCAACTCAAAGTGACTCTATAATTAAGATATATCTTATATTATAGAAAGAATTAAATTCTATTGTGATTTCTCAATAGAAAATAAAGATGAGTTTTATAAGAACAATTTTTTAATTTTCAATTAGTTGATGATGCTAATTAAAAATGAATATCATTATGGAGATGAATAAGTTATTTAAAATAATTAATTAAATCTGCAATAAGGGAATGCCTATTAGAATTGAAAGTAAAGATATGACCAAAAATAGTTAATAAAGTATAAGCATTATTCACTAATCGATGATTTAAGAAAAAATTTAAACAGAATTTATCTCTACTCAGTAATTTAAAAATTTTTATCCAAATTTAAATAATATTTTGTCATCAATTATTGTTAATTCACTATAGATTGATAAGTTGAATTTCTTAATATTTAAATAATCATTTAGATTCTAAATACTATGTTAGGAATGTATATGATAAAAAAAAAGCTATCTTTCTTAATTGATTAATAAACTTAATCAATTATGTTTTTAAAACAAATAAACAATTTTAATTCATCAATGATATATTTATTTATTTTAGAATAATAATTTGATAATAATATCATGAATATTATGCTGAGGGTAGTTGTTCTAATTATCTGCTTTATTAGAATTTGACTTTTTATTATTATGATTTTTTTTTTGAATTTTATAAAGATGTTTCAGAAATTTTCTATTTATATTCATCTCTTGTTATCATATTTTTTGTATGTTCTTCCTTCCATTCTCTTTATATATTGTGCATTTATGTTCTATTTTCAGCTTCTTCTCTATGTAGCTCTTCATTCATTTGATAAGCTGTTTTCAATTCCTTATCATAAGCCTAATTGAAATCAACTTTAGTTTTGACTAATCTCTTTGCTTATTCAGCAAGAATTTTTCTTTCTTTCAAATTAACTGATTCTATTCCTTCTTAAACAATCAATTTTTCATTTTATCTATTTTTAATTTCTCTTTCCAATCCTGTAATAATTTAATATAATAATTACCATCCTATTAAGATTTCCAAGCTTTCATTTCTACCATAGCTTTATTAGCATTCATATATTATTATCTGAGTTTAGTTTCTCTTACTTCTGCTGCAATTCTTTATTCTTCTGCACTCTTTATTTATTTCTTTTAGCTGATCTTACTTTAGACTTCAATTAATTGTTCTTCTCTTATTTTCTTCCTCAATTCTTCTTCCTTTTACTTTTTCAATTTCTTAGCTTCTCTTTCCATATTTTTTTACTACGACTCTGCTCTTCTATGTGCCTTAATCTCTTAGACTTTTTTCTACATTGATGATAAATATTCATCTTTAGATTAAACTATTTCTTTTCTCTTTTCTTCTTCTTCTGCCTTTCTTTCAGCCTTGACTACTTCTAATCTATCTCTTAATTCAGCTAATGACATTTCCTCCAATAATCCATATCCCATAGTTTCAGTAGGATCATATCCTTTAGTTCTCTTGATTGGTTATCTTTCTAATTCTCTTATTTATTTAATGAGTTCTTCCCTTTTAATTCTAATTTATTCATCTTCTTATCTTTTTAATTCAAGTTTTCTGGCCATTTCTAATTTTTGATCTTCTGCCATTTATTTATTTTTCTCTTATACTTTTTCAACTTATATATGAACTTTCTTTTCTGCTTCTATAATTTGCTCAATCAATTACTTTTTATGTTCAACTTATTCTTATTATAATTCTTATCTTTCTTTCAATCGTTCAATTGCTTCTTCTTTCATTTTTTCAGCCAATATTCTATTTTCTTTAAATTTCTCTTCTTAAGCTCTCATAGCTGCTTCTCTTGCTAATTCCATTTCAATTTTCTTTTATTATTAATGTTCCATTCTTGCAATCTATTCAATTTCATCTTATTGTTTTTTCCATTCTTCAAATTCTCCAGAATCTCTAAGATTAACCTCTAAATTCTTGACTCTTTCTTTTTCAATTTCTTATTTCTTCTTAAGTAACATTTCTTCTCTTAAAATTGCAGCAGCATTTAATTTAATTTCAGCTGCTTCTAATTCTGTTGGGACAGGCTTAGCATATTTCATATTAAATTATAATTGCTTATTAAGAGTATCTTCAACCTCTTTTTTAACTGTCTCATAATTTGTTGGTCTTTATTCTGTTTTAAATTCAAATTATTTAGCTTCTTTATAAGTATCTTAAACTTTCTTCTTCGATTATTCTAATCTTTATTTATTCTCTTCCTCAACCTGTGATAGAGTTCTTTTATTTAAATAACTTGGAACAGGTTTACTTTTGTATTATTCAGGTTTTGGAGGAGGAGGAGGTTCAGGTTTCTTTTTGGTTTCACTTAATTTAAATGGAATTGTTTTAGTTGGTTATTTTTTTGTAGCTGATTATGGTCTTTCATCTTCTTCAACAAGTTCACTTTACTTACCTGTTGCTCTAGAGCTTAAAGAAGTTAATAAATCTTTCATCATGGGAAAGTGTTATTCAAGACCTCCAATAACAGTTTCTTAAATGTATTATGGATCATATATTTCAATCCAAAGAGGTTTAATGTGTGTTTGTATTTTCTCAATATCAAAAAGGAATTACAATAGCACATTCATTTTTACTGGATCTTATTCACTTACCATTTTTTTGAATTCGTTATAAGGTAATTCATCCAATCTAAAGATGATTAGGTATGAAAATATTTGATATAGAGTTCCATCATTACGATTGGTAGTGCTTGACAATATTGTAAACATAGTTTTTGTGAGGATTTTAAGGAATTCCTCATATCTTTACACTCCAGAAAATACCTGAATGTAGAATCAAATGTTTACTTATTTAAGAAACATGATTTCAGTATCGAATAACTTCTTACAGTTTTCTTATATGTATTATTCACAATGAGAGTCAGGTGTTAATATTATTGGATTATACGATTTGATTAGATCAATCGCATGAGTTATTAGTTACTAATATCTCATTAATATTTAATATTATTTCAAAATTTTCATATTCAATTCATACATAAATAACCTACATAAGAATCAATGGAGACTTTGATAAGGACTTTATCAGAAATAAATTTGATATTAATATATTAGGTTATTTATTCATAGAATATTTATAAAATTTGAAGTATTTCTAAAACACCACTTCAATATTAAAATTAATGAGTGAAGAAGTTTGCTTTACAGAAATCAAAAAATAGAATAGTAGTAAGCATTTTCCATTGATAGACCTTACTGAAATCAAACCTCAAGTCAGTTTCTTAGAGAGCTTATGTAAAATTCATTATTCTAATTTGATAGTATAGAAAAAGTATCAACTCAACAAAAAAATATAATAATACACACTAGGTAAAGTATATTTGGAGTCTCATAATGAGAAAGCAATATTTAGAGTTTTTTAGGATTCTGATCTGAACATCTCTTCAATATTCTAAAAGAAACTAAATAAAACATCAGTTGATGATGATGTAATGACTACAAGTTCTTAAATTGCCAATGCTAATAGATAAAATAGGAAGGACGTAATTTTTAGAATTTTTGAAGTAGAGAAACCTCAACGTCCTAAATAGATTCCCTTAGAAGAAATGGAACGTTCTCTCTTTGGTTCTACTTAAGATAACAATCCATTCTTCACACAATAACTCCAAGTAGCCAATGCAAGTAAATTGTTTTTATCATAATGAATAATTCAATAAATTATATAAAATACTTAATTCTTGAATGAGTAAATTCTATATTTAGGAAGGCTCCATTCTAACTTAGAACAGGTATAACTAAGAATGCTATCTAAAGAAAGAAAAAGGTTTTCAAAAATGTGATCAATCAATAAAATTAATCAAAATTGTTATAATCTCATATTCTCATATAAACTTCAAAATCATAAGGTTATATGTAATAGTAGAATTCATTCTAATATTAATAAGGAAGATCTAAATATAATAGAAATATTATAAATAGTTCTTTGCTTTAGGATATTGGAAATATTGATTTAGAAATTTAAAAAATGTCTGAAGAATATAATACTACAATCAATTAAACATAAATTATGAATAGATCATTTAACTTAAAAGTTATTGTTTGCCAATAAAATTAGACAGATTTATCGAAGTAAGATTTTAAAATCTCATAAATAAATAAAATTAAAAATTCTAATATTAATCATTAAAAACTCAAAATTTCCAATAAATTTAATGAGAGTTCATATTCAAAATTAGCAGAATCTATGAAAAACTATTCAAACTTAAAAAATATGGTTGAAGTAAAAATTATTGACATACCTCAAAATAATATTTTAAAAACTAAAAAATTATTAAGTGTGAATAACTCATAGAATATTGAGAAGTAAAATTTTTCTTTCTAATTTATAGAACTATAAATCCTTTAGGTAAGAAATTACCTTAAAAGTTAAATTCTGAAAGAAACAAGGTATCTTTGATGAAACCAATTTTAAAGTAGACTTCATATCATACATAAGATTTTAGTTTTAATCAAATCAATATGATTCCAAATGTAATAAAACTTGTATAATTTAGGTTTCAATGAAATTAGATAATATACATAATGAAATCAAAAGTATTATTAAGGATGATAATAAATTAGAGAAAGCAGTTAAAATTTATAATACTTTAAAGTAATTAATTCAATAACATTCTATATTCTAATAAAGAGTTAATAGTTAAAAAGAATATAAAAATAGAATAACTCAATGAATTTTATAAATTTTTATAATATTATATTATATATTTTTATTCTTTTATAAAATAATTACATATATTTATATTGATTTTTATATAATAATTTATTTATAATTTATCGTCTTTATTTATGAGCTTTGAACGTTATCATTCTTCAAAGTAAAATTTTTAATCTGATAACAACTACTGCTATCATAATGGAAACAATCATGTACGGTTGAAATATGCACCAATAAAAATTATTCATAATAAAGTAGGAGATAGTGATGAAAAAAGAAAATATCCTCCATTAAATTTGCGATTTTAACCAGCTGATGAAATTACAGTAAAATTATTATTTTAAAGTAGACTCGTTAAGATCCAACTGTTACTATTCCTCTAAGTTTTTTATAATAATTAATTCAATAAGCTTATTCAAATAAATAATTACGAACTATTAATAACCCATCAATTCAAATTGAGGAAAATAGGAATGATGCAGTTGAAGAGTTAATAAAATAAATAGAAATCTAATAAAAAGGAATTTATCCAATTGATGGTATTATAATATTATTATATTTTATAACAGAGGAAACAAAAGTTTAGAACACACTCTTATAAAATCATATGAATTTTATGCTTGAAAATGATTAAGCAAAGGAAATTGTTGATAATTTCTTTTAAGATAACTTAAACCTTAAACCACATTTTTAAACTTGGCTAAAATAATTAGAAATCAAAGCTATCTAAGACATGTATATTCTTTGTCATTTTGATCCAAAAGGATAACAATGTTAAGATATTTTCAAATTGTTATTTCAAAAACTCTCAATAGAATTTTATTCAAAACATGCTTATGCTTAAATATTGCGGAGTGATCTATCAGATAAATTAAAATGTTTATCCTAAATTGGAGAAATTTTTAATAAAATTGCTAAGCCATAAGAGTTTTATTATTTTAAATCAAGATGATATGAAACTGTAATCATGAGCTTAAATTGTTTTTCTGTATATTAGTTAATAAAATAATATCAAAATACATATCCAATTCCTTAAAAAGACAAAAGAATTTATTCTTAACTTTAAATTTCTCTTAATTCTATTTTAAATTTAAGTAAAAATTATCCAATCAATTAGATAAAATTCTAATTATCATTTCAGATATTCCATTTACTAAGGCCATTATTAAATTGAACTAATATTAGTTATACTCTTCCAAAGAAGTTTAATTTTAAATTATTACTATTGTTTATTATAGAATCTCTTATATTTACAGATCAATATTATTAAAAAAACAAAAAGTATTTTTTTATAATTTGTATATATGTACTCGCTTGACTGTTTTGTCTTAATAATTAATTCAGTTTTTTAGTCAATAATTCTTATAATAAAAATATCTCTAAATTTCTAATTTTTTTATATTATTCTGATGCCATTCCAGTTTAATATAGATTAAAAGAATTTTATAGGATAATAAAGTATAAATTTAATTCCTCTAAAAAAAATTAATTAAGAAATCTAATCTACATAAACTGTTATAATATCATAAAATTTTTTAGATGATGACTATTTAAATAATATTTGAGTTAAGATTTAATAGATAAATTCATACTGTTTATACCTAATAATAAAAATTTTCTTATCCCATTTCCTAAATAAATTTTAAAAGTTATTCGTTAAAACAAATACTGTCAGAACATAATCTATATTTTTATAAGTTGAATATCTTTACTCTTTCTACTTTGTTATATAGCTACGATTATTATGAATTTGGCTATTTTGATAATAGAGATGGCAATATAATTAAACAGTGAACAATTATAGCTTAAAAAATAAGATCTTATGGAATATAATTAAAAGGGTATTTTTGAATTTAAGACTCAATAAAATCATAAGTGTAAAAGTTAATTATTATTATTTATATCTATTATATCAATAAGATCTAATACAAAAAAATAAGAAATAATTTGTAAAATAATAATAAATTATATTACTTTATTTTTTTATTTTTGAATTCTTTTTTGAAAACAATAGATGAAGGTAATCCCTATGTAGGTATTTATTTTCCAATCAATTATTGTGATCCATATAGAATTGTAATATTGCTTTATTTGAATTGTAATATTTCTTGAATAAATTAAATTTATGTTTAAAAAAAGGATAAGATTTTTCTATATTTAATGTGTAATAATAACTCACTATGTAAATGTAATCTTTTTGAAATCATATTATAAATATATATATCAATGGAGTCTTAATTTGATGGTAGTTAAACCAAAAAAAAATATGCAATAATAACACCAGCTGTTAGGATGGCATTCATAAAACGAGTTCAATCAAGACAGTCGACAATCAAGTAAGCAGCACAAGAATTTGGAATTAAGTTTAGTACATCTAAGGCTATATTGTAAACTTATAAAAGAGAAGGAAGAGTTGGTAAGAAAAAGACTCGATCTAGAAAAAGCACTTTAAAAAATGAATCAAAATAAGAAAAACAAGATGAGAAATAATAACCAATTAATTCAAATGATTAATAATCTCTCTAAAAACCTTAACCAATCGATATAACCCAGATGAATTTCCAATAATAACAAGCCTTATAATTTCAAATACTTTAATTAAGTCTTTCAATGAACCCTTATTTATTTCTACAGTAGTAATTTTTTTATCTATTATATTAGAAACTAATACTTATAACAAAGTCTTCAATAAATTCCTAACCAATAACTGTTTTATTATCAATGGTAAATGAATAACCTGAGAACATAAGCTTAACCATAATAATTTGGAAAGATTCTTGATTAAAGATAAATGATAACTCCAGTTCATTCTAGTAAATTGTTGGATACCAAAATGGATGAAATAGGAGCAACTTTGAAGGATTTTAATTGAATTATGAAAATGATGCATTATTAATAAATACTCATAATTTAAATTCTTATTTTCACTTTAATTTAATTCATTATTAATTTTACAATGGGAGGAAATTCATCTAATATTATGAAACCAGAAGAAATAAAGAGCGAAAAAACAGTTGTTGTATATGGTTCAGATAATTGTCCATATTGCTTTAAAGTGAAAAAGATTTTTGAAGAATTAAATGTTCAGATTGATTATAGGAATGTTGATGAGAATAAAAATTATGATGAAGAAAAATAAAAATTAATGACCTTTTTAAAATATGATACTATACCTTTAGTATTTATAAAGAATTAATTTATTGGTGGCTGCTCAAATGTGAAAGAATTAGAGGCAAAAGGAGAACTCCTTAATAAAGTATAATGATTGAAATTTAAATACACAATATTCATCATAATTTCATTTATGTATATTTTAATCTTTATATGCATTTTTTCCTATCACTCTAGAATTAAAATAAACTTTTATTTCTTTTTATAATTATATATATTATAGATAAATAAATATAAAGAATATAGATTTTATGGAAGGATTCAATATTACTTGTAAATCATCCTTAAAAATCTATATATGTGAATACTCAATATATTTAAATTGTCAATTTAAAAAGTAGAGTTATTTTTTATACTTTTTAATAATCATTATTAAATTAGTGTCGTTATTTAATTAAATATGAAACACACTTTAAAGCATGAAAATAATTAGAGTAATCCATTTATGAATCATTATGATTTATAATCAATTGAAAATAATAAAGAAAATAGATAAGCAAATAAAATATTATCAAATATAGAAAGTAAGATTTCTTTAATAAGCAAATTGAAAACTAATGCATTTGATAATTATAAAAAAATGAGTTAAGACACTAAACAAGAAAAAGAAAATAATAAGATTTCTATTAACACTAAAATATAATTTAATTCTTAAACAATATTAAAATAACCATTTTGCAAAATTACTAATATTTTAGCACATTATACAGAAGATAAATAAGAATAATAATAACCTAAAAAAACTATAAAAAACAATCTAGATTTGAATTAGTTATGCAATCAAGAAATTTAGATTGGAAATTTTAAATTAGAATCAATTTTGGGATAAGGTTCTTATGCAACTGTAAGATTATGTATTGAGAAAAATAGTAAAATTAAATATGCTATAAAAATATATGATAAAAGTAAAATAAATGATAATCAAAAAATGAATAATATTAAAAGAGAAATCTCAATTTTAAAAAGAATTAATCATAATAATATCATTAAATTAATCTATGCTATTGAGGATAGAAAATCAGTATGAATTTATATATCATAGATAAACTTAGTGATGGAATATATTTCCAATTAATCATTAGCCATTTATGTTAAATCTAAATCCAAAAGACTACTACCAATTGAGGAAGCATTATACATTTTCCAATAATTGGCTAATGCAATTAAATATTTACATAGTAAAAATATTGCACATAGAGACATTAAAATGGAAAATATACTTCTTCTTTCAGATAACTATGTAAAATTAATAGATTTTGGATTTTCTATATGCATTTAAGATAATTAAAAAGTAAATGTATTTTGTGGAACTCCAAGTTATATGTCTCCTGAATTAGTTTCAAAAGTAAGAATACTCATAATTTTAGGTACCTCACAATCCATTATGCTCAGATATATGGTCATTAGGAATATTATTATATAGAATGATTTTGGGAGAATATCCTTTTAAAGGATAAAATGATAAAGAATTGTATAGAGCTATATAATAGAATAAAGTTAAGTTGCCAAATGATATGAATTAAAATATTGTTAATTTAATTAATGGATGTTTAGAGAAAACAATTAATTAAAGATTAACGATAGAATAAATTTTAAACAATCCTTTATTTTAATAAACTGTGAATATATATGCATTATCTTGATATAAGTAATCAATTATCAACTTTCTGTTTGAAATTAAATTTAAGAAACTGCAAAGTTTTCACTTTTATGGAGAATCTATTTCATATAAAGATTGATATTTACTTCTTAATATTTTTATTTAATATTTCTTCTCATATCAGGTAGAGTAGATTTAAAAAAGTAAATATTTTTTTATTTTTATTGTCTTTCTCTAAGAGTATGAAGTTTATCATTGAACTTTTCATCTTACTCTTTATTTTTAGATACTTTTATAGGTTAAGGGGGAAAGTTAATTTCTGGTTTATATGAGAAATGGGAATCAATTTCTTATATTTTTTCCAATTCTTTTTTTAAATTAGCATCATAAAATTGTTATTTCTTTTTCAAAAAGTTCTCTTATTCACTTAAGAAATGTTCAAATTATTCAGTAGTACTATTGTATTCTTTGATATTTATAAAATTATACTTTTTGCTAATTCTAATTCTTATTCAAATGCTTTCTATTTTTAATCAATCATTTATTATAATTTTGCATTTTTTAATTGTATTTCATATTAATATCTTAGATGAATAGGCATTGTAGTATAATCAGATTTACTTCTGGATTCTCTATTTAAGTTTTCTGTTAAATCAGATTGTATTTAATTAGTGCATTTATATTAAGTTGTTTTATCATTTATATCATCAGGTTTATCTTCTATTTCCTCATCTTATTCAATCATAATTGTTGTTCCTTTTTTTAATTTTTCTAATTTTTAAAGAGGTGGGTAATCACATGATCTTTAAGTAAATTAATGTTTGAATTTAATAAAGCTATTCAATTCATAATGATGTTTCAAACCTGACTCATAAATTTTAAGAGTTTCTTTAGATAATATAGGTTTTTCCAAAAGCTTCTTTTCTTCTTCATTTTAGTATTTTTCTTGTTTCTCTTTAATTTCACATTATTTCTTTTTCCCCCATTTAAGAAGTCTTTCTACTACTTCTTACTACTCAGATTATGATTAATGTTATTTATGTTCTATAGTAAAGTGAGATACAGTACTAATTAAATCCTTTTACTTAATTTGATATTTCTATATAGGGGAAGTACTTGATGTAAAACTTTTGAATTTCTAAAATACTATAGATTATTTCTTATTTACATTATGATGATGAAGAATTCTTAGCATAAGGTGAAGCAGATGTCTAAGTTGTACATTTCTTGTGTTTATTATTGTCTTAAATTAAATAATTAGAATTTACTTTGACTTGATTTTATTTCCTCTGATTCTTCTTTTATAATATCATTTTTAATAGTATTAGATGTCTTTTATTTGAAATAGGACTATTAAGAAAACTTTCTTAAATTCATGAATATAATAATAAAAATTTATTATTAATAATTTTAACTACTCCTATTATTTATTATGGAAAATGATTATAATACATATGGATTAGAATAATAAGACTAATAATTTTTTTTTTATTTTATTAAATATTAATTTTAATTCAAATCATTTCTATTTATTTTTTAAACTTTCTGCATCTTCTCTAAATATACATTCCATAACATCAGCTAATCCTTCAAAATTAAATTCAAATTTTCCAAATGCATTTGGAAATAATGCAAATGCTGATCCTTTAGCAATCAAATATTGTTTTCCAAATTAATAAAATTAATATAGAATGTAAGCATCTTCTTCTGGATTTTTGAATTCTTCCATTTCATCTTCTTAAATAATCTCCTATAATAAATCTCTTGCATTAGGTTAATCTTCAACTAACTCTTCTAGACCTAAAGATTTAAGAAAAGCATCCACATCTTCCATATTTTTAAATTATAAATGAAATTTTGAATGTTTAAAAAGAAGAGGGAATGTAAATCCTTATTTAAATTTTGATAGAACCTTTTTTTATGACATTTTCTTTGATTATGCTTATTATAGTAAAAATAGTCCTAAATTGAATACTTTTTTTGCAAGTGATGAATTAAATTTAGCTCTGAATTCAATCAAAAAACCTTCTAACAAATATTTAATAAAAATTTAATTCTTTTTCATCATTTTTTTCAATCCATTTTTTACACCTACATTGAATTCTAATTAAACATCAAGATCCTCTCCTAATTAACTTAAAAAAGGATTGTATTATGTTTCAATAAAATCCTAAACTAAAGGATGTTTAACTGTAAATTAGAGAATTAACTATAATAATAAATAATAAAATTACACTATCTGTATTTGCAGAAACTTATAATTCACACTTTGAAAGAAATTCAAATATTTCAGCTGAATCTGAAGATCCTTCCTTTTATAATTTCTACAAAAAATCACTGTATAATTATTAAAATTTTTATTTTGCTATTTCAGGTTACAAAGAACGAATTATTAAAGTTAAATCAAAATATTATCCTTAAGTTAATTAGATTCCTTTTAATTATTTATTTTCATTATTTAAAGCTTCAGCAATACCTTTACCATTATATAATATAGTGCTATCTATTCTTAAATGACAAGGTTAATCACCATAATTTATTGCCCAATAATGATTATCAAAATTATTATCTTATTTTTCAAAGAAAGAAATTCCAAATCTAGTGAATTCTGAATTAACTTTCTTTAATAAATTCATCAGTTTCAGTTTCATAAAAACTAATTTTTCTAAATGTCCATTTTTTCCAAATTGCCACCAATTCCAAAATTCATCAAATGATATCTAATTATCCTTATTTATGTCAACAACTGCCATTAACTATAAAATTAAACATAAACATACTTTATCAATCTCATCTTAACTAAGTTCTTAATTTAGTTATTAAGCTATAGCATGAAGTTCTTACTTATCCACATATCCACTTCCATCTTTATCAAAGCTCTTAAATACTTTATGTAATTCAGTTTTGCTTTATCCTATCATAATAAAATATATATATATATATATTTATAAAATAAATGATGTAAAATATTATAAATATATCCTTATTCCATTTTATTTTTATCAATAAAATACAAACTTAAAATAGTAATATAATAAATTACTAAGTGACTTTTTTTAAAAGAAGAATTCTAGAAAAAAGATGATAATAAAATCAATAAATAATATAATTGTATTATTATTTCAATTAATTAATAATTAATAATAATGATTAATACCATTTTTTGTATCTATATTATATTGTCTTCATACTTTTATATTTTTAATATAGTTATATCATATTTGTTCAAATATTACTATTATATTGATTTATTTGATGAGAATAAGTAAATCAAAGTTTTTGTAATATTTAATTTAAATATTTTATGTTATAATCATAATAAAGTCATACAGCACCCATTCAATCTGCTAGTTACACCGTTACTCTCTTAAAAAAGTAACTAAAATGTAATTAATTGATCTTAAATATAGAATTGGAAGAAAGTAAAACAATAGAAGGAGTTTCAGTTGGGTTAGAAGGAAATAGTTTATATTCTTGGAATATTAGTTTTGCAGGTCCTTCAGATACTTTATATGAAGGAGGGTATTTTTAAGCTCTAATGAAATTTCCAGAAGATTATCCCAATTCACCTCCAACATTTAGATTTTAAACAGAAATGTGGCATCCAAATAGTATTTTGAATATCATTAACTATAGTTTATACTGATGGAAGAGTTTGCATTTCAATTTTACATGCATAAGATGAATTTAATGATTAAGAACCTCCAGAAACAAGGTATTATTAGAGACAATAATTTTAGATGGAGACCCATTCTTACACCAGAAGATGTATTAATATCTATAGTTTCAATATTATCCGAACCTAATATTAATTCACCAGCAAATGTTGATGCAGGAATTCAATTTAGAGATAGACCTGATGAATATAAGAAAAAAGTTAGAAAATTAATTGATAAAGCATTAGAAAATTTGTGACTGCTTATATATTTATTAAAAAAAATGAATAAGAAATAGCAATTAATATCATTTCCATTTCTTTATTAAATTTTTTCTTAGTTTTTACAAAAATTCTTAATTTTGTTTTTCAGATTCAAAGTTTGAATGATTTAGATCAATTGAATTGAGAAATAAATCTACATTCTGATAAAAATAGAATTCCTTTTATTCTGGACATTATATAAAATGAAATTAAAGACTTCCAAAAAAATTACATTTCTTACAAACTAATTCTCCTAATGAACTAATAATTAATGGACTTTAACAAAAATGAATTTATTGTTAACTAGTTTTGTGATAGCATTTACTATTTAAAGGACAATATGCAATAAAATTCATAAAACTGACTTCATCTGTTAAATCATTAAAATCTATTTATTTATATTAAATCCATTATTGTTAACAATTTACTTATAAATTTTCCCAAAATTCAACAATTTGTTCATTAACTGTTAAAGTTGTAAGATGTGACCAAAATGAAATAAAAAAATCTTAATAATTTTTAAATTTATTTTTCTACCTATTTTAAGGACAATAGAATCCATAATCTTAAATTTATTATGAAAATTAACATTATTAACACATAATATAACCTCTTGAATTGATATAAAGTTAACAATTACATTGATGAATCTACATAATAGTTTATGCAGAACATAAACATTATGGAGGACAAGCACATTTCAAAGGTAATGCTGTTTTTTTATCAGAATGTGCAATAGTTTTATAAGTAGTATTATGAGGAATATAATGAGACTTCTTTTCAATATATTTTGTACTATTCGGACTTTATGTATAAATCTGTGAAAATTATTTTGATAAAACTGAATTAACTATTACTTTTTCAGTATTTATAGTTTATTAAGATTAATAAAGAAATGATGACTCTTTTGCCATTATATCTCTTCTACCTGCCATCTCTAAAGATTAATCATTTGATAAATTTAATATATCATTGAGATCTTTTTTATGATCAGAGTAAATTCTTGTTCTTGATAAAAGTACGGTTGGCACTTTTTTTAATTAAACAAAGCCTTATTTATTTTATTTTTTATTTTCTACTTAGAATTTATTTTATAATTGAATTTCTGATAATTAAGATAATTTTTAGAGATCTTCATTTGATTATTATTAAAATATTGAATACTTTCTATTTATTTCAATAGAAGAGAAAAGTTGCTTTATCAAATTATCATTCATTTTGATATATTCTTAAATTTCTAATTCTTTTTAATCTTAATTTTCTTTAATTATTGATTATATTAATATAATATTATTTTTTCTAATTTTATCTGAATCTTATATTTCTTTTTAGATTAATTCCATTTCCAATAATAGTTCATCTATTTGAGTTTAAGTAGTTTTAAGAATATTAATAAAATTTGATAATGATTATTATAGTAACAATAATTGAGAATCATGATTATTAGAATTAAGTATTACCTATAAATTTTCTTCAATATTTTATAATTATTAAATGATTTATTTAATAGAACTATGAAAATTTGGAATTTTATGTTTATTCTATCCTGTTAAATATTCTAAAACACTTGAATTATCTAATTTTTATCCAGAAAATATTAAACTATCATTTAATATAGAATGTATAACTGTATAGTAACTACTATTTTTAGTTTATTAATCTATAAATTTAATAAAATGAATCTCTTCTTAATATAATTATTCATAATTTGAAATATATTCTTATTATTTTTGTAATAGTTTTGATAGGTTTGAATTTTCACTAAGATCATATTCTTTTTTAATTTTAGTCACTCTTTTTTCATTTTCCAATTTAATTTTTCTCATTTCTTTTTGTTTATTTCTCAATTCTCTTTCAAAAATAATGGAATTTATTGATAATGATTTCTAAATATTTTCTTCTAGTTGTTTTGATAACTCATATATTCTTTTTTATCTATCTTAGATTTTCTATACAAATGGTTTCAATTCTTAATTTATAACATTAGATTGAAAATCAGAATCAATTAAGTTCTTTGAATACATTTTTAATTTTTTAATTTTATGTGATAAACATTATTTATAAAATAAATCATTTCCATTTTTTATTCAAATTAATAATCAATGATTATAAAAATTAATTGCAATCATTTTTTTCTTATCTCATCAATTATTTTATATATGGATCTATTGATAAAATGAATTCTTCAACACTTTAAAATGCATAAAATTAATTATTTTCAGGACATTAAATTAAATGATATTAAATAAACATAGAATACTGACATTTTTTACAAATTACATCTCCATAATTTGATAATTATAATGGAATATTACAAGTAGAATGTATTTAAGGAAGAAGATTTTTATGATTGCAATAACTTTGATTTGGGCAATTAGATAAGAAATTAATAATAATTTCATCTTATTTTATAGAAGGTAATCTAGGTGATCCATTTTACCATTATGATTTACAATTAATAATTAAACCAATCCAAAAATCTACAATTTATTAATTCAATGTTAAACTTATTATATATTTCCAAAAACTATTAATAAAATCTTAAAATTATTTGAATTTATTTTTAGTCTTATTAAATTAACAATAAAATTAATGTTCATTTATTTAAAAAGAAATTTAACATACCTAACATAAAATGATTCCTTTTTAGTTGATATATAATTAATTATTACATGAATGTATCTATTCTTAAATATATTATTAACATTAACATTCAGGTGGACAAGTACATTTTAAAGGCAAAGCAGTTTATTTTTCTGGTAAAATTTAATTTCTAAAATTTGGGGATTGAGAAGTTTATTTAAAAGTAGATTAGAATGATGTAACATTATTCTCATCAGTTTTAATTGATCCTAATTTTTCAACTTATGGTTTTCTTCTAAAGTATATAGATTTTTATAAATTATAATTAGAAGGTTCTGTCTAAATTTTATCATTTGTATTTTTTTTATAAGGATTTAAAATATTAAGTTTTTTATTTGAAGTAGTTGATGGTGTTTTTGTATCTGGAGTTAAAGAATATGCTTCTAATTATGATCGAAATTATTCAATACTATTATTTAATGATTAAATTAATGAATTAGATAATGAAATTAATCTGAATACATTTTCTTCAAAATCTTTTCTTTAACTATTTCCTTATAATATAATTTAGGTATAAGATTTATAACTTTTATCCATGTCGCTTTTTTGTTATTCTAATTAAAGTATTTCTGCACATATCTATTCTTCATTTTTAGAAAAGGCATTTTATATGTTTTATCTATTATTTTTAAGATTTCTTTGATTTGTTAGAAAGTCTGATTAGAGATCAAATACTTCTTATACACTATCATGATTAAATTATAATAGTTATCTAATTTATTGTTTAAGAGAGGTGAGTTTTTATGATAAAATAATTTAGACTTAGTTATTATCAGATTAATTATTTAAAACTTATTAATCAGCATTTTCAATTTTAGAAATAAGTGTGTTTACATATGAATTTAAATGAGATAATTTTTAATGCTATTTAGTGTGAACATTTGGAGATTTCAAAGATAAAAATGTTTATTAATTAATACATTCATTTTCTTTAGCCAATTCAAAATCAGATAATGATTAATGAACACTTTATAATATTAAAGTATATTCATTATCAATTAAATTTCCTACAATAAACTCTTCTAATTTACTTTTTTCTTATGCTATTTTTTCATAATACTTTTGAAAACGTATGAATACATTTACTATTTTGTTTTTAAGTTCCATTTCTAAATTACTATATTCTTCATCTTATATAGTCTTTTACTCTTCAGACTTTTATTTTAGCTCTTATAACTCAATTCTCTTTTTAATTATATCATCCTCATATTTTTAATAACATATTCTTATGATTTTTTGTATAAGTTCATTTTACTAAAATCTTATGTCATTATATGATTTTTGCTTATCTTGTATATTCGACACAAGTTTCTTTAGGTCTTCTTAATAAAGTTCTTTTTAAAAATCTAAATCTAATATCTATCTAGTATTTGCTGATTATTGCATTAAAAGTAATTTAAAAATAAATTGTTATGAATTTTTTCAATAAGAAATCACTGGAGTGATAATACTAGAGTATAATAAAAAATTATAATATAATTTAATTTTTATTTTTGATCAAACAAGTATGATAACTAAAATCTTATTATATTTAATTAAACAACAATTGAATTTTACAAATGAATATATATATTGATATATTCCCTTTGTTTTATAAAATAATATCAATTAGAATATATTTTAATAATATAGTATTATAAGGGAAGTATTAAATAAATGAAATACTTTTGATTGTTAGAAATGTTATTTGAAATTATTGCAAAATGGTATAGGTAATATGAAAATTATAATTACATATGGAGAAAATATTTAAATCTATTTAGATATAATTAAAAATTGTATAAATACTCTATTCCATCAAAATATAATCATCAAAATCTAAAAGTAAATCAATTTCATCTTATAATTGTATCATCAAACCTATTGAATTCAAATAATATAAAATCAAATTGTTAAAGGTTTTGTAGATGAAAATTTTTTATATTTATGAAATGAAATTAATAATAATTAGAGTGTAAGATTAATAATATATTTTATAAGTATAATAATTAGTAAATAAACAAAGATGCAACTCATTTTTGTATAGTTAAATTTTTGAGTGAACTTATAAACTACAAAACCAACCACTTCAATAATTAATGCCAATTATATTAGTAGATTAAGAATAAATGGAATTTTAATGAATATCAAACATTTACAAAATTATATATATGAAAGTGATATTTTATGAATTTGCTAAAGAATATTGAAATATCAATAACAAATATTGTCTAATTATAAAGAAATGAGTTAATATTTTTTATTATATTATAAAAAATATATGTTATTTAGATAAAAGGAAAGAGTACCAGATGTTGGGAAAGACAATTTTAGAGAATTTATAAGAAGAGAAGATGATTCATGTGTAAATACTTAAAATATCTTACCCAATTTCATGAATAGCACTATTCAAGCTTAAACAAAACAATCGTAAATATTGTGAAACTTAATTAAGGCAAACTTCATCAGCATTAGATGGATCTATTAAAATGTTAGGAAATACCTGGGATGCATAACATCTAGGTAAGTTCTTGTAACATAGTCAATTTGCATAATTAGGTGCTAGAACTATGAAATCAGGAGATACTCAATAAAGTATGACTATAAAAAATTAAAGCTATTATTTTCGAAGTTTATAACCTAGATTGATTGAAGATAATATAGATTATCTACATTAACATCCTATTAATCATTTGATTACTTAGCATCCCCTTTAATCAACTAGTTAATCATTCTTAAAAAATAAACTATTGTAAATTCCAGAAAAACAATTTGATGAAACCAAAATTAATTATTAAACTTAACCATAACTCAAAAGACCTGAAGAATATCGTAAGGATTTATAAGAAGCTAAATAAAATTAAGTCAAATATCATTAATGGAGATCTTAATTTTAGGATGTGAATAAAGCTTATAAGAAAGCAAAATTAGGTTTCAAATCAGGTTTATTTGCTTTGGATAATCCAACAAATGAATAAACAGAATTATATAAAGAGGAACATGAAAAACTAAAAAAATAAGAGGAACATAAGTCTAATCAACATTTTAAGAGATTTAAGTGTAAAATAGTAATATTACACATGTAGCACTTGAGAGATTTAATTGTAGTAATCCATCAATTGAGTTTGACAATGTTAGACATATACAAAATAGACCAAATCCAGAAGATCCTTTATTGCATTCAGGATAATTTCCATCTTAGAATTTTGAGATGCATAAAGAATGGATGAAGAAAAAAGCAGCCAATTAAAATATAGATACATAAAATAGGATATTTGGAAAGACAGATAAAGATCGTAAGGTGAATACTTATAGAGCTTAATATTTGAAGGATTAAGAAATGAGAGGAAGAGATTACAATGCCATTACATTAGTGAAGGAATGATAAAAATTTTAATTTATTTTAAATGTTAACAGATTGCGATTTTTATAGTAAACAAAGTATTACAGAATTATAAGCATAATTGGCTCATAAGAAAAAGAAGATTCACATTTTAAAATAAGAAAAGAATTCTATGTTGAATCGTATAGATGAATTGAATTAAAAAGTTCATGATTAAGCAGAAGAATTCAAAAAATATAGATTAAAATTTAGAGGTCTAGAATAATAACACTCACATGTAAATATTAAATCATATTATTATAGTTAAAACATTAGAATGAAAACTTAAAAAAAGATTAAAGTATGAATAATGAAACAATAACATTATTTTAAAAAGGATTTAAAAGAGATGAATTCAAAAAACATGAAAGAACAGTAGCATAATTATAAAATGATATAATTAAATTGTCTAATGCTTTAGAAGAACATAAAATAGTTAGAGAATCTAATTGTGAAGAAATTACAAGACAATTAGTTTATATCTAAGAATTAGAAAATTAACTCAATAAATATAAATAAATGACAGAAGATGATTAATTAAAATATAACAACTAATAACTCTATTAAACTATAGAAGATCTTAATTATTAATTGTAGATATCAAATAAAAATAAAGATCAAGATTATCAAAATTAATTATAAGAAATACAATAAATAGCTGATATTGCTAAATTAGAAAATAAAGAACTTACATTAAAAATAGCATAATAAGAAAAGCTTTATCAAATGTAAATTTCAAAAATAATTAAACTTTGTGAATCTGTATATGAAGAATTATCTAATAAGGTAAATAATAAAATAGAAGTTAAAGATATTTTATAAAAATTGATTATCTCTAAAAAAGATATTGATCTAGATTTACTTAAGTATATCTATTAATTTAATAAATAGAATTGAATCTGAAATTAATACCTAAACTTGTGAAGAATTATAGACTAAAGTTGATAATTTATCAAATGAAAATTAAAATATTAAACAAAAATTTTAAGCAACTTCTACTAACAAAGAAGCTCTATAAATGAGAGAATAAGATTTAATTCATTAAATTGAAAAATTACAATAATAAGTTGAAAGATAAAAAGAATTAAATTAAATGAGATAAAAAACTATGTCAGAATAAATATCAGCATTATAGAGAACTAATAAATAATTAAACTAGGATTTAGATAAAATAACTAAAGAAGTTTAAGACTTAAGAGAGGATAAAGTTATTTTACAGTAGACAATACAAAGATAAGAAAAAAAAATATAAACACTTAGTTTGTCTAAATAAAGATGATAAATTTGCTTATTAATTAAATTTGATTATAATAAAAAATCATTCATCTTTTTATTTATTACTTTTCTTCTTGAATTCTTCTTAATATAAAGAACATTTTAAATTAATTTTCTATTCTAATTTTAATTGATAACTATCAGCATAGGCAACTACTCTAAATTCAAATTCAGTAATATTTTTCTATTCAAATTAAGCTGGTATTATACGAAAGACAACTGATTTACTTTCTTAATCCTCTTTTACTTATCTTGATCCAATAATCATATTATTATAAAACAACAAAATATTCCATTAATTCTATTTCAAAACAGGAAATGTTTGACTTTAAATAAATTAATCTATCAATCCACTTAAATTACATTTAATTTCAAACAAATCAGTATTTCTATAATCATCTTCAGTTAAAGTTTCTTCTGAAGTTTTTAAATTGGCATCTAATTTTGGTTTTCCTGGATGATTTAAATTAGAATTATACTAATATGTATATATTAAATAATAAATACTTGAATAATTTTAGGTATAGATTCAATTTAAACAATTATCTAATCAGTAATATCTCTAATTTGCTTTAATTCATAATGTGCCCATAATTGGGTAAGTATTTGTAAACATATCTCTATACTCATATATAGAATTCCTGGTGCATGTTCACATTGAATAGTATTTATAAAATCTTTATTATCAATCTCTTCACATTATGAAATAGTTTCTAAACATTCTTCAAATGATTTATTTTTTCCTGCAGCTATTCTTTCAGCTAAATGTTTTCTATTTGACATCAAAATTCCATTTACATCAAATTTACCCATTCCTGAAAATGCTGTACAAAATGTTATTAGTATTATCATTATGAAGATGAAAAATAAACCAGCTAATAAAAATCCTTGATTATCTTTTGATACTGCAAATTCAGGTAAGGCAATTCCAATTTAAAATCCTGTAAAACCATCAGGATTACCATATTTTTTACAATTAGCTATCTTTCTTGGATCTGTAAGACATTAATAAGCTTTTGTGATTGTATCAAATAATTTTGAGTATTTTTGAGTTTCATCAGGATGTTTATCTGGATGATATTCTCTTGCTAATTATCTATAAGCTTTTTTAATTTAATCAATAGGTGTATATGATTTAACACCCAATACTTCATAAGGATCAAATCCTTTCATTAATTATGGATCAGGTAATTATTAATACGTGTTTATGAAGATCATCACTAATAAGATCCAAAAGAACAATTTCCAATAGAATCCTTTTTTCTTATAGAATAAATTCCTTTGGATATCAATTTCAATAGCCTTTTTTGCTGTGGCTGGAGCTTTTTTGTATTTAGGATTTAATTTTATGGATTGAAAAGGTTGTTTGATTAAGCTATAAGTTAATGGTAACATGGCAACTATTATAATAGAAATTGCAAAATAAAGAAAGGCAAAATCACTTGGATCGAATTCCTGATCACTCATATAAAAATTTAATAATAATAAAAAAATATTTATATATATATATAATTACATTTAATAAAGAATCATTTATTTTGAAATTATTGTCTATTTATACTATTTAATCAAAAGGATATAAGTCAAATGAATAGAATATTTAATATAAATAAGTGATAAATTTAATTATCTTTAGAATCTTAAATATATATATCTTGTATTAATATATATTAATTTATATTATATAAATTCTATTTAACTATTTCATATTGAAAATTTTAATAAACTTCTTAAAATATACAATATAATACTATTTAATTAAAATAAATAATAATTAAAATTAATTAATAGAAAAATAAATTTTTCTTAATTCTGGAAAATTCTGTTTTCGAGAATTAATAAATTCTAGAATTTTTAGAGTTAGGTCCTTTAAAACGAATGATAGAGTAGAATCATTGATTTAATTAATAAAAAACAAGTAAGCTTTTAAAAATAATGTCAAAATCAAACGAAACAGCAATAGGAATAGATTTAGGAACTACATATTCATGTGTAGGTGTATTTATAAATGATAAAGTTGAAATCATAGCTAATGATTAAGGAAATAGAACAACTCCTTCATATGTAGCCTTTACAGAGAATGAAAGATTAATAGGAGATGCTGCAAAGAATTAAGTTGCTAGAAATCCTTAAAATACAGTTTTTGATGCTAAGAGACTTATTGGAAGAAAATTCAATGATCCAACAGTTTAGAAGGATATTAAATTATGGCCATTTAAGGTAGAAGCAGGTGCTGATGATAAACCATTGATAGTTGTTAAATTCAAGGGAGAAACTAAGAAATTCCATCCAGAAGAAATTTCATCAATGGTTTTAACAAAAATGAAGGAGATAGCAGAAGCATATCTTGGAAAATAAGTTAAGAATGCAGTTATTACAGTACCAGCATATTTCAATGATTCATAAAGATAAGCAACTAAAGATGCTGGTTTGATTTGTGGATTAAATGTACTTAGAATAATAAATGAACCAACAGCAGCTTCAATAGCTTATGGATTAGATTAGAAAACAAAAGGAGAAAAGAATGTTTTAATATTTGATCTTGGTGGTGGTACATTTGATGTTAGTTTATTAACAATTGATGAAGGAATATTTGAAGTTAAAGCTACTTCTGGTGATACTCATTTAGGAGGAGAAGATTTTGATAATCGTTTGGTTGAGTATTGTTGTGCAGAATTCTAGAAGAAAAAGGGAATCGATTTAAGATCTAATGCTAGAGCTTTGAGAAGATTAAGAACTTAATGTGAAAGAGCTAAGAGAATATTATCATCTGCCAATTAAACTACAATTGAATTAGATGCTTTGGCTGAAAATGAAGATTTTAATTGTTCAATCACAAGAGCTAAATTTGAAGAATTATGTTTAGATCAATTTAAGAAATGTATTCCACCAGTTGAATAAGTTCTTAAGGATAGTGGTATGTCAAAGAGTTAAATCCATGAAGTAGTATTAGTAGGAGGATCAACAAGAATTCCTAAAGTTTAAGAATTATTAAAGGATTATTTTAATGGAAAAGAGTTGAATAAATCAATTAATCCAGATGAAGCAGTTGCATATGGAGCAGCAGTATAAGCAGCAATATTAACTGGAACTGGATCATAAAAATGTGAAAACTTAGTATTATTGGATGTAACACCATTATCTTTGGGTATTGAAACAGCAGGAGGTGTTATGAGTGTATTGATTCCAAGAAATACTACAATTCCTACTAAAAAGAGTTAAGTATTTACAACTTATGCTGATAATTAACCAGGAGTCTTAATTTAAGTATTTGAAGGTGAAAGATAAATGACTAAAGATTGTCATAAATTAGGATAATTCTAATTAGATGGTATTGCTCCTGCTCCTAGAGGTGTTCCTTAAATTGAAGTCACATTTGATATTGATGAAAATGGTATCATGAACATTCTTGCTGAAGATAAGGCTTCAAAGAAAAATAATAAGATCACTATTACAAATGATAAGGGAAGATTATCTAAATAAGATATAGATAGANGAATCATTGATTTAATTAATAAAAAACAAGTAAGCTTTTAAAAATAATGTCAAAATCAAACGAAACAGCAATAGGAATAGATTTAGGAACTACATATTCATGTGTAGGTGTATTTATAAATGATAAAGTTGAAATCATAGCTAATGATTAAGGAAATAGAACAACTCCTTCATATGTAGCCTTTACAGAGAATGAAAGATTAATAGGAGATGCTGCAAAGAATTAAGTTGCTAGAAATCCTTAAAATACAGTTTTTGATGCTAAGAGACTTATTGGAAGAAAATTCAATGATCCAACAGTTTAGAAGGATATTAAATTATGGCCATTTAAGGTAGAAGCAGGTGCTGATGATAAACCATTGATAGTTGTTAAATTCAAGGGAGAAACTAAGAAATTCCATCCAGAAGAAATTTCATCAATGGTTTTAACAAAAATGAAGGAGATAGCAGAAGCATATCTTGGAAAATAAGTTAAGAATGCAGTTATTACAGTACCAGCATATTTCAATGATTCATAAAGATAAGCAACTAAAGATGCTGGTTTGATTTGTGGATTAAATGTACTTAGAATAATAAATGAACCAACAGCAGCTTCAATAGCTTATGGATTAGATTAGAAAACAAAAGGAGAAAAGAATGTTTTAATATTTGATCTTGGTGGTGGTACATTTGATGTTAGTTTATTAACAATTGATGAAGGAATATTTGAAGTTAAAGCTACTTCTGGTGATACTCATTTAGGAGGAGAAGATTTTGATAATCGTTTGGTTGAGTATTGTTGTGCAGAATTCTAGAAGAAAAAGGGAATCGATTTAAGATCTAATGCTAGAGCTTTGAGAAGATTAAGAACTTAATGTGAAAGAGCTAAGAGAATATTATCATCTGCCAATTAAACTACAATTGAATTAGATGCTTTGGCTGAAAATGAAGATTTTAATTGTTCAATCACAAGAGCTAAATTTGAAGAATTATGTTTAGATCAATTTAAGAAATGTATTCCACCAGTTGAATAAGTTCTTAAGGATAGTGGTATGTCAAAGAGTTAAATCCATGAAGTAGTATTAGTAGGAGGATCAACAAGAATTCCTAAAGTTTAAGAATTATTAAAGGATTATTTTAATGGAAAAGAGTTGAATAAATCAATTAATCCAGATGAAGCAGTTGCATATGGAGCAGCAGTATAAGCAGCAATATTAACTGGAACTGGATCATAAAAATGTGAAAACTTAGTATTATTGGATGTAACACCATTATCTTTGGGTATTGAAACAGCAGGAGGTGTTATGAGTGTATTGATTCCAAGAAATACTACAATTCCTACTAAAAAGAGTTAAGTATTTACAACTTATGCTGATAATTAACCAGGAGTCTTAATTTAAGTATTTGAAGGTGAAAGATAAATGACTAAAGATTGTCATAAATTAGGATAATTCTAATTAGATGGTATTGCTCCTGCTCCTAGAGGTGTTCCTTAAATTGAAGTCACATTTGATATTGATGAAAATGGTATCATGAACATTCTTGCTGAAGATAAGGCTTCAAAGAAAAATAATAAGATCACTATTACAAATGATAAGGGAAGATTATCTAAATAAGATATAGATAGACTAGTTAATGAAGCTGAAAAGTATAAAGCTGATGATGAAAAAATTAAATTAAGAATTGAAGCCAAAAATAATTTAGAGTCAACTGCTTATCATATGAAGAATACTATGAATGATGAATAATTTAAGGATAAATTCACTTCTGATGAAAAGAGACAATTATCAGATTTAGTTGAATAAACTTAAAAATGGTTGGATTCACATTAAAATGAAGAAGCTGATGTTTATAAAGACAAATTAAAAGAACTTGAATCTAAATTCCATCCTATTATGTAAAGAGTATATGCCTAAACTGGAGCTGCTGCTGGAGCTGGAGCATCAATGCCTAATATGAATAGAGGAGCTGGATCAGAATTCAAACCAACAGTAGACCAAGTCGATTGAAATTTATAGTTATGATTTATATATATATATATATATTATTTAATTATTAAATGATTTAAATTTTATTTATTAAACTTTTTATTGATCTAATAAATCAATAGAGAGATTTTTATTATATATATAGTTTATCTATATTAATTAATTAAGGATATAAACTATTAAGTTAATATAATTTTGTTATTTAAATGTTGTGATAATAATATTTCAACATATCTTCTACTTTGCAGTAGTCATATCAGATTCAACCTTTATAGTTTTAGTTAATAAAACATAATTAAAAATATTGCAATATCTCCTAAAAGTAAATTCATATTTCAACTAACAAAATATTTTTCAAATAAATTTAATTAGTTAATAATAATTTAATATATCAGCTTATTTATAATGAAAGGGTTAATCCAAAGCATATCCTTGATGTATTATCTACTAATACTATTTGCATTTATTAGTTGGTTAAAGTTTTAATATTAAATAAATATTTAGACATAGATTAATCTATCATTATAATCCTATTATTAGACTCTTTATATATATTGTCTCATTTATTTGTAATTTTTATATAAAAAAAAGAAATCAAATTAAACGAGATTAACTTTAATTGCAATCTTGATTTTAGAATAATTATTTTTGTATATTAAATTATTATTAAGTTAATAATTCTACAATATTTATTTAGAATGATATTCTTCTAAAAATGATGAATAATAATTGATTTTTTCATATTAAATTAATTTGGTATTAATGATAAAATTTTTATATTATGTTAGATTAAATAGATGAATCAATTGATATGACAATCAAGATGTAATCATTAAAACCATAAAGTATAAATTATAATTATATAGATCGCAGCCCAGAATAGAAAGTAAGTTTACTTAAGTTAAGAAAAAACTCAAAAAGCTTTGTAGATTATACTACAGAAAAATTAATTACTATATATTGGTATGATTAAGAACATGATTAAACTTATGAATTTACTTAAGGCTTCAGTGAAATATTAAGATTAGGTGATATTAGTAATTGGGCTATTTTGAAGTTAAGAGATATGAATTTACCAAAGATTGATATTGAATAAACTAAATTATATTTACCTAAAAAGAAATAAGGTAAACCAAATGAAGATTTTCCATGTATTATTTAAGGTTATTTTTAGCATTTAGAAATGAACTACAACTAAAAGATTGTGATCAAACTAAATTTTCTCTAAAAGTTACTTTTTTAATACGATAAGTAACTCCTCCATAGAAAATAGAACCTCGTTCATCATATAGCAATTCATTGAATAAAGTAAAACATATTCCAATCCCTGAATAATAAAAAAAAAGTAAGAATAGAACTAATTTCTTTTGTTTTTGTAACAATGGTGACTGAATGAACTAATAAATTGATAATAATTATATCATTATTTTGATACAAATTATCAAAATACTTTATAGATTAATAATAAAATTTATGTATCTTCTAATACTTAAATTTTATTTAATGTTATCTATAATGAATTTAAATATCAATATAAATTAATTTTATAATTGAAATATTATTAATATATTTTGAGAATTTTTTTATAATAAAGATTTGTATAAAAGTTAATTGATTGATTTTCATAACTTTAAGTGTAGAAATGAATTTCTAAATATATACAATAATTAGAAACAATTAAGGATAATAAATAAATATTGTTCAAAAATTTTACTAAGGTATATTATACTTATTTAAAATATAAAATTAATTGAATATTATATAAGTAATTGGATTTTATATCTTTCATAAAAATGTATATTAAACTTTAAATTAATACTAAAAGTGTTTTAATCTCTATTAGAATTAACTTTAAATTAATATTATTTTAAAGTTTAAATTAACATTTGCTATATTCTTAATATATAAAAGAACAAAAGTAAACATATTATTAAAAAAATTCATATAATTATTTCTTTAATAACTAATTCAATTACTAAGACCTAAAAATAAATTTAATTTAATAAAATATATTTTATGTATTCCTCAAATACTAAAATTGATTCAAAAACATAAAATAGACTGATAGTGTGCGAATCTATTGCAAATGATAATTCTGTTATTTAATTATCTTAAGATAAATTGAGTGAATTAAAATTGTTTAATGGAGATATTGTATTATTAGAAGGGAAAAATAAGAAGTAAACTGTAGCTATTGCAATTAAAAATAAATAAGATAATGAAAAAGCTTTAATAAATTCTGTAATAAGAAAGAACTTAGGAATTAAAATTGGTGATTTTATTATCATTTATCCAACATCATCTGTATTAAACAATATCTTAGATTATAGGTACCTAATTTATCCAAAGTACATATTCTACCATTTTATGATTAAATTTCAGGAATAAATGAAAGAAATATAGTATAAACTCATTTAGTTCCATATTTTAAGGATGCATATAGACCTGTAAAAAAAGGAGATTGTTTTGTTATCAATATGGTTAAGGAAATAGAGTTTAAAATAATTGCAACAGAACCAGAAGATATTGGAGTGATTGGACCTACAACTATTATCTATTCTGAAGGAGGATCAATCAAAAGAGAAATTGAAAATAAAGAATAATATGATACTTAAGGTGAAGATAATAATATAATAAATGGTTATGAAAGTATTGGAGGTATGAATAAATAATTTGCTATTATTAAAACAATTGTTGAATTATAGTTAAAGAATCCTTCAATTTTAAAAGCATCAGGACTTTAAACAATTAATGGATTATTGATATCTGGAGTATCTGGATCTGGAAAGACATCAATTGTAAAAGCATTAGCTATTGAAACAGGAGCATGTATATTTTTTATTAATGGTTCTGAAATAATAAGTAAAAAACCAGAGGAGGCTGAAGAAATAGTTAAAAAGGTTTTTGAACTTGCAGAAAAAAATAAACCTGCTATTGTACTTATTGAAGATATTGATTGTATAGCAATAAAAAAAGAAGATGTTAAATGTTAAATGGATAGAAGATTATTCGCTTAATTAATAACAATAATGGATCATTTTAAGGGAATTGAAAAATTGATTGTAATTGGTACAACAAATAGACCTGATAGTATTGATCCAACATTAAAGAGATTTGATAGATTTGATAAAGAAATTGAACTTGGAATACCTAATGAAGATGAAAGAATGGAAATTTTTAAAATACATACCAAAAAAATGAAATTAGCTTAAGATATTGATTTAATTTCAATTGTCAAAGAAACTAAAGGATTTGTAGGTGCAGATATTGCAGCACTTTGTAAATAAAGCGTTTTGTAATGCTTATCAGATAAAATGGATTATCTTAATATAGATGATTAATAATTAGATGATAGAACCAAAGAAATAATAACTGTTACTAATGATAACTTCAAAGTTGCATTGAAAACAATGAAACTCTCTTAATTAAATAGTAATTCTATTGAGATCCCTAAATTAAGATGGAAAGACATTGGAGGATTGCTTAATATAAAATAGCAGCTTTAAGAAATTATTACTTTGAGAAGAGATCATTCAAAAAGTTTACAATAATTTGGATTGAAATTCTCTTAAAACATTATATTATACGGTCCTCCTGGATGTAATAAAAAGTCTCTAGCTAAAGCTTTGGCAGGTGAAAATTCAATGAATCTCATTTAAATAAAACAACCTCTAACTTCTCACTATTTTAAAGAGATATTTAATATAGCAAAGTATTAATAACCATGTATTTTATTATTTGATGAATTTGATTAGCTTTTCCTAAAATAAAGAAATCCTGAAACACAAGATACCAACCTCATTTAGTAATTTTTTAGTCAATTAGATGATATCAATTATGAATACAATTTATTTTTTATAGGAATTTCTAATAAACTAGACAATTTTGAAGAATATATTAGAAAAAATGATAGATTTGATCAAATTATTTATGTTGGATTGCCAGAATTAAAGACAAGGATAAGTGAATTCAAAATTAATCTAAGAAATACACCAGTATCTTAAAATGTAGATTTAGTATTTCTTGCTTAACTTACTAACTGGTATTCTTGCTATGATATCAAAAATATTTGTTAAAATGCTAAAATAGCTGCTTTTAAGGAAGTAATATATTAATTTAGATTATAGATGATTGATACATAAAATAAAACAAAAATCACACCTTAATAAAACTAATTATAAATAAATTCTTTTCCTTAAATTACAAGAAAACATTTTGATATTTCTTTAAAGTAAACTAAAAGGTCATTATCTATTGAAGTAAATTAAAATTAATATTAAGTTAATTAAATAATTCTTAGAATTTTAAAATTCAATTGAATTATAAAAAAAAGATAACTAAGAAAAATTCAAATACAAATGGCCTGAAACTAGTTAGTAAACATTTCAGATGGAATTAGATGAAGAAGATTATGTTTGAAATGCTTAAAGTGATATATATTGCTTGTAATCATTTAGAATTATAAATTCCCATCTTATTTTGTTTTTTTAAAACTTATTTTACAAATATCTATCATATTTTATTATTTAATATATAGAGTAGTTAAATAGTTATTTAGATGGATATAATAAATTATTTATTTATTTTTAATATAATTTTTTTCATCCAAATAACTTTTATCCAATGATGGAAAATATCTATGTGGAAATTTGTTTAAGAACAAAAGCAGCAAATTCATCAAATTACTAATAATTAAATAATATTATATACATCTTTTGTTGTAGTGAACTATTTAGGAGATTTATAGGGTTCTAATTAAATAGTAACATCCTTAAATCTCTTAATTTTGGATGGATGTTTAAAAGTGGCTACTAATTTAAGTTCGCTTACCTATAATGAATTATAATAATCTGGAATTTATTTAGATATATTTTCCATAGCAGCTAATTGATAATTATATATAAGATACATTTCATTTATTCTTTCTTTTCAATACTCAATCTATTATTTCTTTAGGTAGATTCATCACCAAAGAAATAATTATAAAATTGATCATATAATTCATCTGTTAAAATAATTGTTAATGGATTCATTTTAATATCATGTTAATCAATAATAAACCATTTTTATTAATATATCTAAAGAGGATAAAACTTTTTAATCATTCTAAAAAATGGTTATTATTTAGATTCTTTGATTTCTTAACTTAATACCATTTTATAATCAGGATCTTATTCAATTTTATTAATTGCATCTAAATCTTAAAGAAGTATATCAATTTTATGACTATCATTCTCAAAAACAGTTTCAATGATTCTTATTTATCTAATATTGAATAAAATAAAACTAATTTCTTAATCGTCCAATAGAGATAGACTTGTTTCCTTAATTGCATAATCTAATTTTGATTTTTCAGCACCATAATGTTCAAGATTTTCTGAGATTTTCTTCTTAATCATTTAATCTATTTATTTAATACCATATTAATTTAATTCTTTTAATTTATTTCTAAAAAACCTTTCTTTATTTTCAAATTCATTTTTTGTAGTAACTGCCATTTCCATGAATGTTACCATATCTAAAAATTGATCTAATTAATATTTTTTCATTGTTGCATTTAATTATCCAACTTTTACTTATACTATTGGTCTTCTTAATTCTTAATTCCAATAATTAGGATTGTGTTTTTTATTATTTGATGAAGATATTTCAGTAAAATCTCTAATATTTTCTCTTAATTGATAACTTTAAATCTAAAATAGAGCATAATCACATTTAATAATTTTTTCATAATCTTAACTTGTAAATCTTACAGTTTATTTTGCATCTAAATGTTTTTATAAAACTTAACAATCTAATCCATTAAATATTAATTTTGTAACTAATTTTTTATCAATTTCTAAATTATCAAATGGTAGAATATATTCTGACATTATAATTTAACAATCTTTAGGTGATGTTAAGATCATTTAACAATTAGCATTATGATATTAGAAATTGAATTAAGGATTGACCAATGAAACCATTAATATTAATTCTTCTCTACTATAAGATTTAGGTTTGGTTTAATCAAATTACATATCAAAATTTTATTTAGTCTCTTTATTTTAAGGTATTTCAAGACTTTCAAAAACATTACCCCAAATTTCTTATAAATAAAATGTAAATAAAAATTAACTATCTAAAGCAGAAATGAAATTCTTTATTATTTTCTAAGTCATTATAGTATTAGTATTATTTTCATCATCTTCATCTTATAAATCTATTTTTTAATTCTATTTATACTCTAATGATTTAGCTTTTAAAAAGATATCAAAAGCATTAAATTCATTTTTTTATTATGGTTTTATTTGTATACCTGATGCTCTTCCTCTAACTTTAACATCTTCAAGTGAATCTTCCAAATATGATTCATCAGTTTATAAATTAAATAAATGATATTATGGAGTAAGTGTAGTATTGATGATGAAAGGTTATTTAAGGAATTTCTTCAATTTTTTTAATTCATGAAAAGTCATGTTTTATATATTTTATGATTAATTTAATTCGTTCTAATAATAATCTGCAGGTTGAATATCAAAAAAATTTACAAACTATTCTTATTAACCCAAAGGTTCAGGTTATTCCATATCTAACATTTGTTTTCCATCAAACATTGAACATACTAATTAATCACATTTTGCAGCAATAGATTATACTTCAAATCTCCAATCATTATCTATTCGATTAGGTTCTAATTAAAGATTTACTTTTAATGATTAAAATAATGTTTAAAATCCAATAAAAGGTATATCTTTATGCTTTAGAAAAGTCTCATTATGTGATACTGGTTTTTCTGAATTTGTAAAGAACATTCTAAATTTATTTGAATAAACTCTTATATTAATCTTTTTTGTATGTTAAAATAATGATTATTTAATCATCAAAGATTCCATTAATTTTATATATGTATAATTAACCAATGTCTTATAATCTGCATACATATTCCATTCCATCTCATATACTTAATTGTCCATTACTTATGGTAATTTATTAATTTAAACTGAAAACATTCTTAATACATCATGTCTTAATATTGGTCTATTCTTTAACCATCTCATAAATTAATTTTAATAATGAATAAAGAAACAATGCTTTTATTGATCTCTAAAATTAGATTCTTTATAATGTTCATATTAAATACAATCAACTTTTACTTCAATCTATAATTATTGACTTATAAAATCATTTAAGCTATTATTTATTTAATTAAAATATGGCTTTCTCATATAAAAATAATGATCGTATTAATCTTTTTTAGAAAACCAATTAAATTCAGTTACCATTTAGATTCTTGGTATATAGAGAACTTTTTATATTTTTGGAATTCTACTTAATTTTAACTTATCAGCTTAACCTTTTAAAGTCCAATTTAAAAATTCAATACTTATTAATTTTGATGAAAATTTAATGCAATCAATTGAATAAGGTAAAATATCTGTTGTAATTTATAAAATTAAATGATCAAGTTAAAAATGTAATTTACCATGAAATTTTAATCTAAATCTATCCCAAAATGTTAATTACTCTTTTATTATTATTTTATTTTATTATTAATTAATACTTTATCCCATAATTTAATTTATTCTATTAGAGATTTCTCTAAAAGCAAATACTAAATTTAATCCAGCTGCTATTTATAATTATTTAATTTCTAAACTCAAATCATAGAATACTCTAAATCCTATCTATATATTTTATGTATTCAATCTTGAAAGACATATAAATGTATTTAATTTTATACCTCTTATATCAAGTATATTTAATTTATAATCTCTAATTGATATTTTAATTTATTCTAATGAAATTTCACAATTTGCTAACTCAAAATATTCAAAAAAAGATTCATCTAATTATGTTGGATGAGAATCTAATTTTGTAATCTTATCAAGTACTTGATTAATAGTTAAATTTTATTTCTTTAATTTTAAATTGAGATTCTAAAATTTTAAATATAATAAAGGATATGATTATTATGTTTTCAAACCTTCTAATACTCTACTTTCATTCTATCTACTTTTAATTGTTTCAAACTTTTCTTAAAATCTTCTATATCTGCATAATGCATCATTCAATTTTGTGTCCTTAATAATTACTTCAAAATTTAGGATATTGAGATTAGTGTTTTATCCAAAAATTGATCTAATCTTTGTAGTAACATCTTAATCATTAGGTATTTTCTTAAGAACACCATCATGAGAGGATCTTCTTTTTTTTAATTAAGAAGTGTCAATTTCTTCTTAATTAATATCAAAAATCTACTTTCTAGATACAATAGTGTTCATTTATTTAATACCTTATAGAAATACATTAATATCTCTAACTTCTTCTTCTAAATTGAGAATTGCAGACTTAATATTAATTTACATTAATTAAGTTGTATTTTTAGTTTAAATTTAATCTATTACAAATAAGGAAGAATTCTAAAATTTAATAGAGAATTAATTTAAATCAATATTATTAGGATCTTTTGTATTAATTTCTCGTAGATTTACTTCAGCCAAGAAAGGACCAGACAAATATTTGAGTTATACTTCTTTACAATTAACAATTTTATCTTTGATAACAGGTTTATTTGCTTTAGATTTTTTTTTTTCTAAAGGTGTTAATTTAAAAGAAGTAAATTTGGACAATTATTATCTAAATATTTTCTATAATTAATAAATCCTTAAGATTTTTTCTATGTTTATTTGTTCTATCAATAATTCTAATGTATTGAAGGTATAATTGATAATTTAAGGATTTGTTTACATTTTGAAATCCTTGATTAAACCATCAGTTTAGCTTATATTACTTGAAATCTGACAATTATCAAATGAAATTTAAGATTCATTAACATCTCCTTCATTTGAAATATAATGAAATTTATTAATAGTTATTGAATTAATAATTGCACCATCAAAGATTAAATTAATTTAAAATTTATTAGTAATTAAAAAATCAAAAGAAGTACTTAATGTACTATTAAGATCAATATTCAAGAATTCACAACACATTTCCTTAGCTATACGATTATATTTTTTAAAGTATTTGCTTTATTCATAATTTTCAACAAATGCAACTCTGAATTCTGATGCTAATTCAGTTTAAATAAGAGTAAAAAATTTAATCAGTTATGGAGATAAATTAATAATAAGATCTCCATATCTGATAAAATGTTTTGTGTGATCATTAGAATGAACAGTATTGCTAGATATAGATTCAATATTCCAAGAAATATCTTAGAATCTTATATCTTCTTATAAAGTATTAACAGTAAACTATTTACATTAGATAATGCCTTTTTTAGTTTAATCTGTATCAACTATATCAAATTATCCATAATATTTTAATTATTACCATTCAAATATAAGTTTATTTTGTGTATATTTATAGAACTTTTAGGTTAAAATGTTAAAGGAATGTTTTTTATCATTATCAGAATCATTAAATATACTAAATTCAATCTTAAAAGATTAAAAGTTAAGATTCATTTCTCTTGGTTTTCCTAGGAACATGAATCCTTTTTCATTAAATTATCTTTTAAGTATTTTATTAATATCAGGTCTAGTCCAAAATTCATTGGCTAAAACATCCATAGTATAAAAATATTCACTTGTACAAAACCATCGTACTTCCTGAATGTTAACATCTATATAACTGTGTTCTTCTAATAAATCAATCAACAATCCAGGCTTAGTGATTCCATTTAAATTAATAGTATTAATTGTAAAACATTATTACATATTTGCTCCTTCACTATTGAGTTTCCATTGTAGATGACCATTTTGATTTAAATGCAATTATACTGATGTTTCACCTAATCTCATAGTCATATCTGGTAAATCTTTCTCTTTAGAATTGAGTTTTGGTAAGGTGACATTAATTGAATTGAAATGAATATTTAGACGTGAAAGGGTTAGAAAAAGACAATTAATGGCTGAGGATTCCAATAATAAGGATATGAATGGAATTTATTTAGTTTTACGATGTTGTATTTTTTATTAAGTATAAGGTAGGAATTTGGATTTGAGTCTTTCCATATACAATTATTCCTCAAATTAAAAGCCTATTTTGATAGGTTAGTTAGGAATGAACCTTAAATTCAAATCAATGATATTGACATTAAATCTCCATTGATTTGGAACTTTGGAAATTTGTATACGTGCTATATTTACAACAACTATTATATGTTTTTTGTATTAATATCTTAATTCCATATTGTAAAGTGAAAATGGTACATATGAATATTGGAGAGCAAGGACTTTCTTATGCAACCGTGCCAACCACTTTATCCATACAGGAGAAAATAGAATGGTTATTATAAAAGCATTGATTATTAGAATCAATGTATTTAACATTTTTGTATATTTATTAATAAATCTCAACCTTAATTTAGTTTTTTAAAATTGATCAAATTTTCTAAAACATAATGAATGACTGAGTGTGCCTTTTATCTATTCTTTAATTTGTCTGTTATTCCTATAATATCTCCTGCTTCTTTCACATAATATTCTAAATCATCATTGCTGCATTTATTTGTCAATTATGCTAATCTCACTCTAATTATGATAAGATTGTAAGATCACTTTTCGGATGCAAACTCTTCGTCTAAATCAAATAACTCTAGAGGAGGAGGAGGTAACTCTCTAGGAATTGGTGGAAATAAAGCAGGTTATAATCCTAATAATGGAGTTTCAAATTAGGGTACAATTAAAGTTAATGGTTCATGTTTTACAGCTAATTATCATATTATATATTGTATTTACCAAGAGTCCCATATAATTTTACAGCATCAGGAATCATTTCAAGATCAAATTTAAATAGAGTAGAATCAAAGAGGGTAGTCACATCCTTAGGTAATTCCTCACTCTCTTATAGACAACTCTTAAGCTTCTCTGACAATTCTGCTATGTCTGGAGCATTCTTATTTTCTGACTCATTGAATGGAGCCTTTTTGTCAAATTCGACATCTTTACTAAAATAAAATTTAAGCAGAAAATCAAAAATCTTCTGATTGTCATCCTTCTCAAAATATTCATCATTAAATATATCAGTAGAACCTATAACTACCAATTTCCCTTTATCTGCATTTATGGCCATTATGGGTCTTTCACATGGATAAGACATCGGTCCTGTCGATAGAACTGGAAATGCTTTTTCCTTCACTACTAATGTGGCTCCACTAGGATATACAAAATCCAATCCTCCACTATTATTAGTTTCTGATTCCTCTAATTCAATTACACCCTACAAATATGGTGTAGATGCCTTATTTTTTCTAGTTTCTTTTTAATCTCCATTAATTACACGAACTATCTTTACATTTTATTATTATATCAATTACTTCTTGATTTATTACTCCCTACTATATATAGGCTTCTTTAGGATGAAAATATTTAAAAAAGCATGTTCTGACCACGCAATCATTATTCACATATATTCCATACTTTTCTATAAATGCATTTAAATTGCTTGTAGATTTATTCTCTCCTCCTTCAGAAAATAATATTAATAAATTTCCTCCATTATTTAGATATTCTTCAAGACATTTTATTTCTAATGATAACAATCATATAACTAACCTTTTTCTGTAAATGGAGCTCTAGAACCTCCAAAAATAATTAAATTTGCACTCTTTAATTTTTCATATACTAAATCATCCTTGTTTAATCCAAACTAAATAATTCAAAAATTAAGAACTTACCTTATATTATCCTTTATACTTTTTTAAAATCTTCTTATAATTTTGACTTGGATTTCCTTGTTCATTCTTTCCAACATTAAATATAATCTTATTATATATATTCTCATACTTAGAGTTCAGACATCACTTTTTAATTTTAATTTAATTATTATTACTTCTCTCAAATCAAAAAGAGTTTGTAATACTATCAATATGATATTTATGAAATATTGTCTCATTTTGATGCCATACTATTAAAATTCATCATTATTATTTTATTTATTTAATGTCTGAGAACATCTTCAAATTGTAACAACTCAATTCACTTTTCAAATCTAAAAAAGAAACTAAAGTAGATGAAAACAAAAAAATTCCATCTGAATCCCTTATTCAATATTCTAATTAATAAGAAGCCACATTATAACAAATTAAAAAAAAACAATCATTGCCTGTACCTACCTTAGAATCTAAACCTACAATTGATGTAACTCCATTAATTTTATTATAGGAACTATTAAACTCCTTAATTAAACCAAGAGATTGGGAAATTGATGGAAGACGATTCATGTAAACAGTTTCAATTGTCCCTCCATCAAGAGATGACATTACCAATCTACAAAAACTTCTAGATGAACGACTTGTTTCTAGATAAGCTCGAGAGTATCCTCTCTGTCCAATAAGAGAAGAATTATTTGGTTAATGTTTTGATGAAATTATCAGATAAGTTACTATAGATTGTTAAGAAAGAGGTATTTACTTAATATATTCTTAAAGGTGTCATTTTAGCAAGAGTTCGAGATGATCTAAATAAGACTATAGTAGCTTATAAAACTTTGTATGAAGGATCTATGCCTTTTAGTCTTCAAAAATAATTGAATGCTGAGGATGGACTTAATAAATTAGATTAATAAATTACAAAATTAAATGAAACAAAATAATAATTAGAATTAAGAGTAATTTATTATTGTTATCTTATTAGAAACTATTTTTGACTAATAAAAAAGAGGCTCTTGAAAGATCAATCAAAGAAAAAAAGGATGCTAATGAATAAAGAAGAAAAGCAGAGATAGAATTTTTGAAATATTAAAATTCTCATTTAGAATCATATTAAAAATAAGTAAATCCAAACAAGAATTAATGAATTTAGTATTCATATTTTATATAATTAAAATATCTCTTATTTTATATAGGATTTTCACTTTTTTTATGTTTTTGTTGATTTTTCTTTATTTATTTTTTCTTCTCTTTAAATAATGTCTTTTTTTTACTATAATTGAATAAATTATTATTACTTTAAGACTTTTATTAGATATTTTTTAATTTACTGGAATTTATTATGGTTCAAATTAATGAGTATCCATAGATGATTTAAGAATATTCATTTTTTTTTATGATGGATCTATTTCATCCTTTACTTATGATTAGGTTGGATCAAAATCTCTCATATTTTTAACAGAATCAGTTTATTACCAAGTTTAATTATTTGGAATTAATCTTTCTTTAGTTTTTTGTTATTTTTAAGATTATTCTTATTATGATTAAGCTAAAATAAACATTAATATTTTACATTATTGAGTTTCAGATTCCTCTTTTGATTCTGAAATTGAGACAGGTTAAACTTTAACAGACTAATCACCAAACACACTAGATTGTAATTCAGCTTCCTTTTTATTTTTTGCATATGTTTCAGGATCAAATTCTTTTACTTAATTATTACTCTATCCTCCTACAGTACTCCATTTTTATGTTGAAGCTGTTAATTTTTCGACCTTTTAGCCTTAAATTGGTTTGCTAAACAAATTTCATTAACACTTACCTTGGACTATCACCAAAAACATTAGATTAATTTTCCATAAGTTTTCTATTACTTGGATTTTGATCTTATTGTTATTATTATTATGATTTTTTAGGTTTTTAAGGACTGGAAACTTCTAGATTAACTTCTTTTGTTGGAAGATGTTCTCTAGCAATTTCATTTCCATAAAGTTCTTTATTTCTCCTATTATTAGGATCATAATTAAGTTTTGGTTTGAATTCATTTAATGTTACTGCTCTCTTTAATGATTTATATTCATCAAAATCTCATAATATTTAATTTAATTTACCACTTTTACCAAAAAGGAATTCTTTTCCATGATCAATTTATCTATTATCATTATTTTTTTTCTAAAATCTTTTAACATCTTATTTAGAAGTTTCAAAAGTTTAATTATTTCTAGCAGGTGGAGGAACATCTTAAATTGGTTCTGATGAGAAAATTTGAGATTGAAAAGTTTTATTTTATCGAACCTTGTATATTATTATGTATTACTTCTTATTGTTTCATTGTTTAAGTTTCTGTACTAAATATATCTGTTTTTGGACGAGCGCTCTGTCTTGATGGTTATTGAACAGGAGCAGGAGAATTGAGTCCAAAAATATCAGATTTATTTTAGATTCTTAATTTTAAGGAATTTTTTACACTTATCTTATAAGAGGAGCTTAATCAAAAGTTTATTTAGTTGGTCTAGATCCAGCTGCTGGTCTATTATATTTAGTATGATTTTTACATATTAGATGTATCCATTAATAAAATATATAAATACTAAATATATTTTATAAACAGTAATTGGTTTGCATGTCTAAGTAATTTCTATTTAATATAATTTATATCTCTTATTTAGTTATGAAATCAGAGAGGTTTGAATTATGATCTAATAAATTAAATTTTTTATAATACTAATGCATATTATTAAAGCTTTTAAGACATATATTTGGGAATATACATTGATAAATTAAGCTAAAATATCGGTTTTGAAGTATAAGAAAAAGGAATTGCTTAAAACAAAGTGGCCTTATTTTATAAATTTATGTCGGCTTCAAATATTTTTAGCTTTAATACAATTATTGGTCAATTTCTTGTTAATTGAATCNGTTTTCTATTACTTGGATTTTGATCTTATTGTTATTATTATTATGATTTTTTAGGTTTTTAAGGACTGGAAACTTCTAGATTAACTTCTTTTGTTGGAAGATGTTCTCTAGCAATTTCATTTCCATAAAGTTCTTTATTTCTCCTATTATTAGGATCATAATTAAGTTTTGGTTTGAATTCATTTAATGTTACTGCTCTCTTTAATGATTTATATTCATCAAAATCTCATAATATTTAATTTAATTTACCACTTTTACCAAAAAGGAATTCTTTTCCATGATCAATTTATCTATTATCATTATTTTTTTTCTAAAATCTTTTAACATCTTATTTAGAAGTTTCAAAAGTTTAATTATTTCTAGCAGGTGGAGGAACATCTTAAATTGGTTCTGATGAGAAAATTTGAGATTGAAAAGTTTTATTTTATCGAACCTTGTATATTATTATGTATTACTTCTTATTGTTTCATTGTTTAAGTTTCTGTACTAAATATATCTGTTTTTGGACGAGCGCTCTGTCTTGATGGTTATTGAACAGGAGCAGGAGAATTGAGTCCAAAAATATCAGATTTATTTTAGATTCTTAATTTTAAGGAATTTTTTACACTTATCTTATAAGAGGAGCTTAATCAAAAGTTTATTTAGTTGGTCTAGATCCAGCTGCTGGTCTATTATATTTAGTATGATTTTTACATATTAGATGTATCCATTAATAAAATATATAAATACTAAATATATTTTATAAACAGTAATTGGTTTGCATGTCTAAGTAATTTCTATTTAATATAATTTATATCTCTTATTTAGTTATGAAATCAGAGAGGTTTGAATTATGATCTAATAAATTAAATTTTTTATAATACTAATGCATATTATTAAAGCTTTTAAGACATATATTTGGGAATATACATTGATAAATTAAGCTAAAATATCGGTTTTGAAGTATAAGAAAAAGGAATTGCTTAAAACAAAGTGGCCTTATTTTATAAATTTATGTCGGCTTCAAATATTTTTAGCTTTAATACAATTATTGGTCAATTTCTTGTTAATTGAATCAAATAATCATTACAAAACTTTGCTTATTGATATTGGAATATCGTTAATTATAAATATTATTGATAGATGTTGTTTAAATAGGTTAAGTAAGAGAAGGAAATTTGTAGTAATCATTCTTTTAAATTTCTTTTAAGGTATTTATATTGGAATTTCCGAGAAAATTTTAAATGATAATCAATTTGTCTAATTCAACAAACACTTTTTAATACATTTTATGACAAAGATTATGTGGATGATTGCATTAATTAGTACATAACCTCTTTTTATGTGTAAGGTAGTAATCTTTCTATTTTATTATTTCATAATTTGTTACTTTCTTTCTGTTTGGAAGACTGCTTTTTATGATTTTTGTATTGCAATACTAATATTTATTATATATACAGTATAAGAAGAAGAGAAATTCAGAAAACTTATTTGCAATTAAATAATTCCTAAATAAATAATTAGTTCATTACCATAACCTATATTTTTAATTAATTTATCTACTTTAGAATTCGTAATCTATAATGACATGTTTAAATAATATCTTAATTCTTAAAAAGATGAATTAGATATCACATCAACAAAGAGAATGTTAACATAATTTTAATCTTATGGAAATCAATAAGTATTTAATGTAATAGATTCTGAAAGATTGAATTTATTTGAAACTATATAGATTATTAAATTATAAGAAGAAGTAATAACATAAAATGTTAATTATTAATTTATATTAAATGACAAAGAAGTTTATGATGTTAGATTTCATAATAATATAATATATAATGATAAAAAATGTTTATTGGTTTGTTTATCAGATATATCAGCAATAATTGAAAAAACTAAATTAACAGAAAGAACTATTCTAAAAAGTAAATTAATTAAATCTTTATCACATGAATTAAGAACTAGAAAAAATATAATTTAAGGTTTATTAAAACTATATTTAGATAAAAATAATGATGATTAAAATAAAGAATTGATTTTTCAGGCTTATTATAATTCTAAAATAGAATCTAATATAATAAGTTCAATAATAAATTATAATTTATGTTTAGATGATTAAGTAATTATAAAATATCAATTAATTAAAGTAAATGATATTTTAGATAGAATTATAGATAATTTTAAATATGAAATTAAATCAAAATAAATAGCAATTCTAGCTAATTATCATCCTGAAACTAATCATACTTTATTTACTGATCCAGAAATATTTGAATAAATTATAACAAACATAATAAGTAATTCAATAAAACATTGTGATAAACAGAATTAATCAATCTTATCAATTTCTATTTGTAAAGAAACACATCCTATTACAATTCCTATTCCAAATCCAAATAATCCATATATTACTTACTTATAAAAAATGTCTCATTATTCATCATTTCAAAGTTTATAAGATTTTAATGTAACTTAAATAGAGACAACATTAAATATTAAAATAGTAGATAATGGATCTGGTATAAATGTTTAAAAACTTAAATTAATATAAGAAATTTTAAATAATGATAATTATTATTAATTTACAACATCATCATCTGATGGATTTTATTTAGGTTTAAGATCATGTAATCTATTACTTCAAAAATTAAATAAATAATCAAAAGTCAATATATACATTCGTTCAACAGAGAAAGAAGAAACAGAAGTAGTATTAAAGTTTATTATTCATAATTAAATCAGAGAATATGAATAATCAATAGGATCAGAAGATAGTATTCAATAAATCAGAATTTAAAAGAAAGTACATAATAAATGTGAATGTTTATAATAAATTATGATTGTTGATGATGAACCTTTTAATAATCTTGTATTGGAATCAATTTTAAAATCTCTTCATTTCAAGGTGATTAAAGCATAAAATGGATTGGAAGCATTGAAATTATATAGAGAATAATATGATTTATGTGAAATTGATGAATGCAAATTATTTTATGCAATTTTCATGGATTATCAAATGCCCATCATGAATGGATTGGAAAGTACTAAAGCTATTATTGAAGAATGCAATAAATTAAAATAAATATAACCTGATATCATAGGATGCACTGCCTTTTCTGCAACTGATGATATCAATGAGTTATTAAATGCTGGAATGAAATGTGTATGTATCAAACCAATTAGTAAAGATTCGATCAAACAAATATTATCTCATTTATAATGATAATAATAATGTATGAATTAATTTATCAATAATAACAACACTTATTTATATAATTCTGATAATTTCATACTTTATTTTATGAGTAATTCTACAAAAACTATATATCAAAAATTTATATGTATTTTGTAAATATTTAAAAACCAGTTAAACTAATAAAACTTAATTTTTAATCAAGATACATTTAAATTGATTTGACTAAAATAAATTCATTAGAAATATATATTTAAGAATGAATATCTTATTACTATATAATCTATAAATAAGGATCAATGTGAAATATATTTAATCTTAAATCGAAAATATAATTATAATTCAGATATAAAATTAAATATGCAAAATCTTTTGATAAATATATAATTTAAGAGTTAAAAAAACTATTCATTCTACAATAAAGTTTTATATTCTGAGAAATAGAAAAATTAGAATCTAATACTTATATATAATTATTTATTATAGTATCTAAGGATACTAATTAATTACATTTGATTTAATGGATTGTCAAAGTTCTATAAAATAAAAAATGAGAAAGAATACTTAAATACTAAAATAACTAAAAAATAATATTATTACTAAACTCATAAAATTAATTAGAAAAAATAAAAATAAGATTAATTATTCATCTAAATTATATATATAATCTATATTATTATACAATTAAAATTATGATTATCATTATAAATTGATTTTTGTAGCAATTTACTTAATAATGTATTCCTCTTATTATATTAGAGTACAATATTTTGGTATTTCAAGATTAATTATATAATATTTTTAGTCATAGTGAATGATTAAGATCTTAAAAGGTGTAAATTAAAAAATCATAAATATATTTTATTAGACAAACAATATAATCATTCTAAGTATACAACTTAATTTCTAAATATTTGATAATTATGATATGTTCAAATATAATTTATTTAGCATAAATATGTATATATTGATTTTGATAATAAGATCATATATTGATAGGCTTGACTTTCTTCCAACTCATGTCTGAAAATCCTCCTTAGTTAATGATATCAATTTCTTCTTATGTCATCTTTCTTCTTTGATAATCCACAACCTTATGTACATACTTAGCTGTTTATGCACTATGTTAATGTGGAACTAAATTAGCTCTACTGCCAATAAATTTAATTTTAGGAACATATTTCAAGGCTTAATTCATCTTATACTTTTTATAATAATTTTAATAATTCAATATATTTTTATATTTGCTTAACAATAAATTAATATTACTTTTAAGTATATACATTATTTTTTATTATTTTTTATGACTAAGCCAAATTTAATATTATTAAAATTATCATTTTAATGAAAAACTAATATATTGCATAAATATTATATCTCAAAATTTTAAGATTGTTCTTTTTCCTAAAATTTGTCATTCTAATTATGCTCTATTTTTAGTTTTTCATACTAAAGAACTAACAAAGTCTGAAATTTATTTAACAGTTGGCATTTACCCTGTTGTTAGTTTAGAGTGTACAAGTTATCCATTTATTGTTACTTCAAATGCTCCTGTGGATTATAAATTCTAAATGATGAAATTAAATCCAATGAATATCATGATTCCTGCTCTCATCTTATGTGGACTAATGTATTATTGCCATAATGAAATCTTATTTGACAATATTGAATCAAATAGCACTAAGACTATTAAGGATCCATATTGAATGTATGTTAGACAGTTTACTAACATTTCCTTTTAAGGCCCTATTGGAAAAGGCTAACCTATCACATTAATCTTATTTGAGTATTAATTTAAGAGAGCATTTTCTAATTGTTGATATGCTCCCTTGTAAGATCAACTAGTACAGTATTCTATTAAAATTTCAAGAGGAGAATCGATGGTATTTAGTTTACTCTCCTATTATTATCTAGAAGTGGTTAGCAAGAATAGAGTTGCTAGGACTAGGAAGAGATTTAGTTTATTTATCATATAATAAATAATAATGATTTTTATAATAATTCTAATTATTTATAATAAATGCAAATCGATTTATTAGATTAATAAATAGTAAAGAAGAAAAGATCATAATCAAATAAGGATAATGAAGATTCCATACCTGCATTTTTATTGAAAACATATGAAATAATAGAAGTATTAATTAATTTTAAATAAAAAGAATCCTTAAAATAATGAGATAATTAGTTGGAATGAAGAAGGAACTGCCTTTATAGTTAAAAAAGTAAATGAATTCTCAAATATCATATTACCTAAATCATTTAAACATAGTAACTTTGCTTCATTTGTTCGATAATTGAATATGTATGATTTTCATAAAACCAGACATGATAATAATGAAAATGAATTCAAGCATAATTTGTTTTAAAAGGGTAAAAAGTAAGTTATATATATATTTTAGACATTTTCTAAGTTAAATCAAACGAAAGACTAGTGATGTAAAAGAATAGAATTCCTTGAGTTTAATAAAGAATGAATAAATAAGAAATGGATAAAGTGAAAATTCTGAAGTATATTCTTCTTAGATTTTGATGTAAATGGGAAAATTGTAAAATAAATAAATGGAATTAGAAAAATTAATTAAAATTTTTATTAAGTAAAATGAAAAGGTAATGAAGGAAAATAAATACTTATGGAGTGAATTAACAAAAAATAAGTATGATAAATATTAATATAGAGGCATAAGAATGAAAATTCAGAAGAATAAATAATGAAATGGGTTTTATAATCATTATAAGGAACCAAATAAAATAATAAACTTAAGAGTAGTATTTAATCAAATAATTTGTTAATGTTGAAATAAACCAGCGAAAATGATGATGAAATATAATTTGAATAACAAAACCAAAGAAATTTTGAAAATGAGAAATTAATATTTGATTAATTGCCATCTCAAATTATAAGTTAAAATTTAGAATAATAGATTGAAAAATTATCAAAAACTTAAATAATTTAAGTATTATTGAGTGCAATTACAAACAATTAAAAATAAGAAAAAAAAAATAATAATACAAAATTTGAAGATGAAATTAGTTTTGATGATGAATATCCAGTTAATAAAAAAATAGATATAAAATAAGAGAATTAAGATAAAAAATAAGAAAATTAACTTATAGTTTATAATGAACCTTATTTTTTTCATAAATTAGAAGATAATTATATCATTTCAGAATCACCTAATCCAAGTCGTAAGAACTCTTATTATGATCAAGATCTTATTCCATAATTTTTAGATAGTGAATTATGATATTTTCATTAAAAATTTAACTTCTTATTTTATAATAAAAATTATTATATTGAATGTCCACAATTAAGAAAACATTGCTTAGATAAAAACAATAAAAATGTGAAATATGTAATAAAAATTTTACATTGTAAATTTAAATCTATATTAATTCAGATTATTACAATAACATTAATGTAAGAGATGTTAAAGAGCTGTTTGTTTTGATTGTGGAAAATTTAAGGGATTAGTAATAAAATATATTAATTTGAGGTCATTGATTATGATCTCAAATAATAACATAGAGTATGTACAATTTGCAAAGACGAATAGAATAACATATAAGACTTGATATCAAAAGAATAATTATTATTCAATAAGAATTCTCATATTACTAAAGAATGGCTACAATATTTTTTTATAGATAAGTATAGAATATAATTATTTAGAGCAAAAGAATAAATCATTAATGATGATTATTATACAAAATTAGCAGAAAGCAAAAGAAATTTATCATAATAAGTTTCTGAGAATCTTAAATTAATATAAAGTTATGTAAATCAAGTATAAGATTATTTATTAAGTCAAGATTCGTTCTAAATATAATTATTCTATGATAGAATTTGATTATTATTTGACTAAGGATTTATTAGAAAATACTGCATCAATTTATATATCTTCAGTGTTGTAATGTTTAATATATTAAAACCCCAATATTTAATGCACTTATGTATATTAATCTAATTTATAAATTTTAGAATTTAGTTTAGTTAACTTATTTTTTGTTATATTTTCATTCTCAACCTATAGTTCACTTTTTTATTAATATTTTAAGAGATGAACTTTCTTTTAACAGATTTTTAGATAATAATGAATAACTCTCAAATTCTGAAATTGATTTTTTGTAAGAAATAGGAAAAAAGAATTATTTAATTGAACCAACTGATTTATTATATTACAGAAAATATTTAGAAAAATATGCCTATTAAATGATATCTAGTTTATTTATCAATCATCTAAATGTATTCAAATTTATATTATAAGATTTAATGTACACTTTTTATTTTTGATCATGTATTAAAATTTAAGGATTATTTTGAATTAGAAAAAATGATTGCTTTGTTAGGTTATTTAAATTTAAATGATTTTAAGTTGAAAGGATTAGATGATGAATATTTTATAAATTAGATATTAAAAAATACAAAAAGATAAGTCTTACGGGATTATCTAAGTAAAGAAGATAGAATCAAATTAAATTAAAAAAGAGATACATACTCTAAAAGTGAAGACATTATTTAATCTAATAAATAAAAAATTGAATCTTAAGATGAAACACGATAAATTTTATATTTACTAGATAATTGTGTATTAAAATAGCAACCCTTGAATATTCACCATAAAGAATTAATATCCTCACTCAATTTAAAATAATAACAAATTATTTATGATCTTATTGGATTGAGAGGATAAAAAGTTCAAATTGAAGATGACAATTTTTCTGATAATAAAGGCACTACTCATTCAAACTCTTTAAATTAAATTAAGTTTGAAAAAAGTGAATTAACAGACTAAACTCAAATTGCAAATGATGATTCTATATGAAATGACTTTAATAAAATTTTTATATATATCCAAAATAATGTTGAAAATGTGATATAATTGATGATATATAGAATCAAAATTTAATTATACAATTTTTTAAATGATTAATTCAATAGATTATTTTTCAGCTTCTTCGAATAATAATTTATAAAATAATATATTGATATTATAAGATAAACTTTGTTATTTTATCTTGATAATTATTTTAGTAAGAAAGAGGTAAATTTAAATAATTATAATAATATTTTAATGACTTTTATAATTATTATTATCTGGTAATGCCTATCAAATTTTTATATATCTAGTAGATCTATCTTAAAATTTTTTAACTTCTGTATAAATACAAATATAAGAAAAAATCAGATTTTGAATTCCGATCAATGCCAATAGGCTCAATCAAGAGGTGTCAGTTTTTCATCACATATATATATATATAATAGTATAATTAATACCAGACAACCATAGGGTTGTAATTCATGTATAAGTCATAGACTTTAGTGACTTTTAGTCATCATTTTATATCATATTATTAATCCATCAAATAGTAGCAAATTATTTGAATCAAGATTAATCTAGAACTACTAAATCAACACTTTAATATTTGATTAGATTGTAGATCAGAGATTTAGTGTTTAATGGTATCACTAATCTCTAGATTATTAAATTCTATATAATTTTATTTGATTGCCTCAAATAATTGTATATACTAGAATAATAGATGGATATCTATTTAATCTCTTGTACTCGTTGTTGATTCATCACATAAATATATATATTTATAATAAATATAATCAGTTAATTGTAATGTCGTCTTAAATCAGAAGCAGAACTGTTATGAATTCCTCATTATATTGATTTTAGTGATTACTGTTATAATTAAATAAATTAATCCTTAATTAAAATATGGGTTTGAATAGAGTGTTATTTTATAATACCAAAATTGATTAAATTTACTATTATGCATGATTAAACTCATAAATAAAATATATAATCCATTAAATCACATATATTTAAAATAAAAAATAATCAATTTTGCAATAATAATTATAATCAAAGTATAATTATAAAAAAATAGTTTATAATTAAGAGTCTTGTTTTTTTTCAAGTTATTAATTTAAATATTTCTGTTTTTAAAATCTTTAAGAAACACAAATTAAATATTTCATCATTTTTTAATATATGAAAATTATGGATATCTTTTTATTTCTTATTTAATAATTATTTTCTACTAATCTAATTTTCAGTATTGATTGTTTAATGATATAATTTAATTAATCCAATTTTAAATAATAATTTTTTTAAGTATTGAGATTATTGGATTTAAAAAGGGATATTGGAATCTATTTATTTCATTGCTTAAATCTAAAAATAATAATATCTAATATTCAATTATTTATCATGAATCAATTAGTTTTCTATAAATATACAATTTAATTCAGGTTTTGAATTTACATTAAGTTTATAAAGTAAATCAAATCTTCATATTACTATTTATTTGATTTTCCTTTAAAAATTAGATGAAACATAAGATAAAATAGAAAAGGCCATTCAATTAATATTTCCTCATTGATTTGAGGAAATAATAAAATTAAACTCATTTATTCACTAATTAAAGATGTAAATAAAATGATGATATTCATGCATATACTTTATCTCTCATTTAAATAATAGTTAATGATTTTGCATATTTCTATTAAGATTATAATAAATTTTTGCTTAATTGAATAAAAAAAATATTGTCATCCTTTGTTACTTTATTTTAATATAATTTTCATAAAATTAATATAGTAATCCTCAGTGTAATCATAACTTAAAATCATAAATGTAAATAATTTAATAAGCTTATTTACTTAGCAATTAGAAAGATGAGCAATTTTGCTTATTCTAATATTAGTTCTAATCAAATAAAATAATTATTTCCATAAATATTCAAATTGAATGCAAGATAGTGTTTATTAAGAGAATTATTCTATTAAATTATGATTATGCTTAAGAATATTAAAATGGGGTTAATCCATGATAAATTTAATAATAATATATTTTATATAAATTACATAATAGTTCAATATCGCTGATGGATGAAATTTTAGAAATAGAGCTAAAATGAAAAATCAAAAAATGCAAACATTTTTGATAAAGACCATTATTGGGAACAATTCATAAATAAAAAAATAGACAATAACATTTAAGTTTTCAATTGATGATATTAGTAAGTATATATAAAGAGATTGATAGTGTCAAGTTAAGTGAAGTTTGAATAAGATATTGAAAATGAATCTTTGAAAATTAGTAAAAGGATAAGGAAACAAGGAAGGAATTGTGTGGTTATTAATTTTTAGGGGGAGGAAATTATAATTAATATAAATAATTAATCTCCAAAGATTTATTAATTAATATATATTTCTAAATTCCTCAAATATTCCATGGATTAAAACAAATCAAAATATACTATTCCGTCTTTCATTATTAAATTGCATACAATATTAGAAGACATAGTAATGAGTAATATATATAGGAAAAAGAATAATTCGTTAATAATCACATGGGCACCATAAGGAGATGCATTTATTGTTTTAAATCCTGAATTATTGGAACAATAAATATTGCCTTAGCATTTTAAACATAATCACTTTACTTCTTTCTTGAGACAGTTGAATATGTATGATTTTTAGAAGATTCGAAATCAGAATAATTAATAAGTGTTTTGGCATTAAAATTTTTTAAAAGGAAAAGAGTATTATTTAATAATAAATTAGACATCTATTAGTTTTGTTAAAAAGAAGCTAAAACAAGATGTAATAAAAATAAAGGTTTAATCATTAATGTTATTAAAGATTTTTGATAGATGAAATCACTTCAATAAAATAAAATTTAAAATAAGATGAATAATAATTCACTCATATTATTAATTAACATGAGATCATATTATAATAACATAAATAAATATATTTAGATTTACAATAACAAAGAGAGTAAATGGAAATTAAATATGAGAAATTAAATGGATAAGTTTAATCTATAATAAGTTGGTATAAAGTAGATTCAACTAGTTAATATTTAGAAAGCTGTTCTTAAGAAGAAGAACGATCAGAATGTTTTTATTCCTAAATTCTCTGATTATATTTATCATCATATTAAATATAATTAAAATTTTAAATTGAAAAAAGACTAACAGTTTATTATAAATATTGAATTTCTAATTTCTATTTTTTTTATTGATTCTAATTGATCTAAATATATTCTGTTTATTTATGTTATGCCAATAAAATTGTATTCAAATTAATATAGAATTTAAGTCTAAATTCATTGGAGTATTAATTAAATTTAATATTTATTTTTATTGCTAAAATATAATAAATTATAACTACAATCTACCTTTCTAAGTATTTAGATTAATTCTTAATTATTAGGAAGAAAAATAAAATATCATTTTTAAGATGGATTCCTTTAATGTTTCCCACTATTTCTTCTAGACCTAATATTTAAAAATTATGTAGCTCTTCTAGAATCGACTTCCTCTGGACTACGAGATTCTTCATTAAAAGAGTATAATTATAATTTCTCTTCAACATCAGCCTATTAATCTTTTAATTGTTTATTTAATTCATCATATGTTTTTTTCAATATTTTAAGATCATTCTATTCTATTCCTTTGATATCTTTTTCAATATTTTTCTCCAAAATTTTTCTATAAAATTATTTTTAGAGATCTGTACAAGTTGGTCTTTAACCTTTACTTCGATTTAATAATCTGAATAGAATATATTAAGTACAATTCAAATAACATATTTTATTAAGTCTCTATTGCATTACGAAAAGTTTCTAGATTTTATGCCATATAATCAATATTATCATCATTATCATAATGATGTACATTCCTATTAAATGATTAATCTTCTTCAGATTCTGAATTCTTTTTCTGAATTGGCTTAGAGAATTTTGATTATTATAATTAAGGATCTGTTGGAGGTTTAATGAGACCTTAGCTTACTTATAAGGATTCAGATAATTATTAAGATTAATCAATTTGACCTTATTAAGAAGACTCTAAATTTTATGTTTATTTAATTTGTTTTTTGATTTGTAATTAATCAAGATTTTTGTATTGATCATCTTCAATTAATTCATCTTATTCAATATTAGCAAGACTTTATATATTCATAGTAGTTTATCCTCTATGTATACCAGATTATGATCGAAAGACAGCAGAATGAGGTAATTATGAATTACTTAATGCACCTTCCTAAGATTTTTGAACAAAAGTATTTGTCTTTAATTTATTTTATGATCTTTATTTCATAAATACAGATCTTGATTTTTCAAATTCTTATTTAATATGTTCTTCCAATGATGCAACTTTTTCTTTTACTTATTATTCTCTAATTTATTCTTCTTTTTCTGTATTAAGTTATATTAATTTTAATTTATTTTCAATTTCTTCTTCTAGATTTTTAATTTTATTAGTATAAGTTTAATCTATATTTTTAATTTTTTAATTAACTTCTAAAGTATTTTATATAAAGTCTGTTGTTTCTCTTGATAATTATTCTTTAGTAAATTATAGAAGTTAATAATTTAAAGCTAAATAATTTTGTTGATTTTATTAGATAATTTTATTACTTAATTGCTATGTTAATAATTGATTCTACATAGCTTAATTGATAATATTAACTTCTTTTTTGTTAAATTCTCTTTTATGATATTATTACATATGTAAATCAAATTATGAATCTGTTGTGACTACTTTATCACAATATAGACATTATATTAATTAAGTATTTGTTATTTTCTACATAAATTTATCTTTTTGATTCAATTCTAATCCCAATTTTTTTTTGGCTGCTTTAATATTTACTTTACTTTCTATAAGTCTTTTTTCTATATTTTGAATCTAAGAATAGAATTAAATGATTACTTGTTCTGAAATATCTATTGTTGATTTTGCAATATACTTATCATACTCTATCAATTCTTCAGTGGAATGTTCATAATATTATATGGCTAATTGGTGTAAATGTAATAATTTTGATAAATATACTGGATGTACAGTTTAAAAGTCTTCTAATTAAATTTCAAACTAAATTATTTTTATTATATTTTACTTTGTAGATGATATTGAGATATTATTGTAATTATTCAAAATCTGTGCATCCTGAGTAGTTCTGTATTTCTTTCCAAAAATTAGACATTTATAAAAGATTATTATAAATAATTAAAAATTTATTATATATATTATGGGAAGGAATAAAATTGACATTTAATATCTTAAAGATGATCGTATAAGGAATGTAAATTTATTTAATTAATTACTTATTGTACTATTTTTAGAACCTCTATATAATTTAATAACTAATTAATATTATTTTAGATCACATTCAATAAAAGGAAAAATGGTTTATTAAAAAAAGCATGTGAATTAGCAGTTTTGTGTAATATCAAAATGCTTTTGTGTTTTACAGATCTGAATGGAATTGTATATTAATTTACATCAAATGATAATATTGAAATGGAATTGATTTAATAATATCATAAGAAAGTGTTCACTAAATAAGATGTACATTAAAATATTATATATTTATTAAGTATCCAGGATTTCAAAAGAGAAAAGAAGGTGAATCATAATCAGATGTAGAAAGTGAATAAAGTGTTGAATAAAAAAGAACAAGAGCTTCAAATAAATAATTAGAAATATAATAATAATAAACCAATTAGTAATAAATTATTAATGGATAACAATAAATGAGATTAAGAAATAAAATGTTAGAAAATGTAGAAAAAATACAATAATAATAATTATAATAAGATTCAAGAAAAATAGTTAAAATAGAAAATAAATAAGAAGAGTAAGATATTTAGAAATCTAAAATGAGAGTTAAAAATAATTAAAAAAATAATGATCAAATAGTAGTCAATGATATTATTGATCATCAATAAGCTAGAAATTTTGATGATCTCTATTAATGTGGCAATTAATATGATGAATAATCAAATTCTTAATAAGATCATCAAGATTATAAATAGTAATTATCCATGTTTACTAATTCTAATCCAATTAAACTTATGTAAATGGATAGTTTACTCAACGGTATTAATAACAGTAAACCGAATAATTTTCTAAGTGAACAATATAATAAGTTTTTTAACAAAGACAGAGTATATCTTAATTATTAATATAGATTGATTCCTTAAATAATAGTAAAGTATTATAACCAAGTGTTTAATTTATTGTTCCACCTTAAGTATATTTTAATATACCTCCATCTCCTATTAGTTAAGCAATGAATAAAGTATATGTGGGAGTAGATGAACCAATAGAATATAATATTGGACAATCATAATATATGGATGGATTCAAAAAATATACAAAATGAAAAATTAATAATTAATATAAATTTAAAATATATAATATAATATTATGGTTCTATTTAATATAAATTAATAAATTTCATTATTAAATACATTTTCAATGTAAATTTTGTTCTTAAATTTCATCAATTATTTTCTATTTTTCATGTTATTAATTATCTTCTTATTCAAATAAATCAAAATCTTCATCTATAAATTATAGATTTATATGATCTTCTATTTCCTGATATTCTATTACTGGTGATTTTGATGCTTAAACTTAATTTTCCCTAGGAGATTTAAATGTATTATTATCATAATTCAAATTTAATTTAATTCCCTAAGATTTTAATTTCTTTAAAGCTTCACGTGCAATTAATCCTTAAATAGCAAACTATAATCTAGATGTCTAATATATGTTACTATGCACAGTTAATTTATTCTTGGCTATTGTCTTAGCATTTTTATAGAATTTTTAAAATTATTCTAGATCAACAGTTTTACCCTAAAATCTTACTTCAGATATAGGACCAAAATTAAATAATCGTTTTAATTGTAATTTCGAAAATTAAGGATAATAAATCTCAATTACTTATTAAATAAGTTCTTATTCCATTAAAAATTCATTGAAAGAAGATATAATAATACTGAATAGCATAAGACTTGAAAATATTGAACCTACATCAGCTAAAACTTAGGCAACTTTAATATATTAAACTACTTTTTTTTGAGTTACAAATGACATAGATAATTCAGTTATAAACATTGCAGTAAAGTTGGTCTTATAACTTGGTCCTAAACTTTAAGTTTGAACTAATGAATCACTAAAAATCCATCTGGAATTATAAGCAGGAAGAAGAGGACCATCATCTATTTCTAAGAGTTGAGCCTGCATAATCAATCTTTAATAAAAAGTTGTGGTTCTATCAATAGCAAAAATCAATTCTGTTGACATATTATTAATGCTTCTCGAAAATGAATTATATTATTCTGTTATAACAGTTGTCTTAATTAAGAGATTATTTTAACTAATTTTATATGATAATACAAATACTTAAAAAATTAATCTATAATGGTATCATCAGCACAATTTCTGTGTTACTTTGAATCACATACTTATAATCCAATCAAGATTTTATGAGGATAATCCCCTTCACCATTCTAGAGACTTAAATTTTTTGGAGTGTATAATTGAGTTTCAAAGTTAATCCCTTCATTTTTGTATATATTCTCATATGGAACAAATACTATGGAATACTTATTATTAATTACCAGAATCTGTCATCTCAGTTCCTTAGTAAATTATCATTGGCACAAGAACTTAAGCAGTCTTATTAAAAGGATTAATCTAAGTTCCTAAAATTTAAAAACTCAAAAAATCTCCAATATCAGTTATTATTAAATTTTCAGTATATTCATAAGCTATTGACTATATGGGATTAACTTCATTTTTTCCAAATTAATATATTTTGTAACAAAAGTAAATGAAACTTACTAAATATATTAATATTGAAATAATTCCACCAAGAACTGTTTGATAGTTATTTTATTCTTATTTTATTTTTGGTTTATAGACAGCTCCAAATTTATCAAAAGATGCAATAAAATCCATAATAAATTAAAAATTTATATTAATTATAATTTTTACTCTTAATTATTTTGATATATATAACTCTAAATTCATCTTAATCAGTGATTAATAGATAATTTAATTTATTTACTGATATAATAATGGAATATAAGTTTAATGACTATCATTTAAATCATTTAACATTGATAATAATAAAACATGAAAACTTCTATATTAAAACGGATTATATTTATATAAATATTAAATTACCTAATGTAAAAATTCTTAGCTTTTACATTGACTATTTATTTAGTATGCTCTGTAGACCCTAGCATGGTGTAATTGAGCACTGAAAAAATTGATGAGATATCTTAAAGTAATTTAGGAAGATTTATTATTGAGATGGCTCAGACTCATGCAGAAATGAGAGGGCCTTTAGGTATAAATGAGTAATTAATATAAAAGATGATTTAGTAACAGCAATTGGTGATTTGGAAAATGAACTGACTGTTGAATTGCAATAATTAGAAGATGATTTTACTAGATCAACTAATTAACATTAAATAACTCAAGAAAACTTAGATATTAATATAGGTCAAACAGAAATTAACATATTTAATCAAAAAGACTTTATTGATGCTATTTTATTACCAAGCATTGATTAAACTAATTAAAAAATAGATAGATTAAATGGTTTTATGAATGACAATAGAGATTCATTAGCAAGAGAAACATTAAATAGATAAAATTAACATTAAGCTTATTTAGACAGAGGTAATATAAATAAATAAATAAAATAATTTTAGTGAGTGAACATTAAGGTGCCATAAGTGCAGTAGATGAAGCTTTGTAATTGATTAATTCATTAATTAATGGAAATATAGCATTCTCTGAGAAAGCAACAATTCATTAAGCTATAAAAAGAGTTAATAATAAGATCACAAAAACTAGCACTATTCACCCACTTGTTGAAGCTTTACTTTAATTGACTTAAAACTTCTCTGATTAAGGATAAGCCAAGAAAATAAGAGATTTATTATAAGATACTAGAAATTAATTAGTTGCTAGTTTAAATTAAGTAATATTGATGTGATATATTATTAATTAGGAAAATATTGATGAAAAATAGATTGAAGAGACTTGGGTTGAGAGATAAAAAACATTAAACACTGAATATTAAGAATTTAAAAGATCTCTTCTTGAAGCTACTTATGTTTTGGCTGCATATTAAAGTATTAATAAATATTTTATATATTACAGATAAATTAAAATCAACTCAAGAAGCCTTAGCTTAAAATGAACTTGATTTATAAAATTACAATGAATCTTTATGTAAAATAAATATTATATATATTAATTAGAATAGGATAAAGATGCTTAAGCTTAAGAAACTTAAATTTATAATGAATTGAAGGCTCAATATTAAATTCAACTCTAAACTACTAGAAATGCTAAAGATTTTGTTAACTCTGCAGAATTTAGCACAATAATTAGAAACAAATTAAATTAAGGGGGATTAGTATGATTGATGAGAATTAAATATTAATATGTAAATTACATAAAATTCACATTCTCCACCACCTGCAAAAAAATAGCATCTCAAATTGCATGTTTAACCTATTCAATTACCAGATGCAAATGTATTGAATAAAACAGTAGGCAATTCAGATCCAGAAATTGGTAGTAAATCAATTAAAACTGAAAGAGTCACTGCATTCAAGCAAAATAAAAAGTTTCACATTAAGTAAGTTTAACACAACACTCATAACAGATTATAAACAAATCATCCGCGGCTTATGCAATAAGAAAATGACGGTTTATCTTTGATATTGTATAAATAATCTTAGACATCAACATCAGAGAAAATTATCACAAGTATCATCATCTTATTTAGATAATAGAATAATTAGTCAATGATTTGAGAAATAAAATAGATTAACAGGACTCTGTTATCAGATTATAAGAGTTCAAAATTAATAGATTACAATAGGAACTTATATCACAAAAATAATATTGCTCAAATTTATTAGCTAAAATATATTAAAATGATCCTAAAAGTTAATATATTAGTACAGTTAAGGTTCCTAAATTAGGTCTTCAATTTCAAGAAAACACATAATTAAGTTCATAATAATAATCTTTGTTAAAGATATCAAATAATCATGAATATACAAAAATTAAGAATCTACAAAACTAAATTATATTATTAAAATAAAAATAGAGTGAATTCAAAAATTTCGTTAAAGATACTTTTTTATCTATTAAAAAGATAATTTAATCTTTTGAAATATTATCAAAAGAAAAAATTTAAAGTGTTTAAATGGAAAATAAATTAATATTGAATTCTCTTGAAGAAATGATCAAAAATAACAATATGTAATTAAATATTTATTAAAATAGTTAAAATAAAGAAGAACTAAGTAAAATTAATTAAAAAGCTGAAATCATTTGTTAAGAATTAGTTCTTGCTGAATCATAAAAGGAGGTCTACTATTAAAAATGTCTTTCATTATTAAGTTGATCTCATCTTATCTATTACATCGATTTATAATTATTTATAAATATATCAAAAACATTTTTATATAATATTTAGTAAAGACATCTTCTAATTAATATAGATAATTAATATAAACTAAGAATTTATATCAAAAATAGTAAAATAATTATATACATAAGTAGAAATTATATTTATAAATCTCTTATAGAAATATTTAAGCAAATAAAAAATTATATTTTATTGTTTTTCTAATGTAATTTTTTATTATTTGATAAAATAATATATAAAAATTGATAATTTTGGAAGAAAAATGGATTAGGGATGGGAAGTAAGTGAAGAACACTACTTAGAGCATTTAATATAAAATCCTCTATTTTTAAAGAGGTAGGGATCTTAATAAATTCATAAGCCTGCCATTTTGGCATCTTAAGAATCACCAAAAACAAGGATGAGATTTAGAACTACTTCTATGCCAAAATTAGATGAGAGCAGCAAACCAAATTCGCCTAACAAGAAACCAGCTTTAGAACCATAGACAAAAATGGAATCCCAAAATAAATATTAGCAATCATCAATTATATTGAAAACACCTATTAGATAACAAAAATTATAATTATATCCACAGAAAATATCTCTTAGATCTACCTTATTTTAAACCCCCTTAGAAGAGTGTAGTCCAATAAAATTGGGTAGAACACTTTAACCTAAGCAATTTAATCCTGTACTTTAGAATATAAATGACATCAATTATAATGGAATGAGAGGTTAAACTAGATCAGTAAAGAGTGCTTCAATGAGCAATCTTTTAAATAATGATGAACGTGTAATTTAAAAGAAAAGATTAGAAGATTTTGTCTTCAAAATTAGACCATAACGAAATGCTAGTATTATTTATGTAAACTCTTAAAGCTCACTACAGACTACTACAGATGATATTGTACTAAGAAAAATCTAAAAATGATTGAAATATTATTTATATTTAATGACTAATTATTTATTGTAACAGATTAAGGATAGACAAAATAAAGATTAACTTATTAATGTAATTAAAACTGATAGACATCCTATGTTTAAAATAATGGATTAGGAATTTGCATTGCCATCTATGAAGAATGAATAAAAATATAATGAGTTTATGGGTCATATTAGATAACTTTTAGATAGAAACAAAGTTAAATCTTAAAATAACATAAATCCATTAAGAATTCAGAATAATTTTATTCTGAATAAAGGAACTAAGCAAGGTTCTAGGAAAAAGTTACTTGAAACAAAAGTCAATGATGAGTAATAATAATAAAAATAAATGCAAAATTAATAGATTTTAAGTGATCCAACAGATTCATAGACCTAAAGAGTATTATAGTATTAATAACGGATTGGATTAGTAAGGAAACATGATAAGACTGAGTTATAATTAAGATAGATTGCATAGAAACATAATATAAAATGGTGAATTGATTTATTAATTATATACTTATGAATCAAATAGTTTCTGGGATTCAATTCAATGTAGGTGCTAGATATGAAGTTAAAAAATTATTAGGAGCTGGTGCCTATGGACATGTTGCTCTTGCTATTGATAAGAAACAAACTGATCCAGAGAAACAGAAAGTGGCTATTAAGAAACTACATCTAGTAAGAGATGAAATTGATGCAAAAAGAGTGTTGAGAGAAATTAGAATTTTAAGAACAATGCAGCATGAGAATATTTTACATTTAGAGAACCTAATCTATGATGAATCCAATAAAGAGTTAGAATTTGGAGAAATTTATTTAGTTACTAATTATCTTGAAGTAGATCTTTATAAGATTATTAAAAGTGGATAGAATCTTACAGATTAACATTACCAATATATAATGTAATTACTATATTACTATTTAGATATCAATTACTTAAAGGGTTAAAATATTTGCACTCTGCAAGTATTGTGCATAGAGATATTAAGCCAAGTAATATATTGGCTACTGAAAATTGTGAAATATGTTATTGTGATTTTGGATTGGCAAGATAAATAGAAGAGTTGGAAGCAGAGGATAATAGATGCCAAAATATGTTGACAGAATATGTTGTAACAAGTATTAAATATATATAATATTTAGGGTATTATAGAGCTCCTGAAGTAATGTTATCATCACATGAATATTCAACTGCAATTGATATTTGGTCATTAGGATGTACATTTGCTGAATTAATTACTAAGCAGATTTTATTTAAAGGAACTAATTATATATAAATGATAAAACTTATATTTGATACTTTAGGTAAACCTTAAGATGATGATTTATAATTTATTACAAATAGTAATGCAAAGAAATATGTGAATAGTCTTTAAACAAAATAAAAATGTTCAATTGGAAGTGTAATAAAATATTCAAATCCACTTGCAATAGATTTGTTAGATAAAATGCTAGAAATCAATCCTAAAAAAAGAATTACAAGTGCTTAAGTACTAAATTCATAAATATTTTTCAGGCATTAAATCATCCATATTTAGAATCTATAAGAGATCCTGATGATGAACCTTCATTTGAAGGAAATCTAGATTCTTAATTTGAAAATGATAATACTATATTATTGAAAGATTTGAAAATTTTAATCTTAAATGAATTAAATTTGATGAAATAAATTAATAATGAACCATTGATAAATATTCAATTAGAAGTTGAAAAAAGAGAACAAATAGTAAAAATAAATTAATAAAAAAAATAATAATTGAAATAATAACAACAAAAATAATGAAAAATCTTTTATTATTATTTAATTGAAATACATAAATATATTTTAAATTATCTAATTACTTCTTCTATTTTAGGTATTTTATTATCATAATAAATTATTTATAAAAGTAGGTTTTGAAAATCCAATCAATATTAATTTTATTTTTTTAATGTAATAATTTTAACAGAAAATTTTAGTAGTATTAATAATTAAAGTTTGAAATGGCTGATCTAAAATTCAAAATTCCTCCAACTAAAACTTTAGAGTAGGAGAAGCAAAAATTACTTAAAGAGAAAGATGAGATAGTTTTTAGATTTGAATAATAATGGATTAAAGATTTGGATGAAGTGGGTAAATACAAAAAAGGAATCAGAATTAAAAACTATGTTGATGGAAGTAAGTATGAAGGTGAAGTAATTAATGAAAAAAGAAATGGAAAAGGAATTTATCATTATAGTAATGGAGATAAATATGTAGGAGAATGGAAGGATGATAGGTAATGTACATTAAATAAATTAGATTTCATGGAAGAGGAGTTTATATATTTGCAAATGGAGAAAGGTATGATGGGGAATTAAGAGAGAGTGCTAAACATGGAAGAGGAGTTTATTTATATGTGAATGGAAATAAATATGAAGGAGAATGGATGAATGATAAAAAAAATGGAAAAGGTTCTTATACTTACTTTGCAACAAATGAGAAATATGATGGACAATGGTTAGATGGAGAGAAACATGGAACTGGTATGTACATATATACTAGTGGTGACAAATATTATGGAGAGTGGAGAGATGGAGAAAAATGCGGAAAAGGTGTTTTTGAATATTAAAATGGATCAAGATTTGAAGGAGAGTTTTTAGAAGATAAAGCGAATGGTTTTGGGGTTATGCAATATTCAAGTGAAGATAGATATGAAGGAGAATGGACTGGAGGATAAAAGCATGGTTAAGGCACTTATTTTTATGCAGATGGAGCAAAATATTAAGGAGAATGGAGAAATGAAAATTAGAATGGAAATGGAATATTTTATTATGTTAATGGTGATAGATATGAAGGAACTTTTGTTGATGGTGAACGTTGTGGCAAAGGAATTTATTATTATTTGAGTGGAGATAAATATGAAGGAGAATATAGAAATGATGTTAGGAATGGTTAAGGAGTTTTAATGTTAACTAATGGTGATGTGTTTATGGGAGAATGGGCTAATGGAACAAAGAATGGTTAAGGACGCTATGAATATGCAAACGGAGATTATTATGATGGTTTCTTTTAGGATGGTAAAAGATAAGGAAAAGGAACATATCATTGGAAGAATGGATAGAAATATGTTGGTTAATGGAAAAATGATAGAATGGATGGAGAGATGGAACCAATTGTTGCAATAAAATAAAGTAAATTTTCGAATGACTACTTAATTGATGTATGAATAAACTTATAATTAATGAAAATTTTAATTGTAAATGGGTATGGCAAATGTCTAAAAGGATTCAGAAGTTCCGAACATTTTAAATAAATCATAAAAGATGTATTAATCAATTCTTAATGCAGTTGCTTACAGGAAAGAAGGAAATGATAGATACAGAGTTAGAGTTCTTTATTGCAGATAGAGACACAATTGATGATTTTCTATATGAGATTGATAGTTCATTTGTAAGGATTGAATGTGGCAAAATGTTTGATTCTATTGATTTAATATTTTTTGAAGGAGATGCCAATCTTAGACCATGGTCACCTAATGCATATAAATTTCTAATTCTATTGAGAATGTGTATGAGAAGCAATAAAATACTATTTGCTTCTTCCTTTGCTATGCAAGGATTAGTGTTCTTGATAGCATCTAATATTGAGTGTGTAAATTTGTACTTTACTTTAGTAAATTTCAATAATAAATGGATTAAATGGAAGTTAATTGGGAGACTTGTCTAAAATAAAAAAATCAATGAATGAAATTCGTATGAGTGATTATTTCCTTGATAATGTTACTGGAGATCTGTACAGTTTCAATTACGATACTGGAGAATGGGTAGGTAAAGGGAACGCAGGACTACATAGTAGAAGAGCAGCTGAGGAGTTCAAGACTATAGGTAAGTATATAGTAAAAGCACCTTAATATAAAGTATAAAGGATGAAAGAAATAGATTAATTATATGTATCAAAAGAAAACGAAGTTGTTTGTTCATTGAGAAAGAACTCTATGCATAATTATTTATTCTATGATTTACCATTTGAATTTGTTGTTCCATTCAAGAATTCATGGGATGTTCATCCATTTAATTTTGTGAATCCCAAAAAAACATTTCAAACTATGGCTGATTGTGAAAAAGGTGACTAATTCTATTTTAAATTTTAGGTCCTCTTGTTATTTGTATTTCTGACAACATAGTGGCTACTTAATTTTCAATTAGAACTAAATATAAAGATACTATATAGATGTTAAGAAACTTTATGGGTTATTAGCTTAGTAATCATCATTAATATCTATTATATAGCCAAACTATGCTCAGGAAGAGCCTAAACCATACCAATAGAGATTGCTTCTGTAAAGCATAATGATAATGCTATGGATATCTACTTAGAACAATTAAGTAGGAGTAAATATAGTAATTAGAAAACGATAAAATTTAATGTAATTACAGAATTTCATCATGCTGGATTTGCAGCTAAGAAATCAAATTAACTTGATGTAGTTGTAAATAATGCTATTGGCAAGAAGAAATTCAAATAAACATAATAAAAACTTAATCCAAAAGACTTAGATTAACTCTTATTATATGTATAAAATAATTTTATTAATAGAATCCTTCCCCTTAATTTTCATAAAATTAGTAATAAGATGCTGATAGGAAACCAAGTATTTATAGTGCTTAACCTAATCATTATGAAGAAAAAACTTAAGCTTTTTAAAAAACAAATTTAGAGATCATTTAAATTCTCCATCCTTCTATTGATGCTACTATTTTTACATAAAATAAACCTTTTTGGGTTCCAGGATATTTATCTTAGTTTCGTCTTTAAAAAAGTCAAATGAGCAAGAAATAAAATACAACTAGTGAAGATGGTCCATCTAATACTAATATATTGACTGAATTTAAATAAAATACTACTCCAAGAATGCCTAGAACTTCTTCTTAACCTCATTTTAGAGTTATCTAAAAAGATAAATGGATGACAAACAAAAATTTTTAAGTTTGAATATATATTTATTATTATTTTTAATGAGTCTAACTTTATTAAATAAGAAATATTAGGCATTGATGCTTAGAGAAAAGTAAATAGAAGATCATTTTGATCCTGTTATTAGGCACAAGAAATAACATCATAATATTGAAGATCTTCGTTAAGATTATTAAGAAGACTTAGAGAACTATGGTATTTTCATATTTCTATATTTTTTTAAGGATTTTCTAAATAATCTTTTAAAGCCAAAAAAGAATAAGAACTAGAAAATTTATAAATAACACCTGAAAAATCACTTAGACCAATGACTGCATTAATATCTCCTAGTTAGAGTTCAGTTTAAAGATAAAGACCTATTACAGCACCTGGTCTAAATACATAAACTAAATAAATGATGAAAATTGATGAAAATGAAGAAATGATCTAATTGCCTTATCATTCAGAGACAAAATATTGGAGAAATACAAAAAAATATGATAAAAGTTTCAATTAATTAATATTATTAATTAGCAAATTAGAATGTTGTTAGGAATCATTCAGCTTTAAAAAAGGTATCATTAGGAGGAGAATGTGAAAATTATAATATTGAAGAATAAGAGATCAAAAATCATAATATGATTGAAAAATAAATTATTAAAAATCGTTTGCTTTCACCAACTTATGTTTCATAAAGACATTAAGTTAATGATAGAGATATCTAATAATTAACAGAAGGTTTTTATTAACATGTAGCATTAATAAAAGGCACTTCTCAAATTAAGAAAAGTAAACCATAACCTGGTTTCTAATTATATGATAATCTATTAGATTTGATGAAACTAATAAATTCAGAAAAATCTAATAAAAGTCCAATAATTACAAAAACTTCATCTTAAGGATTTAGACCTTAAACTGCTATTAGTAGGTAAACCAAAGGCAATTAGAGACCTTTCAGTAGTAAACTCCAATCAGTAGGTGTTAGAGCATTTTAATAGTGATGTTGTAATTTCTCCCAATATTTTTAATTATCATTTTGCAAACTTCTTTATTATAAATGTAAAGGATATTTATAGTTATCAATTGCAAATTCAAATATAAATATAAATTATTTAACTTAACCAAAATAAAATATATATGATGATTGATTATGTTAATTTTGTTTGATAAATTATTCTTATTACAATATAAGAATAATTAGATTTTTATTATAATTCACACTTCTTTATTAGATTATTCTTAATGTAAAATGGTAATAATTAAACTATATTATTTAAAGATATTATAATCATATATTGATTCATTATATATATATATATCATCATTTTGTGATTAACTTTTTTAGTTAGTTTCTTGAAAAACATTATTGAAATTAATATATAATATAATGAATTTCTTAGATAAAAGAAATAAAATAGAAATTCTTTAAGAGAGAGCTGCTCTTTATAATAAAGTCTAAGATGAACTATACGAAAAGGAAGTCCCAGAATTTGAACATACAAAATTGATCAAACCAGTTTTAGATTAGCATATTGAAGAGTTCGCTACATAATAACCTCCTGCTAACCTTAATAGTGTAACTAAATCATTGCCTAAACCTCCAGTTTCAGTTTTGACTACTTCTGCATTGATTTCATTAGGACTTGATAATTATGGAACTATGACTACATAAATGCAGGATGTAAATCGTAAAAGAGAGGAAAATTTTAATCATTATAAGTAACTAAAAAAGGAAGGACGATTAGAAGAACTTGTGAAACCATTAAAACAATAGAAAGAAAAAGATTAAGCTACTTAAGCAATTTTATTTAAGGTTGATCATCTTAAAGATTATGAAGATAAAACTCATACAGGATATGCTTAACATAAATCAGCACACAGAACATATTATGGTATTAGATTATAAATTATAATAATATAGTTGTTGATGAGACAATGAAGGAAATGATTAATGAGCCAAACATCAAAAATCATTTAATGAAAAATGATTTAAATACATTTTTCGATTCTTATCTTAAACATAAAAATACTTTAAGAGGTGCAGTCAAATAACCAGCTCGTGCAAAATGAATTATATTAAGTTCATATTATATAAATGTTATTAATAGAAAATTATAAATAATTTATAATAGATTAAGAATGATATTAATACAATTGATGGATATATCTTGAACATTTATAGATTCTATAATTAAAGAAGAAGTAGTTTATAATAAGTTATTAAATATAAATGATATCAATCACAAAATTGTGCAAAGACATGGAGATTCTTGATTTGCCATATCAGTGTTGTATTATTTCCAATTTTCAACTATTGAAATCAATTGATCTCATACCTATAAATACTTCATTCTTCTATTTAAATTAAATACGATGTTTTTTCTCTCCATGTTTAATTATATTTCCATAGCTATCTTTTCTGATATCAATATCACCATCTGATAATGAATGACTTACTTTCAAAATAGGACTCAATTTTTTGGGTGATTCACTATTAAAAACTGATTGATTTATTCCAAATTACTAATAATAATTTGATTCAGACATTTTTATAATAAATTATTTGATTTATTCATAAATTTGTTTCCTTCCATACTTTTTCAACATAAGGCTTGGATATTTCTAATAATCTTTTTAAATAGCCTTTCTTTTAGGCCAACTTTAAAGCAACCAGAAAAGAAACAAATAGAGTTGCATTAACTACATGTCTTTAAGGTAACTCAGCAAATTTGAAACTATTAGATATATTAATTATTTATACAATAATGACAATGTTTATAACTTATTTTTAGTAAATGGAGGATATCTAATATTGAATGGATATATATTCAAAGTAGATTTAGTAAATACAGGTTTTGCATGACAACAACTTTTGAATCCTGTAATACCATGATAGGCACCATAACCACTATTTCCAACACCACCAAAAGGTAAATTTGGATCTAATATAATAATTACATATACTCAATAAATGAAATAAGGAATCATTATGTACTATAGCACCAGATGAAGTTTATTATTCTAGTAGTTTTTTATTTTTGCTACTGCTTCCATAATAATACAAAGCCAATGGTTTGGGTCTAGAATTTATAAATTGAATGACTTCATTAATATTATCGAATGTAAGCACAGGAAGAATGGGACCAAATATTTCTTCAGTCATTAATTTAGATTAGACTTATGGTTATAAAATGATAGTAGGTTCAACATATCTTTGATCTACATTTACTTAACCTCCTACAACTACTTATCCATTATGATCTTTAAGAAGTTCTTTTAATCTTTATGTATGAAATTCAGTCACAATTTTAGAATAATCATTTGATTTTTAAGGGTTTTCTCCAAAAAATCTTTTTAATTCAGTCTTCATCTCATTAATAAAGGCATCTTTAATAGATTAATGTACAAACACATAATCACAAGCAACACAAGTTTAACCTGCATTTATAAATCTACCTTAAATAATTCTCTAAACTGTAACATTTAAACTACAATCTTTATCGACTATAGTTGGTGATTTACCACCTAATTCTAATATACATGGCACTAAATTTTCACTTGCAGCTCTGGCGACCAATTTACCTTTCTCTGGGCTTCCTGTAAATATAATTAAATCAAATGGAAGTGTAGTAATCTTCTTTGAAACTTCTACACCTCCTTATATAACTGCATAACAAGATTAATCAAGATACTTTGTAACTAAATTGTACATAACTTGAGAAGAGTGTGGAGCAATTTCTGATGGTTTAAGAATAACACAATTTCCTGCAGCAATTGCAGCAGCCATAGGAGGAATTCCTGTGTAAAGTGGATAATTCCATGCAGCTATTACCAAAACTACTCCTAAAGGTTCATAAATTATTTTTGATGACCCAGGCCCAATTACCTATAAAATAAAAAAAATAATAATTACAAATGGTGTATCTACATTTTCTTCTTTACTCCATTCATCAATATGTGCCAATTAATTTTCAACTTCTACCTTAGTTACAATTGTTGAAGTCATTTAACTACTGAAAATAGTCACTCCCAAATCCTTTTCTAAAGCTATATGAAATTCTTATTCCATTTCATCAAGGCCTTTTAATAAATTTCTGAGTTAAGCTTTTCTAAATTTAATACACTTTGTTTTGTGAGTATTAAAGGTTTCTTTTAATTTTTAAAAGATTGGTTGAATGATTTCTGAATTATCTTATATTTATGCCATCAAAATAATTAATTTAATGATAAATCAGGTTGACGACTAGATTTTTAAGAAGATGATTGATTAAACAAGTCCTTAATCTATTACAACTCAAAAATTGTGTTTGAGATTAGGATATGATCCAAATGATCTTATTTATAAGTTTAATTCAACTATATATATTAGATCAATTGAGTAGTTTCCATCAGTTTCACCAGAAGTTCAAGCGATGAGATATAATCATTATAAAAATAGAATTATGAGTAAGATTACATAATAGAAAAATAGGAATCATTAATGAAATATAAGCAACAAAACAAAGGCACAAATTAGGAGATCAATCACTTAAGTAAATAACTTTCAATTAATAAGAGAATAAGTATAAATATTTAATTATTTTAGTTTCTCGAATCTCAGTGAAGAGAGTGTGATTATTTAAGAAAAAAAAGAGAAAAAAAGTTTATCAAGATAAAAAATATTGCAAAATTTAATTTATTAATAATTGTAAGAGGAAAAAAAGAATGTTGAGTATTTATAAAAACAAAATTAAAAATTACAGAATCATTAGAATATTTAATTAAGAAAAAGTGAAACAAGTTTTTCTAAAAAAAGGGTAAGAGATGGAAATAAAAATAAATCAACAGAGCAAACAGATGAATTAGAAAAAAGGAATCAATATTTTATTACATGTATTGAAAATGAATCCAGGATATAAGAATAATTATAAGGTAGATTTTTAAAGAAACATTTTAAACATGAAAATTATACAGAAAGAGCTTATGAAAAAAGAAAATAATAAGAAAATTAATTTTAATAAACTATTACTGAAAGATTGAATAAATTGCAATTAAAAGGTATGTATGTTTTTAATCAAGAAAACTAGGTTTAAACAAAGGTTGAATTATATAAAAAAGATATGAAAAATTATTTTGCCTAAAAAAATAATCAAATTGTTTATAAAAAAGAAAAGAGATCTCAATTAATTTAATTTGAATAATAATAGTACATTAAAGAATAATGTGAAAAAATGAAAAAATTTTAAGAAAATAAATCTTAATTGATTTTAGAAGAGAAAAAGAAAATAAATGAGAGAAAAGAAAAGTATATCAAAATGTTAAGAAAATGTAAAGAAAGCAATTTTGAATAATAAAATGTATTAATATTGTTTAAATAAGAAATATTAAGAAGGTTTTAGCAATACATATTAATAATTAATAAAGAAATAAGAATAAGTAATATAAAATAAAGAGAAATTACTTGAATAGAAATCTTTAATACTTAAAGATAAATTATAATTAAATTTAGAAGATGTTGAATTTAATAGAGCTCATGCTCAAAGGATTAAATAAAATATATAACTTAAATTAAATGGAAATAAAGATGCAAAATCACAATAATCAAGTCGAACTTCTGAAACATGGAAATTGAAAACTTAATTGACACAAAAAGAATCAGAAAATTCATTATGGGAAAAAGCAAAGTAGGCAGCTATTTTGTTTAAAGATCCAAAATAATATGAATAATATATTGAACAATAACAATAAATTTTACTTAAAAAGAAAAAGTCGTTGGATTAAAAATTTGCTACAGCTGCTTCAATAATCAAAGAAATATTACCTAAAAATGAAGCAGAATAATTACTTATGCCATCAGGGTTGAAAAATTTTCTTGAATAATAGAGTCGTATTAAAACATAAAAGTGAGCTATAATGTCATTATTAATTTCAAACTTATTAAATATTTAACTCTTTCTTAATTTTAACTTAATCTTTATAAAAAGCAATGAAACAAATTAATAATAGAATTAAGACTTAATTATTTATATAGGATTAATTTTATTATGAATGGTTTTAAATAAATTATATAGGTTTAGTAATCATTTGGAAATAGTAGTGTCATATCTGAATTTAGGCAATTCTTTTGTACCTTATGTTTGGGATTCTCTCAAAATTGGTTATTTTAAAATAGATAAGAGAGTGCCTTTCTTTTTTAAAACTAAAGAAAAGGACTTACATTCTATTTCTTAAAGTAATTATTCTGTCTTGAACTTTGTTTTTAAAGGATTTCCTTATTAGTCTGCAGAGAATACTTCGTAAATCTCAGCATTTTCATTTATATCTTAATCATAGTATATTTGAGTAAAATAATCAATAGCTGTTTCTATGGCCTCAATCATTAAAGAATCAGGAGTAATTTCAATTTATACTTGTAACATTTTCTAACCAACTTTTAAACTGAAGTTATATTAGCATAATTGCATTTCATTAATGTATGCTGATTCAGCAAGAGTTGATGAAGTTGCCTTAACATTTTATTTAGACATTTTTTTTCAATTGAATATTAAAATATTTTTATTTATAATTCATTCTTATTATTCAAAATTAGAAATAAAACTGAGTTCATTATCTAAGAATTATCTTTTATTTTATTTCATATCTATTCTAGAAATATCAACACTAAAAAGTATATTTGGTTCTTCTTATTGATTATTTTATTGTTATTTTTTACTTTTTAATTCAGCTAATAGTAATTGAATTTCATTTTTAGTCTAAATTAATATAAAATAAATACTATAGCTACAACTGATTGTTTTGGTGGTTAATAAAGTGCAATATTATTAGTATTAGAAAAGTACAAGAAAGGATTACTATAAGATCTTTTAATAGCCTTTTTAAGTACAGGTTAGTCTTTCATTTAATTCATTAATTAAATCTTTTTGACATTACTGAACTACAATTAGTAGAAAGATTAATTACATCTAATTTCTTAAAATAATCATTAAACATAGACAATAAAAATGTTATACATTCTTATTTAGTCATATCATAATATTGAAGAATTTAACCTTATTATTATTATTAATTTAACTTTCTTAATTGTTGATTATCTACTCTTGCTGTTTAACAAATATATTAAGCAGCTTCTTCATTAGATGATTCATCTATTTCAAGTTATGGTAAATTAGGTTTTAAGATAATATTATTTTATTATTTTTTATTTGATGATTAATTATTATCATATGATTGTTATTCTTTTGAATTGATTTTATTATTATTATCATTAATATTTTAATTATGAGTTTTAATTGAGGAAGATTATTATGAATTTGATTATATTTTTTATTAAAATTTTGGACTAATTATTTTAACTGCAATGTCTTATTCTTAATTAAGAATTATTGAATTATATGTTATTTTTCTATTTCTCAATTATTCTATTAAACTCTAACATTATTTTTTATAAAATTATAATTCAATTTGCTACTTTTCATTTCTTTCATCTTTCAATTAATTAGATTTTATGATCAATTCATTAGTATCTAATATGGATTCATATTTTTAAATTAGTTCATTATATAATTTTCTTATATTAATGTGAGCATTTTTTTCTTTTTCAAATAATTCTTTAAATCCTTTCACCATCATTTCCATCTTATGTAATTTTTCTTAATAAATCATCCTTTCATTTTTGCTTAAATATTTGAGTTATTGGGGTTCTGGAGAAAATCCATAACCTAAACCATAATTACCATATAATTCTTGATGTAAAGACTCTAATTTTCCTCTATGATTTTAAACTTCTCTATTGAGTTCTAAATTGTCATCAGTCTTATCAATAAATTCATTATAAACAAAATCTACTCTAAGTCTAAATGGATTTACCTTTCATACACTAGTAGTTTGTTTAACTGCGTAAGACAATTCTCATTTTAAAGATTTCTCTTTTCAAATGCTATATATAATTAGATTATGATTATACATAATTAACTTCTCTAAGTGTTTTATTGGTTTCTGTAATAGATTGAGCTTCAGTAGTAATTTTATTAAGTAAATTTCGAACATTCTCTAATTCTTCATGTAATTTTAAATTCTATTCTGAAGGAGTGATAATTTCAATTAATTTTACTAATTATCCTTCTTTTTCTTATATAGGTTTCATCCTCTCCAATTCTTAAATTGCATATTCCTTATCATGAATACTTCTTTTCAAGTCTATTAATTTATATTCTAAATCTGATATTAAATCTTTGTAATAGTTTTGCTGTTCTTCTGATATCTATTCTTATAGTAATAACTTAGTTTATAATTATTATGCTATTTTCTATTGATTTAAGAATCCTTTCATGAGTTTTTCATTTTCTTCATTCAGTAATTTTATTGCACTTTCTATTTGAGAATTCTAATAATTCGTATAACACATAGACATCGTACTTGAATCAGATGTCATCTATATAATTTTAAATCATTTTACTTGAGATCGCTTATTCACTCCTTCCATTGTAAGTGACATAGCTTACTTATTCAATTTTAAAACATTCTCAAGGTCAACAATATATTCTTACAATTACTTATTCTATTCCTATAAATAATGAATTTTTGATTATTATCTATTTGAAACAGATTCATTGACTTCAGTTCCTAATATCATTTGGCAAATGAAAAGTATAAATTATTAATAATTATAAATAAAAAAAACAGTATTAATAAATATGATATTAATATATTATTTTTATATAAAAATAATCAAAAATGTATAAAGTAGATTTATTGTTTTTTTGATAAATTAAATTGGATTACTTGTTGATTAAAATTAAAAATAAATATATCATAATATCAGAGATTTTTGTATTAAATACTAATGAATATTTAATAAATTTAATTAAATATCAGACTCTATCATAATCGATTGAAATATTAAATATAAATAGATCAAAAATAATAGGTCAACTCTATTAAATTTGATTAATTAAAGATATTTTTTATTTATTCTTTCTATAATTTATTTATAAACAAATTATATCTTAAAATATATCTATCTATTTATATATTATAAATTAATATATAAGTAAGTATATAGTTTATGAGTATATATATATGAGAGATCTATAAAATTGATAAGTTTCTAATTTCAATTTACTTTTTAACTTAAAAGTATTATAATTAATAATATTGAATAATAATGATATGATAGTATAATAATTTAAAGTATTTAACTACAACAATCATATAATTAAATTATAATTCAATATCAGTATCCATCAATTAATAATTAGATTTGATTAGTAAATTAAAATTAGTTTTTTGATTGTTTTGTTTTGAAATTAAAAAAATCATTGTTTTCTTTTTCTTTATGTAATATATCGTAATTTAGTCTAAAGCAAAATATTTAATATGAAACATAACAAATAATAGAGCCACTATATTCTGGACTTCTAAGATATTGAAGACATATCAGATAATGAATCAGAAAGTTCTAAACAGTCAAATCAACAATAATAAATAAATTAATCAACTCCAACTCCTAATCGAATAGAATTATAGATACCCAATTTACAAGTTAAAAAAGAAACAGTAGAAATTCCATCCATTTTGATATAAGAGGATGAAGAACCTGTAATCAGACGAAAGTAGGATATTCATAAACAATAATGGTAAGTCAACTTTGATGAATTATCGGAATAGGAATTAGAAGAAAGTGACAGGTCAGAGGTTGCTATAGAGATACAGAAAGACCCTAGTCCACTTACTATAGCAGTTGAAGAACCTTAATATATTGAATAATATTTTGATGATCAAAATGTAATAGAAGAGATAGATATTGAATAAGAGTAATTAAAAATGGAATAAAGGAAGGAATAATTGAAATAAGATTTAATAACAAAATAATAACAAAAACAAATTANTTTTTTTGATAAATTAAATTGGATTACTTGTTGATTAAAATTAAAAATAAATATATCATAATATCAGAGATTTTTGTATTAAATACTAATGAATATTTAATAAATTTAATTAAATATCAGACTCTATCATAATCGATTGAAATATTAAATATAAATAGATCAAAAATAATAGGTCAACTCTATTAAATTTGATTAATTAAAGATATTTTTTATTTATTCTTTCTATAATTTATTTATAAACAAATTATATCTTAAAATATATCTATCTATTTATATATTATAAATTAATATATAAGTAAGTATATAGTTTATGAGTATATATATATGAGAGATCTATAAAATTGATAAGTTTCTAATTTCAATTTACTTTTTAACTTAAAAGTATTATAATTAATAATATTGAATAATAATGATATGATAGTATAATAATTTAAAGTATTTAACTACAACAATCATATAATTAAATTATAATTCAATATCAGTATAGTATGGTAAATTTTGTTTACTACTATCCATCAATTAATAATTAGATTTGATTAGTAAATTAAAATTAGTTTTTTGATTGTTTTGTTTTGAAATTAAAAAAATCATTGTTTTCTTTTTCTTTATGTAATATATCGTAATTTAGTCTAAAGCAAAATATTTAATATGAAACATAACAAATAATAGAGCCACTATATTCTGGACTTCTAAGATATTGAAGACATATCAGATAATGAATCAGAAAGTTCTAAACAGTCAAATCAACAATAATAAATAAATTAATCAACTCCAACTCCTAATCGAATAGAATTATAGATACCCAATTTACAAGTTAAAAAAGAAACAGTAGAAATTCCATCCATTTTGATATAAGAGGATGAAGAACCTGTAATCAGACGAAAGTAGGATATTCATAAACAATAATGGTAAGTCAACTTTGATGAATTATCGGAATAGGAATTAGAAGAAAGTGACAGGTCAGAGGTTGCTATAGAGATACAGAAAGACCCTAGTCCACTTACTATAGCAGTTGAAGAACCTTAATATATTGAATAATATTTTGATGATCAAAATGTAATAGAAGAGATAGATATTGAATAAGAGTAATTAAAAATGGAATAAAGGAAGGAATAATTGAAATAAGATTTAATAACAAAATAATAACAAAAACAAATTACAAAAGTTCAATAGGTTCAAATGGAATAATAAAGAGTTTAAGAAATTGTAAATTTATCAATAAATAAAAATATAGAAATAAAGTAAAGGTATAAATAGAAATTTTATAATCCTAAAAATTCATTGTTATATTTAAGATTAAAAGGTAGGGAAGATTTGTATAAAAAATAAGAGTAAATTATTGATGATTAGACTAAACCTGTAGAATAAGATGAATATTTAGAAGGTTTAGAATGTATTAATAATTTATTAATTGGATTATCTAAAATAAAAGATAAGAAACTTGGTATTATTGAAAAATAGAAAATATTACCATTGTAAATCCAAAGACATCGTTTAGATGAGAAAGGTGATCATCATAAAGAATCTAAAATATAGAATAAGGATGAAAGAGACAAAGATTTAGAATAGTAAAAGAAGAATTAAAATGAAAAATAAACAGAATAAGTTATAAAATAATAATAATTATAAGAGGCACAATTAGCTAGATAGATTAGACATGAAAAGTAATTACAGGATAAAGAAAAGTAAAAATTATTAGAATAAAGATAAGTTTATAAAATATTAACAAAGAAATAAATAAATTAAGGTTTAATTCTATATAGATGTTAGTTAAGATAAAAGTAAAAAGACTCAATTAAATGGTTAAGATATTCAGAAATTGCTTTAATAAGTAAAGGGGAAAGTGAGATCTTCAATTTTGAGAAGAGAATTTCAGATCAATTGTTTATGTAATAACACAAGAGTAATATGAGGTCAGTCTTAATAACCAAATAAGCAATGTTTGATATAGTCACAATTCATTATGTTAAAGAATAAAAGGAAGTTAATGAATTTGAAGAAAAAGATGTTATTAATAATGAAATGGAAAATCTTAATTTGTCTATTAATTAAGATAAATTAGTAAACGAAAAGAAAGTTATAAAAAATAATAATAGAAAGAAGAAAGTTTAAGAAAATCAAAAGAATAGGGATTAGGAGAAACAACAGTCATAAAAAGAGAAATAGTAATAATTAGATTAATTACAATAATATGATACAATACAAAAATAAGATAATTAATAAAAAGTTAATGAACAATAATAAGATATTAAGAGAACAAAAAATAAAATTAGTTATTAAGAGAGTGATGAGGAAAAGAATGATGAGGATCTTTTGGATGCTGATTGTATATAAATATATAAAATTACTTAAGATAGATAAAGAAAATTAGATAAAAAAGATAAAGAATTGAAATAATAATAAAATAATTAGTAATAGATTGAAGAGTCAAAATAAATTGAATTAAATGAATTTGGTTAAAATAATAATAATTAGTAAATTAAAGAATTAAAAAAAGTAAAGAATCAAAAAATAAAGGAGTGTCCATTAAGTAGATTAGAAACAAATGATGAGATAAAAAAGAAATAATAAATTAATTAAAAAAGAAAAGAAAAACGTAGATAGGAATATCAATAATATTTAAATGAAATAGAATAAGAATAATTAAATGAACTTGCTATCTCTAAAAACAAAAAAGCTACTAAAGATACCTAAAATTAAAAAATTAATAAATAATTAATAAGATAAACAAATAATAAGAAAAGAAGTAATAAATAAGAAACAGAAAATAAAGAAGTTTAAACTAATGTAAATAATTCAAATGCTACAAAACAAAAAGAACAATTAAATACTAGTGAAAATAAATCAACATCTTCTAAATCATCACCAAAAGGAGAATCTATTGAATCTGGATATGTTTCATCAAAACGTATATATGAAAAAAAAGATCAAAACAAAAAAAGACTCAAAATTATTGAAGATGATGAATCAGAATTTTATGAATAGAATGCTAAATAAAATGAAAAGAAACAAAAGAAAAAAAGAGTAAGATAAAAATGAGGATATATTTTCTATATTTATCAACTCTCTTTTAGTTTAAGATTATACTTTTATAAAGATAATTATTTATTATCCAATACATAAATAGATATATTTCAAAGTTAATTAGAATATAAATGATATAATATATATATTAATATTATAAAATTAGTGTAATAACTTTACAATCAATAATAAATTCAATATTTAAGCTCTATAATTTTATTATTAGAAAGTCTGGAGCATTTTGATGTCCTTTAATCCGTTTTTATAATAAATATATTAATATGTTATAATTTAATAGTATTTAGTTGCTGCTATTAGTTTTAGCAGTTACTACATATAGTAATGAAGTTTTTGAAACTAACACAATGATACCTATTAGTGTCATAGCCTAAATTAGAAATACAGAATTTAAGAATCAAACACCTTAAAATTAATTGTTAGATAAACAAAATTAAGTTAGTGATGATAAGTATTAATGAATACTATTCAGTCTAGAAACGAAGTCAACAATTTATTTTTGATTGAATCACCTAAAAAATCATTAAAAGTTTTTTCATAGAAGTCATTATTAGTAGAACATTAACCAGAAGAAGTTCAAAAAGAATCATCTCAATAAAATGATCCAATATTATCATAGGAATAGAAAGATCAATAAAACAAGATTTCAATAAAAGTTAATAAGAAATTAATGAAGGATACAGAAATTTCATAAGAAAATAATATAGAAGAGTAGCATAGTTTAGAAAAAGAAGAACTTTAACCAATTTAAAATAATAAGATACCCATAAAAATATCATAAGAAAATTAAGAGATTGAAAATAATGATGAGAATGAAATAACCATTTAAGATATTAAAATAGAATCTATTCATAAAGAGCCTATATCTAAAATAGAAGAGAATAAATCACAAAATGAGGATGTTATCATTATTAAAATAGATGAAGAAATTAAAGCGACTCCAAGAATTTTTGGAATATTAGATAATGATTAAATTAAATAAGAAAATCTAGAGGATGAATTAAGTTTAGAGAATGACTAAGATAAAGAAGAAATTGAATAATGTGAAGGAGAAGAACTTGATACTATTCATTAATAATAGGAAAATAAACGTTAAGAATCTAATAAATTAAACATTGACTCTAAAAACAATAAAAAAACAACCAAAAAATTAAATGAAAACAATAAAAAGTTAACTTCTAATGTATTAAATAACAATAAGAAATAATAGAGTTCAAGGAAAAATTCATAATAATAATAATAATAATAATCATAGAAAAATTAAGGTTTTAATTCTAAAGAAGCTGATTAGAAATTGATTGGAGAATTAATCAAAGTATAAGCTGAAGTTGATGATGTAGATCTTAGTATTTTTACAGATGATCATTCTGATTTAATACCTATAATAGTTTAAGATTAAGAAAATACTATTATTAATTCAACAGATGATGAATTATAAGATACATAATCATAATAAGAATTAAATGAAATTAATAATTAAGATACTATTATTGATGTTAATTAAGAATTAAATTAAGATCAAATTGATGTAGTAACTACTTAGAATTTAGATATTGATGGAGAATCATTTCAAAATTTCTAATCAGAATTAGATGAATTAGCTAGAGAACTTGATTAATTGAGTTTAGATTAAATATTAAATTCTAAGGATAATAATGAAAGTGAAAATTTATAAAATGAGAGCAATAATGAATCATTATAATACATAACAATATCAACAAATAATGATCCAATTATAGTTAATTCATTAGAAGATGATTATTTTTTAGATGATTTAGATAATGAATTAAGTGAATAAACTTAATAATAAGAATATATAAATACAGCAAATGAATCATCAAATTAATAAAATGAAGTACAAATACTTATAGTGGATAATCCAGAATAACTTATAATTTAAAATGAGACCAAGGATGAAATCTAATCTTAAGATGAGATTCATATTGAAAGTGAAATAGAGTATTAATTTAATGAAGAATAATCTTAAGAAATTGAAATTAATATTTCTATTGATAATAATAATGATGAAGAAATATCTATTAATAAAGAAATTTAGGATAATGATGAAAATTAAGTTTAAAATGATTTTAAATAACCTATATAATTGGATAATGATATGGAGATGAGATAATCTGAATAATATAAACCAAATGAATTTAAAGAAATTGATTTTAAGAAGAATTCTATAATTAAAAAGGAAGTTAGTGTTAATTTAGATAATATGATAACAAATGAGAACATCAATGATTAAGATGGATTGAATGATGATGAATTTTTGAGGATTGCAACTGAATCTGAAGCTGAAATCATTGAAAATTTAGAAGATCTTTAGGATGGTATGGAGACTGTGTAATTTGATAAAAAGGTTTAAAATTAAATTTATACTTAACCTGATAAAAATTAAAGAAATTAGAAATATATTGATAATAATAAGGAATACTCATTGAAAATAGATTAGAATAGAAAATAGAGTAGATTTGAAGAGGATTATTTAGATTAAATTAAGAATACTTAGATTAGAGATTAGTATTAGAAGAGTAAGGAAGATGAATTTAATTAAATGATTAATGATTTAATAAATGAATTTGATTTTAAAAGTTAAAGAGATAGGGATATAATAGAATATGATAGATAAATCACTTAGCATATCATAGATAATATGGAAGAATCAAGATATGGAAACAGAGTTTTCAATAGAGATTTTAATGAATAGGATAATGAAGAATAATGTGATGATGAAGTAGATAATAATGATCAAGAATTTTAAGAAGCTTATACAGAATTTAAAAAAGTTGTTTAAAATAAAGAAGAATTTGATAGAGAATGTAATGATTAAGTAGACAATTCTTAGATTAGTGATTATGAAAAGGATATAGATAAGAGAAAAAAGTAAGTGATAGATAAAATTAAGAAAGAATTAATGTTAAAGAAGGAGAGACTTAAGAATAATAATAAATAAAGATCTGATAATTTATCTACTTATGATTTTGAAAGAATTTATTTGGATTGGGCAACAAACAAAGAAGATATAGTTTATAATATGTTATTGCATACAAGTAATTCAGATATGTAAAGTCAAACATTAGATGAAGTATAAAATACAAAAGTAGAGAGGATTTCTAAAAAATAAGAAGTAGAAGAAGAATTATAAAAATTATATTCTAATTATGAGAAGGATAGAAAAGGAAGATATTTAAGAGGATAGAGATGAAAGAACGATAATAAAGAATAGTATTATAAGAATGACTTTAAATAGTAAAATTATAATATTTATTAAAATAATATTTTTTTAAAATTATGCAAAGTTAATTCTCTAGTTTATACCCACAATTTAATGATTTAGAGGAAGTTCGATAATTCATTACAAGTAAAATAAATACTGTTGATCTCACTCTTTAATCCCCACCTTACCTATCATCCTTTTTTTAACCATTAAGAAAGCAAGCTTTTTAAAATTATATTGTATAATGTTATTTAAAAATTTTAGGCTGCAAAAGTAAGTGATTAAAATTAGAGGAAGATGGCAATTTATAAATTTATTTAATTAGTTGATATTGAAATATTGAGTTTATTTTCAGAACAGATCATAAAACCATATTAAAATTTGATATTGGTTAGACATTATGGAATTCCTTAAAATTTGGATGTGGAGAAATTAAAATTGGATAATTAGACTTTAGGAGCATTAAATGATTTAGCAAATTCTATTGCTTAATGGAATCTTTAAATTGAGATAGCTGTTGATAATATTACAAGAGTTCAATTATATGATCTTTGGATTCCATCAGAAAAGATTAAAGAAGCTTAATTAACAGCTGAAATTAAAGGAATCCTCTCACCATCTGATGATTTTGATTTTAAGGTATTAATAAATTAAATTAGACATATTCAAAACATATTTTGATAAGAATATTAGCTTAAGGAGCTGAGAAATTTGGAAAGTATTTATATTCAAATGGATTATCTGAATCTAATTTATCATATGGTGCAGCATTAATGATATATCATGCTTTAGTTGGAAAGTCTGCATTGCCATGGAATGTCATAATGCCTAATGTTTCATTAAAGTGGCTGGTATTGATATAAATATTGTTTAGTTTGGTGGAGTGATTGGTTCTTTGGCTTTAGGAAAAGTATCTACATATTTAGAGAAATGTGATTAAGTACAATAATTAAAAGGTTGTGCAGAAGTGTTTTAAGATATATCAAATTTTTTGATTAATTTTAATGAGACTTTAGGTGCTGCAATAAGTGATGTATTATTGACAGTAAATGAAGAATAAGAGAAGGAGAAGAAATAAAGTAATAATTGAATTGATTATTTTACAGATTTGACAACTCTTGTTGATTAATTTCTTTAATCACCAGAATCTATTAAGGATGGTTAGACTGAAATTATTACTTGTGAAGACATTATTAAACATGAATAAGATGAATGGTAATTAATTTAATGATTATTATTTAACAATATCAAAATTTAATATTGTTTTTATCAATTTAAATAAATTAAGAATAGTTTAATAAAGTTTGTATAGATTGATATTATATATATACATTTTTAGTTTGATTTGAATTATTTTAATAATATTTATTAATTAATAATAATCTTAGTCAAATATAATAATAATATAATTAATTTATAAAATATAATAATCATTGTATTCATTGGGATGATAAATGTAAAAATTAGGAATGTAATGATTTTCATTTTTTATTAATTGAAAAAATGGATGAAGATGAATCCACTTCATTTCATGAATTACCAATCAATGACAGAGTATCCAATTTATAATAAATATAAACTTGGTTTTAGAATTAGAAATTAGCAATTACAAATACTGAATTATTTACTACTTAAATCTTTGATGATCTTAAAAAATAATGTGAATAATAAAATGAAATCTTACAAAAATCTACTGAATTTCAAGAAACTAAAGAACTAATAAATTCTTTCTATAGTAAAGCATAAAGAATTTGTTTGAAAATTAAGAAAAAAACAGAACCTCGTTCTTAATTATAAGAGAGAATTAAATATTATAAAGTTAAAGAGGATGAAGAGGTTGAAAAAAATAGAGAAATATTAATAGAAGTAAAGAAGAAATTGTTATGTATAATAAGAATATCTAAAGGAATTCCATTTATTATAAATTTTATAAAGAGTTAAAATGTTAGAGATAAATAATATAAACTTACATTAATGGTTGAGGATGCCTTATTAGATGGTATCAATTGGTATCTAATGTTGAATGATATCAAAGAGTCTTAATGGAATAAAGAATTACCTTAAGAATGTAAATTAAAAGAAATTCTTCATTAATTATTAACTATTATTTGGTAATAGAGATAAGAGTTAAAGAATGAATTAAATGAAATATTTTTTAAATTGAAAAAGACATAATTAATAAAATTGTTAGATAAATAAGGAGACAAATCAGAAAAGAATGATAAATTTACATAATAGTCAACAAAAATTTTATAGAAATTACAAGAGTTTTGTAATGGACTTGAAAATATCAAATTATCATCAAATAAGGCTAATGGATTATATTATTTATAAAGAATTCTATTATCATATTGTTGGGTTAAATAAATAGAACTATCAGAAATGTTATATCATACTAAAATAACAGGTAGATTGGATAAATTAAAATAAGATAGAGATCATAGTAATGTTATTAGATTAAGATAAAAAATAACATTCTTAAGATTTGTTTATAGAATTCCAGCTGTAAAATAATGGTGTGAATAAAATTAAATTATACCTTTTGAAATGTAATCAAATATTCCTCAATATCTATAAGAATAATATGATTAATTTATGAGTGATAAAAAAGAAAAACTCTTTTCAGATACAAAAGAAGATTATTTTATAGAATCTCAATTGAAATTTTTAGCCAATAATTTTCAAATTTATAAAAATAAGATTAGAATTATATTCAATGATTTAAGATTCATATAGAATAAATAGGAAATCTATGAATTATATTAAGAATATGTTAGTAAATATGATGGTGATATAGATAAGGTTTAGAATTTGTAATTCTAAAAATAATAAAAGGATATTATAATAGCATGTTGTATAAGACATTTAGAAATTAAATTATCAAATGAAGATTTCACTAAATCTGTAATACCTTTAGTGAAATTTGATTTTTTATTGAAAAAAGAGAAACATTTTTAATTTTAATAGACATCATATGATAAATCTCAATATTCTTTTTTAGCTAAACCTTCATTAGTTAAGATATTTCTGATTGATATATTAGCATAAGAACAACCATTTCCATATATATTTGAATTCATTTATTATGAAGATGGGAAATTGTAATAATTTATAAAGAGTACTACACTTTAAGGATAATTCTTTTATTGTCCATAAATAAGAGAACATTTATCAAAAAGATACTAATTTAATATAAAATTAATAGAGAATGAAAATAAAGTGACTTTTACTTATTTGCCTACTATTCATTATGATTATGTTAAACCAGCAGCAACAGTTTTATGGGAAGATATTTTATTATATGATTTGAAACTTATTTCATTGCATAGAAATTAATTAATAGATGAAATCAATTTTATGGTTAATAGTAATAAATTTTAGACAATAAAATAATAAATTTAGTAAGATGCAAAATATTTTAATGATCATATTAAAATAATGAATGAATTAGAAATATTTAATAATTTATAGTCTAATGGAAAGAAGTTGAGATGTATATGATAGATTGATTCACAAATGTGTTATAACATATTATATGAATTTATATTATAATATAAAATGCGATAACTTTTGAAAAATGATGATTTAACAATATTGTAAATTGTTTTTTTTTAGATAGAAGAATCAATTTAAGTATAATATTAATTTTAAATAAAATATTTCTATCAAAATAATTTCTATTCTTATATACATATCTAATATTTAAATAATGGTATTATTTTCCAGCTAAAGTATAGTTGAAGATCTTGTTGTTAATAATTAATTTATATTTTTATTTATTAAATGTTAATGTATATATTATTAATTAATGCATTATGACTCTCTACATTAATGCGTTAATTTCCTTTGTTTTTTTTTATGAGCTTCAATTTAATATACTAATTAATATTAAAATTATAGATGGAAAAATTTCTTAATGGTATGATAAATAAATTATTTAGAATTAAGAAGAGTTGACATATTTGGATACTAAATCACATTGAGAATGAATTAGTAATCCACATATAGAACAGGTTTGGGAGGTTTGATGTCAATTATTGTAATTGGTGTGATGATATGGCAGTTTTCTGCTAATTTTAATTCGTTTCTCAATAAAGAATAATTGAATGCAGTATCCATAACAGAGTATGATCCAAAAATATCAGATACTACAATAACAGATAAATAATTGCTATTTGCTATTGCAATTTAATAAGAGAACTTTATTCACAATCCTTTTTTCAATATCTCTCTCATCTAAAAGTATAACAAAGTTCTCTTAAATTTTAGATACAATTATAGGTATTAGAATGGTTCTTAAGCGTCATTGTCTAAAGAAATACCATTAGTTGAATGTACATAATACAGATTTGAAAAGTACTTTTAAGAAGAAGGAAGTGATTTTTCTTAATTATACTTTAATTCATCATCTTTATCAGATTATCTATGTCCAGTGTAAAAGAAATGATTATATTAGGGAGGAAGCTAATTTTTAGTTGGGAGGTACACACATAAGTAAAATATAGTTATAAACATCTAGGTGAGGACTTTTTGTATTTATAAATAATTATAAGCAAATGCAATCATTAAGAAGCATTAAATAAAGGATATGAATGTGCTAGTTAAGAATAACTGAATGAATTTGTGGCATAACATGGAAGCTTTAAATTTTAAATCTATAATATCAACTCTATTATTAATCCATATAAATCAGATAAAAACTATAAACAATTATATTTAGATGATTCATTGTAATATACTTTCATTCCCAATTAAATTGGAAGAACAATAGATGTCTATCTAAAACATTACCATATAGTTTAAGATAACAGTTTGATGCCGTTGAGGTAATTTTGAAAGTTAAGATTTAAGTGAAACTATTATAACTGATACATTTGCAATTGAATAATTAGAAACTAAGATTGTTTCTGAATTTGGAAATCAAACTTCTGATTAATATGTTTAGATCAATTTCAAGAGAAGTCCATTTAAGACAACCATAAAAAGAAATTATATGAAATTTGATGAAATGTTATCAAATTTAGGAGGTATATAATAAATACTATTTTTTTTTGTTGGAATTGTTGTAACATTATACAATAAATTATAAAGTAATAAATTAGTATCTATTTTTTAAGTGATGATTGAATTAGCTAATAGAGTCTATGAATTTTCATTAGATAATACTGAAAAATTAAGATAATAATAAGAGAAATTAGAATTGATAAATTTAGCATTATAATAATAATAAAGATTATAAAAGGAACCTGGTTCATCTGTTAATAATTCTGATGATGAAGATAAACCTTAAACAATTCATTAAACATTAATACATCAAAAAGAAAATAATCAAGAAATAAAGAAATTAAGTGGAGTAAAAAGATTTAAAGCTGTTGTATAATACTTAACTGTATTTAAATAAAATAATTAATAAACATAATAAAAAAAAGAAAGTTTTAGAATTATTTAAGATTAAAAGATGTTAGCAATATAATTAAATTGTAAATCTGGTTTAGATTATTTTGAAAAATAAATTAAATCAATAATAAGTAGATCTAAACCTATATATTTATCATTTAAAATTTTAGTTAATGTAATCACTTGTAATAGATTATTCTCAAAATAACCAAGAATAAGATTAATTAATAAAGGTATGTAATAGGCAGCTGAATAAATAGATATTTATAATATTGTTTAAAATATGAATGAGATGGTTAAATTAAAAGAAGTAGTATTATCATATCATCAATAATTGATGTTTGGTTTTACTCCAAAACCTTAAATTACTCTTGATGATACAACTACTTAACCAACTAGAGATGTTTTAACATTGAAATTAAATAAAGAGAAAGATCAAGATGAAGAGATTGCTAATGGAGGTGATATATTCAAACCTAAGAGAGGAAGTGGTGATTAGGATAATTATTTATTCTATGCCAAAATTTATAATGTAATATCTTTATATTTATAAGTCTTATGATGATGTTCTTAGATAAAGTGAAGATGATATTCAAAATAAAAATAATAATGTTAATAAATAATTAATAGAAAAATTAGGACCTGAATTGTAATTGATATTTAAATTATCTAAATTGATTGATTTCCAATCTTAAAATAGTACATAAGTTTAAATTAAAACACCTTATCGTAGAGGTGCTATGTAATAAAAAGAACAAAATGTTTATGCAAAAATGTTTAATCCAAACACTTGAAAACAAAATAAACTACTTTTATTTTTGTTAATATAATTATTATATTCGAAATTTACTCATTATTCTTATAAAATGTTATTAATCCAAACTCCTTTTATTTATTTACCATCTAATGTTTAAAATACTCCTGCACCATGTACTTTTCCATTCTTAAATAAACCTGTATATCTTTCTGCATTTGTTAATACCAATTATCCATATCCATCTTATTAACCAAAATTAAAATCACCATCATATCGTGCCCATTTCTCTCCTAATTAATTGAAATCCTTATAATTAAAAGCCTCCTAACAACTTTATGCATTTTAGTTTTTTAATATTCCAGTACGATGAAATCTTTTCTGATAATTTATATTAAATTTACTAATTCTCATGGAAATATCCTTCATATATTATTTCATTCTCATCATTTATTAATTTACCCATTCCTTATTTCTTTCCAGCATTAAAAAAACCCTCATAAGTAAGTCCATTAGGAGTTGTTTCTACTCCAAAACCATCTTAAGTGATTAATTTTTTACTCCCTCCTTTTGATGCTTATTCAGTCTCAAATTTCTTAAATAAATTCTTTTTTTAAATTTAAGGTGAATAAGATTCCTTTTTTTAAATAAATGACTAATAATAATAGAATTTATCATAAATACACTAGATGCCTTTGATTCTTTTGAATTTTTTGATATAACTTAACGAATAGATAAATGTGATCCTTTTTACAATAGAGATTAATTTGATAATTAAGATTAAACTTCTGGATGTACTAATGAATGTTATTTAGTTGAAAAGTGTACCTTTTTCAAAATAATATATTTAAATGTACCTTTTTTTCAGTTAAACTATATTAATAATCATCAGATGTCCAAATTTAAGCTAATCTTTTCCCTTTTAATTATGATGAATCTAATAATTCATTTAATTATAAAAAGTCACGTCTATCTTTTGGATCATAATGTAACATTGCTTCTAAGATTAAGGGCAAGGCTTCCCCATATCTATCATTTACTTTATTTATCTATTCAATTAATGTATTTGGATCTATCATATAATCTTAATAAAGTGAAATGCTTTATTTAGCTGAACAAAGTTCTAATGTCATCTAAAAATAAAATTTGTTGTATTACTAAACCTAAAATAAACACATTGCTTTTGAATTCATTATAGGGTTCTAATTGTTTATTTTATATCATCAACCATTATTCAGGTGTTATATATGGGTATTCATGTAATCGAACTTCTTCTCCATTTATAATTTTGTGGAATAATTCATTGAATTCAACATCTTATTAATTATGGAAGAGTGGACTTTAAACTTTAAGTCCAATTGCTCCATTTAAGAGGTTGGAGAGATAGACTTTATCAAATTTCAAAGAAGGCAAAGCATAACCTTTAGATTATAGAAATGCTTGACTTCCAATGAGAGAGTCTAAAAAGAATAAGATTTCTGTTTCTTCAAAGTAGATTTTTTTTCTGTAGATCAATTCTTATGCTAGGGTAGTTTCATAATAATCTAAGAATAGTGATAATTTGTATTCGGTAGTGAAAAACTAATCGATTTACTTATATTGCATTGCTTAAATTAATGGTAAAAGTTGATACCATGTATAATGAGAAGATTTGGATGATTGAAACCATAAAATTTAGCTTAATAATACTATAGTGCATATTGAAAGTCTTCTTATTCTGTAAAGGTTATAAGTTTATGTACTAATTTAAAATCATATTATTTAGGCTCCTTATATTCTAGTATATTGACTTATCCATATAGAGGATGTTCATAATCTTCATGTACAACCATGAAATCATTATTTAATTGATCAATAATGTTGACTGTTGTATTGAGAGTACTAATGTCTATGTATGACTTGCAATTATTATATTGACATGTTCCCATTAATTAAATTTTTCAAGACAGTTATAATTATTGCTTAATAATCAATTCATTAAAAATATTTAGTAAGTCCATTTTAGGTATCTAGGGTTTCAGTCTCAAAATAATGTGAATCAAGATTTGATAATCAGATGCACTATAGATTCCAAATTCCTAAATTACTTGTTAGATTTCATTCAACAAATCTTCGTATTTGGTGTTGAACTCCTTAACTGTCATCTCTACTTCACTCCATAAACTATAAAGAATAGAAACATTAAACTCACATTTCATCATTCTTCTTATTCATTTTTATTTCATTAGCTTTAATTTTATGTAATGCACCTAATTAAATAGTACTGAATGGAAAGATCTTTTAAGGAGATTTTAGATTTTTTTATCTTCTTAAAAGGGGTTCTTAAAATAATAATTATGTTTCATCACGAATATTTTTAGGACTCAATGATGTGAAACTTTCAGAAACAGTTTTACGTCTAAATAAATAAGTTGGATATAGTAAATAATCTTATTTTCTATTGACTCTCTTGTAATTTATAGCTTCTATACTTTATTTAGGTGAATTTGGAAGTTTCCTTGGTGATATTAAAATCTGTGGTATTTGTTATGATATTTCTTTTAACTATTATAAATGATTCCAAATTTATTAAGATATCATGTTTCTACCACCCAAATTACGCGCATCTGGTGTAAATGGAGGCATTCACTTTGAAAAAGTTGTTAAATATAATATATTTTATAATCAAATTACATCTAATACATTCACATACTATATATATATATATATTATTCATCTATTCAATTAATACAAATTTCTATAAAAGATTTTTAGTAATTATAAATAATAATCATACAAATAGTTTTTCAGTTTGAATATTTTCTAAGAATTATTTAAATTCTCTCATATTTCTATTTGCACCTTCTAATGTTTCTTTTATTTAATCCCATTTTTGAGACTTTTAGCTATTATGAAATTTATTTGTTTTGTATTAAATTGGTTCAGTTTTTAATTTTGGAGTGAAATTTCTATTGGTAAGCATTCCTAAAGGTTTTCTAGGGGACATAGGTTGTTGGATATTTATTTATTTGATTTTCTACCATATATGTTAAGGCTTTTGGAATAAGATTGATCATATTACGACATCAAATTTATCCAATCGAGGTAATGGACCATCTGGTGGAACACCTCGAAATGGCTTATCTAATTATTGTTCTAGAGTCATTTCTAGAAGAACACGTGCATATAGTAAAGAATTCTATTTCCAAATAAAATTATGTGTTGGAGTTCTCACTTTATCTAACCATTACAATATTCTAATTTTTAGATGTTTTGCATTGATTTTCTAGCAACCATTGTATATTTTATTAATTGCTTCACTAAGTTCTTAATCAAGGGTCTCTGCTCTTGGAGAATTCATTAATTTAACGGATAATATATATATTATTAATTAGTCAATAATATATATATATATAATTAAATAAATATATTCCAAATAAAGTCTAAGATAAAAGAATCATTATTATATATATATATTTACTTATCTTAATAATAATTAGAATCTTAATTATTATTTATTTAGTATAATTTAAGAATCAATATTATTTTTACATTTTTAAATATAAATTCTGTTTTTTTTCATTTTTATTATTTCAAATTGAGATTAAATTTGATTTTAGTTAGATTAATTTAATTGTATTAGAATTTATAAATGAATGCTTTTTTTTGATGATTTCTTTTATTTTGATTTGATTTGATATTTTGAATAATTATAAAGTGTATAAAATATAAAGAATGATTAATATATTAGTAAATTTAATAATGTTAGTTTTTTCGAAACTGAATTATTTATTAAATGTTTAATCTTTAGAATGGCTTTGATTTAGAATAAGATATAGAATTAAAGGCAGTGTAGAATGAAGACTTTGAACAATAATATTTGGGACAATGTCTACGGGATTCATAAAAGGAATATTAGTTATTACCTTAAGTTGCTAGCAGAACATTGAGTGCCAAAAGTTTAGAAGCTAAATATTTGCAAAGTCCAAATTCTTTTCATTCGAATTCGGACGAGAACATTCTGGCTTCAAATGTTTAAACCCCTAAATTAGCAGTTTTATAAACTAGAGATTCAAGCAGAAGAAGAAGTTAAACAAATGCTTAAGCAAGTTTTATGTCTTTATTTTATATTGGAAGATTTGTAGAGAAATTGTCATTCAATCGCAAAAGATTGGGTGGTCTAAATGAAGCTCATTTTAATCTAATTGGGGACAAGGCATCTGATGCGTATAAAAAATCCTTTATTCTCTTTAGGCAAAATTTATTTACTTATTCAAAACGAGTTAGTTAAGCTGGATTTAATCTAAAGAGAATGAAAACTCTATTAGATAGAGATGCAGAGGTTAAAGACAGTACTACTCTTGAATAAGTAAAAGAAGATTTGAAAAAGTTAAGAAAACCTATTGTTCATTGCATCAATACAATAATCCATAAAATTCCAATCATTTAACCAGAATCCCTATTTAAAATGTATTGGGATTTCTTTACATCCTTTTTTAGGATAATCCTTTTAATCTTAGTTCCTCTTGAAATTGCCTTCAAACCTGAAATTCTTTTTAATAATCTTATTTCAATCACTTATGTCATTTTAATGATATTACAATTAGATTTTCTAATAAGAATCAATACTCTAACATATAGAAATGGAATTGCAATAAAAGATAAATGGGAATTGGTTATACATCAATTAAAAAAGGAGTTTCTTACTGATTTTTCGACTTCTTTAATCTTGATTATATTTATGATCATTCCTGATATGAAAACAAAAGCAAATTTATTCTTATTAGTAATCTTAGCTTAACATAAATATGTTTATGAAACATTTGCAAAAAGTGATTAAATATCATATTTAACAAGACCATAAAGAGGTATATTCGGATTATTGAAATTCATCTTAACTCTTCTTTATATTTTACATTTATTTAGTTGTATATGGTTCTACTTTAGTAGTATTAGTATTGAAGATTCTTGGATTAGATTTAATGAATTGGAAGATAAAAATTGGGAAGAATAATATTTATAAGCTCTGTATTTTGCAGTTGTAACAATGTTAACAATTGGTTATGGTGACATGGTACCAAAGAATGTAATAGAGAAAATAGTAACAATGGTATTTGTTTTAGGAGCATGTAATAAATAATATATTCTTTTAGGTTTATGGGTATCTTATAGTGTAAATTTCATAGGTAGTATAATTGATGATATCACATAAAATCAAGTAGAAAGAAATAGAAGAATGAGAGTCATAAATAAATATATGAATTAGAGAAAAATACCTTATAGTTTATAACATTAGTATAAATAATTATTTAATTTAGGGTTAAAGAATACTTAACTTTTAGATGGAAAGAAGATGATGAAGTTGATCTTGAAATGGAATAAACTTTATTAGAGTAATTATCAGATGAATTAAAAGAAGAACTTGATAAGTAGGCTCATAAAGTATATATTGAAAAATCAGAATTTCTATAAAAATATTTTAGTGAAGAATTGAGAAATGCTCTTTTTAAATCTATTAAAAGAAAGATTATTCCACCTTAGAATACATTTTCAACTGATTTTGGTAATTAATAACATCTTTGTTTTGTTGAATAAGGATATATAGTATATTAACATCCAGAAAGAAAACAAAGATCTAAAATGAATGCCGTCATCAATCAAGGTTAATTTTTTTGTGTAAATGATTTTATAACTAATAATCCTTAAGTTGATCTTTTCAAAGCTATAGGATATGCAAGTTTATTAGTATTATCTAAATCAGATTTCATTGAAACATTAAAAGATTATCCTGAAGATTTTTAGAAATATTGTTAATTAAAAGATAATATAACCTTAAGTTATGTTCCACCAACATTAGAAAATGGAGTATTTTGTCCAGCTTGCTAGAATTTTAAACATCCTCTTAATAAATGTCCTTAAGTTTAATTTGTACCTAATAGAGAAGCTGTTATTAAAAGACATTGTATGACTGAAAATTAAAGATAAAATAAATCTTTTCATCGATATGATAAATCAATTTTAGATTGGCATACTAGAGCTATGAAAGATTTAGCTTGTTAATATGCATCTGTGTTTCAAAATGAAAATTAATAGGCAATTGCAATATAATCTAAAATTTAATTGAATTTTGAATGTGGATCTGATTCTAATTCATCAATTGATGATGCAGCATCACCTGGAATTAAGATTCCATAAAATTCTCCTATTTTTGAGGCATAATAAATCAAATAAACAAGAAAAAGTAGAATTGTATCTGATTAATAATTTTAGAATAAAACAGATTCTCGTTAAAATTTAAATTTAGCTCTATAAAATAGAAAATAATCTATATTATCTGGAGGTATATCCTTAGGTTTTAGTAAGGGTAATACTCCAAAAAATAAATTAGAGATTCCTATGATTGATGAGATTAAAGAGAGTGATAGTTCAGAGGATAATAGTGAAAGTGAAAGTGATTAATCAACATAGAAATAGAAAATTATTGATTATAAGAAATAATTAGAGAAGATGGCTTAAGCTACTCAAGATTTTAATGATAATATGACAGATAACATTACTAATTTATATCATTAATTGTAAACTAATTTAGAATTGAATGAAAATGATGTTATGACTAAAAAAGCCTTGTAATCTTTGGAACCACTTTATTGGTCATTTAATTAATAAAAATTTGATGAATTTGAAACAAAATCATAATTTGATTATTATTTTAATAAACAAAATGCTGAAGATGTTATTTTGTATATAAAAGAGGATATATTTGGATGGTAAACACACATTTTAGATAAGATTAGAAAATTTATGCTTTATCCATTTTAATATATATTAAATTTCTTAAGATTGAGAAGGAATGCTAAACTTAAATCAGTTACACCTTTAAAAGTGGTTGCAAAAGTAAAGAGTACTTTAGACAATTTAAAGAAGACTTTAAAATTAAAGAAAAAATCAACTATAGTTAGATCAAGTCTAAAATTTAGTTCTGTTGCTCCAGATTCCAATAAATCTTAAGGGAAATAAAAGAAATGGTTAGTTTGACTTAATAATTTATTTAAGATTTAAATGACAAATGTTTATAATATTATAAATTCATTTTAAAGTCAAATCAATTCTTGAATAACGTTTGATTCTGAATGTAAACAGTAAATGATTACTTGAATCTAAAAACAAAGATATAATTGGTTGAAATATGTTTAATAAATTAACTGAGATTATTAAAGCCATAAAAATATCTAATTGATAAATAGATATTAACATTGACTTTTTTATATTAAATTTATGGATCAAAACCATTGGATATAAAAGTCTTCTGTTTAAGAATTTGGAATTGATAAAAATGTTTAGTAACAACAACTTTAGGGATAACCACCAGCTTCTTTAATAAGAAGAGTGTCCAAACGTAATATTGGTATTAGACCTACTCAGGAGAGTGGAATAGCTCAAATATTTGAAACCTTTCATCCTGAATAAAAAACATAAAGTCTTGATGATATCAAATTCATCATTAAATGCTTTTAAAGTCATTTCGTATTTAGCTCAATGACTGATACATAATTGTAATATATTATGTTAACCTTAGAACACAATTAGCACATAGTATGTTCTATTGCAAATTATAAGTGGGAGAAACAATTATCAAATAAGGTGATGGAGCAAGCTCATTCTTTATTCTTGAGAAAGGAAAAATAAATGTTTTAGTGGATAATGTACCACGCAAAGAATTAACATCAGGATTTGGATTTGGTGAATTAGCATTATTATATAATGCTCCTAGATCAGCTACATGTATGGCAGTTGAAGAATGTTATCTATGGGGAATTGATAGACATACTTTTAGAAAGAGTGTAGAAACCATTATGAGAAGTGAATAAGAGAAAAATAGAAAATATTTAGAGAGTGTTAAATTTTTTAGTAATTATATGAGATAAATTTATAGATTAATTAACAAGAGAATAGAAGGATGCTGTAGCAGGAGTTTTGATATCTTAAAAATTTAATTAGGGAGAAATTATAGTAAATGAAGGAGATTAAGCAAGTTCATTTTACATCATAGTAGAGGGTTAATGTGGAGTTTTTAATAAAGATAGTTAATAAATAGCAGTTTTAAATCCTAGTGATTCTTTTGGAGAATCAGCACTCAAATAAGAGAATTAAGTTAGAATGATGACCATTAAAGCAATTTAAAAAGATACAAAAGTGTTAGCTTTAGGAAAAGATATGATATAATAAATCTTAGGTGATTAAGTATAATCTATTATTTACAAAAATATATGCAAATGGGCTTTGAATTCATCTAAATTATTTAGCAAAACTTAATCTACATATCAAGATAAATTACTTGAAGGAGTATAAATTAAGAAATTAGCTGCAAATTCTAAAGTTATTACAAAGGGAGATAAAGTTGGATAATTAGTAATTCTTCTTGATGTTGATGCTATTGATGAGAATAAATAAAAGGTTCTTAAGGGAACAATTCTAGTTGAAGATACATTATAAGATAAACTATAAGGCACATCTCATGTGAAAACATATACAATAGAAATAGAAGGACATGTTGCCATTATAGATTATGAATCATTCAGAACAGCTTAAGGAAGTGTTGAGAAAATTTAATAAGGGAAAGCTTAGTAATCTGAAAAAGCAAATGCTTATGAGGAATAAATCAAAAGTTAACCATTTAAGAATTTAATATATTTAAATAAATTAGGATCTGGTTAATTTGGTTCTGTTTATTTATGTAAATTTAAGGAATTAGAAACTTTATTTGCTCTCAAATATGTTACAAGAGCACATGTTTAATAATTTGGAATATAAAAACATATTTAATAAGAAAAAGCTGTATTAGAATTGATGGATCATCCATTCATTCTTAAGTTTTATAGATCTTATAAAGACAATGAAAATATTTATTTCTTAACTGAGTATATTCCAGGAATGGAATTATTTGATGCTATCAGAGTTATTGGTAATATTATTAAATTGATTATAGGATTATTGAGTAAATATGATGCACAATTCTATGCCTCATAAATGTTATTATAAATGGAATATTTACATACTTAACACAGTATTGTTTATAGAGATATTAAACCAGAAAATATAATGGTTGATGATAAGGGATACTTAAAATTAATTGACATGGGTACAGCTAAATCATTTAAAAATTAATGTATTAAATACTATCCAATTATTTATTTAGAATCTTCAAAGACTTTCACTATTATTGGAACACCTCATTATATGGCACCAGAAGTCATTTCAGGAAAAGGTTATGGTTATTTTGCAGATCTATGGAGTGTGGGAGTTTGCCTTTATGAATTTATATGTGGTGGTTTACCTTTTGGAGAAGAAGCAGAAGATCCATTTGAAATCTATAAAGAAATCATTAAAAAGCCAATAAGCTATCCTCATTTTATGTCTGATAAATCAGCCAAACCTTTTATTGAATAATTGATGAATAAGATCCCAGAAGTTAGGTTAGGAGGATCTTACACTACTTTAAAATCTCATACTTGGTTCAAAGATTTTGATTGGGTAATTATTCATATTATTTAAAGGAAAAATTATTAAATAAATCACTTAAGGCTCCCTTATAGCCTGGTAAAGATAAAATTATGACTCCAGCATAGATTTAGACTGCCTTATAGCGTGGAGTCTCAGTTCATGATTAAATTTAAAAGGATACTTAGGGATAGAAGAAAGTATTGGCAAGTGCTAAAGATGCAGAATGGGATAGTGCATTTTGATTAGAATTGATAATATAATAACAGTACAAATTCCTTTTTGTAATCTTGTTATTTAGTTTTTATCCTTTGTTTAAAATAGTTGGTTTAGTTTCAAATATATTTATTAAATATTATATATCTATTAAATTTTAGTAGATTTATCAATTTTCATAGGATTGTATGATTATGAAGAGATTAAATTGAAGAAAAGAATAATTAAATTAAGTAGTATTAATAAAATATTGAGAAGGAAGTTGTAAATAAATATAGTATACTCATTACTCTTATAATAAAACATATTAAATACTTATTATCACAATTGAATATTAAAAAAAAAAAAAGTTAAGTCTAAAATAAGAATTATAATTAAGTTATTTTTTTTTTTAAGTTCAAGAATTCAATTAAGAGAATTTAAATTGAGAAATTCCTTTCTATGTGAAAATCGATAATTATAGTAAATTGAGATATTTCTAATTGATTAATAAAAGAACATATAAATATTGAAATATCGTTTATTATAAACATATAATTTATTTCTAAATTATTTAGAATTATGCATAATTTTTATATTACTATCAATAGAATGAAAAACTACAATAATACAAAAAAAGTCTTTGATGATTGTCCTTTATTTTAATGAGATAGGACATACTGGTATAATTTTATTATAAATCAAAAATTTTATGGACAAATTATCAGATAAAATAAAATAAAATGATATTATAATATTAGAATATTAGAATAATAGCATTCTATGTCATCATTAAGATTGATATGGTATAAGAGAATGAATCTGATAGAGATTGCTAATTTAGAAAAGAACTCAAACAAAATTGAAGAATTATTTAATCTTCAAATATAAGTAACCTTATTGTATTATTTAATCAAAGGATATAATTAATACTATTGATTAAGCCTTTATCTATTATGTTCTTTATCATCTTAATAAAAACAAAAATTATGAAATAAATCATTTATTTTTTGTATTAAATATATATAAATGAGTAACACTAAATTAACATAACTAATATTACTACGTAAACATTCTGAAGCAGATACTTACTACTATACCAAATCTTTGAATGATTTCATAGATAATGCAAGATCAACTTAAGTTATCAACTTTCATTACATTTTAAACTTAAATGATGAAGCAGAATATTTAAGAAGAACTTATACTATTAGTAATTAATTCAATGTATAATAGATGAAATTGTAAATAAAATCACTTCCTTGGTTGAATATTACAAATTTCACAATGATATTCCAAGATGTTTTATTCCAAAAATTTCTGATATTATGAGCAAGTAGAGTATTGAAATCAATATTGTAGTTATTATGATAAAAGAAGGAAAATTGAATATCTTAGAATTAAACGAATGATTGAATATCAAAATAAAATACACCCTGATCAACCTTAAAAAAAAATTATAGGTGAAATATCTGAAATGAGTATTACTTAAAAATCAGGCAAAAAATATAGTAATATTTTAAATGATATAATTGAAACTTCAAATACTATAGATAAAATTAAATTCGAACTTAATTCCATTAAATTAAATGTTGAAGAACTATAAATAATTTAATCAAATAGAGAACAATAATAACTAGACAGTTTTTTAAAACACATAGCTAAAAAGAAATAAAAATAATCCTAAGTTCCCAATTCATTAACTCTTAAATTTCCAATAGGATTATCATCAAGAACTATTAAATAAGTTATATCAAGAAAGATGATAACTTAATAATAAACTTAAATAACTAACCTTAATTCAGCTAAAACTAGTAAACAACTTTCATAATATCAATAATCTTCTTAGATCTAACCTTCATAAAAAATCAACAATAAACAACTTCCTACTCAAAAGGATTTTAATCATTTTGGATCATTCACTTAAAGAATTGTCAAAGATAATCCACTATCTAAATTGTTGTCTCCTTTACATATTTAGTTAGTAAATGTCAATAAGTATATTCAAAACATAATTAAATAGTCCATCTAATAAATGTAAAACCACTGTATCTATTTCAAAATAATTTAAAATTACTGACTCACTGAAATTATCAACTAAATTTCATTAACATACTAAGTCAGATTTTTAATTCTTTAGAAAAATATGACAAATTGATATAAATTAAAATTTTTATTATTTTTTATAAATATTATGTTATATGCATATTTCAATAATATGATTTATTTCTCTAACATTTTCATGATATTTTTATTAAAATTATAAGTTTCATTTAAAAAGATTAAATTAAATAACAATCAATATGGATTTTAATAATAATGAATTTTATATGCGATTATCAAATTTCTTAGAATATAATATTTAAATTAGATTTATACCAACCATATTCTTTCGGATCAAAATATCTCTCTGGACCAGGTAATTAATCTTTTGTTTTATCATATTTAAATCTATTTTTCGGATAATTAGATCATGGGCTAATCTCTCTTTAATTCATTAAGATTACTTCCTATTTCCTTGCATCCAAGACTTAATTTCACTAGGGTATAGAAGGTATTGATTTGTTATTTATTCAATTTTATTACTGTTTTATTGTAACTTTGATCTTTATATTACTAATGAATAACTCTGGGTTCCTAATTTAATTTTATCATATGCACCAAAACTTAAATTCATTTTAGTACACTCGTATACCCAAAGTGAAAGCATAGTTTTTTGAGGATGAAAATATTTAATTTAGGTTTCAAAAACTGATTGAGGTTGAGTTTGAGGTTTTTCAGTAACCTTTACATCACATTAAGACTATGATGATTGAAATACAATATTTTATATACTGAAAATTTAATTAAGTAATTATTCCTTTAGATGTCATAACCTCCAGGCTCAAGAGAATTTTTCTATCAAAATGATTGATTTCTGGTTTCATGTGGATAGAATGGAGCATTCTCTGACTTGATCTTGAATTATTCATGGGAATGGTAGCTACCAGGACCAGCCTCATAATGCTAGATCCTTTTATATTTCGAGAGACATATAGGGTTTATTAAGCATATTTCTTTCTGCTTTAAATACAAAATCGATTATATAATAAATAAATACAAAAATTTTAGTCATCTTAAAATGAAAAATGGGAAGTAGATTTTGAGTGATATCAACCAAAAATTAGAATACATATCTAGAAAAATTAGCGATTTATTTCTTTGGAAAAACCCTCTAATTGAATCTCATATAAATGAAATAAGCAATCGAATTTAAAATATTCTTTATATTTTAAGTAGTGAAGAAAAAGCAGAGAAATAATTTTAATAAATGAGGAATGAATTTTTATCTTAATAAAATAAGTAAATATAAGGAACTATTGACTCTGATATATTGTACTCATACAATGTGGACATTTTAAATAAAGGTTAAGGTAAGGATTAATAAATCAATGATATTTAAGAGATTTGTTATAGTGAAATCATAAATGATACATATGTTAAACTTCCATTAGGTGAATAGGTGAAAATAGAGTCAAAGATTTTATAATAGACTTAATAGAATTAATCACTAAAGAATTAATAATTTGATTAGCATTCTAATATGAAGTAACTGAAAAATGATTCAATAGAATCAAAAGAATAATAGGGTAAGATATAAATTTAATAATAATAATAATAATAATAATAATAATAATAATAATAATAATAATAATAAAATGGTGAAATTTAGTAAATGAATTAAAAGATGAGTAAAGATCATAATTCTCCTAATTAATCTGATAATGATGCAGATGAAAAAATGTATTCTGCAATTTCTTCTTTTAGCGGTATATAATAATAATAAGATTATTAAAAATAATAATAATAATAATAATAATAATAATAATAATAATAATAATAATAATAATAATAGTAATATAAATAATATTCATAAAATAAATAATCATAATAAGATTATAATCAATAGTAACCGTAATAGTAATAGTAATTGTAATAGTAGTAATAACATTTATACTAATAGCAATAGTAATAATAACAAAAATAATAATTTATGCAATTATAATCTTAAGAATAAGAAAAATAATTTTAGTAAGATTAAAATTGTGTTAATAATTTAACTAAATCCAAAACAAGAATATACTAATACTAAGTGAAACCGGAGCTATACATAAAAATGAAACAAGATTTTAGTAAATTTTAAATGAGTATTGTGGATTAACCTTAATTTTCTGAAGATGGTAGTATTATCGTATGTCCGATTTGTTACGATCCTAGCTTTGCTGATAGCAATATATAAGATAAATATGTAGTATCAATGAGTTGTTCACATCAATTTCATTATGTTTGTTTATAACCTTTATTGAACAATAACTTCCTAAAATGTCCTGTTTGTAATTAAATAGTTGGTCAATTAAAAGGTGATCAACCTGATGGAATAATGGAAGTGAAAACTATTAAACAAAGATGTGAAGGGTATAAATGTAACACAATTTAAATTAAATATATTTTTCATAATGGACTTAGAAATGGAAAATATTTTTCTGGAACAACAAGATTTGCATATTTACCTGAAAATGAGGAAGGTAAATATGTGTTAAGTTTGTTACGAAAAGCATTTGATTAAAAATTAGTATTTACAATAGGAACATCATTAACAACAGGATAAGATAATTGTATAGTTTGGAATGGAATTCATCATAAAACAAGTTTAGATGGTGGTCCATAAAATTATGGGTATCCAGATCCTACTTATTTTGATAGAGTATTGGATGAGTTGAAGTAGAAAGGTATTACTTAATCTAAGAATTGAAATTAATAATACATTTATAATTAATAATTTAATGAAACCAGCATCTTATTTAAAAAAGGTTGGACCCTATAGTCTCATAAGGGAGATTGGTTCAGGTATAAATTTTTGAGAATTTAGGGTCATTTGCGAGAGTATTTCGAGGTAAGATAGATGGAAGATAAGAAGATGTAGCAATAAAAATGATTTCTAAATAAAATGTTAGAAATGAGAGTATGTCAATGATTGAAAAGGAAATTGAAATTTTAAGATAATTGGATCATCCAAATATTATTAAATTGATAGATTTTAAGAGAACATAAAATCATTACTATTTAGTTTTTGAATATTGTGAGAATGGGGATTTGGATGCTTATATAAGGTATACATTTCATCTAACAAAATTAGGAAATATTCTCCAAATGGGAAATTGCCAGAAGAAGAAGTAAGAAGAATAGTTTAACAATTGGCACTAGCATTACAATAAATGTACAAGTTAAGAATCGTACATAGAGATTTAAAATTAGCGAATATATTAGTATCAAAGAATTTTTAAGTAAGTTCGTTTTTTTAAATAATTTAGATCAAGTTAGCAGATTTTGGATTTGCAAAATATATGGAGGATGATCAATATTTAACATCTTATTGTGGTACTCCATTGACTATGGCTCCAGAGATTTTGTAAAGAAAATAATATAATGAAAAATGTGATGTATGGTCAGTTGGGGTTATAATTTATCAAATGATTTATGGCAAATCACCTTTTATTCCACCTAAAGGAGGTAATATTAATGATTTAATTGCTATCATCAATAAAGGAGATTTATAATTTCCTGATTCATCTATTACACCAAAATTGAAGGAATTGTTATTATAGATGTTACAATAGGATTTTAAAAGAAGAATCAGCTTTAGAGATTTTTTTGAGCATAGTTGGTTGCAAGGGGAAGTCAAGGCTGATTATATTTAAAGCATTAAATAGGATATTCAAGAAAATGTGAGTGAAATAACACCTGTTGCTCATCATAAAGTAAGTGAAGATATTTAAGATGAAGAGATATTTAATGATAAAGATGATAGTACAAACGAAGTATTTAAAGATTTATAATTAAAATATATTGGATATTAATTACAAAAATAAGCATTATCTTATTTAGATTTAATGTTTGAAGAAATAAATAAGATAAAATTATTATGTGAAAAAATTTAGAATTATAAATTGAATTTTTAATTTCTATAAAACCGTTTATTGAGTTTATCATTAGCAATTAGAATTTATGAAGCATTTCTAATTAAATAAGTAAATGAATTTATGAAAGAATAAATTGTTGTATTGCATACTTCATCTAGTAACAGTTCTCTAATCAGTCTTTAAATGAAAAGACCATTTGTTGCTCATCAAATTACTATGTAAAAAGAAATAATTGAAATTAAAAATTATTTCAAAGATAATTAAATGATAATGAATTAATTTGAATAGTGTGGTTATTGCATTGCTGATAACATCTTTGATGAAATTCTAGAATTATTGATGAATTTAATTGAACATTAGCAATATATTGATTAGGATATCTTTACTTAATTGATTTAATTGTTATATTCATTTAATTAATCACAACCTTAATTACTTTAAGTAGAATTGTACATGAAATTGTAAACAGGAAATGATATGAACTACTATTGGCACTTATTTAAATTAGTCAGAGTTAATCAAAAATATATTGCAGATTCAATTGAAAATTAAGTAGTTTGTGAAAATAATGACTTTGATAAAAAACTCTAATTTGAATGGAAACTTGTGAAGGATGATACAGAAGAAGCTTAAGTGTCCTTTACTAAAGAAGAAATTGATAAATTATAAGACTTACTAAAAGAAGAATATTCCAAAAGGGATATACGTTAATAAATATAATGATAATTAAAATTATATGGAGTACTTAACTAATGATAAAACTCCTTAAATAATAATTAAATCTATTTTCTATCAACAACTCTCTTTCTTCTCGTTCATCTCACATATGTCGATTCCCAATTCTTAGATCAAGAATAGGTAAAATTCCTGTCCAATCTACTATTTTATCAATTAGATTAGAAGACATACTAAAATATTAGTAATTCTTAAATTATTATTGATACATTTTTTAATTCAAAAGTTTACTTTTTAACTTGTAATCGATATTTTTGATATTGTTAAATTAATAAAAGTATTTTTGATTAGTAAAAGTCAAGATTCATTCAAGATTTATTTAATTAAGATATAAAATAATATAATATATAAATAAAAGATGGGAAATTAAATTTGCTATGGAGGAGTATTTATATATAAATGAAAAGGATGATGATAATATTCATTGGAAATAGCAATTGGAAAGTACTTGTAATGATATGAAGAAAGAAATGTGTTGGGCTGAACCTATTTTAATTTAGCTTAAAGAATTAAGGGTATCAAACAAGTATTAGAAATAATTACATTCATTTGCTTAAAGTTATGATGAATAATCAATTCCTGAGATTTAAAAGTCTATTAAATCTAGATAACCTATAAGGGAAAATAGAAATATGTAAACAATTATAAAAAGAACAGGATTTACAGAAGATGATCTAGTTGAATATTTTATCAAACCTAGTAGAGCTTCAATTAATTTAAGTATCTAATCAATTACACCATCTTATATTTATCATGAGAAAACATATAATTTAGGAATGGGAGAATCTTAGGTAAAATTTGAGGATTAGATGTATTTTTTTGTGCAAATTACAGATAAAATAAAAGAACATTTTGATTAACCTAATGAATTAGGAATAATGATAATTCATTTTAGACATTCTTTAAATTAATAACATAAAAATAGTACATTTTAATAGTTACATGAATAATTAACATTATTTTGTAGAACACTCTATGAGACTATTTTAATTTATTATGATATGATAAATTTAAAAAAGAAATATTAAATTCATGCAGTATTATTAAATGAAGAGACAATGCTCAATTTTATTGTTAATTATGTAATGTCAAATGAAGGGATATATAAAGTAATTTTCAATTCTTTGTTAAAATAACTATGTTAAATTTAAAAATAGACAGAATAAATTCTTAAACAAAAGAAAGACATAAGTTAAGAAGATATGGAAATTCCTTAAGACTTTTAATTGAAATCATAATTAAATCCTTATAATAAAGCAATATAAACATTGTAGAAATTGTCTAGAAAATAAGGTCCTTCCTCAAAAGTCAAGGTGATAATCAATTTTTCATAATAAATTCAATAACATGTCAGAGAATCAAATGAAAATAGAGGATCTAGTTTACTTATGTAAGCTGATGATCTTTTGCCAATTATCAAGTACATATTGATAAAATCTTAAATATATGATATTGATATTCATCTTACTTATATAGAAAAGTTAATAACTAATGGGATGCTAAATTCTACAAGTGGTTACTATGTGGTGACATTATAGGCAGCTTTAACTTCTTTAAGAAGTAATTTAAATTAATAATTTAATTAATAAAAATGATTATTATATTTTTAAAACATTTATGAATATAAACAATTCTATTGTAATATCTTTTATGATAATAAAATTCAATAATAAATCATATTCTATTCTTTAAAATCTAAATAATTTAACATTAATTATAATTTATTATAACTATTATGTAATAAACTTATAATCCAGATGAAAGAATTAATATTGAATTATTTTTGGCTGCAAGATAATTACCTAATCTCGAATTCTTCTCTAAAAGTGATCCATACTTAGAACTCTATTATTCACTATCTGGGTAATAAGAAATATTATTGGGCAAAACAGAAGTTGCAGATTGTAATTTAGATCCTAATTGGGAAAAAACATTTAATATTGAATATTAACCAGATCTGACATAGATTTTAAGATTTTAAATATTTGATTAAGATAGAATGGGTAGAGAATTTATGGGAGAAACACATACAACTATAAATGACATTTTTTAATAAAAAAATTCATTAATTACTCTCTAAATCAAAAAATTTGATAAAGCAGCAGGATTATTAATTTGTAAAGCAGTTAAATTTAAAGAATCAAATCATTATGCTTAATTCTAATTTTCTGGAATTAATCTTAAAAATATAGATGGAATATTTGGTAAGACTAATCCATTCTTGAGATTTTATTTGTTTTCAGAAGGAGTGTGGTGTCATATATATTAAACTGAATATATAAAAGAAGATCTCAATCCGATATGGAAATAATTTGAAGTTTCTTTATAGAGATTATGCTTCAATGATGAAAATAAAAAGTTTAAAGTTGAATGTATTAATAGACATGAATAAACAAAGGATAATTAGATAATTGGTTCATTTGAAACAACTATAGATGAAATTTTTAATAAAAATATTGATTCATTTTAATTAATCTAAATAAAAGGAGGACCAGCAGGAATAATTAAAATTTTAAATAAATAAAGGATACATAGAGCTAATTTCGATGATTTTATATAATAAGGAACAACTTTTAATATAATAATTGGGATTGATTATTCTTCTCATAATGGTGTACCTTAATTTCCTGATTCTATGCATACTTATGTTGAAAAGAACAATATTTATTAAAAAGCATTAAATGATATTACTAAAGTATTAGAAAGCTATAACATTAAGAAATTATTGGCTATATATGGAATGGGAGCTGAGCCTAATTTTTCTAATTATAATAGCCATGGTTATCAAACACTTTTCCCTTTAACAGGAGATTTCTAAAATCCTTAAGTAATAGGCTATTAAGAAGCTGTTAAAACATATCAGAATAGACTTAGAGATATTGTTTTTAAAGGGGATCTATAACTTGAAGATTTTATTAAATATGTTTAAAGAGTAGCTGAGCATAATGCAACCAAACTAATATATACAATTGCTGTTATTTTAGGATAGGAATAAATTACAGATTTAAAAGAAGTTTATAATCTAATTTTAAGTGGTATATTACATATATATAAAGTAGGTTAAAATTTACCATATTCTTTGATATATGTTGGAATTGGAGGAGATGATTTTAAAGATATTAAATAGATTACTCATCTTATAAATTCTTAAAATCCACCTATAAGAAATAACTTTAACTTTTATAAATATTAAGAAGATCTTTCTTCAAGTATACTTAAAAAGAGTTTAATGTTTGATTTACCTAAACAAGTAGTTTCATATCATTAATGTATTAATTTGTGACTAATTTAAAATCTATTATTAATTATCTAAAACAAATTATATTTTCATTCTTTTAAACCTGCTTTCTTTTATTTTTTAGCTTTTATTCTTGCAATCTTTTCATCCAAGAAAAATAAATAAGGCACATAACAGGCACAACATATAAGAACAGTAAAACCTAATAAAGATGCTGACCTTTGAAATCCATACCATTTTGTAAGATAACCTCCCATAATTGGACCAAATAATTCTCCTCCTGCTAAACTAGCATTAAAACTATAATATATTGAATTTAATAAAATACATTGCAGATGCAATATTTGCACATTAAGTGGGATATTTATAATAATCTTTTGTAAGAATTTAATTCACTTAAGGTAATGTAAGTACATATGGAAATCCTCCAGTAAATCCAACAATTGACCAAGCTAATATTGTATATAATTTTTTTGGATGCAAATTGGTGAACTTATAATCAGGACCCATATAAAATTGCAATAATCCACTGATTACTAATCCAAAATACATATAAAATTTTTTATGAGATTTTATTCTAGATATAAATATAGTAGACAATCCAAATGAAGCAGCATTTATTGATATCCAATATCCAGAATATTCTTCTTAAATATCATATTCTTCTAATAAATAAATAGCTATTGTAGGATTATAAAATGTCCACAATGATAGCGTTAACGTATTTGTTATAAACGATATTACAACAGGATAATTCAAAAGCAATGAGATATATGATATACTAAAATCGGCATCTATAATTGATTCTTGATTTTATATAGATTAATGCAATATGATTGATTAACTAAGATCTGCTTCAGGCACATCTAAACTTTTTGAAAAAATGATCAGAATTACTGCTAATCCAAATGAACATGCAGCAAAGAAAAAGAATGGTAAAACAAATCCACCTAATTGATATAAGGCTGATCCTAATATTGGACCTCCTAAAAATCCAAGAGATGTTGAAACTTCTGCAATTGCTATTTTCTCTTCAATTGATTTTGGAAATAATTAAGGAATAAATGCATAAAACGGTGTCATAAACATAGATGCACCCTATTTTATTTTCATGATATAATTACTATTCCACCGATCAATCTAGCCATAAAACTTCCTATTAGAACAATCCAATATGAATCAAAATAATATAATAAACCAAAAAGCAATAAACCTAAACCTTATAAAAATATTCCTATAACCATTATTTTCTATCTGTTATCCTATCATTAGCATATTTTTTACATGGGTTATTACTTTTCCTAAAATCAAGGAAGAAATAAATTGTCCCAAAGGATGAGCTGCAAATACAATTCCTATAATATCTTCAGAAATCTCTTTAGATTTAGCAAATTATGGATAAAATGGTGCAATGATTGACATGGCAAGATTACAAACTACATTGCATGATATCAATATATAGAATATATGTGTTTATTTCATTTCAATTAATTTAAATTATCCAATTTTTATAAAATATATATATAAAATGATATTTTTACATATATATTTTGAGTCTGCAATAAAATCTAAATTAGTTCATAAAAAATCTTCTAAAGGTAAAAACAAAACGAATAACTTAATTTATTATTTTAAAATAAGAAATATAAATATAATTCTTAATTTTTGTTAATATATGCTAATATTATTAAATAATTTGTAAAATTGAGAATAAAACTATGTTAAAAACCAGTAATAAAATAAAAGAAATTCTTCAAGAAATAATATATAAATATTAATATTTTTTTAATGCTATTCAATGTTTATTATCCTTTTCTTGTGTCTATTACCAAAGTTTAAATAAGTCATGATTGGTCTTATTTTTAATGTTGGAATTTTCAAAAACTGTCCCAATAAATTTTGAATTCTAAGAAGTCTTACTAATACACAATATTTCAGAGAAAGTTATCTAATTTTATGAAGTAACCTTAATTTCTGAAACGTATTATTTTTGTTATTTCCTTAATTCATTTTCTATTATTCTTTCTCTAAGTTGCTTTTATTTCATTAGAAATTTTTCTTAAAGGGATTTTGCAATCTCAAAACAAGAATTACTTAATTCGATCATCTACATATTAAATGTTTAGACCATTTAATCACTCTATTATAATAATATATCTATTTATTCTCCTTCTTTGGTTATTTCATCTTTTAAGGTTTTTTGTGCTCTCAATGTGGCACTAATATCAACTCTTCGTAATTCAGATAGATTATGATACTTATCTTCTGCTCTCTAAAATAAAGTTAATTATTCTAATCTTGCTTATTCTATATAATTTATATTATCTGTTTAACTCATAAGTTATCTGCATTCCTAATTTAAACTGATAAAATTGAAATTATCAAATGTATCTTGGAGATATTACTTTTGTTATTGCAATTTCTTTTTTAAACCATTAATATCTTCAGAAAAGATTCCATCATCTTTCAAATTTTACATTTTCCATATTTTAATACATTTATCTTAAGAAGTTGAAACTATAAATTTATTATCTGAAGATAAACCTAAACAATTAATTAGAGCCTAATGACAAGCACTTTTAAGTCCATGCATATTTTTGGATATATCCCAAACTTTTATTGAAAAATCTTCAAAAGATAAAATTAAAATTAATCCATTTTTATTAAAATACATTGAAGTAATTACTCCCTAATATGAATATGTTTAAAATATCTTTGATAAGTCTTTAGTTTCTAAAATATAGACATTTGAGTCTTTGCTTGCAATTGCCAAATAGGAATAATCAGATGTTAATGCTAAACAAGCTACCTTATTATTGACTTTTTATTATTAAGAATTCTATTAGATTGTATCAATTTGCTAATCAAAAATCTCCTCAAAAATCAATTAATTTATCTATTTCATTTCAGATGTTTCATCAATTACCTCATAACAAAAAGATTAAGCATTTGTATCATTAGAACCAAGTTTAATTTTAGTGTATTTTCCACATTAATTTAAAACTACTAAATAATATTCTTAATCAAAGAACATAGTCAATATTTAATAATTTAGATTAATCTTTTTACTAAATTATTTTCCATTAAAACTATCCCATATTTTAATTTCACCATTCTAAGTTCCTGAACAGATCAAATGATTTTATTGAGATTATGCTAATAAAATGACTTCTCCTTTAGGTTTAAGATATAATATTGTCTGATTAATCTATTTACCAGTATAACTATCATAAATTGAAATTGAATGACCAAATCCACCTGTGATAATAAATTAATCATCATTAACAATAATGATTGGACTTAATTAACAAGCAGAACATAATTTATTAATTTAACATTCTTAACAACTTTATAAAGATATTATTTAATTAACAATAGATGCTGTCTTAATGTTCCATTAAATTATTTTCTTATCTTTACCTTTAGTTATAATTCTTTGAGAATCCTAAGATATAACCATAAATAAAATGCTACCATCATGACCAGGGAAATATTCACTAACACGATAATTATCAGAGTGATGCCATTATTTAATTAGTCCATCCTTTCCTGAAGATAAAATAATCATTCCATCTGGTTTTGAAAATTCAACACTATTAACCTAATCTAAATGACCATGTAAATTCTCTCCAATTTAAGTTCCCTTCATATAATCCCATATTCTAACACTTTTATCATCTCCTCCGCTTACTAATATATTCCCTTCACTAGAAAAACAGATACATCTAACAGCTTTTGAATGCCCAATTAATTTTGCCTAATCTTTTTTTTTAACCAAACTATATATAATAATCACTTCATTTGTTGTAGCATATGCAAATAGTTAACCATCTGGACTAAAAACGATACTTGTTACTTAATAACCTTATGGTAAAGTTTTTATAAGTTTAGGTTAAGGCTTCTCTTCTTATATCTTAAATATATTTATTGAATTTTAATCACAAACTATCAAATTATCTTCATCTGGAGAAAAGTCAAAGGCAGTTATTCTGCTCTTTACTGTAATTTCTCTGAATTAGGTAAATTATTTATTAATAAATTAAAAAATAATTATTTTTCCTTTTTAACATCCAACTGATAAATAGCTATCTTAATTTGAAAATTTTATTAAATTAATAATGTCGTCTAATTTAGGTTTAAATTCGATGTGTTATTATTTAACTTCATTATAGTTTTTTTAAATGGTATTCGCCCTATTTTATTACAAATCCTCATAAAAACTCATGATATTTATAGTTTCATCATAAAAATAGACAAGCATAGATTTTGTGTTAGACCAACAAAAATCAAATACTTCTTTTTGAAGTTCTATATTTTTAATAATCAATCCAGCAGTTATTTAATAAATCACCAATTATTTATTTAGACTTAGAGATGCTATGTAACTACCATCAAATGAGAATGATGCTTTTAATATAGGACCTATATTAAAAGATAAAGTTGGTAAATCTTATGAGATTATGTCCTTCCACTCAACTCCTGCAATTTTACAATAATTTAAGTTTGTTCCCATCAAAGTCACATTCTCAAATTTCGATCCACTAAAATCACATCCTATACACTTAAATCCTAATAACTTAACGTCTTTTATCCGAATTCCGCAGAATTTCTTTTCATAGAACAATTCCTACATATAAGTTAATAATTATAAGGAATTTGAACTAATATTTAAGAATTATTATGATATTCCTGAAGTTAATACTAAGAAATGTAAGACTTATTTTAAATCTTAATTATTCTATACATATTCTACTATAAACCTTATTGTTCCCATATAAAATTAATTTGCCATAATTACATAATTTAATGGTGAAAAATCTATGTAAGTTAATAAATCTTGCGTAAAATAAAAGCAATCGGGATTATCCTAATATTAATATTAAAAGACTTAATTAAATTAGTATATAAATATATCTCTTGCTTAATCCTAATTTGCTGATACTTACAATTAATTATTTTAATATATCTAAATACATATTGAAATGAATTCTATTTTTTTCAACTTTTTACTTGTATTTTTCAAGAAAATATCTACTTTCATTTCTTTGAACTAATTAATTATTTAATTAATTCCAAAAAGATTATTGATGATGAATTTTGCATATATAAATTCTTAGATTGATTTATGCTCAAAACTCAAAATAGTACCTGTTAGTTTCAAAGGAAGGCATTTCTTTATTAAGGTTGTATCTTCTGAATTTTAATTAAATAATTCTTGATACCTAGGGTCAATTGAATGTTATTTAATTTTTTAATCCCTATATACTCCTGATAAATTTGAGACTTTTTAAGTTTCCATTGCAGTTAATTAATATTACATTAAATATGATACTAATAATCTTGAATATTCATTAACTTCATTTATAAAATTATTATTAAACTTTTATTATTAAATATTAGACAATTTTTGCATTTAGTTTTATATATAATTCTCCAAAAATTATTCATAAAAATCATACTATGTTAATTTAAAAGATTTATAACATTTTAACAATATTTATTTATCATCTCCATATTAATCATAATCCTATTGAGAAAAATATTAATGTTTTTAAAAAATTTATTTTCCTTATTCTTTTAAATTCTCCTTTATTTTCATCTATAAAATACGCTTTATTTTAAGTTCTTTTGATAATTTTATATAGACTGAACTTTAATTACTTTAATAAGCAATTTAAGGTTAAACTACTTATGATGTTGTTTTGTAATGGGGAGTAGAAGTTTCATAACTTTATGATTATTGAACCCTTTACTGTGAACTAACAGTTAAAGGCCTATTTTATTTGGCTTATTCATAATTAGCAAATTATGGGCTCTACTAATAGTTTATTTCTACTCTGTCCTGAGAACTAATATTTAGAGGCCTTGTTTATTTTGATTATTCATAATTATTTTAACTACTAACATAAGGACTTCTCTAATAGTTTGCCTCTACCCTCTACTGCGAACTAACATTTAATGGAATTGCTTATTTAACATATTCATTGTTGTTTTAATTAATAATTTATGGACTTCTTTAATAGGTTGTAGTCACTCTTTAAGGTGAAATAGTAGTTGAAGGTAATGATTATTTCGCTTATTCATAGTTATTCTAATAAATAACATTTGGAGTTGGAGTTCTTGGATTGCTGACATCAATTGTTTAAGGATAAACGTATTATTCTTCACTATAATTTCTAGGGATTTATTATTTACTTTGTAATGACTGTTAATAATAAGTTGAATGTTCTTGCGATTGATAATATTAGACAGGTTATTAAGAATAGACTTTTTATTATTGTGAAACCTTTTATTTTTGTTAAATTCTTTCATCCATATATTATTAAGAAGGTTCATTAATCTCTTAATCAGACTCTAAAAATTCTGGTTATTCTGGTATAAATGATTAGTTATTTAATTCATCTGGTTAATCTTCATTATATTATTCTTAAGTGATCTTCTCTAAAAACTATCTAATATCTTTGATATCTTTCTTTTTGACATATCTTTCATACATTTAAAGTGTATAATTATTAATAAAATAATTCTATTGAATCTCTTATTTCTAAGAGTTGATTTAGGGTAAAACATCAATTACTATTTTCATCATAAATGGTGTTTTAAGTAACTATTCCAAATTGAAATCAATTATATTATTATTATAAAATTATGGAGTTTAAATATGTCTTAACTATCTTTCTAAAATAGCAAATTAATCTTATTTATTTAATAATTTTAATTCACTTTTCAAAATTGAAACAATAATATTGATTTCTTTATCGCTTAGATATAAATCATTTGATTATTGATGATGATTAAATCGTTCCAATTTTTCTAAAATATTATTCCATATTTTTTCAACTTCATTTATAAGATTTCTTCCTCTTTTTTAAATAAGAGAATACTTTTCAAAATAATCAAGCAAAGTTTTTTTGATTTATGTATATGAATATTATTTTAAGTAATCTTACTTTTAATTATCATCAAAACTTAGAATTCTTAATTCTTTGTATTTTGTAAAATCTAAAACTGATTCACTACTAAACCATTATCTATAATTTGTACTATTCAATTCAAACACTTCTGATCTAGTTGTAGTAATAATTTTTGGATAATTTAGACTATATATTTTTTATTGACCTTATGTTAATTCACTTAAATTTAATAATTGCTATTTCCAATTCTTCAATTTATTGTTTTAAATAAGATTAATTTAATTATTAGTCAATTCATCAAAGCTATCAAGAATAAAGACAACTGCAACTTTACCTTCTTCAACTTAAGTCTAGAATGTTTGTATTTATCTCCAATCAAAATTATAATTGGATGATGCTAATGATTCTTCAATAGCTTTTTAATATGGATCTTTTAAGCTTGCTAATTGAATGAATATAGGTATTATTGGTATCTATTCTAAATCTTTAGACCACTCATCCAAATTCAATTATTAATATTAGAGCCAGATATATTCTTCTATCTTTTTAGCAGCAACGCTTTTACCTGATCCTGCTGGTCCATGAATCAATAGAGAATCTTTTGGTTATTATAAAAATTCGTCTATTTCACCTTTATTCTAAGAAATATCATTAAAAAGAGTTGTTTCATCATCTTCATCTTTAAAGTTTTCTTTCAACTCTTTATTTCTTAAGTTTACATATACATTATTGAAATCATTTACAATTTTCTATTATAAAACAGATTACATCCTTATTTCTAATAATTATTTTGGTGTCTTTCCTATTAATTATTTAATATCTTAAACTACTTCATCAATTTTATTAAGCATTTAATCTAATTTTTATTGAATTTTATTTAAATCTTATTTAATTTCTCTTAAGAAATTGATAGTGATTCCTAAAGCATCTCCAATCTGATTAACATTAAGTATTTATTGTTCTATTTATTCTTCCAATTTTTTATGTTCTTTATGTAATTACTCTCTTTTTCTATCAGTTTCAGCACTTGATATATTAAATTAAAGCTATTCTAATTTACTTATTTAGCTAGCTAAATCTTATTATATCTGATTTTATATTTCAGGCCAATGCTTAGAGAATCCTTAATACATTTACTGTACTATTTATTTATTTTTTAGTGTTACTAATATTTTTAAATTAGTTTCTTTAGCAGCAATTAAAATTAAAATTTTTTGTATGGATTATTTATTTTATTCTTGCAATTAGTTTTCTAATTAGATGCATTAAAATAAAAATCCTTCTTTAACTCTCCATGAATTACCTTAAATGTATTCAAGTATAGAGGCAGTTATACTTTATTTACATTATTTTAGATTACTTTGGATCTGATTCTGCACAGGTGAAAATATGAAATTCAATTCATCTTTAAGAAATCGATCTAATTCTTTTGGATTTTGATTAATAAAGTATAATTAATCTGCATAGCTTTTAGAAAAGGTTTCATAATTAAGACTCTTAAGATTCTATATGAATAATTGAAACTTTTATAATAGTTTTGAGATTTAATCTTCGCATTAAAGATGTATAATATCATTTTAATCTGTAAATTTCATTAAATCGACTAGATTTTACAATGTATCAATTTCAGAAAATTCAATTGATTATTATACTTACATAATTTAACTTTTGAAATTATTGGTTAATTCTAGTAATTTAGCTTAATTAGGCTTTCTTTCATCAATACTTTCACTCATTTCAGTAATTAATTCTTATTTCCAAGATTATTTTAAATTTTAAAATAAGTTTACAATTTTATCAATAAAATCTAATGTACATTTTTTTAGAGCTTATATGGTTGAATCCAATTAATTTTTTTATCTTGTTCTAGCATGTATTAAGAACTCATTAAATTTATTTAGTTCATTAACTAATGTAGTTCTGTAATCACTATTATTTATAATTAATAATTCTTATTAGATAGCTTATACTGATATTTCGAATTCCTTTACCTTTTCAACAAATTCAACATTATTCAATTATTCTATTTTTTCTTTTGATACTATTAAAAAATCAATTTAAGTTTAAAGTTTTATTTAATTTGATTTAAAATTATATAATGTCTTGTTATCTTTTCTGTTTACATATTCTATTAACATTTCCATTTTCTTAATTGAATCAAAATTGAAATTGAGTATTTAGTTAATTGATATAAGAGAATAGTTAAAAATAGAACAAAAATAATTAAATATCTACCTATTTTTTCCATTTTGATATTCCTTTATTTAATTAGATAAGATCTCATTTTCTGTATCAAGTAATTGAGTCAATTATTAATACTGATTGATTTAATATTAGAAATATAAGTTGAAATCAAATTTAGGATTTATTATGAATTCAATTTTCTATTTCTTTTCAATTTTTTCAAATTCTTCTAAAGAAAACTTATCAAAAAGTAAAGATTTTAATTCTAAGAATTATTCATATTAAATTTTAAGAATTGAATAAGTAGAATTTAGGTATTCAAAATTACTATTTTATCTTTTAATAAATTCTTCATTAAGATTGTCTAAAACAGTTTTCATTTCTGTTTCTTATGTTTGTTTTGTAATGATAATTTATTGATTTATCATAATATTTTCAGATGTAAATATAGATGTAAGTAGCATAATCTATTCATTCCATTATTAACAAAATTTAATAGAATTGATTAGGTAATTCAATTATATTTAAAAAGGTTTTTCTTATATTTTGGAAAAAGCTAAGCAATCTTCTGGCATTTTCTTTCCAAATTATTTCTAATAGTTTATTTATTATTCTTAAACTAAATTTATCTATTTGAGCCAATTTATAAGTTTATCATAGATATCTCTTTTTTTATCAAATTGCTTTTTACTTTATATTTTAGAATAATTATATAAAAATGTTTGAAAACAATTACTATATATTTATGTCTATTATTTATTAAGATCATCTGATTTTATTAAAATTGGTGATATTATTTCAATAATATTATTTATATATTCCCTTGAAATTTAAAATTTAATAACATCGTTAAGCAAAGTTTGATATTATTCTTATGATAATATAAGGTAATATTAGAAATCTGAAAAATTCATTGTCTTAGGTTCTATTTGATAATAACTAATTAGAAAGGCTGAAAATTTATTTAAAAATTCATTGAAATTGTTAGCAATCTTTTCAAAAGGAATTTATCTTAATGATTAGATCATTTTAAAATAATCTTAATTAGATTCATTATCAAAATTTAATGTATCCTTTGCTGATTCTATAGAATAATAACCAATAAATTAAGGAATAATTTGATTTCCATTCATAAAAAAGTTTTAAAGATTTTGATACTATCTTTATATACTTTATAATTTAATCCCAATATTTGAAGTTGATCCTTTAGCAATAATTTCAGCTATTTCAAAATCTTTATGAATAACATTAATCAAATTTTCTGATTAGGCTTGTTCCCATGTCATAATTTAATTAGATCCCTATTATAAACTTTAAAACTTGATTTTTGTAATTTGAGGTTTACATGCCATAAGTTCACTTGCCATCTTGATCCAAGAATATTATATTGCCCAATCACTACCTTATTTAATTATACCAGTGTAGTTATCACTTATTTTATCTTCTATTTCATTAAACATAACACCAGCTTTAATATTCATCAGGATATTCCATTTCAATTATTCTAAAAATAAGCAATTCTGAAACTGTTCCATTGACTTCTTCTTTTGGAATTGCTAATATAAATATAAAGCTCCTTTTGATATGGAACTGGCTAAATCTGGAGATGGTTTTAAACTAACTGCAGAGCTAACAAGTTCTTTAAGAATTGCAAATGCAGAACTATTTCTTTCTTGTTACTCTTCTTATGTGGGTATATACTCTATACAGGCTTAGATTAGGGTCAACTCATAAATCAAACCATTATAAAATAATGATGCTTCACCGTCTAAATTAATCTAATTAATAATATTGCCAGTTAACTATGTCCATTTTTCTATCTATTATTATTGACTTCTATCATTCGAATGAGAGTAATAAACAAATATCAATCTGGAGAACGAGTTGCAAATTTTTAATATTTTTAAAGCAATCAATCTGTCCCATTAGATAGTTGTTGAAGCCAATTCTAAGAAATTTTAAAGTGTTCTTTCTATAATTTATTTGTGTCTTTTTACCAAGTCAATTTGAAATTGGAAATAACAAAACAATTATTCAAGTTCTTAAAACCATGCTATGTTTCTACATAACACACTTTTCCCTTCTTCTGTACTCATAATCTCTTTGACATGTTCAATTTGCTCTAATCTTTTATTTAAGTTGACAAGTAAACCATTCAGAAGTGTTGAATGTAATTACGCTTCAATTTATATATTCTAAGGTATTCCTTGAGAATTATTAGAAGAAGAAAAGGCAGACCCTCCTCCTCTTAAAGATTATTCATAGAATCTCTACTTTTGCATAAATAAATAAATAGTTTGTCTAATTTTATTAGAGAAGCAAAATATTGATTATTTGAGATTTTGCCATCAATTTTAATTAATTTGACTTAAATAATTTGTTTTGAATTAGAGAAACATAAATTCAAAACATAAGTAATTAAATTCTTATTATAGTATATAACAGGTACATCAAAAGGGAGTAATTTATTTGTTTAATAATGTAATTATAATTTATAGTTATTCTATAAATATTGAACAAGAGTATTGAAATAAAGAAATAAAAATAAATTTTAAATTTTATTTGTATATAAATTATTTTATAATTTTAATAAATTCTAAAGTTATATAAGTATTTAGAGATAATCCTAGTTTATATTGATACTCTAATTAAATCTATATAATTAAACTAAGTTCTCAGTCGCCTTTCTTCCAAAAATTATTATGACTATAGTTTTATAAAGATGTTAGCAACAATATAATATAATGAAGTCTTTTAGGGTAAAAATAAAATAAATGGAATAGAAATTACAATCAAAATAATCAATAAAGTATTTTAATAAATGTATTAATATAATTATTAATTTAATCTAATTGGAAGCAAAATAAAAATATATTTGATTTATTTAGAATTCAATGCTCTAATGACAATAAATGCAAATTTTTATAACTCTTTAGAATTGATGAATTGGGGCAAATTCAGAGATTTTATCAAATTTATATCATATAATTAAGAATCATAATATAAAGGTTTATGTTTTATTTAAGATAATTTAGAAGAGAACTTAAAATTAAAGATATTAAATTTTATGCTACTTAATTTTAATTCATTAATACATAGAGCCAATAAGAATTTTGAAAATTTTTGGTAAGAATAAAAAGAGATGAAGGAGTAACCTTAATTTGTAATAATATTTATTATTCATTCTTCATAAAAGATAAAAGAGTGATAAATACATTAATTAATGATGGAATATCTTTGATTTCAAGTATTATTTTGGTAAATATTAAGAATTAAGAATAATATACTATAAGAATTATGCAACTTTAGTTTTAATAATAAACTTTATAGATTTCATAACATTATTAAAATTAAACACTTTTCGAGCGTAATAATATTTATTATTGATTCTTTTTGCATTATTCATTATGAGAATAAACTGTTTAAATAATCTAATTAAAATGAAATTTTATTTGTTTCTAAAAATAGGTAAAAGAGAGAATTATTTAAAAAAATAATCCAATTCTCTAGTTAGAAATTATTCTAAAATTCTTTAGGGTTATTGTTATATGAGATAATCTATTGATATTAATTGTGTATTAACAATTTAATAATTACTGTATCAATTAAAAAAATAGTAAGAAATAAAATAAGATATTAAAATAGATGATGATATTTACTCAACTTTTATACTCTTTGTAACTATTTTCATTTCATAAATATATTTATTAATAAAAATATTATATTATTATTGTACAATATAATTCTTAAATATACTTATTGAACATTAGAATTTTACTGAAAGCTTATGCTCTTCCTAGTTCTTATATTCAAAATAAAATAAATAAGTTTATATTCAATAATTTTTATGATTATTATGTTCAATAATAAATTCTAGTGTAAATCAAATACTCTATTTTATAGTTCTTTTTTTGATTATATAAAAGGGGGATTAATATCTTTTTTTGATTAATTATTTTTTATTTTTAAAATGGCAAGAAGAGGTCAATAACCACCACCATAACAACAATAAGCTCCACCTGCTCAAAAAAATTAAGCAGGAAAATTCAACCCTGCTGAGTTTGTTAAACCAGGACTAACTGAAGAAGAGGTTTTAGAAATAAAAGAGGCTTTTGACTTATTTGATACAGATGGGTATATATTATTTATAAAATCTTAGTACTTAATCTATTGACCCAAAGGAATTAAAGGCTGCAATGACATCATTAGGATTTGAAGCCAAAAATCAAACAATCTATTAAATGATTAGCGATTTGGATACAGATGGAAGTGGTCAAATAGATTTTGCTGAATTTTTGAAATTAATGACAGCAAGAATTAGTGAAAGAGATTCTAGAGCTGACATTTAAGTATCTAAAATAATAATAATTTTCATTAGAAAGTCTTCAATCTTTTTGATTCAGAAAGATCTGGTGTAATCACTTTGAAGGATCTAAGAAAAGTAGCAAAAGAATTAGGAGAAACAATGGATGACTCTGAATTATAAGAAATGATTGACAGAGCTGATTCTGATGCGGATGCTTAAGTGACATTCGAAGATTTCTATAATATTATGACCAAAAAGACATTTGCATGATTCAAATAAATAACACATAATAATATAACATACACATATATCAATCTAATATATAAAGAAAATACATGAAATGTGAATAAAATATATGTAAATAGTGTAAATCTCATTTATCATTTTCTTATCTTGGATCAATATATACTGCTGGAACCAAACCTGCTCTATAGGTAGAAATAACCTTATGAACAAGTTCAGATCTTTTTATTTTTGGATGATCATTAAAATCTTATTGTTAAAATTCAATGAAATCATTTGTAGAAGCAGGAAGACTATAATAATGACTATAAAATCCAGAATTACTCCAAATAACTAAAGAATACTCTTTTCCCACTTAAATTTTTTATGGAATCTTAAATATTATATCATAACATCTATCTATAATCTTTTCACTATTATGCTTTATTGTCTTACTTTCCATGTAAATTGCTTTTTTTAATAAGTTTTTTTTATGATATAGGGCAAAGTTATAATTAATAGGTTTTTTTTAATGATTAAGTTCACTTGAACAAAATAATATAGGTTATTTAAAACCTAATAATTTGAAATTTTTAAGTGCTGTGAAGATGGTTACAAATTGAGCACCTTATTCTAATCTCCATGGCCAATTTTCATCATTAAATATTTTAAGTCTTTATATTTCCAATTTTTCTAACATAAGAGCTTCATCAATCTTTTAAGGACTTCCAACTCTAATATATTCTTCTGATTTTAATTTCTTCATGATTTATGGTGATTATTTATTAGCATCTTTATCTATAAAGGGTAGACTATTTAAAGACTGAGGAAAATGTGGTTTTGAAGAACTGACAGGTGATTTAATAGCATCAATTACTCTTTGTAATTTTGAAGAAATTGATTCTCTAAGAACTTAATAAATCTAATATTTTTTCTTGAGAAATGCACTTAATTAGGTTATTTCTTTAGGAGGTTTTTCATACTTTATTTCATATAATTAGGTTGTTAAGTCATTCTCAATAGAATGAACTAACTTTTATATTATTGCCTTGAATATTGTTACAATATTCATAGTTTCTTTTACAAAAACATTATCAATGAGATATTAGATTGGAACTGTCTCATGTTCATGTTTACATAATTTGCATAAGCATCTAGTTTAACAATTGGAATCTACACAAAAGTTAATAATATCTTCTTTATGCATAGAACAATAAGGATTCATTAAAAACAGCTAATTTAATAAATAAAATAAATCATTAAAAGTAACATATAATAAAGAAATCACATTTGAACTTCTTAATTTATGAATTCCTTTCTCATAAAATAGTTACTTTTCATTTTCTCTGGTTCTTAAGCAGCAGAATAGTAATTACTAATTCCAGGTATATAAGAGAATGGATCAGCAACTTTATTGCTAAATATTAAATCTAAGAATAATTGATCAGAAATGTATTCTTAAAATAAAGTTTGTGATTCAGTATCATCAATTATAGTATCTCTTAAGTCTTTAATCTTTATTTTAGATTATTTTTCTCTTTCTCTCAATTCAATCAATCCCTTAAATCCTTTAGGAATATAATTAGGTTGTTTCGAATATTTATTTTTTTTAATCCATTTAACAATATTGTTCCCAATCATTTTTGGAAAGTTTTTATAATTGATGTCTTCTTCTTTAATTTTGATGGTTTCACACTTTGTCATAGAGGTTGGTTAATGGTAGGTTTAATTGAAATCAGATTATTGAAATTCCGCATCATTTTCTCCATTTTCTGTTTGAAACAAAGAGTCGTGGTCAAACATATTAATAGAAAAATAATTCTATAAGCTAATTCATCCAAGGTCTTAAAGGTTTTATGTAATTCTATTAAAATTATTAGAAAAAATATTTATTTTAAAATATAAATATCACTAAGTGATGTAGCTTCCAACCATTTTCTCTGGTACAAAACTAGCTGCATAATAATTACTTATCCCTTTAATGTAGGCCAATGGATCATTAATTTTAGGACTATAAATCAAATCTAATAATAATTATTTTTTCAAATAATTTTAAAATAAATTCTAAGATTCTCGATCTGAAAGACAAGCTTGTCTCAAATCTGCTATTTTAAACCCTATTTATTAAGGTTTATTCTTTTTTTTAATCATTTCTTAAATTCCTTTTGGAGGTTTTGAGAAATTATTAGCAGCATATTTGCATACATTATTTCCGATTAATTTTGGAAAATTCTTCAATTTTCTCTCTTAAACCTTTTATTTTGTAATTGGTAATTATAATCCAAAGGTTTTTTTAGAGGATATTGATTTTTTTTAATTAGATTATGTTTCTTCAGTACATAGTTGTTCATCATGAAACTAAGCTTTAGAGTTTATTTCATTTACTTCTAACATAGAGATCATTTAATAATAATTAAGTATTATCTTCTTTTAGAATTTAAATAGAAATGGTATTTCTATTAATCAAATGTATTAGACATATATTCGTTATATTTATTTATTCAATATAAATTCTCTAGTTGTTTATTATAAGTTAGAAAAAGGTGTATTTACATTAGATGGAACCTTCAAATTGAGAATTTAAATAAAATACATTATTTATCTATATATGAACCATATTTTCTAAATTCTTATTTATAATACTAGAATAATATCTTATTGTAATTTTTTTTCTAAGATTACTTCAAATAATATTATTATTTAGTACTTTAAATTTACATCTATAGGACTTGGATTAATGATGACAAAAAGATCAAAATAAATAATCTATTTATAATAAGTTTTGGCATATATTTATTATTACAATAAGGAATATTTAAATTAAAATTGAATAAATTAAGTTATATCCTAAATTCATATTTTTGGATAAATTAAATACCCAAATGAATTTCTTAATGAACTAAACAAATATTTATAATTAAACTCTACATTTTGAAACTAATTACACAATCACAATTTCTATTGATATCAATAGGATACTTATTATTATTATTTTTATTCTTAAATCAATTTAATTAAAGATAAATTAAAGTTAAAAATTCAAATAATCAACTTAAAGCTAAGGGTTATATTTTATATTTTCTATATTATAATTTATATTAATTTGCTGGTCAAAATGTATTTTATGATTTCATCAATTAAGTAGAATATTATAATTAATTATCTTAGAGTTATTATTATTCATATTTAATAGTGAATCTTCATTAGGTTGAATTAGTTGAATATAATATATCCCTAACTAAGAATTTTGATAGTATAATGTAAGAGTTAAAGCAATAGTTAATTATATAATTGGTTATATAACTTAGATTAATTTGATTATTGGAGCATGCAAAATATTAAGTCAAAATGATTAATGTTACTTTAATAGTATTAACACAATATATACAGTTATCCTTTAATACAAAGTCCTCATTAATTTTTGTTAAGGTATAAATATAATATTTATTTATAATAAAATTATTGATTTCTATAAATTAACATGATTTAGAAGAAAAAATACATAATATATAGTTTCATTTTGTTGGTTATCTGGTATTAATTTCTAGCAAACTTTTAAAAAAGCAAGGATTTGATCTGTATAAATAACTATTAACTTTTTCGACACCTTCAACTACTAGTAATTCATAATCTGGCACTTTTCCTGCTTTAGAACATGGTAATTATAGAAGAGTTTCTCCATATTTATTAAACTAATTATATATTTGAATTGAAACTTTTGGAAAATCTTTTGTTAATTCACATTGCTAAATTATAGGCTTAAAAACATTTAAGTTTACAAATATGGGAATGAAACAAAAATCAACAAGTGAAATTTAATCTCCATTCATATATTTTTTATTCTCTAACCATTTATCTACTTATTCAATATTTTTTTTTAATAATTCCCTTTATTTAAAGAATTTCTTTTAACATATAATAATTAGTACCTCCTCATCATAACAAAAAACAAAGATAGACATATTTTTCATTAGTTCACTTGCATATTCAAATTTACCTCTATCTAAAGCTTTTTATATTGGATCAGATGGCATAATCTAAGGCGGTGATATTTCATCAATATACTCCATTATTGCATCAGATTCAAATAAAACAACTAAGTTACATTATAATTTATTATTTACTGTCATCTCCAATCATTAATATTGGTACTCTAGATAAAGGACTAATTTTCACAAACCATTCAGGTTTGCAATGCATTTCAATAAATTTTATTTCAAATTTAATGTTCTTGTGACACATTAATGCAAGTACTCTCATACTGAAAGGACATAATTTAAAGGTAACTAGAGTGTGTTTAAGTTTTTGCATCAAATCTTAAATAAATTCAAGAATAAATTTAATTACGTCGAAAGAAATTCTGAATTCTTTATTTTAATACAAAAACTTAATAGAATGATTTTTACTTATAGAACTAATTAGTATAATCTAAGTTCTAAAATCTTCATATCTTATCATAATAATTAATTTTTATGATCCTCAATAAATTAATTGATATTTTGATGTAATTTCTAACATTCTTAAATTATTATCCAGTAATTATAGTTCTGAATGAGGAATTTAATATTTATTACCCTTTTATTATGGATAGATTATCTGAGATCATTATAGGAAATTGATAAAATTTATAAATATAAAAGTTTTAATATATATAAAATTATCAAAATATGAAACGTCGTCCATAAAGTGCCATTATATCTAAAATGATAAGAGAGAGATAAGAATCAGCAATAAATACGTAAAAATGTAATTCTAATAGAGTTCATAAATGATTTATTCAAAAAAGCAAACTCCATAATAGGTAGCCCCAAAAGAGTATTTTGAAGATCAAGAACAATTATATTTTGTAAATTTGTAATTGAAATAATAATGCAATGAATATAAATTTGAAAATTAAAAACTCAAAGCCTAAATAGCTTAATTAAAAGTATAGTAAATATTTAGTATAGAAATAAATCATAAAGATAGAGAAACTAGATAAATATTAGGTAAATTGTGATCCTCTTGGAGTAATTTAAAGTGGAGAGGGTAGTATAGTACCTATTTTAAAGGCTAAAGTAAAGGAATAGCGTAATTAAATTGAAGAACTATAAACTGATTTGCATTAATAGTATAAGTCTGTTAAATTAACAAAATTATCAGAATTATAAAGAGAAATTTAGAATTAATAGAATGAAATTATGAAACTTAAATAAGTAATTTAATCTGCCCTTAATATTAATGATTAAGAGTAAATTATGATATTTAATATTAAGTTTAGTAAATGATCCAAATGTTATTGAAAAGCTATCAAAATTTACAATAACAGTACATTAATAAGAGAATTCAATTTAATTATTAATAAAATAAAATGATAAATTAAAAATGGAATATTAGGAAATGTCTAATGATAATGCTAAATTAATTGAAGAAATGAAATAATTGAATTTTGAGAAAATTAATTATAAAAAACAATTAGAAGAATAAACAATAACTGAAAATGAGATGTATTAATAAAAGAAAAGAGAATTTTTAGAAATGAAATTAGCGTATTGATATTGTAATTTATATAAAAGTGCTACATTAAAGTAATTAGATACATTAAAGGGTGAGTTATCATTATATGAGAATAAGTGTAAAATACTATAGAAATAAATAAAAGATTAAGAAAAAGACTTTAAATAGACAATAATGGAATTATAAAAATAAAAATAAAATTTAGAAGATTTATGCAATAAAAAAGATATAATAATGTAATATAAACAATAATATTTTAGTTAAGACTTAAATGATAGAATCAATATTTAGGATTTATTAAAATAAAAAAATTCACCTAAACCATCTGATTCTCCTCTTACATTGTAACTCAAAAAGTCTTTCTTTCCTCCTACAACCTATAGAGATTAAATAACTTAATTTCCAGAAAATTAATTATCAAATATTAATTAAGATATTAATTGTAGACCTATTGATAAGAATAAATTAGAAGTATTATTTTAATAATTAAAATTCAAAATCATCTCTTAAAAATTAACAAAAGAAAGAATTCATTTTACATTTCATAACAAAGAATTCATATAATTAGGAGATGCTATATAAATTTTTATGAATGCACCTTATAATTTTTAAAAATCTGATTCATTAATACTTTGTAGATATCTTATTGGAGAGGATCAAGGATTCTCTAATTAAATATAATGGTAAGATACATAAGAAGTTAGAGAAATTATTGATTAACTATATAATCATCCAAAAATTAAATCTTAATATGTATATATATATATTTTAATATAATAGTTAACATTTTAGACAATTTTGAAATAGAATTTCTATTCTAAAGCAATTAATCAAAAATTAATTCAATGTAATATACCAAATAAAATATATAATAAAGATGATTTGATATTGCTATTAAAAAATAACTTTAATTTCACTTATGAATAAATAGATTATATGTTGATGATAAATTATTTATATTCAAATGAAGTTGATAATATCAATATAAATGTTCTAAGTAAATTTATATAACAAGAATGTGATCTATAAACTACTCTTCATAATTTAACATATGTTTGTTTAGATTCTATTAGATATATTCCAAAGAAGATCAATAAAGTTTCATATTCAGATGATGAAGAATTTAATTATCCTGTAGTTGAAAGTAAAGATAAGTAATCTAAATAACAATAAAGAGATGATTCAAAATTTAAACCAAATGAATAATCAAATTAAATTTAAAATATAATTATAAGTGAACAATACTTAACTTTTTCATGTATAATTTTTAAATATAATAGAATTTAAAACTTGTGAATAATAACTAAAAAGTTCTGAATCTAGAAAACCTAGCAATCATAATAATAACAGTAGTGATATTTTCTAATATAGTCAATCATTATTACCTCTAGCTACTTTAAAAAGACCATCAGATAATTAATAAATGACATCAGATAATTCTATTTAATTTAATATTACAAATTAATTCTAATCTCCATAGAAAAATAAGTAAAGAATAAATTAAATTAATGAATTTCAAACTGGAAAAGAGATTTTTGATTAAAAAAATATTCAATATAATATTGATAATGATACATAAATTACTGATATAAATAAAAAAGAGGATGATTATTATGAGGAAATCTTAGAGGAATACATTGAAGAATTATGATCATTATAAAGTAATAAAATTTTATTTTGATATTTTAATTAATAAAATGAATGTTTATTGTTAAATGGCTGGATATCATTAAGGTATTTATAACATGGCTATTATAAAGATGAACCCTTGGAATTATTATGTCTTAATCCTGAATGCATTTCCAACAATAAAGTTCTAAATTGCATAGCTTGTATAGAAGAAAATCATTCTGGTCATTCTGTTATACATTATAAGAAATTTATAACTTTATTGTAAAAATAAGGATCATAATTATTGAATGAAATTGTATTAATATATTTTAAGTTTAAGGATTTTAAATTATAGGATTCTACCAATATGTAAAATGATATGTTAAATAAAATAAGAGAAATAATCAAATAATTAACTGAATTATAAGATATTGTTAATGATGCAATAAATAAATAAAAGGAAATGCTGGAGAGAAAATTATAATACTATGAATGTATTAATCATTATATAAAATGAAGAATTTGCTTGTCTGTTACCAACATAAGAGATTTTTAATTAAGCAATTAAATCACATGATTAGAGTTTATTATAAAAGTTAATGACCTAATTCTTTTTGAAGGTTGATTATAATTAGAAAAGATAAGAGTTTGTTGCAAGAAGCAATTATTTAATTGATCAATCAGAAGAAACAGAAGGAGAGAATATTTTATTTAGAAAATTAAGAGAATTCATAAATTCATTTAGATAAGATATAGATAATAATTATTTGACATAAAATTCTTAATTGAGTACCAGTTTTAAATAAAAGAAACATTCTTAAATTAATAATGAATTCAAAAGATCACATCAGAGAATAGCAAGTTATAAAAGAGTAGTTTCAGCTGAAAAATCACCAGGTTCTCCAGATGATAGAATATCAATAACTTAATCTCTTAGCTAATTTTATTATAAACCAAATACTATTAAAAAAAGAGTAGGAGAACAAATTTAATTAATTGAAACTTAAAATAATTATACTACTACTTATTCTTTTCATTCTGAATGTTTTGGTTAAGGATTATAAATAACATCTAAATAAGTTAAACTTACTACAGATAATGAAAAAAGAATAGCACTCATTAAACCATCTATTTATGGAAGTGGATTAGCTAGAGAATAAAGAATAACATTATTAATTAAAGTTTGTAGAAATTCTAATTAAAGATATCCTATGGCAGTTGGAATATGTGATTAATCAAAATTATAAGAAGATAATTTTATATTTTCTGGTTCTGCTGAACATGTTCCAGGATCACATAATAAAGATCATGGATGTTATTTATTAAATGCTAATGGATATATAAGATCAATGATTGGATTAGATATGTCAAAGAGTTCTCCAAATCTAAGATTTTATAGTAATTCTACACTTGAATTGACATTTAAACCATTCCATAAATAACTAATAATAAATAGAGATTAATAAGTTTAAACAACAATACCCTTAGAATTTCATAAAGATTAAAAATTATTCTTTTGTGTTAGATTGGCAGATTTGAATGATTGCATAGAAATTTAATGATATATTATTTATTATTATAATAAAAAAGTTTTCTTTAAATAATTGTCTTTATCAAATCATTCTTGATTACGTATTAAATTTACATAATCAATATTAAGGATGATATTTTCCCTTAAAATATGATTAGATATTGTAATATAACATTAATGTTAAGGCATCTTTTGTGGCTAATAAAAATCGTTGAGTTGATCCTTGAATTAAAAAAGTTAATTTTTAAGATTTTAATACTTAACTTGTGCAATCAATAACATTTTTATATTTAAAAGATGCTTGATTAAAATTGAGTGAGTCAGCTTTCATCATAATCATTATTTTGAAAAATGGAAAAGATATTACATGAGAGACAAAAGTTAATAGTTAGACCCAAAATAATTAACCAATAAATGGAAGAGCATCTGTAATCTCTTTTGTGCTATCGAAAATACCAAATTATAGACCTCTAAACACTACAATTGGGGAAATACAAGCACTTAACCCTTTATAATAACCAAATATGCCATCATTTTTAAGTATCTCAATTAAACAATCTCTCCAATTTAGATCAATTCTTTTTCCTATTTTTTATAAATATTTAGTTCTTTAAGTAACAAATTCATATGGATACATGACCAACATAGTCGAAGCTCCAGCTAAACTACCTATAAGTATATTCTTTAGATGATTATAATGATTTACTAAATAGATGAATAATATGTACTTCTTTTTTTTAATTATTTTGAATATAAACCCTTAAAAGCAAAAGCTAATGATTGATGTGGAATATACCTGATTGTATTTGGAATAATCCCTTTCCAAATGTTAAAATAATTCTTTGATAAGTCTATTTATAAATATACTTTTTATTCATTATGTTATAGAATAGACATTGGATAATTTTCAATTGGTGTACAAAGACAATTTGAAGTAAAAGAGGATGTTGCAGCAATAAAAAGATCAATAAAAAAATCAGACATAAAATTAATAATTTATGATTTTGAATATATAAAAACAGGATTTAGTAATGGAATACTAATTATTATTTATAAATTTAACTTTTTTTTTATATATATAATAAAATTTTTCATTGAAATTGTGTTAAAAATTCTTCTGCATTATATATTTTATTCCCACCATAAATTATCACTTTATTAATACTTTTAGCAAAATCGCTCAATTCTGCATATTCATTATAACATGCTCCTTCTGTAAAACATATTAATATGCCTTTAATAGTAGATAATAAACCAAATTCTAATCTCTAAAATATTATGAATAAATACTGATATATTCTTAACTCTAGAATCATACATTGTTAATATTGATTATAATTCATCAATTTTCAATTCATTTAAAAATAGATTTTCTAACATTTGAACAATTGCAGATTTCTTTCCTCCTATCAAAATAGGATTAAACATTTACTTTACAATAAAAAGTTTTAAACATTTTTCAATAGACCTTTTCCAGAATTAGGCATCTTGGATGTTATAGCAGCAAATAAAGATTTATATACACTTTATTATTTATTATTTTAATTGGAAGCTACTCTTTATTTAAAATTAGATAGAATATTCAAATATTTTTCATTTTTTATTTAGAAAATCTATTCAAATTTCTTAAATTCTTATTAATTGTAATTATTTAACAACATTAGTATTAATAATCTTAATTTATCTATCTCTTTAGATTATTCAATTTAATTATCTTCTGATTATGGATAATCATTAATTGTCAATGTATCATTTTATAATATACTTTATCCTAATTAATAAAATTTATCAAGTGATTTTTATTTTGCAATTTAAGTCAATTATTTAGCTAAATTAATATGTGAATCAACCATCTTTTTTTATTGATTCATTTATGGTACTAAATCAATTGCATTTAAAGCACTTGAAATTTCTTAATTTTATTATGAAACTTATTAATATTAAGAATTCCAATCATTTAATTCATTATCAATTTTATCAATTGCTTCTGGTAAAGCCATATTACATGCTTAAAGCCATAAATTATCATATTAAGGGGAAAGATCATATACTTAATCATCTAATTTAACTTTATTATATTTAATATTGAGAGTATCATGTAATAATGCTCCATATGTATTTGAATGCATTATTAAAGTATTAAGATCTATATCTCTATCTGGTAATATAATTGCTAAAAGAGGATAATCAGAATTAAATTCAAGTTATTTGAGTTTTTCAATTAATTCTTTTGCAATTTATTCAATTTTAGAATTCTTTTGAAATAAAATTAATGGTTAAACTTTAAGAGCCATAATAATAGAAAATAATCCAGTTACAACTTAATTTTCTAAATTAAAGAAATTATGATTAAGAGCAACAAAATCAAGATTATGTTCATATACTTTTTATATTTTTTATACAGCTCCACTAATTTTACTAATTTCTTTAGCCATCATTTCTAATAAATTATTTTCAATAGGAGATGAAAAATTTATATAAACTTCTGAATAAAGATCTCGATTAAAGTCTTCAACCAATTTTTCAATACTACTTTATAATGGTTATATAAAATAAATTGCTGTGACTCCATGTAATCTCTCTCTATTTTAATCAAGATTAAAATGAAGAGTAATACACATTTCTCTCAAATCTCCTACTCTATAAATAGTTGACAATCTTTTTTCACAATATGAATCATAACATAATATTTTCCAAGGAATTCTTATCTCTGGTTTAAGTATTGGAATTAAGGCATCTCTTTATGCTTGAATAAGTGACGTGTTTATTTACATTTATAATTAAATTATTATATATATATAAAGACATTCATAATAATTATTCATTTAAATGATTACATGATTCATTTATACATATTATATATGATGGTATCTTATTATGTGTCTAATGCAAAAACAGAATTAAAAATTTATTAAAATTTATATTTCTAATGAAAGCAGCTTATATTGTTTCTGCAGCTAGAACACCAATTGGTTGTTTCTTAGGCAAATTGAGTAAAGTTAAAGCAACAGATCTTGGAGCTACAGCAATTAAGGGTGCTCTATCTTAAGTCACAATACCATTAGATGCTATAGATGAAGCTATATTAGGAAATGTTTGTTCAGCTGGTATTGGCTAAGTATCAATTGATTATTAATAAATAGGCTCCTGCTAGATAAGCAGTGATCAAAGCTGGATTACCAACATCTACTCCATGTACTACTATAAATAAGGTTTGTTCTTCTGGTATGAAATCAGTTACTTTTGGCTCATAAAGTATTCAATTAGGATAATCCAATATTGTCATAACTGGAGGCTTTGAATCAATGTCCAATATTCCTCATTACATTAATGCAAGATAACCACTTAAATATGGAGATGGAAAATTATTAGATGGTTTAGCTACTGATGGTTTATCTGATGCTTATAGTAATGTTGCTATGGGAGTATGTGCTGAAAAGACAGTTAATGATCTTAAATTAACAAGATAATTACAAGATGATTTTACAATTACTAGTTATGAAAGAGCACTTGAATCAATCAAAACTGGAAGATGGTCACATGAAATTACTCCAGTTCAAATATCAGAAAAGGAAGTAGTTACTGAAGATGAAGAGGTCAAAAGATATTAAAAGGAGAAAATTCCACTTCTTAAACCAGTCTTTGCTAAAAATGGTAGTGTTACAGCTGCAAATTCAAGTAAAATTAATGATGGAGCATGTGCCATTATTTTGGCATCAGAAGAAGCCTTAAAAAAATATAAATTGACACCTTTAGCTAGAATTGTTGCCTATGCTGATGCAGAACTTGACCCTATGGATTTCTGCATTGCCCCAGCTAAATCATCTGCCAAGGCACTATAAAGAGCAGGGTATTTATATATATTATTCATATTTTTTAGACTCAAATTAGCCAATATCGATTACCATGAAATTAATGAAGCATTTGCTGCCACTGTTTTAGCTAATATGAAATTATTAGATTTACCATTAGATAGAATTAATGTTAATGGTGGTGCAGTTGCTTTAGGTCATCCTATTGGTATGAGTGGTGCAAGAATTATTTTGTCTTTACTCACTGTATTAAAATAAAATTAAGGTAAATTTGGATTAGCAGGAATATGCAATGGTGGTGGAGGTGCTACATCAATCATCATAGAAAACTTAAATTGAGATTTATAATACATAATAATATAATCAATTTCCTAAATATTTCTATATAAAAATAAATAATATATCTTAATATTTGTATATTAATAACTTCATTTTTTAAATTTAACACATTTTCCATTCTCTAATTGCAAATCTTATTCCAATTCTTTAATTTATTAATCACATTTCACAGTCAATAACTATCCGTTTAGAGTAAATTCAGGTTTGGTTTGTAATTTTGATTTAATTAAAGCAATACACATTTTCTTTGTCTCATCTGTAGGATCAGGAAATTCATAGTGATAAATTATCTTTAGATTATCTTTTTGCTATTAAACAGGTTTCTTGATAATCTAAGATTTTTTTTATTGCTATGGATGTTAAATTTATTGTTATTATTATTAAGTTTATGTCTTAATTATTACTTTAGGCTCTTCTTTTGGATATGGTTTTTGGGTTGATTTAATTAATTATACTTCTTATTAAAAATCTTATTTAAAGTCACCTAAATCAAATTTAAGAAGATCATTTTTTTAATCTGTAGGAATGATATCAACATAATCTCCATTTAAATCAAAAAAGTAAAACTATTATAAAAAGATATAAATACTTGATTATCCTCACATTTCAATTTCCATCCTAAAGGTTCTCCAAATCTATCATAATAACAACCATCTTAATCAAGAAAGTTAAAATCTGCATCCAATTCAGTAATATTAACTTTTGGGTTGTGTTTTGGTAAAGTAGATGGATCTTTACTATAAGGAACAAAAAATCCTTCAATATTGTAAAAGAAAGTTCGATTTTCAAATGTTTTATACCATCCTAATGCTTCACCTAAACTATTATAATAGCAATTCTTTTCATCACACCAACTTATAATAGAATGAGATTTATGTACCCATTATTAGAGTCTAAAAAGAAAGTTGATCCATCTTATAATTGAAATGCTGGTCTTCCATCAAGCATGATTTCATAAAAATTCTTAAATCTATCTGGGTCATGATCAGGGAATGTTTCTGGATCAATTTCTGTAGGAATATTCATTATTATTATTATTATTAATAAATATGCATATCACTTCTCACAATCATTTAATTAACATTCTCAATATTTATTCTTTAGTAATTAGAATCACAATTTATACTATACCATTTTCTCTCTTTATTTCTTAAAATCTCTCTCACAATTAATGGTGCCAATTCACCACCTTTATCTCCTATATCTCCTGAATTGTATTTAAAACCTATTTCCTCTTTAGGAAATACTAAAGGGATATAATCATTTACTTTTAATCTCTTATATATTGGATCAAATTCAATAAGAGATCCTCCTATTCTAACACCAGCCTAATATAGAAAATCAGGAACATTTTTCATATAACTTTAGTATATTTTGAGTTTATTAATATCAAATGTAAATGATTTTGCAATATCAAGAGACTTTTTATAATATTTTAAAGCAGTTTCTATATTATCTTATGCAATTTATTGTCTCTCTTATTAATAATACAAAAGATTTTTTTGTTCTTTAATTTTATATGCTAAATTTTAAGCATCTTGAATTCCTGTATTCATTCCAAATCCACCAGCTGGAGGCATTCCATGACATGCATCACCTACAAGAATACAATTATTCTTATAATATTATTCTGCATATACTGCACCCATTCTCCAAAATCCAACAGATTTTATTTCTATATCATTTATTTAATTAAGTAATGTTTTATTTATTAGATTTTTAATTAATACATGATCTTATTTAATATGTTAAATTTCTTATATATCAGTTTTACCTGTCAATAAATCTAATGGTATTTAAATGGCAAAAGTTCCATCTTCAATTCTATGTTTAATAATTACTGCTGTTATATCAGAATTATATATGAATGATAACATTGAATTATATTATTCAAGTCTATTTACTAATTATTTAGATATGAAATGAATATTTAAAAACCTTTAGAGATCTCTATTACCAATTAATTTAATTTTTAAATAATCTCTAACAAAACCATTCAATCCATCACAACCATATAAATAATCACATGTTATATCATCATTAACTTTAATAATTTTATCCTTGAATTCAATTTTCTTAATTTCCTTATTTAATTAAATTTTATCTCTTATTCCTTATTAAACATATTGAACAAAGAGACTTTATGGTAAATGAGCATAACTTGTATAAGAATATTATTTATAATCTATTAATTAACTTGTACTATTTAATGGTGTTTCTCCAATTCTACGTAAATATACATAATTAGAAAAATGTTGGATATTTTCTAATGGTAATTGTATATTTAATTCATCAAGTATCTACATATATAATAGAATGTAGTACTTCCATTGTTCTCATATTTAAATAATGAGCTGATGGATGTGCAGATAAAAAGGATTGCTTTTCGAATATTTGAAAAGGGATGTTAAATCTCTTAAAATAATGTCCCAAAATGAGACCAACTCTATAAAGTTTATAATGTATTACGGTCCAGCACCAACAATCAAATGAGGAATATGCACCATATTTATAATATATAATTAATAATCATCTTTTTTTAAATCCGTATTTCTTTCTTTCATAAAATAAATCTGTTTTAGCAGATCCCAAATTTACAATTTTAGGACATCCATCTCTATCCTTTTCTTATTGAACACATTCTCTACAATAATATGCATCTAATATTATAAATTATAAATACCACTAACTCCAACACCTCCACATATAACACATCTACCTTAAAAACTTCCATAATTGCATTCATCACAAATTTTTACTAAAACACTAGGTCTGACATATGAATCACATATCACACATTTACCATCACATTTCTCACATAATCTACCAATTGCAATACCTGGTTATTTACGACACATAATTAAATCTGGATGATGTTTTGCCATTATTTATTATTATTATTATTTATAAGTATATATTCATTTAGATGTAATCCAAATCTTAACCTTTTTATCTGCTGAACAACTAATCAAATATTAATTAAATTGTAAATCAGTTATTTAATCATTATGAGCATCTAATTCAATAAGAGATTCAATAAGCACTGTAACTTTCCACTTTTAAATTTCTAATCATTATAATATTTAATTACTTCCTGATACATCTCCAGTATAAAATGTATCTAATTCTTTCCCTTCTACTGATGCTGTAAATGAACTTCTATGTTTAATTGTTGTAACCAATTATAATGCATTATCCCATAGTCTAATAACTCCATCAGTTCCAATTGTAATTATTCTACTATCATGCATAGGTATTATTCCAATTATTTCATTATTACTTGATTATATTACATTATCAACATGAAATACATTACCTAATTTCCATTAATAAAGTCTTCCTCCTAAATCTGCTGAAAATAATTTATTCTCAAATATTGCAAAACTACAACAATCATATTTATGCATATAAATTTATGGAGTTAAATTTATAAATAAATATTCTATTGGTTAATCTGCTATTATTTATTATTTCAATTTATAAACAATTAATTATGTTTGAACTAAAATTAAGAATAGATCATTGATCAATCCAATTTTATTAATCACTCCTATATTAGGTGTTATAAATTCTCCTTTAGGTATCCATTTATCCTTTCTCTTTTCATACATTAATACTTATGTTTAAGTCAATAATGCTATTAGATTTTATGTTATTTCAACCACTTATTTAATATTTTAATTATTTCCCAATTATTACATTAATTTTAAACTAGGATACTCAAAAAAAGAAACTATTGTAGAACATGTAACAATTTATCCATTTTTCATTCTTATACATGATATTACATAATTTAAATGATCAATTACTCCATATAATTAAAAATTTTCAGTTTTCTCAAATTATAATTATGTATTATCAAATTTAGTTGGTCTTGCAAGTAATGATGTATAATCAATTGATTAAATATACTCTTATTATTTATCAGGATATAAACTATCAACAAATTCTTAATATGTCCCATAAGGTTTAGATGTATGATATTCTTTAGGATTTGATAATTGGATTGCACTCTAAAACAATCTGTCTTCACTTTATTTAAGTGAATTCTCTAATTTTAATGCATTTTCTAATTTGATTTATTATTAATCTAATTAATATTAATTTCCAATATAAAATAATCCATCTAAAACTGTTTTTACTTAATTAATTTATTCTCTTACTTTAGTAACTATTCTAATTTTATCTTTTTCATATTTATTAATAACATCTTATGATCCTTATTATAATATTGGCAATACTAATTATAATCCTTCTTCATAAACTTTACCATCTTTCATCATTTCAATATGATCAATAATATTCTTTAATTATTTACTATGTATCCATTAATTATCAATAAGTGATATTAATTTCTATTCTCTTTAATTAAGAATTTGATTTGTCTTCTCTTTTAAGTATTAAAATTCTTTTTTAATATGTTAAATTATGTCTTCCTTATAATAAATTCGTTTCAATCGTTCAACTTCTGATCTTAGTTAATAAAATATCATTTACCTTTAAAATTCATATAAGATCCTATCAACAAATTTGGAGATGGGAGTTACATTTGTATCAACATGACCAATATGTTATTAATTTACACATGAATTACATGCTAATTTATATTTACAATCTAGTTTATTGCAAATATGAGTGGTTTTGGAATTATGTTAATAACAATTCATTAAATTGTGCATATTTAATATTATTTTTATTAATAATAAATATATCGTTTTATGAGAAAGAGATTTCATTTGAATAAATGGTACCATTCATTATATTATTGCCTATTGTTGATAAGTAAGAACAAAAATAATATATAATAGTTTCTTGGTATAAGGTATCCTACCTTTCAATAATAAATTGGATCTTCTACTGTATATTCACATATTACTTGGGATATAAATGTAAAATAAATTTATAATTTAAATAGTTTTAAGTGAGGAAATACTGAAAAAGTTCAAGTTAATAATAAAATGCCATCTTATAATATCATTGATAATAAGTGTATATTTTGTAATAGGATTGTTTCTTAGTTTATTAAATAGTGAAATACAATTGGTAATGATAGAAAGATTGAATTTCAATAGTGAAATATACATATTTGGATATGAGAGTGTATTTGCATTGATATTATGTTAATTATTACTTTATCTGACATTGGTAGTATTTTTATTGTTAATCTATTGGAATACTTAGATGCCATAATATGAATGGATAGAACAGAATGAGAATTATACATTCTAATAGAGAAAGACTAGTTATTTGAGATAATAGAGTATAATGGATAAAATTATAATATTAATAATAGTTTAATTATGTTTGAATGATGGATTAATAACATTATTTTTAGTACTTTGTATGTTAGTATGGTTAGCAATTCATTTTCATATTTTGAATAAAAGAAATAGATTTAGATATTGTTAAATGGTAATAAACAGTATTATAGTATGTTCATTTATTGCATTACTATTATTAATTTTATCAGGATAATAGAAATATAGTTTCAGTACTTTAAATGGAACTCTAAATATTTATAGAATATTTAAATTATTAAGTTTAGTATTGATGACTTCAATATTAATATTGAGTATGAGAGCATATCATTATCAATTAATAATAGGTGAAGAAGAATAAATAGAAGATTTAGAAAAGGAAATCTAGAAAGATATGAGATTGAAGATTTCATCATTAGAGATATTTTTAGGAGAAAATTATTTTGGAGTTATTATGATTTTAAGTGTTTTTTGGATTTCTAAATAATTTAGTATATTAAGAGGATTAGTTTATTTAATATTATTAATTGGATAATTAAAGAGAAAAAATTATAAAGCAACAAGACGTTGGTAATGTGCAATTGCTATTTTATATTTAGCATTTGTTCAATTTTTCTTATTGAAATTATTTAATGTACCATAATTTAAAGTAAACATTTACTTTTAATATTTGGGAGTATATGAATAACCATAATTTAATCCAAATGAATTATTTGCTATTTGGAATTACTTTTATAATAGATTTAATATTATTATGATTGATTTATTCTATATTTTAATAGTGAGTTGGTTAGTCTATTCATAATAAACAATAGATGATCGAAGACGTTAAAAGAAGATTAATGATTTGGATAGTAAAGATCGTCCTAATAGAGAATAGAATCCAAATTGTTGGAATAATTTCAAATAAAATTTATCAAGTTTAAAGTATTAAGTTTAAAAGAGTTTTTTAATTCATTTTGATGAAATAGTAATCATATATTGTTTAATAACTGCTTTAAGTCATGCAGATATATTTAGAGGAGTCTTTTTGATATTCTTTATACTTTATGTTTTTGCACAATTAGAAAAAAGAAGGAAATATATGAGAAATCATTTAAGCATAGGTTATATTATATTATTCATATTATATTCTATGTAATTGATGTTTTTAGGATCATTAACAACACTTAATTTTATATTTAAATTTGGTGGTTTAGATGAAGTTACTTAATAATTTAAATTCTCTTTTTATTTCATTTATAAATATTATGATATAATTATTGGATGTGTATTATTAACATTTTAAATTTAAGTAATCTAAAAAAGTGATCATTATTAAGAATATAAGAAGAAATTAAATGATTATAATCTCGATTATTTAAGATAAATATTATAAAAAAATGGATTGATTTTCTGTTAAATTATTGCATTAATAGTGGCCTTTATTCCACCTGCCAATTTATTATCACTCATATTTATATTCTTTTTTTAACTATTTCTCTATTTATATTACATTCATGGTTAACTTAATATAATTATGGATAGATTATACTAATATTGGCCACTTATGATTACTCTAACATTGATCATTTTAATTGTTAGATACACATATACTATTAAATTCTTTTACTATTTTGTAGAATTATATTTTTAATAACCCACTCTTTTAAGTGATTTTGGATTAGATCCAGATTTTAACACACTTAAATTAGCAGGTACTGGTATTGCATTATTAGTTTTATGTGCATATAAAAGAGCTTATTTAGCACCTTTAATAGAATAATAAAAATAATAGAAATAAATTTACAAAAAAGATACTCTTACATATTATTTCTATTGTTTTTACATTAAACTTTGTGTATATAGTGTTTATCATATATAAAAAGTAACTTTCATGTTTTCATTCTTCATTTCTGTATACTAATAAAGTTACATAGGCTTTTTATTTGCAATAATGATTTTCTTAATTATGCTTAATGAAATGAATAATAATTGGCAAAATATATCTATACCTATTTTGGTTATCATATTCATTTAGATCCTTATTCAATATATATTCTAAGCAGAACTACTCAGAAATGCTTAAGGTTAAGAAACTATCTCTTGGATTGGAATTGAAAATCAATATCAAAATAAATATTGGTATTTACTAATTATGTTTCATCTATCAGAAATGCTTTAAGTTTTAAATGTAATGTTTAAATAATAAGTAAATGATTATTTATCATTATTCCTAATATCTACAGACAGAGAAATCATTAATCTTAATTTACTTTAATAATTATTACATTCATTACAATAAAATATCATTTAAGAGTAAAATAGTATTGAATCAGAAGCCTCATAATAATAATAAATTGAATTATAAGCAAAAGATGAAAATTCATAGGAATCTATTTTTTATGATGAATTAGATGAATAAAATGAAAGATTTATTAAAATTTAAAATTATTATTCTTATAAATCAAATATGCAATAAGAATAATTTTATTATAGAATTTATCCCTTTTATAGAGCACTTAAATTTCATTAATCAATTGATAATCTGTTTACTTAAATTGGATTGGAAGTATGTTTATTCTTTATTGTCATTACTGCATATTATCAAAGGAATTTCTTTTCTGTTTTTTACATAGTTGTTGCAAGTGCATTTGCAAATAAATCACATTTATTAGATAGACATTCTAAATTAGGTAATTTTGGAAAAGCATGGGGAGCATTATGTATATTATAAATGTTGGAAGTTATTAGAAAATATGCTACATTATAATGGACTCCTCCATCATGGGATGTTCGTAAACCATGGTGGTATTTTAGTTACTCTTGTGATCCTAGAGGAAAAGAGTCTTTTAATAATGATGATCCTGATGATTCTACAAGTGATTTTATGAAATGTCAAACAGATTGGAATTATTGGTTATCTTTATAAGGATATACTAATTGGGATTTATGGATTAATTTCATTGCTTTACTCATTTCTTTATGTTATTATCGTCATTTCAAGACTGTTTAAAGAAGATAATAAGAATAGGAAATTGATGATTATTTACATCCTGAAAGAGAAGAGATATAAGCAAATATGATGGATAAAAATGATTTCACTTATGAAGAGAATAGAACAAAAATAATGGATTTCATAAAGTTTTTCGTGTTTTGTTATTTCTATAAATTTGCTTTGATTATATTTTTATTGATAGGAATGTCATCAGATATTGAATCATATACAGAAGTGATTTCTTGTATTTATTTCTTTTTAGCAATAAATTTATTATATATGAGTGAGAAATTAGAGAAGGAGAGAAATATAATTTGGAGTAAATTAATATTATTTAATACAATTGTAATGATAGCAATGTCATTATATTAAGCTCCATTTATTAAATGTCCAATTATATATGAAAATGATAGATATTATTATGATAATATGGAATGTGTATAGATTTAACTTAATAATCATTATTATAATAGTGATTTTTTTATCTTTTTATAAGATGAATTTTAATTGTTAGCAAAATAAACTAATGATGTATTAAAGAAGTATGAAGGAGTATCAACTTTAGATGTAATTTATATGTTCTTATCTCATCTTTTAGGTTTGAATAAAACTTTAGAGTATTAAATTTATAATTAATATTAGTTTTCGATTTGGTTTTAGTAAGGAAACATTGATGGCATTCTTTTTTTTGCTTGGTTTAATATAAAGAAATATTTGGGCACATCCTTATATGAAATAATATGTTGATCCATATTTATAGAGAATATAATAATAATAGAAAATTAGTGCTATTTAATTAATAGAAGGAATACATTTGAAAAGAATTTGGGATTTTAAGTATGTGTAAGCATAAAAATAAGTACATGAAAGTTTACAATAGAGAGTTTAAAATAGAGTAGAGAAATGGGATAATTTCTTTTAATTTGATGATAATAATAGTTTGAAAAAGAAGAGTTTTTTTTATTTGACTCCAAGAAGAGAAGAATAATTTTAGATTATTTAATTTGCTGAAGAACGATCAGAAGATAATTAATAACATACAAGTTTTGATTCTGAAAAGTTTTAAGGTTTTAAAGGTGAACCTAAGAAATTGATAAAAGCAGAAAAGATTACTTAATAAAATAAGGCACCAGTAATACATTTATATGATGCTTGTTGTATTGTTAAATATTCAATAAATGAAAAAGATTTAAGATTGAGATTAAAGAAATTGAAATTATTAGAAGAGAAAAGATAATTGGAGAAAGTGTATTTGAATGATAGAATAGGATTAATAAATTATCATGTAGGAGTAATTGATGAAATTGATAGAAAAATTATTTAAGTAGATAATGAAATAGGTTAATTATTTAAAGTATAATAATTAAGAAAATCTACATCAATGAGAGATATTAAAATGATACCATTTGAAGAATTCAAAGATGATCGTAAATCTTATGAAATTCATAGTGAAAGAGATGAAAGAGAATAATAAATATCAGAAGAACAAAGTGCAAAAGATTTTAAGAAATCTGAAGATGATAAATCAGATGAAGAATCTTCTATTATATAACCATAAAAATCATTTTCAGAAAAATTAAAAGATTTAATTATCTATATACTTACTCATGAAACTTATATAAGAGAATAAGAATAATAATAAAATGAAATAGATAAAAAGAAATTGTCAGTCTTAATATTTGTTTTTGTTGCACATTATTTTTAAGTAGTTTGTGTTTTATTGATGGTATTTAATGCTTGTTTTAATGCCAATATCATTGCATTATTTTATCCATTTTCAGCCTTTCTATATGGATTATTAGAAAATCCTGTACCATCTAAAAGATATTGGAACTTCTTACTAATTTATACTATTATAATAATTTCATTGAAATTCATATATTAAATGCCTATCTTTTGTGATTCACCTCCATATACATTTATAGGATTCTCTTAAGAAGAAGCATGTGAACCTAGAGTTACTACATAATAAGAGAAAATCACAAGAATTGATTATGTTATTGGTATTCGAAAATATTAAGGAGCTGAAACATTTATGAATGCTATTTGGATTGAATTAATATTATTTATCGCTTTATTAATTCAGAGGTATTTATTATAATCTTAAGGAATATGGGATTATATGAAATTATCATTAGATTAATATTTCATACCTTAATTTAAATAAAAAGTAGATGATAAATCAAGTGAACATCAATAATAAGAATCTAGTTCTAAAGAATCTGAATAAGAAAGTGATGATTTCTCAGAAAATCATTAAGTTTAAGAATAATAAAAAGAATAATAGACAATTATGATATCTATTTAAGATACATTTACATCAGTTTGGTAATAAATAGTCAAGTATTATTATCGTTTATTTCCTCATGCTTTATCTTCTATTTATAATCAAAGAAAATATGATCCAGTAACTAAATAGATGATTATTAAAGATGGAGTAGTTTTACCAGAATAAATTAAAGTAGGTAGAGATTTCTATGCACCAGGATTTATTATTTGTTTAATTATTTTAGTATATTTCCTATTATTTTATCCCAATATAATAGCTAAACGAAGTTATGCTCATATAACATAAGGATAAAGTCAAAGATTTTCATCTGAAGTAATATTTGTACTTTTAGTTGTCATTATTATTATAATTACTGATAGAGCATTATTTATAATGAGGAAAGTGACTAAAGATCCAAGAAATGATAAATAAAATTAAAGTGGAAATGATATTCAGAAATATACATTAATGATTAAAGTAGCCATTTATTTCATTTTAATCATTGTTGTTCATTATTACTTTTTTTTTGTTATACCATAAAAAACTAATAAAAGTATTATTTATTTAATTATTATTTTAGGATTTTAAGAATCATATTATTTAATATTTGCATATATTCTAGTTTGTATATATTTTATGATTTCATCTGTTTAGATTAGATATGGATATCCTATATAAAAGTATTCATAAATATTTACTAATTCTCATAAACCAGCTAATTCAATGGCATTTAAAATATATAGAATGATTCCCTTTTTATATGAATTAAGAGTTATTATTGATTGGACATTTACTACTACAGCATTAGATTTAATATAATGGTTTAGACTTGAAGATATCTTTGCTAATTTATATATATGTTAAGCTTATTAAGATTCTCGTATTGAAAATCATAAATTAGGTGATCCAAGATCATCATCTGATAAATGTTTAAATGGATGTCTTTATTCTATGTTTATTGTTTTTATTATTATCTTACCAATTCTAATTTTTAGTACATTAAATCCAGCAGTAGAAATTAATAATATAACAAATGGTAAATTTAGTATTAAAGCTGCTTTCTTTGGTTAAGATGATAAATTATTCTTTACATTATTTTAAGTAAATGATTTAGAATTATTGGATATACCAAATGAACAATTTAAAAAAATATAAAAAATATATGGTGAAATTGAAACATCATGGTAAGAAAGAATGTAAAAAGTAAGAATCAAAAGATTTAGTGATCTTGAATGGAATCTCCCTGAAAATTATAGAGATTAAATTAGAAATATGATAAAATCATAAGAATATTAAGTAGAAATCTAATGTGAATGGGTATTTTAAAAGAGTGATAGTTAAGGTGGTGCAAAATCATTTACAGGTTAATCTATTGTATAAGCACCTGATACTTTTGTTAATAATTTTGGTAAGATCTTAGCTCCTAGAGCACCAGATGCAGTATTTGACATAAAAGTATTAGTACCAAAATTCTTATATGTTGGAGAATCTGCTGAAACTCAAGCATTACGATTAGAACCAGTTAATATAAGAGAAGAAATCAGTTATTATTAAGATATTCGTTTGATACATAAGAAAACAAGTGATTTTGTATTTTTTGAATTAGTACCTAATGATGATTCAACAGATTTAAAATAAATAGGAGGTATATTTAATATATTTAATATTATATAGCATCATCATAAAATAGAGTAGAATTCTTTGTATTAAATGAATTAGCATTTGGTAGTTTAATAGGAGCATTATCAACAAATATGTCAATAATAAGTATATATGCAACATTTGTGTTGACAATTGGTAGATTTTTGAGATTTGCATATGACAAAATAAGTACAAGAGTAATGTTTGAAGAGATGCCAGAAACATATGAATTATTTGATTTGTGTTAAAGCATATACATAGCAAGAGTAGATGGAGATTTTTTTAAGGAAGAAATATTTTATGAATTATTAATTAGGATATATAGAAGTCCAGAGATACTATTTAAAATGACAGGTGCTTCAATATATGATAGATAAAAGAAATGATTGTAATTAATATATATATATATATTTATTCGATAATTAAATATGAGTTCTGGAAGTGAGAAGTTGGATTAGGTTCATTAACATCATTTGATGGCACCTTTGAAACCTTTCTTTCCTAATTAGAATATGGAAGATAAGAGAATCAGAACTGCAGCAAGAGAATTTCATGATTTTCTAAAGGAAGCAATAGATGAAGAACATTAACATTTATTAAATGCAGATTAATCTATAATAAATGAAGAGATAGTCAAAATGTCATTACCAGAAACTAAAGCTGAAATTAAAGAATTGATTTATGAATTAAAACGTATTCAAAATGAAGAAGAATAGCTGTTATTGCATTTTATTGGATAAGCTAAATAATTAGATAATAATGATAAAACAACTCCAAAAAGATTAAAAGATTATTTTGAAGGATTTTATTATGAAGTTATGATAAGAAATAATGAAAAAAAGAAATTATATGAAAAAGTCTTATTGAGAGAAGAATAATTGTAATTATCACATAAATATCAAGGCAGAAGCATTTATCTTAATTAGAAATTAATATGAATAAAATTGAAAAGAATTATGAATCTATAAAAAAATGGCATGAAATTAGATCATTAAGATAAACTGGGTATTTTATTTTAATCTATTTTAATAGGAGATTTAAAAATAGTACTAGTAAAATATAAAAAATACAAATTCCAAATAATGTTTCAGTTTAAGCATTAAGTTAGGATTTCTTAACAAAAAATGTAAATATACAATAATAAGAATAATAATCTGTATTACATGAAGATGTTATGACTAAACCTAATGCAATTACTTCAGGATATAATTTGGAATATAAACCTATTCAATATAAAGAATTATAATCAGATTTAAAAGAAATTGAAATAGATGAAACAAGTGTATATGATTGGATTGTTGATATAGATTTAATAACTACTATTGCTAAAAATGGTTGGAAAGTATATTTATCAAAGAAATTTGCAGATGCATAAGTCAAATCAGAATTAGAAGTACCTAATTATGGATTTACTAAATAATAACATAAAGCTTAATGGGAAGGTGCAGCTGTTGCAGTTGTTGGTTTATATGATAAAGGAAAAACTTTTGTACTCAATAATCTTACTTCTTCTAATTTACCTTCAGGAAAGAAAGTAACTACAAAAGGTGTCTCATTTAAACATGTAAATGTAGATTCAGGTACATAATTAATACTTGTTGATACTGCAGGTAGTTATTCACCTGTTAAAATTACAAATGAATTAAGTATTGTAGAAAAAGAAGCTACAGAAATGTTCATTACTGATTTAGTTTTTGAAATATCAGATTATTTTATTTGTGTAGTTAATGATTTTACTAGTCTTGATTAAAGATATTTAGATAGATTGAGTAGAAATCTTTAAAATTCTCCAAATAAAACATTTAGAGAAATTATTGTTATACATAATCTGAAAGAAGTAGAATCACCTGAAATCTTAGAACATGTTTGGAGTACTCAAGTTACTTAAATCTATTCAAATGGATCTATTTAAAGAACAAAAGTAGCATCTATTAATCCAATCAATAATTAATTATAAGAAAAACATGTTTTATGGTTCAAAACTGAATTTACTAGACATGTTTGTTTAGTTAATGATGATTCATATTTAGGAATGTCAATTAATCCTTGGGTTTTTTCATTATTAAGATATTGGTTAAAAGCAGTATTTGTTCCTGTTAATAGATAATTCTCTGTTGTAGATAGTATCATTTAATTTAGTAAGGTATTTAGTTATTCATTCATTTCATTTAGACTAAATTATCATCTTATTTTAGAACTATACTTACACTTCAGATTTAAGATACTGATGACTTTTTAGTTAAAACTATTGTTACTTAATAAGAAGTATAAGATAGTAATGTCAGAATACCTTAAGTCTCTATTGATTCAAGTGGTTTAATAATGACAAGACCTGATAGTTTCTTACCTAATACTGACATTATTGCTACTGATTAATATATAATTTATATGGATGTGCCTGGATTAACCAAAAATGAAATTCTTGTTTATCGTTAAAATGTTGTAACTATTATTAAAGGAATACGTAAAAGACCTTATGAAGTATTTCAATTTATTAATTATTATAAGTCTGAAAAACTAGAACGTAGTGAACGTAAATATGGTGAATTTGCATTGTCATTCAAAATTCCAGAAATTTATGAAAGGAAATGGAGTACATTTACAGTTGAAAATGGAGTATTGACAATTGTATATGAAAAAGATAAAGATGATTAAATTGTCAGATAAAAGAAACAAGAGTGATTTAATATAAATATTAATATATATATATATATGATATATTTGTTTCACATTAATTAATTAGGTAAATTTGAATAACCCATCATATTTTCATTATTAAAATCAATAAACTGATTCTATGATTATATTAATAATTATATTACATTTGAAAAATTGAAATTTGGTAATTCAGGCATGAAATTAGGTTTTATTACAGATTTTAATGGTTATTATACCTTTTTAATACCAAAATTCAAAGATTTCTTTCCTTTACTTAATCCGAATATTTTGTATTCTTCATATATTTTAATTAATAACTGTTCTACTAATTAACAAGCCTAATTTAATTATTATTATAATTACTCTAAGAAAGAGATGATTATGTTTAGAGGATACACATAAATGTAAAGGTTCTTAAGATTCTCTTTTTTCAGGTCCTTCTTTATATCCAGATCCTCTTCCTCTTAATCTTAATTTAACCAAATCTTATTCTTTTGTATCACAATCATATAGACATTAATCAATTATCTTTTTCATATTGCATCCTTTTGCCCCTAATATATAATCCAATTTAATACCAATAATCTTACGAGCTACTTGAAAATCTTTATCATTATCAATTTATACATCATATCTACAAGTAAACTTTTGTTGATTTGAATCTTGGAATTCCATTATTTCTAATAGATCTTATTAACTTGTAAATTCTATTTTTATAGTGACATCTAATTCTTTAATTTAATGTTTGTTTAATAGTTTATAAACTATGAAAGCATCAAAAACTGAATTAAATTTAATTATGATTGCACCATTGACTTTTGTATATACTTATTTAACTTCTCCAAAATTTTCACAAACCTAAGATTTTGAATATAAAATTCTCGTTACTTATTTAATATCATCTTAATCTAGTTCAATTTCATAATTATCCTCACTTGATAATTCAACAGTCAAATATTAATGTGGATATTGTCTACTCTTTTTATAGTATTATAAATATTTACTTTCTATTTCAACATAGCACTTATTCTCTATTTCACTTTCTAATCATGAATAATTAGATTTATTTATTCCCTATTTGTAGGTGAAGCATTTAATAAATTGTCATCACTCTATTCTAACTATAAAGTTTATATGAAATCATACAAGGAAATTGGTCATATCCTCAATTTGCTATGAAATCTCTTGAAAGCTCATTAATTATTCTGTTAAAATAATATATTTTGTATTATTCATATAATATCTTCACTTTATAATTGTTTTTCAAATGGGATCTTTGTATATTTAGGAACAGAGAGACGTCTACAAATTCTCTATTGATAAGAATATTAAGGTGTTTTGGCACCAGAACGAGGTCTATAAAGTAGTAAGTATCACTACCTTGCCCTCTCAGGAGTTCTTAAGCCTTATTTAAATGAGACTAACCAATGTCTATCTGCACATGTATTCATCAATCCACCATGACTATCTCTATTCACATTTATAATTAATACTATTTACAAAATATAATTATCTCTTCCACTTCCATTGCTAATATAATGTAGAGTCTTATTGCTTGATTAAGGTCTATAAATTTTATTTGATTTTTTAGGTTAAAAGCTTCCAACAGGAGGTTGATGACATCTTTAAGCATGTAATGTTAATCCACCGTTATCAAATTGAACATAAGTATCACGTCCTGATTTTTATTAAATCTTCTATGATACCTGTTCCATCAGAATAATAAAAATTTGCCTTAGCATATTAAGCTTCTGTTTTGATATTTCCAGTCTTCATTTATTTATAATAAATAATTAAGTAAATTACTATTATAAAAATTATATCATTTAATTTAAACATTCTTGTCTTCTCTTTGCATATTTAATTATTCTTATAATAATTAACATTCTTCTACTAAGTTAAACTAAAAAGTATTTTAATTAATTTACAATTTATTATTAACATTTCTAATGTGCATCATCATCCTTAATTTAACTAATATTATCAAAAAATGAATCATCTCCATATAGTATTTCTTGTCTTAATGAAAAATTCAAAATATTTAAACTATGTTACTCTGATTAATCTTAATCTAAGTCATTTAAACTCATTCTTTGAGGTATCTTCTATTTTATTTCTTAGATTTATTATACTAATTTCTTGCATTCCATTTCATAATACATTGCTTTTTACTAAAACATAAAATTAATATAATTACTTCTGATTTATCAACAATTTATTAATATTATTATAAATTGAATTTTGTATCATCAATACATTTTTATTATTTTTCTGCTTATAATAATTTATTCTATAATTCTCCAATCTTCTTTCTATATTCATTAACATTTTATCTTTATTGATCTGTTAATAATGATTTCATGGATTGCATAGTTAAATTAACTCTATTATGTAAGAATTCTTGCATAAGTCCATCTAATAATTAAGAATAAGCCTCTATTGATTTTACATCCTATGTATTACTACTCTATTTTTTCTATTCACTTATCTTCAATTCCTTAATTTTTATGAGAATATCTCCCTCACCTTCGAATTCATTTTATATCTTCTTATATTTATCTTTAATATCAATTAATCCTGCTATTTAATTACTAATCACTTATATCTATTTTTCAACATCTTCTTCTTCATCATCTGTCAATAATTCAGAATATAATTAAAATATTAATGTTGAATATTAAGATTATTTATCTAATAATTCTTAAAATTCATTCTTTATTTAAGATAAAGCATTAATAACATTCTCTTCACTTACTTCTTATATAGATAACTCTTACTATAATATTAAATTAATTTTATTCTATTCATCATTTTCAAAACGATTTTTCTCTCCCATCTCAAAAATCTATATTTTTAATTCATTCTCTCTCTTTTTTACTTATTCTAATAATTCATAATTCTCTTACTATAATTCACTAAGTCTAATAATTAATTCTTTATTTTGATTTCCAACTTCATTAAATTAACTTTCAAATTCTTACTTTTAATTTTCTAATTCCAAATCACTATTCTATAACTAAATATTTTTGATTTCTAAATCTTATTATATCTTTTCAATACTAGTTCTTAGTTAATGAATTTTTAAGTTCTATTATGACTTTTCATCCATTATTAATGTTAATTCTTCATTTAATTACAATACCTATTACTGATATTATTCAATTAAAATTCCTTATTCTTATAATTCTTTTTCTTTTGATAATAATTATTCATTTAATTATTGACAAATTGTCTTCTGATTTCTAACTATTTCATTTAATTTTTCATTATTATTTTACAATTCTTCTGTTGCTTTTTCCTTTTCCATTTATAATTATTCTGCTAACTAATTCATTGAAATTTAATTTAAATTGTTTAATTTTTCATTATATTCTGATTCTAATTTCACTTATAATTATTTTTAAGTATTTAGAAGTTCAATCTGATTAACAATCTATTATTCACGATCTTTTAATAGATTTAATACATTATCTAATTCTTCTTATTTTAATTAATTCTAATTATTTATTGTATTAACCTATTAATTTAATCTATTAATTTCACTTTCAAAATCATTTATTTAAAGATCTTTATTTTTATTAATCTGTTATAAAATTGTAATTTACTTTATTTAATCATCATTTTCTCTTTATAATTATAAATACTAATTTTTAAGTAGAATTAATTGATTTTAATTATTATCCAATTCTTATTATTTTTAATTGACTAAATCCTTTTATTATGATATAATATCACTTAGTTTTGAATTCATTTAGCATTCAAGATCTTTTACTTATGTCTATAAATGTATTATGAGTTAATCTTATTCATTAACTTTTAATTTTAAGGTATTTATAATATTTTAGTTTAATTCTGATTATTAAGATATCTATTATTATAAATCTTTATTTTAATTTTTATAAAGACTCATTTCTTTTGAAACCAACATCAATTTTCCATTCAATTCTTCATTATATAAAACTCTTTCATTTAATAACTTATCAATTGAATCTATTTCATTTTATTTCTATATTAATAATTCTTTAATTTATAATAACTCTTAATCTTTTATTTGTTCTTATTCAATCAACTTGAGTTAATTTTATTCTATTTAGTTTCTATATTCATTTTTCTATATTAACTCTTCATGTAATTTTCCTATTTCTGATTTATAATTTATTTCCATTTATCTTATCTTTTCATCTTTCTAATAGATTTAATCTTTCCATTTTTGTTATTCATCTTGAGATTCTTATTATAAAGTCTCAAATTATTGAATTAATTGTCTATATAAATTTTAATTAGATTGGGATTGTAAATATATATCTTTATATTTTTAATCTAATAATACTATTTTATTTTCTAGTGTTTTGATTTATTCTAATAAACCTAATTTTTCTTCTTCTTTAATTGAAATTTATTATTACATTAAACTGTTAATTTGATTAACTTCTTATTATTTTTCTAAATCATATTTTTCTTAATTAAGTTTAATTTAATTTTAATGTTATTCAATAGTATTTTAATATTAATCTTTTTACTACTAAAGCTAATCTTACAATTCTTAGACCTATTTGTAAATTTCCAATAATGTATATTCTTTTTCCAATTTTTTTTAATCTTCAACTTATTACAATTCATTTTTTAATATATGTAGTTCTGTTTGATATTATGAAGATTAAATCTATAACTAAGATTGTAATTCCTGAATAATTTTATAATTTTGTTCAATTGTATTATTAAGCTATTTAGATTCTAATCTCAATTATTATATTTCATTTTAAGTAACAATTAAAGTTTAAGATAATTACTCTATTGAAATATTCTTTTCAATATGCTTTTTATCAGATTATTCAAGATTAATTTTTAATTAATTTATAAGATTTATTTGATCTTATATATTTTTATTTAATTCTAATTAGTTTTATTTATTAACAATTTCTTATTGTTCAAATTATTTCTTTAATTTTTAACATTCTTATTATGTATCATGATATAATAATTGTTAATTTTAGATTAGTTCTTATTGATCAAGTACAACTTATTTTGTTTAATTTAATTCTAATGCTTATAATTCATATTATTCTTTCATTGAACACATTGATTCACTGTTATTTTATAATAATGCTTCATTCTCTTAGTTTACTTTCTGTAACTATGCTTATGATTCATTTAATAATTTTTTCTATTCATTAATAATCATTTAATTTTATTCATTAAGTCTTTCAAAAGATTATAATTTCTATTATAACATTTCTTATGATTATTTTTATTGATCTTATAATGTTTTAACTTATTTTTAATGATCATTAGTTTATTTTAGTAATTCTTTTTTTAATTTCTAAATAGTTTCATCTTAGTTTCTTCTTTCATTTTCTGTTTATTAATACTTTTCTGATAGATCTTTAATTTCATTTAATTACCTTTCAGATAATTTAATAAATTCATTTATTTTTTGTTCATACTATTCTTAATTCTTCTAAAGATCCTTTTTAATTAATTTAATTGTATCTTAATCTTATTATTATTAAGAATAGAATTCTACATTTTATGATTAAATAGCTTTATATTCTTCTTCTAATGCAGAATGTTCAATATCCTTATTTGATATAATTTCTTATAATTTCTTAACTTTTTCTTAATATAAAATATTATCTTTATTAATTTTATCTTTAATAATTTATTCAGCTTCTTTTAATAATTATATTTGATTATCAGATTATTCTACTTAACTATGGAGATCAATAATTAATTGATGTAATCTTGTAATTTCTTATTTATTTTATTCAATAACAGTAAGTAGATTTTCTTCTTATTATGATTATTTTGATTAATTTTATAATATAACTTAATTTAATCTTTCAATTTCTTTTTTGAATTAATTAATTTATGTTTATTATTCATTATAAGTTAATTTAAGTTCTTAGGATTTAGTAATATCTTCTTTTAATTTTTTAGTTTATTCATTAAGAGTTAATATTTCTTATTATTTATTTTATAATGCTGAAACACTAATTTAAGCTTATCTATTAAATTCAATTTATAAATTTTCATTTTTATTTAATAAATCCTTATTTGTATTTTAAAGTTGATCATAAAGTTCTTTATAATTTTTAAGTTATAATTCATAATTAGTAAATTCTAATTTAAATTTATTTTATAAATCTTCTATTTATTATTTAGTTTTGATATGAGTATTATTTAATTCTTTATTGATTAA